GACTGTCAGTCGCCCATGCCCCTCCTCGCGCATCACCTGACTAATAAATCCACGCAGACAAAATTATAGTCGGCGGTTTCATGTATCTCGGGCTTATCGTCCCTGCCTACGGCTATGGTGCGTCGCGCGCAGACCCGCTCAACGGCCCTCCGCTAACGGACCCGCAGCATACTTTGCGCCGTCCATCATCCAGGGCCTCGGCCACACAAGCATCCGCACGCAGCTGCTCTCCGTCCCACCCTGGGCGTGCGCCTTCGTGATGTCCATGCTTGTCGCGATCGCGTCCGACTTCTTCCGGCACCGCTTTGTCTTCGGCCTCTTGCCCATCGCCATCGCCATGGCGGGCTTCATCACCCTGCTCGTCGTGCATAATCATACGAAGACGCAATACGCTGCGCTCTTCCTGGCCGTGATGGGCGCGTACTCGGCGATGCCCATCCTCGTCTGTTGGTTCAACACGAATTGTGAGTTGCTTGCCGCGGTGCGCCTCGCGTTCGATCTGACTTTCTTTCTTTCCGCGCCGCGATGCAGTGGGAGGACACCAGCGGAGAGCGGTCGGGACGGCGTGGCAGGTCGGCTTTGGCAACAGTGCGTCCCGCACCCATGTTCCCCCGCATCTCCGTGTATGCTAACCACTTCCCCCTCTGCGTAGTCGGCGGCATCATCGCCGTCTACGCTTTCGTCGCGAAGGACGCACCCCGTTACACCAAGGGCTACAGCATCTGCCTCGCGTTCATCTGCGTCTCCCTCATCGCCAACTGTGTCTACCTCTTCGCGGTCGTGCACGAGAACCACAGGCGCGACGCGGGGCAGGCTAAGGCGGACGCGACGTTCACGCAGGACGAGAAGGCGCACATGGGCGACCTCAATCCGGATTATCGGTATTTGTTGTAGTTTCATGATAGAGGTAGTGTATGCTCGGCGACATGTAATGAGTACCTTACGGAATGCACGAAATTTATGGGTTTTGACGCTGTTTCATGTGTGGCGAATAGCTATAGAGAATGACTCGAAATTCGTGCTGGTCGTCGAGGCAAGGCAAAGAAACGTGTCGTCGGAGCAGAAGTTATCGACCAAGCCGGCCGTGCGGGCGTCCTTGTACGTAGATCTCACCGCTAAGTTCGACCTCCTCGGCCTCCTGCTCCCAAGTGGGACGGCAAGTGACCTCCCGAAGTCGCGTCCGCGAAGAGTCACTCCGCTTGCCGTCGTCCGTCGCTCGTCGGTGTTTAACCGCATCCTACCAGCAGAGCACCCACCATTCCACGACCAACAGCGTCACAGCGCACCTCCGCCTTCAAGACAACTGACGGCCCGTCGGTCGGCGGTACCGCCCCCAGCCCAACTCAGTCGCATATCCATGGTGGAATGATGCCCACATGGAGGGATTCCAACAATATTGATCGCCAGCCTGCTAATAATTAGCATCGGTGTGTAACCAGCCCATACTCTGATCCGCCCTGACACTGCCCCCCTCCCGATATCGCAAGGACGTGATCGAACAACGCGCCGACAGAACCCACGTACCATGTAGCCGGACGTCCGAGGACCAGCGCAAAGTGTTGGGTAGAGTGGCAGGGATCGTATGCACGAAACGCGCGAGGAGGTGGGGGATATTAATATCAATATGCAGACATCGGCGCTTCGGCGAGGGTGATTAATGCAGTCGTCTCTGATGTCGACCGTGTTCCTTCAGAGATCCGTACGAGGGTTCTCGGCATAACAGTGCGGCCAGGTACCGTGTCTGCAGGCCAATGAGCGTAGCTTGGGCTCGACACCGGGCACGTTCACCAGTCCGCCGCGCATCCTGTGCGAGGAAGTAATGGAAGGACGTGACCCGAGCCTCATCTGCCAGGTATTTGTGGCTTGAATGAGGCGATGGAATATATAGGAAGAAGCAGCTCACGGACCCACACAGCTGCCCACTCACCTCTTCACATCCACAACGCACAACGTGCGGTGATCGAGGCAGGTATATCAATCTCCGACCTGACAGCATTCAGTCGAAATTCGCGGCTAGGAAAAAATACACAGCGAGCCCCCCAATCATGTTGCCTTGTATCAGCCGCAAACGATCTCTTGTGGCACCAGCACGCTATTTGGGTATGTCCGCTGAATCTATTAAGTCTGACGAACCGGCCAACAGCTTGGAACAACAGGGAGAGACAACGCAAGTAATAAGAAAAGAATAAATCGTATCCGCAAGCACGCGTCCTCCAACTGCTGCATCCAGCGCATCCACCTCTAAAATCGTTGACTTGAGTTCAAAGGAGGCTTCCGAGAAATCGGGAGGCTCACTTTATGCTGGAAGAGTTAAGCAGTCGACGTCTACCTGTTCTACTTGCCACCAGTCGTGCCCATCCCCATGGACGACTTGAACGTGTCGTAGATCCACCATTGGAAGCCTGAAAAATACGCCCTCCGTCAGCGCAACGCCACGAATCCGAAATACAGAACGCGTACCAGTGAGAGTACCGATCATGAGTACACGGGTACCGAGACCCTTGGTCGCGAGCGAGACGATGCCAACCTCGCTGGCGATCTGGCCGAGGCCCTTGCCCTTATTCGCGGGCTTGCCCATCTGCGAGACGAGCGAATCCGCGGGGTGCGAGACGACGGCGCAGACGATACCCGCGAGGTAGCCGGACGCGAACGTGACGCCGAGTTGCGTCGGCTTGCCATACGTGTCCTTAGGCGCGGTGAAGACGTGTGTGTAGAAGAGGCCGACGATGTACTCGAAGAAGAAGAACTTGGCCATCGTGTACGGGATCTGGCGCGACCAGAGCGGCACGATCGACCCGAACGGATAGCGCGTGTCCGCCTTGAGCCTGCTCATCTCCCGCATCGCCGCCACCATCGGCACGGGGAACGTACCCGCCGGACTCGTCTGGATCTTCACCTTCGTCATCTCCAGCGGGCAGAGCGCGATGTCGGCGAAGAACTCGGCGGACGCGGAGCCCGCGAGCCAAATCGCGCCCTTGTACTTGGCCGACGCCTCCTCCCCGGCGAGGTTCATGTACGCGTCCTTGAACACCTCATACAGCCCGTACTTGAACATACCCTGCAGCGAGTATCCGATGAAAGTCGGCCCGACACCTTTCCAGAGACCTTGGCTGCCCTCTTCCGCGATGATCGTCTTGACGCCGGAAACGAGACCCTTGTATTTGCCGGGGGAGACCTGTCGGCGACAATACACCATCAGCGGGGCGGTCGGAAAAGACGCAGCGAGGCGTACGCACCTGCATGTTACATTTGGTGACATCGAGCGGGGTGATGCCAGCATGGGTGATACCACACGCGAGGATCCCGCCAAGCATGCACTTGGCATAGTACGAGGTGTCGTGGGGAACGGGCCCAAGGAGCCTGACAAGCAAAACATGAGCTGGCGGCGTGGCGACTGCGAGACAGCGACGTACCGAGCGTCCCACTTGCCAGTCGGGGCGAGGTGTGCCATATTATCTAGAGGTCGTTAGGGATAAGGTAGTCTAGTGGTATCCCGTCGCGGTGGACGACGTCGCCGAGGTGGTGGTGGTCGAGTTGTGAGAGGGCACCAGCGAAAACGGACGCGGTTTTTGCTCGGCTGACCCCTCCGAACTTGACCGATGATTGCAACCACCGCTTTTGCTCTCCGTCTCGATTTGCCCTCCATCTTCTCCTAAAAAAAAAATTTCCACCTCGTCTCGTCGACGTTCGCTCTAGCGTCGTGGACCAATTTCAGTGTAGGTCAGAATTTTTTCACTTAATTTTTGAGTCCAACCTAGGGTTGGAAGACGAGCGCTTAAACGGTACACGCTGAGTACCACCGTCGTTGTCATACGTCGTCTCAACTTCGTCCGAGAACCACCGGTTCCGCAGGTGGGTCTTTTGACTAATGTTTGACGCCTCCAGCTGAATCAGACTGTATGTGGCGATGTACTACTGATCATCCGGGTGTAAACCCACGTATAAGCAGGAAGGAACTAATTCAGAGGACGTTCCGGAAGGTTGCCACATTTTCGTTGAGCGGAATCGCTCAATTCAATGAGAGCTTGGATGGCCAGTCCTTGTGCTATATGCTATTCACGAACAAGTATAATACGATACGATTTTTCGTAGCACTTCGATGGAAATTCCGCAGTTACTGTGAGTAGTAGTATCTCTGCCCGTGGCAATTACCCCGCTAACAAACCGACGTATAGACGTTGTCCCGATACCTGTCCCACTTTTGCTATCTTGTTCGTGGTCCTCAGTCAGTATCATCTTAGGATGAGTTCTGGCGCTCAATCGCTGTAGATCTTGGAGTCGAGTCCTGCAGTCGCTGCAACTTACGGTACCAATCCGCGTGTCGTCAAAGGAGACATGGTGGGCTATTTTTTTTTACTAGCTCTCGTCCTCTTGGGATAAGCCTGAAGTCAAGAATGGCTTGCGCGAACCCACGGAAACCAGGTCTGTGTTCACTCAACAAGCGTGCACTCCGCCAGACCAAGGTCGTGATACGAGACCCAGGACGTCATCCGCTCAAATCGGTTATCAGTACTTCACTCGAAGTTGACGGCACCTCTCGCGCGCCTTCTTCGGGAAGATCTTCGGGTGAACGGATGGTTGGTGAACAACAAGCTGCTCAGTTATTCGTATCTCGAGGCTCGAGGCTCGTGTCTTCAAGATGCTTGCTGCCTACGTCCAGAATGTTTTACATGCTTATGAGTATCGATCGTACAACTGCGCCGCGGCGGTCATATTGCAGACTCCGGAGTGCTCTACAAAAATTAACTCGCTCCCACAGATCTGCGCAATGCCCAGTGTTCCGCCCGCGCATAGTACGTTAGTACGTTGCACATTTGTTGTACGTGCCATCGAATATGTGCTAAAGTCGCTCGAATTTTAGCACATAGACTTCTCGCGGCCAAATATTCGATGACGCAGAACAGGTCCAAGCAATTACACTCAGGCTTCAGTACTTCAGTACCTGAACCAACTTCGTCAGGCATACCTGCCGACGTTCAATATTCATGATCCATTGTTTTAACCTACATTTGCTGGACGTATTTTTCTCCCTTGGCATACTGGCTAGCTATTTCTTAACAGGTTTCCTCCATCAAGGCCGAGTTGTCTTTCCCTTCGGCAAGTCTATCATCGGACACTACTACAATTTCTCTGGCATTTGGACTTCATTGGGACGGTAGCTGGTGAGTCGGTGTGGCAGCGGGGAACTGCTGTGCTCGAACCGGGTCCCGGCTGCATTGCGCTACGTCTCACTCCGGTTATTTGCCAGAACCGGACCCGCTGGAACGGTTCGTGGACTCGCGGTGGTGCTCGGACAGGGCTACCCGTGTGGAGGTAGGGTGGTCTGCCTGCGTTTTAGCGGGCTGCACGTTGAGCAAATGGGTTCCAGTCATCCGGTGGTTCCGGTCAACTAGTTTATAAACAACCGCTTTAGCCGTTGCATATAAGCTCGATGGCCGGAACCCTTTGGAAACGGTTTAATAGAAAAGGAGGGAGCGGAGAGGATGAGAGTAAAGCAACGTATTTTATTTACAGTACTAGTGACGTAAGTGTCACCGTCAGTGTCACGGCAAGCACCGTCGCATGAGTTGTGCACGTTCGGGGTGGTCCAAATCATGGCGTGCCTCTCTCACACCCAGCTAGACTATGCACAAGAAAACGGTGAACGACGACACACTCTGAACATCTGAACCTCTTTACCGGGCTGGACTCCGCCCGCTCTTTTTACGACGCATGGAGAGCATGGGGGGCGCCGCCTCATCTGACCCTGCCTCAGAAAATGGCACGGAGACGATCGAACTGACGACTCGGGACAAAACAACTGAAGCTGACGACCGGAAGGGCCCCGACCTTGTTTACTCACCCGCTGACGACTCGGACGGCGACTCTGGTGACGAGGAGGAAGGCAATCGTGCTCTGCTGGGTTCTCACAGGGGAGAACAGGAGCCCGATGGGCGCACGACCCCGAGCAGACTGAGTACGTGGGCCCAGATAAAGAGCCTCGTCATAGAAGTGAGTGCTGCTGTGCATGCGGCCGAGTAGTCTGAACGTGCCACAGACCTCACCCACCCTCCTTATAACTACAGCCCCCGAGTTGTTCACGGGCGAACTGTTGGCCAATGTCTCCGTGCGCATTGACCGCCCCTTCTCTACGGCTGCGCGCTCAGATATTCACAGCACTGGAAAGCCATGTCGCGCGTGGACGAGCTGATCATAATCGTCCCGGTCATTCTTAACCTGAAGGGAAATCTCGAGATGAACCTTTCGGCCCGCCTGGGTACCGCTGCGAACATGGGCGAGCTCGACGACCCGTCAAAACGGAAGTCGATCATTATTGGAAACTTGACGCTGCTGCAGGTGCAGGCGACCGTCGTGTCCTTTGTCGCAGCGTGTGTCGCCTTCCTCCTGGGTCGTGTAATACCCCGACCTGCTGAGGAGGAAGCAGCTGAGGCCGTCCTTGCGGGTAACATCACTAGCTCTTTAATGGCCAGCGCTTTGGAGGCGAGGACGCCACGGCCGGCCTTTCCAGGTGGTTCGCCAACGTCTGGCTTTTCAGAGTATAGCCCCCTTACTCAGAATCGCCGACAGAGAGTTGAGCATTTTCCACAGATTCGCGATGGTCGCGTCTGCAGCGATGACATCCACTTGTCTGTCCGCCTGCGTGTTCGGATCGTTCATGTGCACCCTGGTTGTACTATGTCGCCGGTTCGGGCTCGACCCTGGTGAGCCGTACTCATCCCGGTGAATTTCTGCATATCTGCAACTATTCTGCATGCAGATAATATCGCACCGCTCGTCGCGTCCTGTCTCGGCGATCTCGTCACGCTGACAATCCTGGGTCTCGTCTCCGCGTTACACCTTTACATTATCGACACCGTCATCCCGCTCATCCTCATAATACTCCTCGTCGCGGCGGGTGTGGGCTGGACGATCCTGACGCACCGCAATGAACATGTCAAGCATCTGCTCACGGAAGGATGGCTGCCCTTGTTCGGCGCGATGATCATCAGCAGCGGGACAGGCCTCGTACTGGACAGGTTCGTCGGCCAATACATCGGCTACGCCCTCGTCGCGGTCGTCGCCACAGGTAGCCGTTCTTCCATCGCAGGTGTTGGCGTATGTCAATCTGACTGTTGTCGTCATAGGCCTTTCGGGGGGTGTCGGCTCCGTATTTGTCTCCCGCCTCTCGACGGCGCTGCACGCGGCGACCTCCGCACTGCCGACGGTGCTGTCCGACCTGCCAGCGGCAGACGAAGCGTACGAGAAGAGCCCGCACCCCAGCCCGCGCCTGGTCATGGTCACCCTCCTGCTCATCAGCCTCCCCGTCGACGTCGCGTTCCTCGCGACGGTGTTCGCGTTCGGCTGGCTCCGGCTCTCCGTCCTCTTCATGGTGCTCCAGCTCGTGTTCTTCGGGCTCACGGTGCGTCGAGTTGCGCTTACCTTTCTCGCGCGTCGTCGGGGCTGATGGTGGGTTTTGTTTGTCGAAGGTCGCGGTATCGCTCCTTCTCGCGCGGGTGACGACGGATTTCCTGTGGACGCGCGGCCTCGATCCGGACGTGTGGGCGCTGCCGCTGAACTCGGCGCTGGTGGACCTCGTCGGGCAGCTCTTGCTGGTGTGCTGCTACGAGATCGCGGCGCTGCTCGGCGCGCATGTGCGCAGCTAGCGCGGGCTGCTGCTGCTGCGTAGACTGTTCGCGGCGTCGCGATGCGTTAATTAAACGGCGATTTATGTGGTAGTGTATCTAGAATAATCTAAGCGCGACGGCGTGTCTGTTTATGCTTTGATACGAGTAGGCCCGTGGAGGCTACGCACGGCTGGCTTGCAGACCCTACTGAATGTCAGTCGATGCAACATTTGGTGGGGGCGTGCGCTGCGGCGTAGCGCACTGTTACGCCTCGCAAAAATACCACCCTGAGGTTTGAACCTTGAACGACAGGGAGGGTTCATAATGTCTCCTCGCAAATCGACGACTGCGAGAGACGTGCAGTACCGCAACGCAGCAGACTCGTTGGCACGTATGTACGCCTCACGGAGGCGACGAAAAGACGAACAGCAGGTTACGCCAGCCCGTACCATTGACATCCAAGACGGGGATGGGACGTGCGGCAGGAACCGAGTCGTCAACGTTGACCCCGTCCGGGGGGGGGGGGGGGGGTGAAAAACCTCGAGATAATTTTCTCGCGGCCACCCGTGCGCGGCAGCTGCACGAGGGCCCGTCTGACGGGGTGCACGAGTTCCCAAGGCTCGGGGTTACTGCCAGCTTCGGACTCCGGAGGGCGCGCGCGCCATGAAAACGATAACTTTACCATTTTCACGGAACGTCCCTCCGGGCCGTGGCTGGCGGAAGTCGCAGTGGGGGACACGTACGTGGAGGGGGGTACCAGCAGCGAGGACCGCACCCGATGTTCTATCTTCCATGGCCAGCGAGGGCGGAGGGTTGAACGAGGAAGGCGGGTGAGAGACGAGACGAGGATGGCGATGGATGCGACCTGCGGTGGGGTGGTCTTCGTTTGGCCGGGGGAGAGACGGGGCCTGTTTGCAAAGCAAGTATGAGCGCTGTCAGTAATGCGGGTAGGTAACAGAGATCGGCAAGCCCAGGTCGCACGCGCCGCGCACACTACAGAGAAAAACCAACGTCGCATCACCCGCATGCGCGAAACGCCACAAACGGGCCCAGAGGGACGCAACGTCTCCGCAGGGCACCCCACAAAACCGATAATGCTCGGCAGTACTTTACTCACAGAACTTGCATACGGATGACTAGGCGGGGGAGGGGGGGGGCACCAGCGAGGACTGCGGTCTCAAAACCGATAAACCGATAATGCTCGGCAGTACTTTACTCACAGAACTTGCATACGGATGACTAGCGGGGAGGGGGGGGGACCGGCGAGGACTGCGGTCACAAAACCGATAAACCGATAATGCTCGGCAGTACTTTACTCACAGAACTTGCACGCGGATGACTAGGCGGGGGAGGGGGGGCGGGGGGCACCAGCGAGGACTGCGGTCGCCTTCTGACAGCGCGGGATGCGGGCAGTCGCAGGCGAGACGGACCCGACGTCCGCGGGGGTGTTCACTAGCACTTGGCAAGGTCGATGTTCGTGTCGCACGCCAACAAGGGAACACCGTCCGGAAGACCCGGAGGGAGCGCGGACTGCACTTGCGAGGATACGACCTATCTCCGACCGCGGGGGCAGAGTACTTAGACGCTGGCAGGGAGGGAATGACGGAGAGGGTTGGACGTCGGGTAGGAAAGAAGATGAGGATGGCGATGGAGGCGGTACCCGTCTGCGGGTGAGCAAGTCTTCGTTCAGCCAGACATTTATCCTCGAGCGGCGAGAGGCGCGGAGGACGTGGGACACGCCCAGCGGGTCCTTCCCCGTGGATATTCGCTTTCGCACGGATGTGAGACGTAGACGATCTGCGGCGGGGAAGTCTTCGTTTGATCAGCCAGATATCATGAGTGGGCGGCGAGAGATAAGTAGGGAGAATGTGGGACTTCGGGTTCGCCCGCCCTGTTGCTACTTCGCCTTCGCCTCGGACGCTATATAGCGCACAACGTGCGTCCGCCGCCTGCACAGTGGACACATCGGCCTGTCTACCATGTGGAATACTTGTTCAGTCAGCAGGGCTCGAGCTCGCAGATGGGGATGGACAAACACCTTGGATTGGGCGCCGAGCGGGAGCCGGCGACGTCACCAGTACGTGCGTGGAAAGCCGCAAACAGGTGCGAGAAAGATGCAGCGTCTCCGGAGGGGGGGTGTATCGCGGAAGAGGAAACAGTAGTGAGGCTTCTTGTACCCTGATATGACCCTCCGGAAGCTGTATGTAGCAAGGAAGACGCGGAAGAGCAGTAGCTGGCGCCTCCGGCGAGTTGCGCTCGTAGCGGGGCGTATCTTCCAGCGGGGGCGGGTTTGATTCGGCGAGGGGGCGACCTGTGGTGGGGAAGCAGGCGAGAGACGTGAGGGATGGCAGACTCGCCGCCGGTACTTAACTAGTAGCCCGCCGATCTTCGCCGAGCTCGACGTGCGCTTCCCCTCCACGGTCGACATGTCGGCCTAGGTATGCGAAATGGCGCGATCTCGTGTAATTGGAACGACGCTCAGGAATTCCTATATCGCGCATGCACGGCTCGTGCAGAGTCGGTAAAAACATACACAGCGGTCGAATGCACGAACGTCGACGTCTCGCCCGCACAACCGACACTATTTCCCGAACGATGTATCTCAGTGCCAGCTGGAGGGATCCGAGGCGGACCGCCCTAACACAGGGATCGGCCGTACGCGGACCTTGGCTGCGAGCTACTGCACTCTGGACACCAGCTCCGGGGCGGCCATGAGACATGAGACCACTGTCGTCCGTTTAGAGGTCCGTGCGCAAAGATCAGTCGCGTTGGCGCACTGGGGGTCTCGAGGGACAGCCTGAAGCAGAAGGGTACCGCTTATAGTTCACGATGGGGCGGTATACCGAGAAGACAAGAACGGACGTGCTATCGGAGGCCTCGGAAAACACGAACACCGTGCCGAGCTCTAAAAAGGAAGACGTCGCTCTGTAGCGTGCGGATGGCGCGAGGCTCGGTCGGAAAGCAGACCAAAGAGCAACGCATCGCCTGGACTGACTCGGGGGAAGTTCCCCAAATACGCCAATTGGAGTCACCTCACGAGAAGAAGAGCCCTGCGTCGGCAACAGGCCCAGCAATATAACCCACCGCGGGCAGACAAGACAGGAAGGAGCTCGAGCACGACCGCACTGCCAGTGGCAGCGTCTTCGCACACCGATCTGCCTGGAGGCGAGTAGAAGGTCCAGCTCGATCGGGAGGAGGGCGTCAATTCAATTAAGCCAGCATCGATACGGGCGCTGGGCGATCACCTCCGGTCCGCGGGCTCGCCTGCTGCTGCACAGCACGCTGGCGGTGCGGAGAGCGTCCGCGATGGGCCTCCTCGTCGCCCGGTGGACTCGAAATCCCGACACACACACACAGCCCACAGAGCCGAACGGCGGGGGGCCGCGCCCTCCGGAGCAGAATGGCAGTGACAGACACACCGTCGCAACAAGCTCGTCGACGTCCGACAGAGAAGGGGAAGCGCCGTCCCTCTATCCGCTGATCCACGCTCGCGCCACTGCCCGCGGCCACGTCATCGTAGACGTGGATACCGTCACCGACACGCACCCGCCGCTGTCCGCGCTGAGCCCGCTTCGAATTCCTCGACGCCACGCGCCGTGGCGTATCCGAAGCGCGTGCCCGCCGCGGGGGTGCCCATCTTTCCCAAACTGGGCTTGCTGACTCGGTCTCGAAGTACGCACGGACGAGTCGAGGAGGGTTCGAGCGGTGGTGATGTGGCACACATCGAGCACCGGTCCGGCGGTCCCGGGTCAGACGCTGCGCGGCTGCTGAGCCCGACGCTGGCTGGCTGCAGGTGATCCACGACGCGCTGCAGGGTGATCCACGCGCGCCGACGCGTCGTACGGTGTGCGCCAGGAAAGGCGAAATGAACAGAGATTCCATGGCCGAGTACAGCAAGAGCGCGCCGGCCGTGCGCGTCGAATCCACTGGCAGCGGGACCGACGCCGGCGAGATGTGACAGTGCGCATCACGACATGCCCCGCCGGCGGGCCCGTACGCGATGGGCTATTTTATTTTTTTTACCTCAGACGAGAATACGGGCCGCACTTGCGCCGTTTGGGTTGGCGGCGCGGACATCGGCGTGACGCAGCGCGAAATAAGGTCGTGTGACGCGATTGGTTATTGTGCTATCTACGTACTGTACAGACATGCGAGAGACGGAAAAAGAGTGGATGACTCGGAGGTGGGAAGGAACCTGGGGCATGGAAGGCGGAGGGACGTCGCATTTAAGGTGTCCAAGCGAGGGATTCGCGTGAGATTGGAGCACCGTCTGCGCGAGTCTGAGGATCCGCCCGACGACGAGCTCGACGAGGCTCGACATGCCTGACGACGACGTCGCGCAGACTCACGAACCTTCGGACCTTCCATTCTCGTTCTTGGCGCACTCGGGTGGCGCTGGATCCGGCAGGAGCTCCCAGATAAGAAGCACAGTAGTGCAGCAGCGATCAGCTGGCTAGGAGGACCTCGAATTTGATGGCACGTCCGTGGTTTAGACGCTGTACGTAGTGTCCACCGCAGAGGAGGCCAACGGCGCTGCAAAAAGGGGGGAATTGAGCGCTGCGGTGGACATGGGCTGATTGTGGCGCCGCCGTCGAGGTCAGGTAGGGGATCCTACGAGCCAAGTCCGACAGCGTCGTGCCCACGGGGCGGGGGGTTCTCGTCGCGCTCCCAGCTCAGGCGGGGAATCGGACGTGGATGGAAGGCGAAGCGCACCGGCGAAGGGAGGACGGGAACGAATTTGGCACGGTGATAACTGATGATATTGATAGAAAGCGGTGACGTGACGCGCACGCTGTGTGACCTGTGACGGACCTGATCCAAATGCAATCGGTTGCCGTGTGCACCAACATGCCTCCTCCTCCGCTCATAAATACCGCCAGCCTGCTGCCCAGCCTGCCCCGTCTGCCCCAGGCTCGCCCTCGACGGCGGCGGCAACGATGTCCGCCCTCTCGTGCCCGCCTCCCTCGCCCACCTGTGCGCTGTTCGCCCAGTATTCCCCGCTCTTCACCTCGGGGCTCCTCTCCGACCCGCGCGTCCCCACAAAACGCCGCAAGTGCGCGCACGACTCCTTCCCGCTCACCGTCAACACCGCCTCCCTCAGCTTCTCCGGCGTCCTGCGCTCGTCCCTCGACCTCGTCGAGGACAGCACCCTCTTCCTCACCCTCGCCCCCCGCCGCCGCGTCCCCGAGGGCCGCTCCTTCCTCTCCCTCGACCTCGCCGAGAGCCAGTCCATGCGCTCCGTCAGCCTGCGCCGCAAGGACACCGTCACCACGCGCGCGACTGCTGCTACTCTGTTTGGGCGCTCCGAGCCGAGTTCGCCCTCTGCGCTCTCGCCGTTATCGTGCGTGTCTTTTCTGTGCCGCTTCCCTTTTTTTTCTTTGGTTCGGTGTTTCTGTGTGGCGCGCGTGTCCTTTGCTGGCTTGCTTGCTTGCCCCCTTCGACGACATCTTCCCATCTGATGTTTTTGCATCTTGAGAACGTGTGGTATTTTTGTGCGATCCTCCCTCGGTCTCGGTCCTTCTATCGTTTTTGTCGCTTCCTCGTACCACGTCTCCCCTTCTGTGCGGTCGTGATGGGCTTGGCGTGCTGCGTTATTGTCCTCCCTCCGTCCCAGCTCGTCTTCTCGCACCGCATCTCTTCTTCGTAGTCGCGCCGCGTCATAGTGTCATCTGTCATTCGCGCACGTTCGTTCGGCTTCAGTTGTAGACGGACGCATTGCGGTGTCTGTCCGTCTGATCCTTCCCTGCGGTCTGTTCTGCGACCTGCTGCGCGACCGTGCATCACACGGAGCCTCATTGGGGGGGGGGTGAGGTTTCCTTGTAGACGGACGCATTGCGGCGTCTGTCCGTCTGATCCTTCTCTACGGTCTGTTCTGCAACCCTTCTGCGACCTGCTGCGCGACCGTGCATCACACGGAGCTTCATAGTGGTTTCCCTCCGCGATCTTCTGCGCACGCTCGGCGTCCCCCGTCTCGCATGCAGTATGCGCTCACACCTCTCCGCAGACACCGTGCCCCCCTCTCCCTCTCCTTCTCGCGACCCGCGCCCTCCCCCCGGCGCGCCCTCCCCCTCCCGTCCCCCAAGCCCGCTCCGCGCGCGAGCCTCCCGCAGCCCCCGCGGCGCCCCGCCCTCTCGCTGTCGACCGCGCCCTCCTCGCAGCTCCCGTCGCCGGTGACGCACCGCCCGACGCGCTCCGCGCCGTCGCTCCTCCCCCCGCCCGCGCGCACGTCCCCGCTGGCGTCCCCCGCGCTGCAGTGTTTCATGGTGTGTCCCACCCGGCCGGCTTCTCCTGGTAGCGCGCGCTCTGTGGCTGCGGGTGCTGCGACTCTGCCTTCTGGTCGGGATGGTACCGGGGAGGACGCGGAGCCGGCGTGCGCGGGCTCCCCCGAGTCTTGCGCGGTTTCCCCTGCGCGCAGCGCGCTTTCTGTGTCCACCGCTCCGGCGCCTTCTGTGCCGCGCGTGGTTGCTGGTGTGTCGCAAGCGCGCTCCGCCGAGTGTTCGTATTTGCTGTTCTCGCCGACGTCCCCCGCGCGTGCGCCTCCCAGCGTGCGCTCGGTGTCCACGGCTGCCCCCATTCCGACTTGTGCGCCCGCGCCGTCTGCTCGGGCCGGTACGAGGGAGGAGGACGCGGAGCCGGCGCACGCGCGCTCCTCCCCCGAGTACTCGTATCTGCTGTTCTCGCCGACGGACTCGTCGTCGTCGTCCGTCGGGTCCCCCCCTCCCGCGCACCCTACTGCGCTGACAGCCTCGCCGTCGGTGCGCTCGACGTCGACGGCTGCGCGGCAGATGAACCGGAGCGCGGCGCTCGCTGCGCTCGAGGGGCGGAGCCGGTCGACGAGCCGCCGTCGCAGGCGGAGGAGCAACTTTATGAGTATGAGCGACGATGAGGAGGAGGAGGAGGAGGAGGAGGTTGCGCTTGAGCGGGTGTTGGGGGAGGAGGAGGATGTGGTTGTTCCTGTGCCTGTGGTGGGCGGTGGGGGTGCGGGCTGTCGGACGATCGGGTCGGTGCTTTACCCGCTTGCGAACTTTATCGACCTGCGGGAGGACGAGTTCTCGGGGCGGAGCTGGAGGAGCTTCGTCGAGGTCTCGTCGTAGCCACCCCAGCGCGTCGCGGACTGCTCTTCCAGATTTATTTAGACCTTTCCGCGATCTGCACATACCCCGCCGTTCGCTCTATCTATCGCCCGTTATCCTCGACGCTTCGCCGCCTCTGGCCAGTGGCCCGTCTGACTTCTGTATATCGTCCGCACCCATTCTCTCTCTCTCTCGTTGCATGTGCGCATACCCCGATCGACCCCTTGCTGCCCCGACCCTAGACCGTTTTATTACACTAGCTGCGCTTAATGGGACTCGCGCGTCTTGCTCGAACGCTCTCTTTTTAGCTACCACCACCGCCGTCCCCCGCTCGTTTATTCTAACTCGCCGCGTTGCGTTGTAACCTGCTTGTTGTGTGTACGTACCCGTGCGTCGAATCTATTGCGCTTTTGGTCGTGTGTTTTTTCACTTGCGATTTGGGTGCTCGCTCAGGCTGTGGCCTGACTCTGTCATGCCTATCACTCGAGACCCTCCCGGATTTGTATCCCGGAGCGAATGCAAGGTTTGCCTGCGTTACGATGTCGCCATTCGTCGCCGGTACAAATTTGTTGATAAAGTTTATACGTGTGGGATCAGGACCGAACAGGGACTACGTACTTTGTAGTGGGGCACGACATTAATATTCGTCATTTGTCGAGGCAAGTATGATAGCCAAATGTGAGTTGGCCTCGGGCGTGTAAGTATGCAGATCCCGCTCGCGTGTTTTCAATTTTAGTCAATTTACGCCCCGCCCCTGAGGCCTGGTGCCGCCCCCACTCCCACTCCGAGGAGCCGCGAGACCTCGGGCCCGACGCGGAACAAGTATCGCGCCTAGTGCGCTGGCGGGGCGGGGTTTGCGGAGGCGGAAAAGGAACTGGAAAAGGGGGGGGATCGGAAACAGGAATGTTTTGGGCTCGGAATGGTTTTACAGTATGGTGGATATCTGCGATGTGCGTGTCAACCGTTCGTGCTTGGGTGGGTTTTGGTTTGCTGGTATAGAGGGGACAATATTTAACGACTGCTTGCTATTATGTACTAGAGGCTGGTTAGAGGGCCTATAATTTGCTGTTCGTGTTTGCCAGTGGTGTGCTGCGGGATGCGGCCGAGTTCGTACTGACGACTCGGATGCGGCCAGGTCCACCGGCCGGGTGGCATACTAGGTGTGTTGGTAGTCGTTGAGTGGTACGTCGTTCCATGCTGTTGACCGTGACGCTGGCCCGACCTGAACTTTACGGGAATCGATGTGTAACGCTAGTGCAACCACCCTCGGCGAGTTACGCGCCCGCCATGATCACAGTCGCCGTGAACTAGTTCAGGTGTTTTGCAATGCTTTGCTGACGCGTCTGGCGTGCGGAACGCTTCTTATTTACGTGACGGTGCCAACATTGTCCACCTGGTGGCACAGGTGCGTTGGTAATCATCGAGTGGAAATCTATACTGCTGTGCGTTTTGTCGACGCTGGCAGGGAATCACTGTGTAACGCTACTAAGTGTAACAGTGCGTACCCTCCATTCCTAGACTTCGGCAGTCCGCATGCTTGTGACTCTACCGCAGTCGCAGTTACGGAATTTCACGCGTGTTCCCCTGCTCTGGTATCACCGGCGAACAACCGGTGGTTGCTGGGATGATATCAACGCAGCCATCCGTATATTCGACCGGCGCGTCCGGGATCTTCGTACGTGCCCCACCATTTTCCTTGAGTTTGCAATACAACCGGGCGTCCCACGCTGCGCATGATGTATGAAACACAGCGTGATAGTATACTTACTCGTGGTCGGTCCGCGGGGAGATAGCTATGCGCATGGTTTTGTGCCCTTCGCCGTACTCCTGCAAGCCATCGCGGTCCCGAAGCCACGCGTTGATCGTAGACGGAGGGACGTCAGCGCGCGCCACGCACTGCCCACGCCAACAGTGGACATACCCGGACGACGTGATCTCCCCGCCCTCATGGCGCCAGCGTCATCGCAAACTGGATAGCTTTCCGCGATCACGGCAAGTACCACTCTGTGTGTTCGACATGCTGAATCCAGGTGGTTTGCGGTTTGCTGACGCGTTTGGTGTGCAGGACGTTTCTGGGTTCGTAGTTACGTGACGGTGCCATGCCCACTGGGTGGTAAAGGTGCGTTGATAGTCATTGAGTGGTACAGCATTACATGTTGACGCTGGCCCGACTTGAAGTTCACATCTTGTTGATCATCGTGTAACGCTGGACCGTCCGTGTCCGCCGAGTCAGCGCTAGCGCGCCTGCGATCACATGCACAGCCGCGGTCACGGATCGCGGAGGCAGAAGGGTCGCAGGGTCAGAACAGGAATAATTTGGCCTCGGAACGATTGTCAACATATGCGATGTGAGTGCCGAGATGATTTATAATTGTTCGTGGGTGGAGTCCAGGTGGTAGTTCAGGTGCTTTGAAATTTGCTGACGCGTTTGGGGCGTAGGATGCGTATCATAGGGCTTGTACGGTGCCATGTCCACCGGGTGGTAAAGGTGCGTTGGTAATCATCTAGAAGGTTTGTTGACGCCGCTGGCCGGGAATTGATCACTCTGCAACATTGCAACTGTGCACACCGGTACCATCCCCCCGGCCTCCGAGCCAGCATGCTTGTGACTTATGACTACTGTACCACAGCGGCAGTCGCAGAATTGCAGGCGTGCTCCCCTGCTCTGGTATCGCCAGCGAGCAAGAACACCCGGTGGTTGCTGGCTGGGATGATATCGATCATTCAAAGTCGGTCCCGAAACCACGCGTTGATTGTAGACGGAGGGACGCCAGCGCGCGCCACGCTCTGCACACAGTGGGCACGCCCGGGCAAGGTGATCTCCTGATGGCGCTAGCGTGCATCGCAAATTGGATAGTCTTCTGTGATACGGTACGTGTCGCCCTGATGCCCTGGGTATTCGAATTTTTGGGACAATGAGATGACTGCAGGATCAACGACGAGCGCGGTCTCAGCCTTCTTCCGTGGTGGTCGTTCATTGTATCCTATCTCCGTTTCGATATCTACGGATCGAACAGGGTCTTAATCTCTGGTGTCTTTGTCGCTTCTTCGTTGTCGAGTTTGAGACCCTGGATGAAGCTGACTTCGAGCGCAAGCCGTTGCCAGCTTGTAAGGCGCTCTGATGTCCATCAGCTGCCATTGTTCTTTTCGTTGTGGCTCTGTTGTGTGGAAGGTCTCACCACTCGCTGCCTCAAAGGCGCCCACAACCACAGGATGTCAGGCTTGTGCTTCCACCGTCAATAGAAAACAGGGTCGAGAGATTCGTTCGCGTTCCCAGCGGATATCATGACGAATTCATCTCACAGCTACGCGCAGGCTGTTACGGTGACGATAGCCATGATTATCGGATGTCGCGGTGTATTAGGATTCTGTCATTGAACCTGTCTCTAGGTTTCCGGGAATCAAGTTGTCACGTCGTATATGCGCGCAGAAGTGTCGTTCGACAGATCCGAATCATAGCGGAATGGTACATTCTTATGCCCTAGATAAGGACGACTGCTTCTTGACTGCCGCCATCATTTCTGTGATCTTTAGAATGAGTACCAACATGGCATGTATGCATACCTTCGTGACCGGAGGCTTATCTCAAATAGAGTCGGACAACCGTGAATTTTCGGCTCAGGAGTGGTGAAGAATAAAGATAATCTACTCGTTTTTATCTCACAAGGACATCCACTATGAGTCTGACGCCCCCGTCCGCTCTGCGCTTGCATCTCCATCGTAGGGATGACCGTTCACCTCTGGCAGCCTCCCCTTGGAAGCATGCTCCCGCTTCCACCGCGCGAGCATTTCGACGCTGATCAGCTTGAGCCCCCAGCGGTCCGCAAAGCGCCTGCACGAGTCCCGCCGCATCATGCTCCCGGTCTCGTCATCCTCGACCAGCTCGCAGAGGATGCCCGCGCGGGGCAGGCCCACCAGCTCGCAGAGGTCGAGCGCAGACTCGGTATGTCCGCGCCGCGCGAGGACACCACCTGGGCGCGCACGCAGTGGAACCATATGTCCAGGGCGGGTGAAGGACGATGGCTGCGAAGTGGGAGAGGCGAGTGCGCGTGCGGTGAGGGCACGATCGTGAGCGGAGATGCCTGTGGTAGTGCCTGCATACGTCACGGGAGAAAACGTCGATGAGCACCTGCGAGAAAGTGGTAGGAACGACGCACCGTGTCTGTAGTCGACCGTCACGGTGTAAGCCGTGCGGTGCGGGTCCTGGTTCTCGGACACCATCATGGGTATCTCTAGCTCGTCCAGGCGCTCCCCGGGAAGCGCGATACATACATAGCCGCTGCGTCCGCCTGACTTAGTAGCGCAGTATGGTAGAGAATACGCGGAGACGCACCTGGAATGCCTGATCAGCCACGCCATCTTTTCTGTCGAACACTCGCTCGCGGCGAGTATGAGGTCGCCCTCATTCTCTCGCCCTTCATCGTCCATGACTACCAGAAACTCGCCTCGCACGAAAGCGGCAAGCGCGTCTTCCATCGAGTCGAACCCAAATGCCGTCCGTACATGAGCATCGTGTACTTCTCGTGGCCGCGACGGGTTAGAAGCTGCGGGCGGTGTACGCGTCTCGAAATTCTCAGCCATGGGTGGTCCTTATGTATGCAGGAGTCGCAATTGCGAGCCCGAAAGTTCTGCGAGATGATCAGATTTTGACCGATTGAAGAAGCAGATCCCGTACCTTGGATCTTGCTGTCGAGCGACGCCGCAGACAACTTGTGATACGTAGAAGTGACGATAGTTGGCCTCAGACAGCAAAATACATTCTTCAGGTACGGCTAGAGAGAGAAATGCATCGTCGGGCGACTGTCGGTGGAAGGCATGGGATAACATTGCGGAAGGAGTCACCAGCTCCGAACCCCGAGCGCCTCCATCGTTTGCTTCCAAATCCTCCAAAATCTTCTCATGCCGCTGACAGTGATATCTGTTGTAGTCGCACTAGCTCGTAGTGTGCACCAAGGGGATACAATCCTCAGGCCTCATCATTCAAATGGCAAAATGCTTCGATTGAAATCGACCCAAAGCCATGACCAAGTCGCGAATTTTCACGTACGTTCGGAGCCGGCGTTTGTTTATAATAAGCCCGCCCTCATGCAAGGGAGGGGTGATAATTGCATCCGCATTCATCAAAGCAGTAATAATGGGGGATGAGAGACGGATGCAAGGGTTCGTACAAATGGCTAACTGAGGGCAATTACGAGATCGAATCAAATGGTGAAATAAATTAGACATCGAGTGAAAAATGTTCACTATAAAGGGGGGAGGGGCCGGCGGCATTGTGGACAGATATTCTGCAGTGACCATGAACAAAATGATATAAGAGTGCCTCGGACAACACATACCTTGATGGCAAGCCAGCGCTCAAGGCACGCAGTATGCTGAGCGGGAAAATCAGCATCGCCATCGCAGGACTACTTCGCGACGTACGAATAAATGATGACAGGGCGCAAGACTGTAACTCTTCCGTGCACCTGTGGCACCCACAGCACCCATAGCGTCCAGGAGCCTGCCGGTCCTGCGCGCAGTCAAAGATTCGCCCTTCTCCCTGCCATCGCTGGACTTGGAGCGGCGTTGCAGTACAGGGTCCACTACGATCGCGTCCATGCAAATTGCACAGTCCCCGAGCGTCTGCTCAGGTGCTTCGGGATCGGGAAGGGGTAGTGGTGGGTGGTAGTCATACCTGTCCACCTTGATCAACTGCAGAACGTCGGTAAATACCTTGCGTGGAGGATTACCGGAAAGTGAGACGTACGTGCGTGCCAAGGAAGAACGTCGGGCTGAGGTATTCCTGAAGCATAATTGTGAAGACTTGGGCGAACATGAAGCATGCGACGCCATACATCCATCCTGAAACACATCACGTTAGTACCTACTCAAAGAGAATCAACACTTCGGAGCGCACTTCGTGGCTCTACGTCAAAGATGTTCTTGGGACACGTCAAGAAGTCTATCGGGCGCAGTTAGTGACTCCATATCCATCGTTAGCAAAATCAAAGCCGACACTCACACATCGCGAAGTACAGCCTACAGATCGTCACGCCAATGAGGTACTCCGCAGTCAGCCCACTGCTCCTCCCGTGCCTCGCTGATCGATAGATCTGCGTAAGCCACATGCACGAGTAAAGCGTGCCAACGAAGGCAAGGGGGAGCGACAGGAAGATGACGATGCGAAACACGACGATCAGGAAGAGAGAGATCATTGTCCCTGACGCACAATGAACTCGCAGAGCCTAAGAGAACAGGTATGCGAACTTACAGAGTCGTGCTGCAGGGTCTGTCCTGATGTGGTTCCAGAGGAAGCTGATGAACGTCTGTTGCTGGGCTGCTGCTGGGATCGGGTTGGTTGTGGGTACAGGGGGTGGGGCTTGTGCTATCGCCTGCGCTGGTGGGGGAGGGTACGTAGCCGTAGCAGTTGAGGCTGGTGTTTCAGGTTGCGTCGTTGGGCTCGTAGAGGGTGCTGGAGAGGGTGCTGGAGAGGGTGCTGGAGGCGGCGTAGCAGGCGGAATAGGAACTGCGTCTTCAGGGGCTTGAATACGTCCAATGAGAACAGCAAATTGCTGGACCCGCATCACCACTTAAGCGAATACGCTGATATACAAGGGAATGGGTACGCACAGCTTCGCGAATAAACAACATGCAGGCGAGCGCCGCAGGTGCCAACACGGCGATGGAGGGTCGGCCGTCCGCGAGAATAGCTAATGTGATGTGCTGCAACGCGAATAAGTTTTACTACTTTTCGGGTGCCAGCTTCACTTACACCGACAAATGAAACGACATCAATGAGACTCTGACAGAGGAACGAATATCGAGAGACACGGGATAACCCCGCAGCAGAGCTGCTCCGCGCGATCTGTCGTAAGATGAGGACCACCAGGACGAGATACACAATCGTCGAGATTCCAGCGTCTGCAACTGGGAATGAGAACCAAATAGAACAATAGTGAATATGCTAATCACATGTGGTAATTTTCCTGAACAACCGTTGAGATCTAAGATGGTGTCAGCAGTGGTGCGACAGTCTCGACAAATAATTGGGTCACTTCAGTCCTGTCGCATCCTTGATCTCGTACAGCAGTCCACAGTCGTGGCTGACAAGCACACCACGAAGCTTCATCTCAGGCGCCTTGATGGTTGTGATACCGGTAGGAGAGTCAATCTCATCTTCGAGCTCCTTCATGAGGGGCTGAGACACGTTATTCGGCTCTAGCTGACCGTGCAACTTGAACGAACAGCGCGTCTTGGGAGATTCGTCTAAAATTAGAAGATTGATGATTAATTTACGTGCGCATTATTAGTACCAGAACCTTCCGCACCATCGCTGAGGGCATCCTGGTCGAGACTTCCCGAGTCGATCTTCTCCTGTAGTTTCCTCATCCGGGTGGTCAGTTCAGCCGCAATTGCATAGGCCGTTGTGTTCATACGAAATTCCGGGACGACCGATGGTAGGAGCCGCAAGTCAATGTAGCGCCTGTAAAGGTATGTTCAATATGGCGCAGACGATGCACTGAAACTACTCACCCAACAGGTTCAGCGATAGCATATATAGAACCATTGGCAATGAAGTGTACACCATCGAAGTCGAGTCGCAACTCCTCAGCACTGTTGGGTTCCGAAAACTCGACCTTACCCTGAAAACTGGTCACAACGAGATCAGCTGTTGTATGGAAACAAAGCCTACATGAATCATAGCCATGTCTTCTATTATATGACCGTCTGGACCGAGTAAAGGAAAGAGCTTGTCCCCGATGCTGATGGAGACTTTTTCTGCATTAGACCAGTTCCACGTGCCAAGCAACTCCGGCAAAGCAGACATGTTAGTCGAGTTGACAAAATTCTGCGCGAGATAATGCCAAGGTAAACGAGACTCAGACGATTTCGTGGCAGTCAGATTGTGATATTGGAGATCTCCATGCCAGAAACCCGTCAGATTTGAGTAATACGACGCCTTGTCGGGTTCGAGCCGTGAGCCGAAGGTCATGAATGAGTTTATTAATGGCATGATAGTAGGGTCTGCACTAGGCTGTGCACAGCGTCAACGGAGAGTACCCAACCCATAGAGCGCAGGACTGACAAGAGAGAAGTTTGATGCCGTGCCGTTCAACCACGCAGTGTAGTTCGACACCTGCCTATTGAGCTCGTCTAGAGACTTCGTGAGATGGAATCGAGCTTCCATTTCTTCTCCCCGGTTGTTCGTGAGCATGAATAGCATGAAGGTGATGAAAAGGAAGAATGGGAGTGAACTGTGCTGCTGTCTGGGAGCCAGGCCTACTGGAGTGTTCGTCCCCTCCTGGCGACCTTGCTGTCCTCCGCGACCTTCTTCAATAGACTCCGGGGTATCCATCGACAACGTTGACGTCACCTCAACCAAAGCGAAACGTCCAACGCACAAATATCAGAGGCAAGCTATGTCACCGCGATAGCACAACAGTTTGAGACTTGTGTATCATCCCCGATATCGTAGTCGTAGCCTGGTTGCACGTCTGTCCTGCTAAAGAGTGATCCGAGTTGCTGAGCCGTAGACCTTTGCCTCTACTTCTGCAAGACTGTTCTTTTCCAGGAGGAACTATACCAGTAATAAGGTAGAATTATTCCTTCCGGACAGAGTGGTACTTGGAAGTACTTACGTGGTGGGAGTAGTTGGAGAGCGACACTCAGAGTAGCGCGCCACGACGCACGGGCGCCTCATGGCCCGACTGCCAATTTGCGGCGGGAAATTCCATAAATAGCAATCTGCTCACGGATAGTAGTATGTACTGCTCCCTTGTCAGTATCGTTTAGCTGCCTCTTGTAACCATTCGGCCAGTCGCATGAGCAAACCCATTAAAGAATGAGAAGGTCAGGCAATGTGTGGCGACTAGCCGTCATCACCGACAGCACATGGCATAGAGATTTACAACATATATGATAAACAACATATGTATATAGACATACGACATACAGACGACATTGCATATGCATATCATGGCATTGAGATAACAAGTACGATTAAGGCCGCTGTTAAAATGCGCTTTAGATGTATAATAATAGCGTCAACGCACGAAGCCAAAGCAGGGCGAAACCTATTACGACGAGGATCATGTCTATGACCCTCTGCCACCATGGTTCTGGATAATTTACCGGTAGACGTTGTTGGACGCCGATATTGGGAATCATAACCCTTCTCACGGTGCCCTGTAAACTAGGATGGACATCAAGTGACAGCTTATTCTCGGGAGGAATTCGGCCGAGTATCTGCCTCCACATAGCGCGGGTGACGTCGACGTCTTGGAGATAGACCGACAATTGCTTGAGGCGAGGGAGCTCAAATATGTGCTCTCCTACGTGTCCCGCGTCCGTCAACTCGTGCGCGACGAGCCCCCAGCGCCATTGCGCCGAGAAGGCGCGGGTGTTGGAATACAAGTGGACCAAAGCTTCCTGCCGAACGTGGCCCCCGGGAGCGTCCAGCTCGACGGTGTTCTTGATGAAACGGAGTGTGGCACCCTGAATGGTGGATAAGACAGACTGTAGAGAGGATGATTGGGTCAGCGCCTTTAGGCAGCGACCGCTGAACTCCAGATGAACTGCAGTGGAAGGAGGGATGAATACCATGCAGAGAAGATAGTCCGTATAGAAGACGCTGCAACCGACAACATTCAACTGCCGCAGCTTGGGCAATTTAACAGGCAAAACCGAAGACAAGGCTACCTCGTCCATCCTGGACGGTGTCATCCGTATTTTACGTAGAGTCAGAACCTGTAAGGCAGGACAGTGTCCGAGGAGTGGCACTAACCCATCAAGTAAGACAGGGTCGCAGGTCTCCAGCTCAAAGTGGACGAGGTTGGCAAAGTTGCCGTCGGGAAACATGGAGGACATTGTGTCAAGGAATACGCGGTACCCAGGAATCACGGTAAATCGGGGAGGGTCGTCTTCCGTCGAGGCATCAGTACCGAACATGTCGCTTTGGATGCGGATTATGCAGCTATGGGCACGTAAGACGTGAAGGCGGAGAAGTTCCTTTATCTGGATGATTTCGTCGATAGAGAAGTCCGCGGTGCTCGACGTAGCGATGGATATGTCCACGCGCATGTTCTCTGAGCGCAAGAAGAATCTATGTGCCAGGTTAACTCGGCCGGGAACCATGCGGACGTCGGTCCACAGGTCTGGGGAAGTAAGAACGATGGACCTCCACCGTCGACATACATGACTCAGCGCCATGATAAAGTAAGGCAAATTCTCGTCATTCCGCAAGGACGCCAAAGTGACACGAAATAGTCGCATCAGCAGCTCGGTCGAGAAACTGGTGCTGAGCGGAAGGGAAGTACCCTGAGACGATGAATCGAGCACACTAACTCCCGTCTGTGCCCGAGGCACAGCTTGGTCATGTGTATAATTTGCAGACGGTGCAGACGGTGCTTCAGATGATATCGGGATTTGGGGAGGTCGAGTGACGCCTAGCATGGCTGAAGAATCCTGAACGGTCAGTACACGTGACGGGGCAGAGATGATGCATCGTTTGAAACTGACCAGGAACTGAAGAAATGAAAAGGGAGAGTTGAGTGAGAGGATGGAAGACTGAATGGCCCACATTTATAAAGGGGGCATGTTTGTGATTCGGTGGCGTCAGCGACAGGAGGTAGAACGCGGGCAACGGAGCGTGTAATGTAGCACAAAACCGGCTCTTCTCGTATGATGACAGATAATGACGACGGGTTCTATTGAAAAGTAACATAAGGTGGTCGCGGTAGGACGGCCATGGTGATCTGATGTCGGAGTTGTCACGCGAATCGGTGTCAACAGCAGCTAAGAGGTCTGTCACCAGCAATTATAGGCTCAGGTACAGTGGGTCAACGAGTGGGACACACAACGCAATATGGCAAGTGCACACCACTCACCGTAGTCCACCGGGTAGGTGAGCCGACTGCAACCTGAGTAGAGATGTTTCGGCAGCTCTGGGCCCCCATTTTCCCATACAACTGAATAGTACAAAGACGACGTACTAGGCCTCAAGCATATTGCGAAAGTGAAATATTCTGAGACGTAGCGCACGAGCGCCGACTTGTTTGGCTCTGGCGGTCCCCTCAGCTAACGGCGAACGCCACACGACAGTATCAAAAAGTTACCGGATTGACTTTCCATTATTGTTCCAGATTTTTGAGGGTACAAGGCATTAGTCGGTGGTAACCTGGCAGGCCAACATAACTGCCGCACGTCGTACCTTCGGGCACTGCAGCGCTGTGCTTCCCCAGAAGCCCAGTCCCAAGAAGGCAAGTTTGATCTGCGCCACAAGCGTGCGATATTTCGTACTCCGCCACACACCTCAACCTCCCGCCGCACCAACTGGAGTGACCTTCTGCTCTCGTTAGTGAATCGTCCTGTCCCAAAAAACATTAAAGTTGTGTCTTGTAGAAACCAAGAGCTTTGATCTCAATCGGGGCTAGAAGTTGATTTTTTTATGTCCGACGCGCCCACCGGAACACAGCCTGCAAGCAAGCGGTGGACTTACTTCCACTCCGCACTCCAACTCGCCATACAACGTGCAGCGCACAAATGGTCGTGAGTGATGCCATCTTCCGGAAATGAGGGACGACGAATCGTATGCGCCAGGTATGAGGACTTCACCGAATGTTTCTCCCAGTGGTGCGAAGAACAACCAGAGTCCGCGTCTGTTGTCTTCAACAAGGTTTCCCAACATATGGAATCATCAATTACGGTTTGTCATGCTCGGATTACTTAGGTTTGAGCTCACCTTATTTTTCCAAGGACAACTGCGAGATGCTCTTCGAGCAGTTCAACGTGCGCGAAAACCTAGACAGACTTCATGCCGTCGTCACCGAAGCCAGGGCCAGAAAGCAGACGGGTTACGATGAAAAAGACGTCTGGAAGGAAGATCTCCAGCCTGACGCCGCGGTCTGGGCTAGAACCATTCCCGTGTTTGAGGCAGAGCGCGATCGTCTGCGCGCCGAGCTGGAACAGGTGTGTCCTATGCCCGTCTTGAAACGAGTGGGCGTTGATGTTCCCCTTGCTAACACCTCGTTTTTGCAGCTCGACAAGCGGAATCTCGCGCTCCAGGGTCAGTTTCAGGACAACGTCAGGGAACGAGAACGAGTGGACGATGAGGCGGCCGCGCTCCTCGACATATTAGATCAGGCATGCATTTTTTATGGTGTGGGTTTCACAACCGCGCTTACACGTGGTACCCAGATCCAGGTAAAATGGGACAAGCTCCCGTTGGAGGAGATTCAGTCATGGACGCTGCAGACGGCAGAGTCCATCAATAGCGTCAGACCAACAGCAGGATGAATTGGCTACTGCATTGCTCCTTACCCCCCTATTTCTGCCTCTGATATATATCGCTAACTATTGATTTGTATAACAATTCTTGACAACCGGAAGTTGGTAAATGACGCTCAAGCGTGCGAAGCATCACATGAGTACCTGCTGACTGTTATCTCATCGCTTCAACGACCATATTGCTTTTGTTTGCTTCCTATCCGTGGAGAGGGTACGAATGAATAAGTGAGATCGTAGGTCCCTTGATTCGCCTCAAGAGGAAATAACTGACATAGCGAGTAAGTATTGCCACAGCTAGTCTTGCTTTCATTTGTATCATTGCTTAACATCACCGAGGCCTACTCACTAACAGCCGCCAGTCAAAGATGACATCTGTTCTGCTCCATCTTTACTATCTGATGTCCTGCACCGCTTAGACTCTTCCAACAAAGCGGCGGATATGAGACTGTCTTGCGCCACAGGACGTCACGCGACTCAGATATCTCTGAAACAAGTAAAAAGTGAGTAGCAGTGTTCTACTCTTCTCCCTCAACACACCAGGTTCGCAGTACGTCTGTCATGTCTAGTGACGTGCCTCTCCCGGATGATGTCGTCGCTGACAATTTGTCTGCCACACCGCCTGTTTTCCAACTTCCACTCGAGTTGGAACGAGAAATTTTTGTCCATGGACGATACTCTATCCAAGACGACACGCATACGGAAGCGGCCGATTCATATTCGGGCCACGAAAGATTTGCCTCGTCAGGCATCAAACCGACTACATCGAATGCCTTAGATTTGGACCACGAAGCAACACCTACGGTTGATGCGCCAGATGTGGCCATGAAAGCATTGACATGGAGCCATATCTGTGGGCGATACCGCCACGCTGCCATTGGAGATCCTAGACTGTGGCTCGACATTCAAATCAAGCCCGGTCATCTCGACGTGGCGAAGAGCTTCGTCGGGTGGTCGAACGATCAGGCCATTCGCATCCGCATTCTCCGTATCCTCGATTTCAGCGACCCAGACCTAGACCAGCTACAATCAATTTTAATTTCCCACTCCAAACGAATTTGCACCCTAGCGCTGGATATCAACCACCCGGCCCCGACATCAAACCCTACGTGGATCGATGCGCCTTCCTGCGTATTTGCGACTCCTTTTCCAGGTCTCAATCGCCTGGAGTTGACTTCCGACGAAGGCTGTGAAACCTGGCTTTTCCACTTGATCGATGCCGCTTCGGAGTTGTTTAGGCAGCTAAAGGCCTTAATCATTCGGACCCATTGGAGAGGAGGCGTGTTGCCACCACCGGATCCTACTCGGCAGCCGGTAAGGTTGAACAATCTGGAGACCCTTGAGATAACAACAACAGCGACGGCGTTCAGCACAAATCTGTTGCACGCGTTCTTCTGTCCCTCTTCTGCCACGATTCGCCTAACGTACATCGGCCACGCTTCATCTCAGGGCTCACCGGGTACCGAAACAGTCTCCTTCCGTTTCTCCGGGACCCATTCCCCTGCACTCACAAGGGTTGTGTTAGATGTACGCACAGCCACACTTGATTCAGTCTCGTCCCATTTTCGGCATGAGTTTCAGCGCAGTGGACAAGATTTCGGCGAGGTAGTTGCAGAAGCAACAGCGGTGTATTTCGAGAATGCCCGAGACTTGAACATTACCCTATTCAGTGGAGTCGAGTTCGATGAACAGATCTGGACGCAATTGCTGCGGCCGATGGATTGGACCGCGAAGTTTCGCTCTCTCAGCCTAAACAAAGTTCGCCGTCCGTCACAGGGCTCTTGGCGGTGGATCGCAGTCCCCTCAACTGCGGACGATCTACAGCTCGTCAATGTACCTGTAGTGAACCTTGGAGGTGCAATGGCAGCTTAGAGTTCAGCAGAGGAACCTCTGTCTGTTTCCGGCTGGCGTTAAATTTGCTTAACTTCCTCGTGTACTACTTCAGTTTCCATTATGTAGGAAGGCTGACACTATTGTCAGCGCAAGCTCTAAATTTATTGAAATCTACTTGTTATTGGACTGGCATATATTCCGGTGACATGCGATTGATAATTTTTCGTTGAATCGTTCGCCGCGGGACCAATACTTGCACGCCCGTGATGCTATATACTACTCACATTTGAACATCGCACACGACCGCCGTCCAGAGGAGGTGCTGCGAAGGCCCCATTGAACCATCTAGAGAGGAAAGACTCCTTCCTATGTACTGTACTAGAGGCTAGTTGACTAAGTCTGGAGATCCGGGAACACTACACTTACTCATTTGGGAAGGGGTAGGTCGTTCAGGTGAACTCGAGCTCGCTAGCTTCTGCCTCTCACGTCCACCTCCACAAAAAAACCTTCACTACCTTGTTGAGCGAACAATGAGCACGAAGGGAACAGATCCTTCTCAAATGTCGCGAATATATGCTCGTGCGACCACCTCCAGCGTACTCTGGGGTCATCTTCTGCAACGCAAGAACGATTCGTCCGTTACCCCTGCACATTCTACTTCTGCCAGCTCTCTTTCCCCGATAGTACCTCTGGACAAAGCGGGAACGTCCATGCGTATACTGCTGCATGACACTCAGGCGAACCTGGAGAAATTCTCCGATCGTGTGGCAAAACTGACGATCGGTGTACACGATACGAAGAGAGAAATCGTTACCATGCAGAAGCTGTTTGAGCAGGATCACGAGAAACTGTTGGAGGAGACGGTAAATCTAGGTGTGTATCATCCCGCTTATTATTATACGCAGTTTCCGGTCGATGTATGCGCCGTAGAACGCGCGCGCACACGTGTTATGCCCACCTAACTCCATTACAGTAAATAGATGCCAGATGGCGATACAGAAAACGCTGGGGAATCCTACGCAGACAAATCAAGTCGAGACACTTCGTGTAGACCTAGCCGGGGTTGATAGCAGACTGCAAGCCTTGGACAAAAAGATCGACGTGCTCCATATGGTTTGTCATCTGACCTTTAGGACTTGCCTCGTGGATTCAACGTTCCCCTCATGTTATAGCTCAATCAGACCCAGTCGCAGGCTCTACAAACGTTGCAAGATCAGCAAGGGAAGATACTAATAGCACTCACTCCAATTCTTCCTCTACTGCAATCGGTTCCCCTCCACATCCAGAACGCTCAGAATAACATCAAAGACGCCGTTCGTGATAACAAGTGCCCTGGTCGCCTCTCAGATGCTCTGTCTCCGGCAACTTCTCGTCGCCATAGTCCGAAGCGGAACTTGCAAGTGATCTCACTTACTCCGAAATCAAATAACGAACACTCTCTGTCATCTCCATCTGAAGACCTCCACCAGAGGAAAAAGCGTCGACTTGATGCTGACGCTGCAGGGGTGACCCATACGCTTGATAATCGGCGTGCTGATAGCTTCGTTGGAAGGTCTTTCACTCGGTCCGCTTATCTGAACGTCTCTGGATCTCATGCTCTGCCACACCTGCCCGTTGACATGCATACTCGCCACAATGCTATCCGCCGTTCACCCGAGAGTATAGCCCCTGCTCTCGGCTGCTTTAAACCTTCTGTCATCACACCTCAGGATGCGTCCCAGACTCCTCGCCGAGTGCCGCGTGTTGTTCTCCGTCCCACCGGTCTAAATCGTCTCTCTTCCATGTCCGCTGGTCATACTTCGAATTTCCCTGAGACTCCTGGCCACGGATCTGCACACTCAAAGTACGCAACTTCTGATCGTGTTGCTTTCTCACGCTCCGCAAGTTATCGCCCACACGCACCCGTACCTGCGACGCTCGTGCGATCAGTAGGATGCTCACTGCTGGATCCATCGCCTACGTTTGAAGCTCCGTCGAAAATGCCCGAAATTTCCATGCCTCCCACCTTACAGCATGCTTCTGGACCCTCTGCTCATGTTCCCAATATGACCGCTTCTGTCCCTTGCCTTCCCGCTATGCAAGGCGTCCTCCAGCTGGAGGCGACTGGCCCTCTCAGCAGTATGCCATCTTCTCCCACATCGGGCAACGTTCCTGAAGCTCTTCACCGCTGTACGTCCCATGCCGCTGCTCTGGAGTCAAGGCCAATGTCCGGGGCGGGCGCATCAGATCAGCGAGCCCAGCCCCAGGTCTCTTCCAACACGCTTCAAGCCCAACATCTCACACCTTCCCTTCGGCGCACCATACTGCAGGACGAAGTGATGACCGCGTCCTCGTTCTTCGCACAGCCCGCTCCTACCATCGCACCAAACTCTGTGTCCACTCCCGTGAGCAAGATTCTGAGCCTCAAAGATCGTCGTACTTTGCTACAGGCACCGTCAGTGGTGCGTCTGCAGTTTCCCTTGCGTGCTCCCTGTTTCCTGACTATTGTAAACTCGTCGGGGATCAATAGCGACCCGAAGGCAAGCGGTTCATACCACTAGATGACGACGACGAGGCCGATATCTCTGTCGAAGAGGGTTGAGTCCGCCAGGGTGTCAGATCGGCTTCATATGGATGCTCGCCTCGTCCGTCTTGATAGATTTCTCTCGCGCAGATGGTGCGCGATCAACCATTATCGATGATTCCATGTTCTTGTCATTTTATCATGCATATTGTGCTGCTACCTGTATATATATTTCAGGCGGTACTGCAGAGGTTGGCGAAGCCTTGACAATGACAACGGCACATTACCCGATATATAACTCGGAATAACAGCGGGGAGGCGGTCTGTAAGCATTCTAGCCTCCGCTGCGGGATTCGTGTTTCTCTGCGCGGGAACCACGAACGGTGAAATCGCTCTAGATCTTGTGCACCCTTCCTTACCACACCCTTCGGAGGCGCAGGTCGACAAGATAGCGATCGTGTGTAAGGCAGACGCAGCACGGCTCGCCTCGCACTAGGCTCTCGCGGTACACAGACAGCCTTTCCACACCCGCCGAGGTCACTGCAGCTTGCTGGGTCTCGCTAGCAACTGTCTCCGAACATGACCAGGAGTATGGCGCGAAATGGAACAACTCGACACCGCGTAGGTGTATAAAAGCGACGAAACATCCACGGGGGGAAATGCATCATCCATCGACCGTGGTTGACTCGTCCCGCTTCGTCTTATAAGTAGTATGTGCTACCATTTGATCACGTACATAGAGTACGGCTGTGCTCACCAGTATCCTACCCGACGCCACTACGTGAGCTCTCTCAACTATAGACGTGTCCTAATCCAACAAATGCGTTAGATAGACTGCAACGGTGGGAATTGCAGACGAAGTAAATACCACAAGCCGATACCTCATGACTGCGCCAATGAATGTGATGACATGTGAGTACAGAAATTGTTTCGGGGCGCTGGAGGAAATCACTAAATTCAGCGATTCGCAGAATGCTTCCTGACCAGAGTATCGTGATGAACGTGGTGCGAGAGCCTTGTCATATTTGTCTCGGGATCGACCCATCGTCCACTGGAGACAGTGTGAGGGGGAGGCAGATCAATAGCGGACACTCTGGCTCAGAGAGCGAAGCAGAAACCACAGACAGAGGTTCTGAGTGACGCATAGTGGTGGACCACGTGCCCTTCGCCTTTCATGACATGTACTCTAAATGAAATCCACCTAATCCTTTGAGAGCAGATGCGAGCTGCAAGTGCGATGACTGCTTGAGCTGCGACGGCATCCCGCGCACGAACGACGAATGCACACAACCTGTGTATTACCTAACAGCGGCCGCTGAGCGGGTCGGGGGAATCTGACCAACGTCAGGCACCGTAATGAATGCACTGTCAACGGGGAGATTAACAAAGAGAAGCGATGTGTGTTCCTGATCACAGGCTAGGAGTTGTTGACCTCTTCTATTGCTTCCGGAGTTGAAGTTGGAGCAACATAGTCTAGAGTCGAAGATGGTGATTCAAAAGTTGTCTTTTTCGTACCGCCTGTAGTTTTATCAATGGCTTTGTATCTGCGCACGGTGAAAATTGAAGACAACACACCCTGTTATCTTGTCCCAAGGCATGAACAATAACTGCACATAAGCTTCCCGTTACAATAACTCGGCAAAAAAATCTTCACAAGTTCCGAGAAGTCCTCCCCGCTTCAGGTCGGCGGCGCAGCACGTGTCCAGAATAAGTCACTACCAACGAAACCGTGGATTGAGACTTCAGAGATGGAAGGACTGCCCTAAACCAATCAAGCAGATGGGTATTTGTGAACTCCGCGTTGAGATTGAGGACAGAGTGACGTGGCGGTGAAGTATTGAGTCCATGTGAGACGCTCTCCAGAGTGGAAATTATTGGGACGCTTCCCCCCATCAACATCGTACGTCGTCAGTGTGCCCAGCAGAGGCAAGGACACGAGCAAGAGCTCAACGAGCCGGACGGAAGGATGCAGTTGTTCAGATAGAAAGTGGCAATCTTGGTAAAAATAAAGAACAAGAGAACGCTAATTGCGCTCCAATATTGTCAATGCACAATTCCGCGACCTGGACAAACCATGTCGTCAAGGCAAGGCACGAGAGACGAATCAAAGGCTTCTGGTGGCCTGTCAGTAGACTCTTTAGCCCCTTGGCTTCAGAGATACTTAGCCGTCGAACGAATTCGAAGAATGGCCCAGAAGAGGGGATTCCGAGGCATGTACCATAGAGTGAAACTCAGTCCTGTCCGCGATGCGCATGCCACCGAGTAGATGATAAAGACTCACCCCCGACACGTAGCGGCACAATTACAGAGTGACAGCGGGTCGTCCGACGCTGTCAATTGTCTCGGAAGGGGGTTGCAGCAACATGATTTGGGCGACGCTACTAGGGCCCTATACCTGGTCTTCTCCAGTGCGCATATAAGTAAATATGCACTGTCACAATCCAATTCTGCGGCAGAGAAGGCGTACCTTCAACAAGGACACGGTCGGGTCATGATATCAGTTGAGATTAGATTCCGCCACGCCTGAGCAAATAAAAGGAAGAAAACTTCACGGTCGTGAATGGTGGTATGTACTTGCATAATATGTATATGTCGACTTCAACAGCAGCGTCCGAGCGCCACCGCTTGATTTGCCACTTACGCAGCTCCCGGAAGCCACTTCCAGATGCTGAGCAATATCATGCAGCGTCCATTCGGCGAGGAATTGCATTAGCAGGAGTAGTGCGCCCTCTGGCAAATTCACCTCAGAGTCCTGCCAGTCGCTCGTTTCACATACGACTGAGTCTATGTTATTCGTCAGAAAACGACTACAGCAATAATTATGAGGATGCACCAAACAGACACGCCAACAAGTCAGATTTCAACCACCAAGTTGGAGAAACGCAATTTATCAGGAGTCGATCATGAGTTCAACGGCCTCGACACGAACCGAGCACCATGAAGTGACGCACCAAAAACTGTAGTTCCGGTGGATTCCAGATTAGGTGGACCAGCGATCTGCAGATCAACTCAGGGTTTTACCTTCTTGGTATCCGCCTGGTCGGACCGCCGCAGAGGTAAGGCCCATAATCAACGACGCGTGCACGCAAACGGAAGTCCCTGCGACAATAGGTGCGGATAGGATCAGACCACAGTAATGCAAAACAATACCCACGCCCTGACCGCACCCACCGCATCGCACACTACACTCTCCTCCACCGCCCTCGACCTCTTCGAGATGTGCTACCACCTTGTCACTTACGTCGAATACAGCGGGTTCCCACCCAGCGGCACTAGGTGAGCTCTACTGCGGGCCTGGACACTAGCACTCTCATCCCGCTCGCCAAATCGACTGCAATGGCGCGAATTACCTGCTAAGCAAATACCACAAGCCGTTCCCGCACGACTGCGCGAGAGTGCGCGGAGATGTGAGTCGCCGGGCCTCCGTGAAGCGCCGCGAGTGGAATATGCTGGCTGCTCGCCCAGAATGCTGCCTGACCAACGCATTGTGATGACGATGAAACCCGAGCAATGCCAGGCGCGCATCGGAATGCATCTGCCAATCGATGGCCAGGCAAGACGGATGAACGGCATACATGAGGTTAACGGGCACGGTTTAGAGCCAGTGGTAGAGAACAAGTCCGAGGATGAAACGACGGAAGACATCGGAAACTGAGACGCGCGGGTTGAACATAACGTTTCTGTTGGGTGGTAGTGGGTTTTCTGTTGTCCATAGATGGATTTGAGAAGAGAGTATGCAAGATCGAAGGTCTCTGCAACGAAGTCACCAGTCAAATTTTCAAATGTCATTTCCGAGACAAGGAAGTTGCCGAGGATCAAGCTTCAAGGCTCACTCGCTCCGACAGAGAGAACTATACAGGAGTAATCCGAGCACAGTGTTGACGTTCTCAAGAGCTAGTATGGCTTGTCTCAGCGATACTGCTTCTTGGGGACATCAACACTGCACCCGGCTCGCTGTCAGCGTTATTGAGTTTGTTCCCGGACGGTGCTACTGGTTGCGATGTAAAAGGCCCATCCTCTCCTGGTGAAGCGAACTGATCAGAGATCGCGTCTTGCGAAGGCACAAGGTACTCCTGATGCCGAGGCAGGAAACGAGTATGGAGGTGATGGTGGCGATGGGCGTATATCTCTACAGTCAGGATGGAAAAACTACACGTCTTCATCAACTTCGTAGCTAGGCGGGACGTTACTGTCATGCGAATTAACGATAAGGGGATCTGCGCCTGGATGTTCTGCGGACGCGCATGTCTTCATGGTGGTTGTGGTGGAGAACCCGTAAAGCCGAGCTCGCGGGGCCTAAGACGCGCACAGCTTCCGGGATCGAGACCTTCGCGCTACGCTTGCAGACAGTAATGAAAAATAATGCGTACAGAAGGAGAAAATTACGACGAGACGGAAGAGGCCGCGGTGCAAAGGATTGTTCTTGCCTTTGCACTGGAATACCTTCGGGATTGTTGGGCCATCGAGAGAGTAGCGTTGCGAGGTGGGAAGGTAGGGTAACGCGGTGTTCATATTCAGAGGTTGTGTTCAGTCACAGGCAGGCAGCGAGACCGAAATGAGGGCAGGGTAGCGGCGCGCATAGAGGAGCAGGTTGGCCGCCTGCGCCTGGAGGTAGCGAACGACGTTGATGGGGAAAGAGACAGAGCGTGGGCGCGGGAGAGAAGCGGCTGACAACAGAGGCGACGCCATATGATGGGTTCAGTTTTGTCTGTCCCATGAGATTGAGCGCGAATGGCGAAGGAGCGATCGCCTTCATTAATGTGAAGAGCTGATGAAGGGGCCGGAGGCGATGGGGAAGGCGAATCATCGCCTTCTACCACTATAGCTAGTCTGCCGAATCTTCAAGTTATCGCTGGCGTCGCCCCGGGCCCGGGCCGCCGCGACATCGTCACGCTGGGAGTCACGCGTCACACCTAATTCTCCAAGCCGGTGGCGGTCTTGGCCTTTTCCTTGGAACGACTCGGGCATCAAGGAACTTCCCAACTCACATATTTTCTGAGAAGTAAATAGCTTAGAAGGAGGATCAGAGATGGAGAGGAAGGGAGAAGGGGAACAGTCATAGTAATCAATTCATTCCGACGGAACATCATGAAGACTCATACAAGTGCGACTCATAAATCACTCTGAGCCGCCAGGACAACGGTCTACCTTCCCAAAGCTACGAAGAGTGGCTGCTTCTCAATTACAGGTATTCTGAGGTTCGTTAGTACGGTGATAGCCACACAAGCTGGGCATACTCACGCCAGACAAAAAATCCTTCAGCTCAATGAAAGTCTCCCCTACAGATCCAGCCTGCCCTTCGCGAACGAGCAGCGAAACACGCCTTGCTTAAGGAAATTAGGGATGTTTGCTTCCACCAGATCGCGGCAGCTGTCATTGTCCAGATCCGCCGGCCAGAATCCGTCGCGTTCAAACTCGAGAGACAGGACTTTGAGCTCGGTGAACTGGTACAGTATCTCCGACAACGCTCCCCAGTGCATATTGTATTCCAATCCGGCGAGCACGCTACTCACGTCGCAGTAAGTGTAGCATCTGAGCCGGAGGGTAAGGCTGCGGAGGGTGGAGCTAACGTCTTCGAGGATCTCACGTACGAGCGCGAGCGGATCGAAATCGATGTCCCAGTGTACCGGTTTGGTTAAGAGAAGATAACGGATGTCTAGACGTGATGACAAAATGCGGGTCTCCTTGTCTGATAAAGACAGTTATTAGTAGCAGTTTCGAATAATCCTTCTGCTACTCACCATTGGGCGCATTTTCCATAGGCAAATGCAGCCTGAGGTGGCGAATATTCGGACACACGTCTGACAGTAACTTCCCAAAGGCCGTCACAGCATCGTAGTCATAGAAGCTCACCGTTGCTGTGTGCAGCGTACCGGTAGATCGAGTCCTCGAAAGAAACTCGCACAAGAAATGTTCTAGCGTGTTCAAGAAAAAATAGTCCATCTGGAGGGAGTGCAATCGGAGCCGCGAGAGAAGACCTTTCATCAAAGCGTCCCAGGTGCCAGCAAAGGACACGTCCATCCAGCCGCAGTGGTGCAGGGACAATCTGTCCAGTTCAGAGAAGAGAGCGAAGAAATCCACGACGACTTTAGGTGACGTGAACCAGATACGACTGAGATGGAGGTGTTCAAGGTTTACGAGCAGCTCCTCAGCGCACCAGGGCGAAGCACAAGAACAATGGCTCGGGATCCTCACGTCAGTCAAGCTCGCTTCGCGCAGATTGGGCAGTCTCGAGAGAATGCACGCGAGAACGTGCACGCAAAGAGACGAAGTCTGGCGCGGGTGCTTGCCTATCAAGCCTAAGGTCCGTACGCGTGGCAGAATGTGTGGCGACGCCTCCAGAAATTCCATGAACGCGCAAAATCCATCCGCGGTTTCTTTGACCTGGATGGTTTCGAATAGTCGATGTCGGACAAAGCAATTCCAGTTGCGCGACACCAAAGCGCACGATGCGATGCTGGCCTTGTCATGGAGTAATTGCGAGACGATCATTTCGTTGATCTCGAGTGAAAGGCGGCGTATCATCATCCTATCCTGGGTTCTGGCGTTCGGAGAGTGGCAAAATATTGGGGAATTATGGGCCGCACGGCACACTCTGAATTATGAGGAAGTTCTGTAAGCCTGGCCTGTGCCTGTGGCAGTGGATGAAGTTGAAGTGCAAGTGTCGAGTGGCGGTCCCAAACGCGATCACGTGCAGTTGTGGCTCTCAAGCGTCACGCTTTCAATTTGTTTTCTAAGTCGTTGCACGCGGTGAACTTCGCGGAAGGCTTCACCACCGTCCTTTTTTGTCCAGTATATTTCCTAAGAGTATACAGGCAAGAATGTCGAACGCACCGTAATGGCAGCGGCACCATCTCAGATGCTGGCATGGCCATATGCATCTGATACTTACTAGGGGGGTTGTCTCGGGTGTATTCTTTAACATACAATCAAACGGATGAGGGACTCCATACATGAATTATAGGAATTAAGCGCACTATATCTGAGTAAATCAAGGACACCAGGAGGCTACTGCGTTCCTTGGGTTCCAACACGCCTCCAAAAAACGAGGCTTGTTCAGTAAACGACGACGATGTCAACGTTGAGCGCACTTAGAGTCTCCGCATGAATAATTTTCCCCTGCCACAGGCAGCAGATTTAATCGTGCGGCTGGCCAAGTTTGTCACGGATGAATTTGAGACACTCGGGAAGCAGCGGCTTCACTCTCGCGAGCTGCAAGTCATTCACGCCAGAGTGCGATCCGACGAAATCAAAGTCAAAAGTGAGTGTTTTGAGGTAGCGGAACTGAGACATGATGATCCGCGTGAGTTCCCAGTCCCAGCACTGCAGATCCTCCACCAGGTATCCTTCACCAGGTATATTTCGGCAGGACGATCTTAAAGTCAAATTGGGGACGTTACGGTCTGCTTAGTTGAGAAAATCGAGCGCAGACTCGAAGGGCGATTTGTCGACGTTGTGCCCGTCGTCATACTGGAGGTGCATGGGGATGGCCAGAGACTGCAGATTTGTACATGCCCAAAGATTGAACGCTGGCCAGCCTTCCTGGTGTATGCGATCTGAAGAGTCAATCGTATGGAACAGGTGAGACATAACAGTAAAGTAGATATTATTTGTGATGCCTACGCGGATCGTCCGCCTTCTCCGTGTTGATAACTCCGAAGGTCAAACGGCTAAGGGTAGGGCCAGCCGCTCTAAGAAGTCGGCCGAGAGCCATCGCATCCTAGTCGAAGCACTCGAAGCCACTCACATGGATTGCCTGCAGGGTCTCAACAAATGGTGTGGCCGCCAGTACGTTGCACAAAAAGCAGAGGGTGTCTTCTCGCAGAGAGATGTTATCCAAATCCAAGTCGAGAGAACATATTTGAAGGACCATGCGCCATATCCGCTCCAGTATAACATCTGAAAGCGCATCATCCTGGTCCGTGAAGGGTAGCGAAACGATATGGCATTCAAGAGTTTCCAGACAGCCGAACAGATCCAAGAAGTCCACCATGGCCTCCGTTGATACGAAGTGGACCGAAAGCAAGGAACGCTTCTCTAGACTGCGATAGTCCAAAGTCACCAAAAACACGCCGGAGGTGGGATTGATCGAATACTGCAAGTGTTGCAGCTCCAGGACCTGAATGGAGGGAACCCTCGACAGGGTTGACATAAGGAAGCCGGAACAAAAAGACGGCATACAGTCGACATTTCCGTCTTCCTTCGAGACACAACGCAAGCGTCTAATCAACGACCACATTTCTGGTAGGTGGTTGAGGGCTATCTTTCAAAAATTGCTGAAATCGTCGTAGCTCGTCGTCACCGCCTCCCACAATAACGCCACGAAACATAAGGGGCCGACTATAATACGCGATGGCGGTGCATACCAGAGAAAGTGCCTTGAGACTGGCGGGGTCGTAGAAACAGTAGTCCACGAACATGTCCAGGAGTTCGGGAGGGAAGCGGGGGCTCATTGCAATTGTAAGGCAGCAGTGAAGTCCGAATGGCTGGTTGGGTAAGAGAGGTGGTACAATAGGGCTCGAAGAAGAGGCAGCGCGACTTGATACATACAGCCAGCGTGGCTTGCTTGCTCAGCCACTTTAATGCGCTGCAGGTTCTTCATCAAACGAGGAACGTATTGTCTCCAAACAGAACGGCACACGCACCACGAACATGAGGCTACAAAACGCCAAACGAGTCAACACAATACACAAAAACAATGAATATCGAACGGGTTACACTAACACATCGCACGATCAGCTACTATGAATCCCATTCTTGCCTCCCACTCCGATCACCCCACACCGCGCGTAATACCGCGCCAGCGCGAGACGCACGGTCTGCAAGCGCTGAAGAGCGTGCTTCTCTCCGCCGCTTTTGGTCGTCCGCGCAAGCACGGCCAGGTAATCTTCGCTCGCGCCCTGCGCCGCGCGTATGTGGATCTCTTCCAACCGGCACAGCAGCAGGCAAGCCTCATCAGTCGTGAATAGCATGCGCTCGCCTGGCGACGGAACCAGCCAAAGTCAGCACCATCTCTCCAAGCCAAAACACGACACCTACCGTAAAGCAGTAGCTCCACCGCATTGGACAATAGCACGGCCCACCACGATTTCGGCGCGATGTCCTCACGGAGCATCGCCACCAGGTCAGCTGCGGCCTCCTCAAGGTCGCCGTTGATTCGGCGCTGATGGAACTCGGCTAACCGCACGGCGAAGAGTAGGCGGTGCACAAAGACGCTGTTCGCGCCCACCTCCGCGCGCAACACTTGGAGCGAGGGCGCGATGCCCGCCACATGGCGCGCGAACTTTTCGGGACCTGCACGATGAAGATGAGCGGCGTTGCCCTAACGTCTAGGGGAAAGACTGAACCTTGAGTGATGTAGTCGTCTAACACCCGATCGACGATGCGTCCAAGTCCAGGCCAGTCCTCAGCAGACGTACAGAATGATACCGCCATGCCGTACTCCTGCTCTCTCAAGAACGTCTGCGCCGCGATCTATACGGAAGAAGTGTCTATTAGCCGGTCCGTACAACTGACATAACGAGAACAGCGTACCCTGCAGACCGTGCGCCTAACGCCCTCCCTCTGGTGCTCGAAGCACGTCGCGGCGACGTCCTTCAACACACCCGCGAGATTCCCCGTACGAATCCGTTCATGCTCAGCGGAAGCATCGCTCGAGTCTCGCGGGGCCTGCAACCGCAAGGGGACGCGCACGAGCACCTCGTCCGCCATCTGCTTTCCGATATCCTCGCAGGTGCACATATAGTCGACGGTGATGCGCCACAACGCAGGGTCCGAGCGCAGGTACTCAGTATATGAGAGCACGTACTGCTGTCGCAAACTGAGGTCAGAGCTAACTTTCGAGTTAGCATGCTCCCATATCGTGACGATCGGGGAAAAACATACTCGTCAGGCTCGCTCTCGATGAGCTCCAGGGGCTCCATCATATCAGCAAAATGCGCAGCGAGCCAGATATCCATCTGTGCAGCCTCCACCAGTACGCTCTTTGGCTTTCCGAGGAGGAGCGACGTATGAATCACGTCCTCCATGTTTGTCGGATCCGCCGGCATCTCGTTCAGCACATGGGCAACGACGTCTCTAACGCATACAGTCAGGCTTGGGTCTGACTCGCGCAATCAGCCAATACTCACGGCATATCCTGCCTCCTCAGCCTAGTATCGACAAACACGCTCCACGCGACGCACACCTCCTTCCAATCCGCGCCCAAATCCACGCATATCCGCTTCGTGATATCCGGGCGGCCCTCGAGGAGCCCGACGATCGCGCTCATGCGTTCCCACCAGTTCCCCGCCTCGTCCTCCCGCGCGGCATCAGGTATACGGTTGAGCTCGAGTCGCAGAGCCTTCACACGGTCGCGCCAGCGGCGGTACGCAATCACAAAATCGCGCTCGGCGTTATACTGGTACAGCCTCGGGTGGTTCGTGACGAGCGGCAACAGCCCCGCCGCGATCCGCTGCAAAAACATGGACGGGTGCCGTGAGAGCTCTTTAAGGAAGAACGCGGACGCTTTCGACATCCCGCGCAGCGTCGTCCTGTTGCGAGCGATCAGTAAACGTGTTTTCGCGAAGGTCATGGTCAGCAAACTGGTTTGCTCGCGGCGGAGACGTGCCTTGTGAGGTAGGGCCAGAATGTGTCGTCCTCCCATGGTTTCTCGAGCGTGCTCAGGTGGTCGCCTTCCTCCGTGGACGGCTGGATGAAATGCGTATTCAGCCATTCCATCAGCTCATCGCCCACCGGCGCGCGATCGTGCCCGGCGTCCGGTAGATATAAGAGGGTGAAGAGCGAGAAGCACGAGAATAGCTTCGCGTAGTGTTCCGCAGAGAACTGGAGGGGCTCCGTGCGCGTGATTGATTGCTGTCAAGCTTTTAGGTGAGCAGAGAGAGGGATGTAAGCTTGGATGAGCCTACGGAGGCGTATGCGCAACACTCCTTGCAGAAATTGATGTAGTCGTATGCGAGCTTGTTCAACGCCTCCAGGGTTGGCTCATGATCCATTCTGCGATGCGCATCAGCATGAGTGGGAGCTAGAGCTAGACAGAGAAGGGTGATACACTTGTATGTCTTTCTTGCGCACGTTGGTTAACAATCTTTGGAGAGCGGCGAAGATGACGGAAGTGTCCGTTACGAACTGCGCTCAGTCAGTCACGCAAAAAAAAAGAGGGCCATGACCACACACCACCCGCCTCTCCGAGGACGGCGCATGTTGAGCTGACGCGAGGTAAATATTCTGCTCCTCCGGATATGACGCGTTCTGCGCTTGCAGGGTCTGAGGGTCCGCCTAGCCCCAGTTAGCACGTCGCCAGATGCGAGAAGGAACACATACATTGGGTGTGGCATAAATAGCTATGGTATCATCTCGCGGCGATATACCCGCCGCCAGTGTCCGTCCTGACCGCCTGAAATCGTCGACGCCACCTTTCGAGATGAGAGGTGGCAATAAGTTTGCGGGACCTGCGTGTGGTTCGGATTGCATGTCAAGAGGACAGGGTTTTCGTGAGATTCTACAGCTTTCTAGACGAAGAGCTGCTGTGGCTTGACAATGCCCGAAGACGAGGGAATGGCAGAGGGAAGCAATGCAATGAGGCCTTGCAACCTGAAGGCCGTGGAGACAATTCGCGACACCAAACACGTGACGCAAAGCCAGACGCCACAGCAGCATCGGGCTGAGAACATTGCTGAGCGCCGAAGACTCGTATATATTGGCATAGTATGTAATAGCATACGTAGGCAGTAACCCCATCACAGAACGAACTCGCCAACATACATCAATGTCCGAGCAGCGAAGATTCAACGAAAAAAAGAAAAATAACGTTACATTATACTGATACAACAATAGACCAAAAACACGCCCCGTAGCCCCTCTATGCGCCGAAACCGTACAGCGTACGACCCGATCGCTTGAGCGCGTATACGACGTCAAGGGCGGTGACGGTTTTCCGCTTTGCGTGCTCGGTGTAGGTTACTGAGTCGCGGATGACCTGGAGTAACAAATCAGTCAGAGGAACGGCCAGATGTATAAGACAGAAGACCGCGTACGTTTTCGAGGAAGATCTTGAGCACACCGCGGGTCTCTTCGTAGATGAGGCCCGAGATACGCTTCACACCCCCACGGCGCGCCAGACGACGGATAGCGGGCTTCGTGATACCTGACGACACTTGTTACCATCATGTTTGCGACCGAGTTGAAGAGTTACTTACCCTGAATGTTGTCGCGAAGAATCTTACGATGGCGCTTAGCACCGCCCTTTCCGAGACCCTATTCATAAGCATAGGCAGTCAGTAACATCTCTGAGGTGGAACACGGGTGTCCTTACCTTGCCACCTTTGCCGCGTCCAGACATGTTTCAGAGGATGATAAAGAGATTTGAGAGAGTAAGTAAGGTTTGTAGTGGGGGATGCAAGTGGTTGGAAGGAAAGAGAGCGACAAGGTACTTATGCTGCGCGTCGGTGGCCCGTCACGTGCTAAAAACCTTATTTTGTTGAACGCGCGTCAACGCGTCGCGACGCGTCGGCCAGGGCACGTGCGGTATTGCCCATGCCGTATAAGAGCTGGCTAACCTCTGGCCATGTTCTTACATCCGCCTTCGTCATCAGCACTTGCACTATCCACCTCGGGCCACCTCACCCCATCAAACCACTCCATCTTCCTATCATCCAATGGCCCGCACCAAGCAAACCGCTCGCAAGTCTACCGGTGGTAAGCAGCCTTTACCGATTGACGAGAAACGTTTAACTCAGTTTATTCTCCCAGGCAAGGCACCTCGTAAACAACTCGCTGCCAAGTCCGCAGCCCGCAAGACTGCCCAGGTAAGTTGGAGATTGGATCGTCATTGTCCCAGGACTGAACTAAGCCGACTTCCAGGCCACAGGCGGTGTGAAGAAGCCTCATCGCTTCCGCCCCGGCACCGTCGCCCTCCGCGAAATCCGTCGCTACCAGAAATCGACCGAGCTCCTCATTCGCAAGCTCCCCTTCCAACGTCTTGTCCGCGAAATCGCGCAGGACTTCAAGGTCAGCATTCGTGCATCGTGTTGACGTTCGTCCCTGAATCGGCCTTTGCAGACGGACCTCCGCTTCCAGTCATCTGCCGTCATGGCTCTCCAGGAGGCCTCCGAAGCATACCTCGTCTCACTCTTTGAGGACACCAACCTCGCTGCCATCCACGCCAAGCGCGTCACCATCCAGCCAAAAGACCTCGCACTGGCCCGCCGCCTGCGCGGTGAGCGGACATGAGGTGGTTGTCGATGTGTGTTTGGACTGTTGTAGAATGTGGGTTTCAGGGTTGTATGAGTAGTGTATCTTACGTTTTTATTGCATTTCTATCGTAATGTGACCTCTAGGCTGCTGTGCCATGCCACAGCCATTTTGTTTTGGTGAACATGGAGCACGACGTGTTCCCGGCGTTCGCCGGGAACTTTGAATTGGGCTTTGGAGAATGATAATGCTCTGATGTTCTCTGATCTCCCTACTTCACCTCTATGGACGTTCGTTTTGACCAGAAGATTGGTGGACTCCCTCGCTACCCCGGTGGCTTTAGTAACTGTCCACGCAACGTTTTCTATAACTAGGTGGAAGTAGTGAAGAGGGAGTGAGGGGAGGCACATAGGTGCGCATTGGCGGCTCTTCCTTGACAGTCATCTCTGCTAACACTCTGCTAACAGTTCCTCTCGACTCGGTCGGAAAGTCCTTCTGGATATGTCCTGGAAGACATGATTCAGCGCTTGGGACAAGGGGGCGTGTCACCTGCCTATAACTTGCCCGCTCGCACCAAGAACCGGATCGCTCTCATGTCACCCGGCGATTGTACGTTCCAATTTGTCAGTCGAAGTAGTTGGGGAGACCAGGCGCTGTAGATGACCTTTACGGGGAGATCTCGGCCTGATCTCACTGCTCTCGAGTTTAAAGACTCTGAGTGACGTCGACGCGACGAGACTGGGTGTGGAACAGCCCTTCTGGTTTCTGTCATAGCGCCTGCTCGATCGTACACTGCTTGGTGGAGGACTGCCTTTCGTGTCATGTGTCGTGCTCACCTTTGCGGTTGCATCGCTATTACCGGATCTCGACATGCAGCCAAGACGCGCAGTGCGCAGCCGTTCGCCTTATACATAAGACTTCGCAGCCCTCGCGGTCTTCAACCATGTACTACTTCCTCCCCCTCTCACTCACCGCCTTGGTCGTTTCGACTCTCGCTCCGGACGTCATTGCCGCACCAAGACCTTATGTCCCCGTTGGCCAGTCTATTAGCCTGTTACGCCGGCCAAAGCCGCAGCAGGATTTCGCAACGCGCGCTGCTAATTTGAAGAGGCGACGGCTGGCTTTGGAGGCAAAATACGGCGTGGGCAGCTACAAGAACAAGAAGCGCGGGAGTAGTGGAAACACTTTGTGAGTCCTCCTCTCCTCCGTCGGCGGATGCGGACTGCCGGGTGGGATGACGTCATCCCATTTCCCGAAGTCAAAATTAAACTCATCCGCGGGCTGCTGCGCACTGCGGAATCATCGATCGCTCATCGTGTTTGCGCAGGCTGGTCAACCAGGGCGCAGACGCGGATTTCTACGGCTCCATCGCAGTCGGCACTCCTCCTGTCTCGTTCAACGTCATTCTCGATACCGGCTCGGCGGACCTATGGCTCGCGGGCGACACCACGAACGGGTCCGCCTCGAACGTGCCCAGCGGGATTCCGCTCTTCGACCCCTCCGCGTCGTCGACCTTCCAGTCTCTCGGCAAGGCGTTTGAGATCCAGTACCAGTCCGGCACCGCCCTGGGCGTGCTCGGGCAGGACACGGTGCAGATGGCCGGCTTCCAGGTCTCCGCCCAGGAGTTCGCGGTTGTCACCGAGGTCTCACAGGGTATGCTCAACGCGCCCGTGTCCGGCCTTATGGGCTTGGCGTGGCAGCAGATTGCGTCGTCGGGCGCGACGCCGTTCTGGGAGGCGCTCCAGCAGACGAGCGGCGCGCTCTCGGAGCCGCTCATGGCGTTCCAGCTTACGCGCTTTGATAACAACACGCGCGTCGTGCCGCAGTCGGGGCTCGAGCCTGGGGGCACGTTCACCCTCGGCGGCGTCGACAGCAGCCTATACACTGGAGATATCGATTACCAGGATATCCCTAGCGGGGAGACCGGGTATTGGATGCAGCAGCTGACCGGTGCGCACCACTCTGGCTCAGTTCTCAAACGCACCTCATGACGACGCCGGACTGTATAGGACTGACCTCGCAAGGGAAGAACGTCACGCTCCCATCCGGGTCCTCCTCCTTCGCCGCCATCGACACCGGCACGACACTCGTGGGCGGGCCTGCCTCGGTCATCGCCGCGATCTACGCAGAGATCCCGGGGAGCGCTCCAGGCACCGGCAACCTCCAGAACTTCTACACCTACCCGTGCTCGACCTCTGTCAACGTCACGCTCACGTTCGGCGCGAGCGCGATCGCGTGGCCCATCTCCCCCGCGGACTTTGCGTTCGAGCAGGCGAGCAGCGGGACGTGCGTGGGCGCGTTCTTCGCCGTGGACGTGCAGGGCTCCAGCGCGCCGGCGTGGATCGTCGGGGACACCTTCCTGGTGCGTCGGCTCTTTCGAGCTGCGTTAGTGTCGGTTTGCTGATCGCGTTCGGGGGCAGAAAAACGTGTACGCGGTCTTCCGCGCGTCCCCCGCGTCCGTCGGCTTTGCTCGTCTGTCGAACACGGCGCTCGCCATGAACGGCGTCAACTCGGCCACTCCGTCCGCCACTGTTGGCTCGGCTGCTGCGACGGCCAGCGCGACGGCCAAGTCGACTCATAACGGGTCCAGCAGCGGTGCTGAGAGCTCTTTGAGGGCGCGGAGTGCTGTCGTCGTGCTGGCTGGGCTGGTTGTGGGGTGGGTGCTGCTATGACCTGGGCACCGTGAGTGTGGAAGTGGACGGGGCTGGGTTTCGGTAAGGTACGATCGAATTGATAATGACGCTGTATATTTCACGTTGTCGCTATTACTGCAAACTGCTATCCTGCTGCTTTATATACTTCGTTCTCTCCTACCTGGGGCGCATCACCGAATCCGAAGTTTTTTTGTGAAGGTATATAAGCCCTTGCCAAATGGTATAATCCATGTCATCGGGAGTATTATTACGCCAGGAGTACTACTACAAGGCCTTATACCGCTGAGGCGTTCCGAATTGGTACAATTATTCCAGGAAGTTCGAACTCGTAGGATAATTTCGAAGACTGTATAATTGGTGGGAATGTGCCAGCAAAATTCACCTGATCCAGCCCTCTATATGTCACACAATAATCAGCCATTGGCATGCTTAAACGGCGACGAATATTCAACATGCATACTGCGAGCGTGGATGTAGATACAGTGCAACCGTTACATCAGGTGAGTGAAAACACCATCAAAGCATGCCGGTATGTGACATGCCGGCATAGTCATACTTTGACCTGGCTTCCAAAGAAATCTACGCAGCTATCAGATGCCAATTGTGCAATGTGCTTCTCTGAGCGACTGTCTTCAGCGACAGCGCTACATGCCGTATGCTGCAGATTGTAGCGTGGCAAAGAATGAACGACTCAAGGTCTGCATCACGGTAAGGACTTACCTGCACGAATAAACAATTCGCCACCTTCCTAGGAAAGAGGAACTTACCGATGGAATTGGGAGGAACTTACCTGCACAGAAGGGACTTGCATGCGAAGGAATAGCTCACCTGCAGATGGGAGGACTTACCTGCATAGCAGGACAGCATTGCTGTGCCCCGATATTTATGTGGTGAACAATACTCTCCAGGCCAAGTCTAATGAACATCCGGCCGCGAGCATTACGCAACTCCAGTCAACGTCGAGAATGGCTCCGAAGGCAAGATGCGGGTCTGGATGTGTCGAATGTGTGTAGTAAGCCACCCGCAACCGTCCTTGAGTTAGGACGAGATTTTCCGTTGGCTGTAAAATGTGTGGGGAGTACAATTGTCGCCGGCCATTATGAAGCTATATATTTTTAGATAAATTTTGTACAAGTTAGCAACTGAAAAAATCATATGTGAAAAATCTCCGGTTTCACTGATGACTGGGACTATTCTCACCTTCATTACCGTGGGCATGACCGAGGTCTGAATGGCCGACTCTCAAAGCTTATCTGCCGCGAGATAGTCATGAATACCGACACGCTTGGATCATCATCTCGCCTATATCAGCACTACTACTCTCCGACTCGGGCGTAGATGGAAGTTCCTTTGCGTCCTACCAGATGTGTGACGGTGAGTCCAGGTCGGCGTCCCCCAGAGCGATCACATACCGAGAGGACCAGTTCCGACTCAACCTTCTCATCAAATTTACCTGGTCGCGTCCGACAGTCCAAATCGATCAACGCCTGAACGCCCAAAGCTGTGAGTGAGCACGAGGTCCGTTTTGCTGAGACTCACTCGCTCGGACTCGGCGTCCGCGGATTGCAGCATCCCACACTCCAGGTCCGTGCGCCCCGTCGGCGTGAAAGGAACGTCGGGTGCCGACACGCATGCTTCGAGCGGGCTAAAGTCGACCGTGAAGGGCCGCTCTACTTGTCGGCGCACGACCTTGCGATGGTTGAGGCTACGCGGCGGAGAAGATGAGCGACCATACCCACTCGGCAGCGACGCACAGCACTTACGACGCGATCAAGGAAATTAGGTATACTAGAATATATGTGACATCGGGCTTCGGGAATCAACGAAGAATGCACACGTACGATTTGCGATCTGGTTGTAGACCGCCATGTAGACCAGGGGAGATGGCGACACCAAAAACTGGATAGTTCAATATTCAGAGATCTGACGCGGAACAACCGAATGCATGTCGCGCGCACCGTTGCCAGCCCTGCACCAGCAACGATGCTACCAACAACGAGAGCCGTGAGCTAAACCGCCAGTCTATGTGCGAAATCGATACCTACGTTGGGAGAAGACCTGTACAGGACAATGTAAAGGTATGACCGTCAATACAGCAAACGACGCGTACCACTATTTATCGCGTATAGAATCAAAGTGTTGATGAGTGAGTCCGTGCTATAGATGCATGAACGACGAGATCGAAGTGTTCCAAACACACCACACACCTCTCGAAGCCTGTCCGAGAACTGTTCAGAGAAAAGCAAAGCAATCCCACCAGGAAGATGTCCGCCGATACACCAGCGGCAAAAACCACTTCTACCATGACCTGTGACATCATGAGCCAAAGATGACAGCGCTTTGACAACGAAACAAACTTTTATCTGCTCGAGCTCCTCCGTGTCGGGTGTCAAGAATCTGCAAACGGTGAGGAAAAAGGACAGAAGCCAAAGGAAACCCTATTCACAATTTTATCGAGACAGCTGTATCAAAAAAGTGTCAGCAACGGTGGGCACTCGGATGTCTTTCGTCTCACGTACCGAGAGATCCAGCTAGACGCCACAAAATAATAACCGTCAGCATCAGCTTGCCCGACTCAGCCAAAACGCGTACATAGATCGACCAGCGTCAGGAGCACCTAACCAATTGGTTAGATATGACCTGCTGGGGTAAAGCATATTACGCACGGTAAGTAACAGCAAGGCTTTCCACCCACTGTTCCATTCCCCCTTGGCCTTGACGACTAAAAAAGATATCAACCCTCTGATAGCGACATTTAACCGGGGATGGAGCTCACATCGCCACAGCCGATAAAGGAATATGCTGCATTCACCGTCAGTAAGTACCACACGGACAGTATGCGAACGTACAATCGCACAAGAACCACCACTACCGCCTGGGTGGAAGCGGCGTCAGACTGAGACGTGAACCATATGAAAAGACCTACATTGACTGCCATCAACAACTGCGACGATCAGTTAGCACGTCACTACAGATTTCGGCAACATGAACCACGCACACAAACGCTCCTGCAACCAACTGTCAGCAAAGAATAATCAACGGGTATGAATGCCATACCATGGAGCTTTCGAGAATGCCATAGGGTTATCATCAATGTTTTTGACGACGAAGAAGTACATGGCATGTGCAGAGACAATTAGACTGAAGAAGCACAGGATCCTAGCAGCACAAGGTCAATCAGTCGAAAGACACGGAACCGCACGCACGCACTGACCATGCTAATAGCACCTGAATCGAAATATGTTAACTCAAACATAGCCGCAGGGGGCGGCGAGACTCACCAGTAATTTCATCCATATCGAAACACCACTGTCCCGCCTGTATCTCCTGAAATAATTCAAGGCGAGACCGCTCACTACTCCGTAAAATCTGATAGTAAACCGAGTCAAAACTGTTCCAGGGGCTCGATGAAAGTGAGTACGTACACGGATTGAAAAATGATACCAATCAGGAACGCCCCCAGACACGACTCAAGCGCAGGCCACTGCTGTGTTGAGCTCATACTCCACGGGTATTATGGTAGTGCTTCCTGGAAGTGACATACGATCTGCAAGACAAGAGGAGTCGGGAGACAAAGGTAGCGCCACGCCATAGGTGGCTCATATACAAGCGGGTAAGTGGATATGCGGGTGGCTACTACTAGTACGAGCTAGCATTGTGGACAACAGTTCCGCGCGGATGCTGTGGGGGGCTAGATTGAAGGTGAGGGATTCCACCGGCCTACGAAGCGGAAGTAATTAGACCTTCCGCCGCGTCGTCTGTGACTGATGCTCCAGAACGTACATTCGCCGTAGTCATTCTAAGCGTAGAGTAGAGGGAACCTCGACGGTCGCAAGCGCATCCACATTGGGAAGTGAAACTCCGAATATGGTATGTCACTAAGTTCACCCCTGAGATCTCCTAGATCTAGCCCACAGATTGCGCAGCAGCAAGTAGAAGATAATTCAAAGATAAAAGCGGAGGGTGGGAATAAAGCAAATATAATACAAGAGCTCAAGTTATCTGACAGGCAACTTTAGCCCGTTCACTCTGTTTTGAACCCTCGCCGGCTGGAAAGGAAGGATATGAACGATCTGTGTTTGGGTCATCTATATAAGACTTGCTTGTTCGTGGTTCATCTATCGCAAATTACATCCCAATTTCCGAAGCACTCCAAAAATGCCGACGAGCTACTCAGACTTTTACAGTCTTAGAATAAATACTTCATTTACCGCTTCAATTGAGTGCGAGCAAGCACAAAATCAGATTGAACCGGAACGAGTAAAATTCGATCAATCCGATAGATACAAATGTCCCAAGCGATCACCAGGCTTGCATACAGCGTAGATAGGTTGGAGTACAACGATCGCGAGACGGTGACCAACACCGAACATCGAGTAGTCAAATGAGGCCCGTAGCCAAGTAGTCTGTCCGTAAGCATCACCAATTGAGTGTCCCGAGAGAAATCCGGTGTCCGCCACATCCTCTACGTGCATTCAACAGTGACGCTCGTAAAGGTAGCAGCCATCTTTGCGGGAGCAGTCGTCCAGTCGATTGGTCCACCGGCCCAATGCGCTGTTCCAACATCAGAGCTAGCGTCCCAGATTCCAAGCTGGACCCGGGCGGGTTGTGAGGGGTAGTGGAGAACACCGTTCCTGCTCGTCTGGTCTACAATGTCGCACGAAAAAAAAATTAGATGCTGCGATTATTCGAATAACGTATCCCAATGGAGTGAAACGCACCCTTCCCGAGCGTCCGGATCACCTGACCGTCGACGCTCCATACGATGCGGTCCGCGTTCCAGTCGATAGTGTACGAGTGGTTTTGAGCAATAGTTCCGGAGCCTGAGTAGTCTTCGATCTCGCCAAAGATGCCGAAGAGTGGTTGAGTGTCCTGCGGATTCTCTGCGAAGATGTTGGACTGCCAGTGGGACGGGCTTCCGCCAAGTAGCTCGACGTCAATCTCGTCGTCAATGTATTCGGCTTTTATGTTTATTAGTAAATTGAACGTATGTTGAGTTGCCTAGAAATTTTACCCATGAGAATTGCAGCTGTTACTACACCAGGCACCACGGGAGCGGAAAGCGTAAAAGTGACTTTCCCATATCTGGAAAGACTGAGCACACAGGCCAGGCGGTAGTAAGCTACAATACTCACAGAAGGACGAATGTGGAATTGATAGTTGCACCGCTCCCGATCTTGTCGTTCACGCCGCCTTGCGTAGTTACTGTCCCGTCAGGCTTCTTCAGGAACAGCTGCAGACCGTCCGGACCGACGCTGTAAGAACTGGGAGGGCTGATAGCTACAAAGGGGGTACCTCCGCCAGAAGAAGAAGAAATCTCGGGGGCGGAATAGGTGCTGTGGAAGGGGTTACATTGAGAAGTCGGTGACCGTGCACGCGCTCGACCCAGAGTCCTTGACCAGCCTTCGAGATGGGCAGCGTCGACCAGAACCGCCCGGAAGAACAAAAGGGAAAGAAAAAAAGGGATTAAACGACTGTAGGACATGTCCTAAGGTGTCGAGGTGTGGTAGTTTAAGGACAGTTGAATCGAGGGGCGACTCCTGTCAGGCAGCTCAGGCTGTCACATTGTGTCGCGATCACCTGACAGGCGGGCGCGTGACATAAAGGCTTCCTTATAAGTTAATTACCAATGAATTACCGCCCTTCTCTCCCGCCTTTGTCTTTGTATCTCCTTCTCGTAGTGAGTCAATATGTCGAATGTCGACGATCAATACATTCCAGCATCTTCTCCTTCATCTTCTCCCCCGTCTTCACCCTCATTTGATCCCTTAGACTCTTCACCACCCTCCTCACCAAACCTCGAGGCGGTTGCAACTCCCCCGCAGTCTCCAGAGGTCGTTCATCCGTTTGCAGCGTCTACAAAGGCGACGAGGAGACCACATTTACATGAGAAACGTACTCGTGTCTCACAATGGGCGTCCAACTCTCTGAGCCGGGGAGGAAGTTTCGAGTCACACGACCTGGACGAGCGGGCGGGCAATGTGCCGCAGGTCGTCGACCCGTTCGCAGCGTCTGCTAAACACTACTGGAAGCCCCCACGCAGGGAAAAGAAGCTATCGCGTGTGCAGTCTACTGGCAGTGCATACTCGGACTCGACAATTATCGACCATGACGATCCGTTCTTTGTGCTCCACCCGTCGGCACACGACAACCATTCCGTCTTGTCTGATGATAATAATATGAATAAGAACTCCCAATCACTCACAGCTGAAGAGCGTGAGCTTGACATATGGGAGGTTGCGATCGCCGCCGCAGTCGACCGGTCCAACGGGGATATTAATTTGAGGTGAATGTCTAGGTTTCAAATGTGCATTCACGCACTCAATCTTTGTCTAAAGCCAGAGCGGACTGTTCGGGACGCCGCTGACCATCATTCCACCGTCAATCGCAGACCTCGCAAAGCTCGTCGTCCTTCCCGAGGACGAGTCGGGGGATAGGCGTCGTCCGGTGCCATCACCACCCCCCATGACGCGCACTTTCACGCGGGCTGTAACCGTTCCCGATGCAGTCTTCAGTCATCCTCCTGCCTTCGGGCCCAACACCGGTAGGATTGGAGGTCTCAGCAAGACAGCCTCGTCCTCGTACTTGCAGGGCACAGCCGAACCGCGGCGCCATGGGATCCAGCTGAACCTTGCCAGGAATACAATACCTAAGCTCCCGCTTGAGCTATTCCTGCTCTCCGGGTTGACCATGCTGAACATGCGTGAGTGACATCGTTAAGTCGTTCCGCATTTGTTCACACTTTGTTTAGATGCCAATGCCCTCCGCGTAATTCCTCCACAGATAGCTAAGCTCACAAACCTGTGCGAGCTAGACGTGTCGCAGAACCGGTTGGAATGGCTACCTGCGGAGATGCTCAAAATGCGGCTGGACAAACTTTCCGTCAGGGGGAACCCGTGGAAAGTGCCTACCGCGGAGGAGCAAGAGACTGGGAATAAAGGCGGCAAGAGGTTCATCTCACATACGACCTCCTGCTTCGACATACCACACCTTACCGAATATTCCCTGCGCACACTACTCGCGCCGGTCGAGTCGATGGGTGGAGTGACGGCACTCGAGGCGCTGTACGCGATCCCGCTGCTAGAAGGAGAGCACCCGCCGTCGGTGCTCAATACGCTGCGCGCATGTGTGCCGAACGCGGTCGCGAAGCCTCCGCCTCCCGAGCCCAAGCCCTCCCAGCCCCCGCCGAAGGTGCAGCGTGTATCACACACCGACGACGTTCACTCCCGTCTACACATCCGGCATCGGGAGATCCAAGTGCAAGAGAAGGGAAAGGAACAGGACAAGGAGACCCCGCCTGGCATCGGCTTGTGCCCGGCTCCGGCACATCGCGCACAGGGTGCGTCTGCGGCTGTCTTCGTGCAGCACGCGGTGGAGCGTTTCACGTGGGAGCTCGTCGTCGCCGGATTGGACGTCGGCACGCAGGGTAACAAGATGGGCGTTCCGGTGCGGTGGAGAGGATGTGGGACGGACTGTTTGGGTTTCCTGGAGGACGAGGGTGGAGGCGGGGGGATAGAAGATGTGGCGATGGGCACAGAGGTGGACGTCGAGATGGTGGATACGGATGTGGATATGGAAGAGTAGGGGGCTGTGGCCGGGCTGCTCGCGGAATTTCCGTCGCATTTACTCCGTTTTGCAAGGATCATACACGCACGTCTTGACCGGTATCACTTGTACAGTAATGTCGCATTCTACGGATTCAATCATTAAATTATGTCGGATCCCCCTCGTTGTTCAGTTCTTGTCCGATCTCAACGTTCAACGTCGTATATATGCGCAGCTCACCGTGACGGGGGTGAGGCAGTGTGAGTACGCCGAGCCTTTATGCTGCGCGCTACCATGTCAGTACCGTGCGTACCGCCAACCTCTGCTTTTCTCCACTTACTCTGCAGCTGTCTACTCCAAGAGACTTGGTCATCTTCTCGACGATCCTGTAAACAAGCACCCATACTTACATTCTGTCTCGAGAAAGATGAGCTTGGATCAGAACCTATTCACTCTACACATCTCCCCAAATGCAGATGACCCGACGATCGTCGATCTGGCAGACCCAGCAGGGAATTTGCACTATCGCAAGCAGTTGGTGCCAGGGAACGTATATGTTATCAATGTTTATGGTGAGTTGAGGACTTTCTTGTCGTCGGTTCGTAGCAGGCTTACAGATATCCTGTGCTTTCAGACCCTCTCTCTGAATCTCTTCTGGCGACTGCCACCGCCCCGAGTGCCATCAGCAAGCACAAGACAATTCAGCTGCACAACCCCGAGACAATAGTCGAGCTTAAGTCTACAGGCACTCTGTCTTTCAAATGGAGCTTCAAGTGGGAGGAGTAAGCGTCATACAATTCTAATGTGCATGTATTCAACAGCTCATGGTCGGCTACAGGCACGAATTCGAATGGCGGCGTGAGGAGTGCTTTATCATCCGCAAACCCGACCCTGCGGTGCTAGTCGCCGTGACGAAGGAGCCGGCGGGGCGGCTGCGCACGACGTCGATTCAAATGCTTGACTACAACCTGAACCGCTTCGACGTGCAGGACCGCAAGGGCCTCGAGATCCTCATTCTCACCGCGCTGCTCACCCTCCACGACACCAACGAGGCATACCATACTCCTAGTACTGATGAGCCGGTGTCCACCACGCCCTTACTCCCGACCGCCATCACGGGCCTCCTCGGTTTCGGCACTCGGCGCACACCGTCTGAGTCCCGCGGTGCGCCAGCGAACTTGAGTGACAGTGCCAGTGCCAGTTCAGAGGCGGTGCCCGCGCTCCCTCCGAAACCCGCACCGCGCACTGGCGTCGAACTCATTGCGGAGAAGCATATGCTACGGAGCATGCAAGGCGTGGGCGAGGCGAACGAAGTGGAGGTGGACAGCGAGGGCGCGGTGGAGGAGTACGCCGCGTACGCGGCGGGGCTGCTCAAGGACGAGGCGATGCTCTTCATCACCGTGCGCTCCGCCTCGGCCGCGCAGGTGCCCCGGGTCCTGCGAGTCGTCGAGGAGACGAAGCGCCTGCGGCACAAGTCGGGCATCGCGGACGAGGAGGAGCTTCATCAGTATGTAGTGTACGATACCGCGCCGGCCAAGGGCCTGCGGCGCATCAACCTCGACGACCCGGCCCCAGCCACGAAAGGCAAGGCGTACGTCCCGCCGACGAGCCTCATGGTGCACTTGAGCAAGATCGATATGCCGGAGCTGAGGCCGCCTATAGAGACGAATAGAGATCTGCGGCTCGAGGTGGATGCGTCGTACAACGTCACCTATACACCAGTCAGGGACAAAAGGAAGATGACCGTGAAAGAGAAAGAGAAATTGCCGGACAGGAAAAGGGAGAAGGAGCGAAGGAAGGCTAGCAAAGACCACGACAGAGGTGAGCCTTTGTTTTTCATGCGCGCACTGTGATCTCTCGTTGATTTCTCTTCGCAGGCACTGTACACCACCCCGAGCCTAATAAGTCGATGAGACCCACTGGAAGCCGTCTCTCTCCCCCGTTACAAAATGCGTCTTTGCATGCACCTCCGCCGTTTCCTCCGAGAGGTGCATCTCCCGGTTATGGGTGGAGTCCACCAGCACCTACGGGTTACCCCTCTGCTGCATCGTACCCCCTCGGCTTTGCACCCCCACCTCCAATTGCACCTCGTCCCCAACATCCGTCAACTGGAATCTTGGACTGGGCGCGACGTTAGACCGAAGACTTACTCGCACTTGATTTCAATGGACTTTTTTGATGCGTTGCCTAATGCTTGTAGAAAGTGTACATTCACAGATGTATTTGTAGAGCTTCTAATATCAGCACTGCTCCTCGTTTGAGACAATTAACAAACTCAACAAGGTGAACAACGGATTCACGCCCAGGCAGAACGCCGAAAATTGAGATCGACGGGTATTGAACGACTATATGCATCACTGCACACATCGGCATAGAATGGCCTTGCACTAGTACTTGTCACGCCAGCAACGTAGCTGAAAATTCAAAGAAGCGAGAGCTCAACATCCGACGGGAGAGGGTCAGAGAAATGAAATCGTGTCGCCCGATGACGAAACCATTGCCCGACGTGCGCGAACCCCGGCGGCTAGACATCACTCACGCCAGTGCCGGTGCCATAAACCGCGCCGAAGGAAGGAGAGGAATACGGAGGAGTTCCAAAGAGAGTGTCGCACGAATTGCAGTGAACAGAGAATAATTGCTACCGGCGGGGGGTCAGAAAAATATAATGACGGACGTGCCTTAGTGACGCCGTACCGAGTACGAAGTTGTTTACCGGGGCTTCCTGTTGGCGCGCGGCGACTTGAATGGGACCCAGCAGGAGCTAGTACTTATGTCTGCTGGGCACGGGAAATGGAAGGATAGCATTGTCCGCCAGGTAGGGACAATGATGATCTACGTGTTGGCGATGTCCTGGCAGACCATAATGGATGCCTCTCCCATACGCTCCACTATGTTGTGGGTGTTGACGATCCTATACCACTAACCTGCGACTGACAGGATATGGCGACGGTGTACGTCAACGGCCTACGACATGGCGAGCGTGTCCGGTACGAACGAACGGGCGTGTACTTGAAGCCTAATTCAGTGTGTGTGTGGCGGGATGAAGATAATATTTGTACTTCAAATGACCCTCTCGGATGCATCACGCACATAGTGTCGGTGAATTCTGCCGCAGTACTACATGTACAGAGGTCAGTTCTGTGTTTGACGAGCACTGTCGCATTGCAAACACTTCTCGTATCAGCTTCCGGTCGTCCGTAGGAAGTCTGCTTGGTTGTTGAGGGAATATGCTCTGGCTGCCAACGTGAATTTCAGTGCCGTGGCTTGCTCAACCTCGTTCGGCCTCGATCATTGATTTACCAGCTCACTCGACATCGGTCGATCTAAATTGTTGATGTATTCATGCTTCAGACTCAAGATACATTGAAAAAGCCTGTAACCGGAATATTGCACGACAATGCGCGACGGAAAGTGACTCAACAAAGTACGATCGAAGGTCAGGATTAGCTCGCCGTGACCGCTTCTGCAGTCTGTCTGCTCTCTCTCATCCGCTCCTTTGTATCTGCGATAGCCAGCTCCCTCGCGGCCCGCCGCTGAGAGATGATGCGCAGGATATTCCCCCTCTGCGCCGTCACCCCAGTTCGCCATCTGAACTTCGACCCGGACCCTCGGGTGCGGCGAAGGAGCTCGAGCGTGCGAGCATCTTCGAGCAGTTTCATCCCAAAGTTTTCTTCGAGCCATTTCTCCCGCTTTTCTCGATCGGCAGCATTCATATCCTCCTTGGCTTGCGGATAATAGAATGGCTCAACCAGGCCGACCACCGCGCGCTTGTACGTCTTGTACACCTTTTTTACGGAAAAGGAAAAATCGGCGGGGTCGCGTGTGTACGGTGAGAGGTAGTTGTCGGTGCGGATGTAGGTTGTCTTGACGCCGTAGACGGCCTGGAGGTAGGAGCGGACGTCGGTCTTGGTGACGGACTGGGAAATGCGGAACGTCGCTTCGTACGGGTTGTACGGCTGGCCGGCCGGGGTGTGGTTGCGCACGAGGCGGAAGATAATGTTGGGAAGGTATATCTTCTGGCCGACGACCCGCACCTCCTTCTCGCCGTCCTCATTCAGCAGCTGGCGCACACCGCGCATGCGACTCCGACGACCGTTCAGCTTCTCCAACCACTCTGCCTCTGTCGGTGACAGCCCGTCCTCGCCCATCAGTTCGCCCTTGGCCAAGGCGCGTTGGTAACGCGCGAATTCGGTCGGTGTGAGACCATCGGGGGTCGCGTCAGACTCGTTAGTGCCTACAGCGGGCTGCTTTCGGAGTCGACGGCGGCGGACAGCGAGCGGGGTGGACGCCGTTCTCGCTGTGGCAGCAGCATCTGGGATGGCGGAATAGAGACGACGCAGACAACGCTGCATTTTGGTGAAAAGAACGTTCGGAGACTTGGACGAAGTATGGACGAAGTACCGATTTTACGCGCTACCGGCGCACACAATATTTGGTCGTATTGACAAAGTGGCGGCTCGTCTTATCTACCCGAGTCCTGCTCTGGAAACTTGAAGTTCTCCACCCTCAGGCCGACGACGGACGTTCTCTCTCTCTGTGACCAGTAATCCAACTTGAGCCGGCACAGTGCCTGCCATGGCACTTTCCTTGTTCAGAATATTTCGTTTCCTGCGCTCTATCTTCACGCCTGCAGCGCTCATTATAGGCTTCTCATGTCTGCTCACTTTCATCTTCGTGCTCTACCAGCCAACACCCGGACCTGGCAGCATCCAACGCCTCGGCTGGCAGTCTTGGGACATCATTAGCGATGCTCCTGTGTCTGGTGCGAACTCAGACGTCTCGGAGTCTGGTGGTGCAAGCCAGCCCACCACCGGTGGGCAGCCTGAGGGCGTAGATTGGTGGAATGTCACCTCGCCGGACGTATCTTCGAGCTCCGCAAGTCTTCCTCTGGATGTGTGGGATCCATTATTGCCGCATGATACCGGATGTACGTGTCTTTCTGTTTACCCTCAATGCGAGCTCTCGCGCAATGGAGCGTCACCGGAGCTCTCTCCTGTAATGCTCAGCGCTCAGGGTTTATTCTTGGGAGTTCTGGATATCCGTACTCTTAGAATGAGGGCATGGTTCACACGAGCATTTGTTCACGTCAGCCTGCTTCAATTGGACGAAATCTTGGCCAGTCTGTTGTACAGATAGATAGGCCAATATTTCCGACCCATTGTTTGAAGTGAATTTGACCTGGTGAAGCATGTTTTTATATGACCGTGGAGTGATCATTCTGCCGTGCCTTTATTACTTGACGGTGGACGGCAAGGACTACGGATGCGCTGCTTAGACGTGAGAATCGTGCGCAATGCATACAGATGTGACTGATCCTACCCATACATCTCTATATCTCGACGTCATATATGCTGATTGCCTCATTTCTTCAGTGACTGAGATTGCAATTACCCAGTGCTGGATCGACCCGTGGTATGCGCCGTCGGTTGCGGGCTCGATGTGCTATCCAGGCTCGACGAAGGAGCAAGATGCGACGAAGGGAAAGTGGGTGCGCGTCGAGCGCAACTTGAATTCCCAGTCGGGTCTCATGAGCCTCAACGTGTACTACCGCCGGACTCGCCGCCACGACCTGCCGGTGGTGACGGAGCTGCGCATCCTCCCTGACCGTGAGACGCCGTCCCCGTTCGGCGCAGACTGGAATAAAGTGGCGCATTCTGTGAACCCTTCGGGTCACAAGCTGTACCTGTGGTACAAGATGTCGAAGACATTGGCAGAGATGAGCGCGGATGAGCGCCAGAACGAGCTGGTGACAGAGATCGACGTGCTCTTCGGCGATGATCAGCCGTGGTATGGATTCGAAAAACTCGACATGCCCGTGTTGGACCACAAGGCGATCGTTGGGCGCGAAAGCGTGTGGCTGACGTACCGGAGAGGCGTGAAGCGTATGTCTGACAACCATTGTTGTCTTTCTGTAAATGACTGACTGAGCAACAGCACCCCCGCGAGCGCCGCCGTTGCACTTTTCTCATGACGGCCGGTTCAAGATCATGCAGATCGCAGACCTGCACTTCTCTGTCGCTCAGGGGACGTGCAGAGACACCGATCTCTCACCGTGCAGCGGCTCGGACAACCTGACGTCATCATTACTCTCGCGCATGCTCGACATTGAGCGGCCGGATTTTGTAGTTTTCACTGGGGACCAGTTGAACGGACAGGGAACTTCATGGGACGTGAGATCCGTACTTGCCAAGTTCTCTCGCAGCGTAGCAGAGCGCGGCATTCCCTGGGCCGCGGTATTTGGCAATCACGATGACGAAGACGGTGACAGCAGGGAGGCGCAGATCAAGTACATGCAGGGCCTGCCGTATAGCCTTGTCGAGGCGGGTCCCAAGGGCATCCATGGTGTCGGGAATTATGTGCTCAAAGTGAAGAGTGCTGATCCGTAAGTATTCTGACCTGAGCTCGCGATGCGTCTCATTTCTGACGATCGCTTTTGAAGTTCTATGATGCATCTTCTCACTTTGTACTTCCTTGACTCCGGATCCTATTCCAAAGGGTTTCTCAACTGGTTCGGTTTCTTCGTACCGACTGAATATGATTGGATTCACCAGGTGTGTCACTTTGATTTTTGGATGGTCGCGCATCTTATTTACTACCTTGGATGTAGGACCAAATTGATTGGTTCCTCGAGCAATCAGGTTTGTTGGTCGGACATTAATTCTGTATTCAGACTGATGTTTAGGCATCCAGCTTCCATTGACCCGATTGAGCGACCATTCACACCCGATAATGCCAAGGATATGGGCGATATTTGGGCGCGGCAAGCAGCAGATCAATTAACCCCCGACACGAGGAGACTTGCAAAGCCCAACGCACTTATGTTCTTCCATATCCCACTGTATGTCGTTCCTCATACTGTTGATCTGAGTCTCATAACACGTGCATTTTCAGCGAGGAGAGCTACGCAGCGGCTGACGTGAATCCCGACACTGGTATCCCGCTTGATGTTGGTCTACATGACTTGGAAGGCAAAGGATCGGCCAAGAAGCAGGACGGTTTCTTCCACAAGGGTTTGTTACAAGCCATGGAGAGCGATCATCGTGCTGGAGGAAACGCACGCGAAGTCAAGGTCGTCGGGAACGGACATTGTCATGGTCAGTCGTTCCTTTCTGCTGCTCGAATATACTGTTGAATTCCATCCGTCAGTCACTGAGAACTGCAGAAGGGTGCAGGGCGTGTGGTTATGCTTCGGCGGTGGAGGGTGAGTGTCTGACATGCCTCCTGGTTCTACCGTCTGCTCACGGCTGATCTGCCGTCTACATCTTAGGTCATATTCTGGCTATGGGCGGATTGGTTTCGATCGCCGCGTCCGCATCTACGACATCTCCGACTACGGCGAGACCATCCGTACGTACAAGCGTACCGAGCACAACGAAGTCATCAACGAAATAGTGCTCGCTGGGCGTGGTGCGCCCCCTCCATACGAAGGCATGCGCTAGGCGTTTCTTTATTGAAGGTTTGCGGAACGGGTAGAGTGTACGATGATACGGTGACGTTAGGGACTTTGTGGATATGTATTCTAGACATCGCTGCTCTGGTTATCAGAATCGCAGGTACCATTTTTGACCTTCTACCGTGAATGACTGCTATGTTGAAATCTCGAACGGCATTGCTCGATCACTTGTGTCGATAAGCGCCCATCCGCCGTAATGCTCAGGCCACTACCCTTTGCACGGATTTGGTGGAGAGTCCGTGTACAGCACAGACCGTTTTCTTTCACTGCTAACCAATACGCGGAAGTACAACACACATCACACATACCCTCCTTTCGACAGCAGATTACGCGCACCACCAACACCAGGCTCTTCAGCGATCGACTCAAATTCCCTTCAGTTAGAAACCAAGTCCTGGTGAGTCTCTTTCCTGCCAGCTAGAAGTACATTCTGACGACCTTCAGTGCTTCATCTATGGATCGATCTTAGTGTATTGGATTGCAGCGAGGGAGACTAATGTTGAGACCTACGTATGGTCGACCCGGCTCCAAGACTCTGGCATGGCGTGGAAGTTCAGGGCGCCGACCAATGACGAGATGAGGAGAGCGCGGTATTATCAGTTCGGCAAGGTGAGTATCCCGTCGATATTTTTCAGCGAGGTCTCACTGTGTAACAGAGCTTGCAAGCAGGGTTGGCGTCCCTCAACACCATAGTGAAGGAGTGGCCGCAGACGATTAAAGGCATTGTCACTTGGGCATACGTGCAGGTCGCGCAGCCAATACTCGACACCTCTGAGGGGAGGCGGGTGTGCTGGGGCATCGGGGCTGCGAATACACTCGTATGGTTGGCATGGCAGATGCCCCGGATGCAGCCCCTCTTGACGAGGAGCTTTGTGCACAACCCGATGTCCGGGCTGTCGTACACCCTGTTTACTAGCATCTTCAGGTGATGACACCCGTGCACCGACGTGGCGACATACGCTGACCGTTCTCTGGCCAGTCACAAGAGTATTATCCATCTCTTTATAAATTCCATGGCCCTCTCAGCTTTTGGTACGTCGTATGATTGCTGCTGTATTTCTCTCCACTGATGCTTGATGCAAGGGGCTGCCGTGAGCCATTCTCTCGCCAAAAGGCAGACTGAGAATCCGACATATTTGCGGGAAGCAACCGTGAGGTGGCACTTCCTCGCGTTCTTCATCTCTGGTGCGTCTTCTCGTATCGTCTCGCTCACTGCTGCTGACTGTTGTCGTTCACAGCCGGCGTGTTCTCAGGGCTAGTGTCGCACGTCGTCGCCATGCGCTTCATATTTCCGCGTCTCGTCTCCCGTCTGTCTGCGTCTGCAAGCAATACCGCACCTCCAGGCTCATTGGCTTCTGCCTCTTCGTTCGCGTCTGCCGCGACAGCCAGGGCCGTGACGTCGGCGTCGACCACGGTCGCCTCATCGCACGGTGCCTCTGGGGCCATTTATGCAACCCTTGCACTAACCGCGTTGGAATATCCTGACACAGAAATTGCGATGGCTATACCTCCAACATTCCCGTTACCAGTAACGTGGGGTGTGGGTGCTCTCGTAGCTGTTGATATATTGGGCGTGCTGCGCGGGTGGAGGTGTGTCTTCGTCTAGCCGTGCTACGGACTGGCCCGTGTGTTGATTTTGTGTGCTTTAGGAGGTTTAACCATTGGGCGCACCTGGGCGGTGTAGCTTTTGGAGCGCTGTACCATGCGTATGGCCCCCAAACGTGGGAGTATTGTAGGCTCATCACGCTTGGCCGCATGCCGCGCTCGCTGTCGAAGCAGAAGGAGCAATGATATATTCTGTCTCCTGACGGCCTATTCGCGTGACTCCCTGTACGCTGCAGTCGAGTTGAGCTGAGCGTCGACGAACTCTGAGTCCAATATTGGTTGCAATATCTGATAAGTTGTAGTGCTGAGCTTTATATCCGAAAGCTGAATTTCTATGAATGGCTCCGTGTGTGGAAAGACTGACCGGATGATTATTGGAAAGGGATTACCTATTGTGAGTTCGAAGTTATAAACAACTCCGGCTTCAGCTGTCCCGAATTACGGATGTTTACCTTATGTAACCTCCCAGTAGTATGCGTCGCGTATCGTGCGTGCAGTGCATCAAGCTGTTGGGCGCCGCCTCTCGTCTTGCAATTGCAGAGTTTTATGCACTGGTCTGAACAGCAAGGGGAGAGATGATATAAGCGCTAAATTGCCTTTTAAGGGTGGGAATGGCAATGGTCCCCATGACACGCTGCGCAGAGCCACTCATTCTCTTTCCTTCTGCCCTCATCTTCTCACCGCTGCTCAGACAGTGTTCGTAGCTGGAACTCGTTCGTTTCTTGTCACGGACCTTAATTTTCAGCACCGGCTGGTCGGGTTTCTCGGATTTAATCACAGCCACGCCGCGCAGTGCGCAGTTTCCGACACCCATTCCGATTATATTTTTTCCCCTTCCACTCCAGTCTCTTCCTTCCTCTTCGCCATGTACTTTCTGTCTTTGACATTAGCAGCCTCGGTCTTCTTTTCGCTGGCTCCAGTTATCATTGCTGCGCCGCATCCAACTGTACCGGTTGGCAAGTCTATCGCCCTCGTGCGCCGGCCAAAGCAACAGCGCGACCTTGCCGAACAGGGCTCCCACGCGCAGAGAAGACGACTCGCTTTGGAGGCTAAGTATGGAATTGGCAGCTACAAGAACAAGAAGCGGGAGAGCGGGAATAATTTGTGAGTGTATCGTTAATGTCGCGATGCCATCAGTTCGACGAGTGGCATTCAGTGCTCGTAAGGGAATACCCAGATGACTGCCCTTAAGGTCATGTTCGGGCATGCATGCAGCTCGCCTCCAATCTCGTATGCTGCGATGTCCCCTGCAGAGGCTGATCTTTCCGCCCAGACTGGTCAATCAGGACGCCGACTCCGATTTCTACGGCTCAATAGCTGTCGGAACGCCTCCCGTCTCCTACAACGTGATCCTTGACACTGGTTCATCAGATCTATGGCTCGCCAGTGCCACCACCACTGGCGCTGTCTCGAACGTGCCCAGCGGGGTACCCACATTCGAGCCGTCCAAGTCATCAACTTTTCAATCGCTTAATCAATCGTTTCAGATCCAGTATGACTCGGGTGCGGCGCAGGGTGTACTAGCCAAAGATACCGTGCAGATGGCTGGTTTCGAGGTAGCAGGGCAGGAATTCGCGGTAGTCTCTGAGGTGTCTCAGGGTCTGCTGAACGCACCTGTATCCGGGCTTATGGGCATGGCATGGCAGCAGATCGCGTCGTCGGGTGCGACTCCGTTCTGGGAGACGCTCGAGCAGACGAGTGGTTCGCTTTCGGAGCCGCTTATGGCGTTTCAGCTCACTCGTTTCGGAAATGACACGAATGCACGCCAGCTGGAGCCCGGAGGAACATTCACCCTCGGCGGCGTCGACTCCAGTCTCTTTACCGGCAACATTGACTACCAGGATATTCCTAGTGGAGAAATTGGCTACTGGATCCAGGAACTGAGCGGTGCGCGAGCTTTATTCCGCTGTGATGTATATTACTGACTTTCTTGTAGGCCTTACATCGCAGGGTCAGGCTGTTTCCTTGGAGAACGGATCTGCATCGTACGCTGCCATCGATACGGGCACGACCCTTGTCGGTGGACCCGCGTCTGCTATTGCTGGTATCTTCGCCGCAATTCCTGGTAGCGCACCGGGCACTGGGCAGTATGAGAACTATTACACCTATCCTTGCTCGACCTCGGTGAACGTGACGCTCAAGTTCGGCTCGAGTTCGATCGCGTGGCCAGTTTCGAACGCAGACTTCATGCTTGAGCAAATCTCCTCGGACACGTGTCTGGGCGCGTTCTTCGTTGTGGACAACTCGGGAACCAGCGCGCCAGCATGGATCGTCGGGGACACGTTCCTTGTGCGTTTATTGTCAGCGGTTGTTCGTTCCACTGCTGATACCCGAACTCCACAGAAAAATGTGTATACGGTTTTCAGTGCATCACCCCCGTCTGTTGGCTTTGCGCAGTTGTCGAGCACTGCGTCGGCTATGAATGGCGTGAACGCAGCGGTGCCCTCGCCTACCATCGGCTCAGTGACTGGAGCCGTGAGCGCGACGGGCGTGAGCCCGAACCAGGACCCGGTCAGCAATGGTGCCAGTCCTTCACATGATAGCATGAGTGTGCTGTTGTTACTTGTGGTTGGCACCGTTGTCGGCTGTCTTGTTTGATTGTGGTAGTCCATTGGGGGTCCGTGATCTCCAGATATATACCGTTACGATCGGACGAAGGAACGAAGTGGACTTTATACTCTAGTGCGTTATTAATCGATTGCTCTTGGTTCAGCACTATGTCTAGTTGCGGTGTTCATAGACTTTGTTTGCACGGATTTTGGTTGCGTTCGCTGTCCGCTGTGTAACAATGCTCAGGAATGTTGATTTGTTCCTGCATTTTGAACTCATTATGTGTGGTGCCACGCTCGTATTTCACAGGCAATATTATGGTGTCGCGAGATCGCGTCTGCGACTAGCACCTCGTTGTCTTTTTGACAAGATTGGCGGGCACCCCAGAGAGTGGAACCGCAAGCGGGTCTGGGGGAAAGACGGCTCTCCAAGACATGTCGCCTTGGACTCCCATGTATCATGCAGCAACGCGAAATTTGCTCTGAATATCGTGCAGCTTTCTGATGAGACGTTGTTTTTCCACCATCGGCAACAAAGACAAAGTTATATCTGCGGTCCGCGAGGTGCGCTCAATTTGTACACTGTTCCCCGCTCGGCTCCTGATCTACATAGAGTATCGTTCCCTGAGGCTCTTCCTTGCTGGTCATTCCCTCGGTGGATTCTCTTCCGTACGCATCTATCTGTCGACGCACCACTTTCTCTTACTCGCTGTTTATGCAGGAGGCAGCCTGGAAAATGGCAGTTGTCTGGAACAGTTCGCAGTTCTCTTATAGTTACACATTGTTGAACTTGAATTCGGTTTGTTACCGCTGAATGAATTAAATGCGACGTCCGTGTTGCGCAGATTATTAGGTTTGTGTTCAGTCAAACGACGAAACGATGGACACCTCGTCGGAGCGGCCAGTTATCCCTCACGTCACGTGTAAGCCGACAGGACGCGTCGCGTGTCAGAGCGCTTCACTTCTTCTGCTTACCATCACCTGCAGAACGACTGTCTTCTTCATTCTAGTAACTGTAGCTTTCCTTGGACTGACATAATTAAAGAAGATCATAAAGGAATAATCATTTCCCATCTCAGAGACACTGGCAAAGGGTTTCCATTTTTCCCAATGCTCTGAGAAGCTCATTTTACCGGAAACTACTGTTTGTGTTCGTACGATCCTGAATATATGCATCCCATTTACAACTCACTGCTCATGCTTGTGTTGCACAGTCAATAGATACTGAGAAATCATCGGGATACGCCCGCGTAGACAGTCTACTTTGAAGCTGGGAGAACTTGAGGATCACCATGCTCTGGACTTTGCGCGCATACCCTCTCCGCTTCTGCATACCTCAAACACGGCGCTCTCTATCCGCTTGTCCGTCTCGCCGATTTCCTCGAATAACGTCGCACCATGTTCGCCCCTACCGAGCTCCGGAAGCACCTCACGTTCCTAGCTTTCGCGAAGAGCTTGCCAAGACTGAGGTGGAGATGCTCGGCGAGAACACGCGAATACCCCCTACTGTCAGTAACCAGATACTCGTATGTGCCACCTTTTTTTCACTCTGCGTCTTGCTACAGTGATTTTCAGTTCTTCCTAGTAGGTTCGACACTCGCGTTCGGCGCCGCTGCGCGGTGGACTAACGAAGATACGCTGTATTGGACGAACAAGATATCGGAATCAAGTTTGGCGTATATGCTACGGGTGCCGACAAACCGCGAGATGGCTGCCGCGCGATACGAGCACCTGGTTCAGGTGCAGTGCATATATGTATCTATTCATCACTGGCTGACCTGCAGCCTCAGAGATTGAAGGCGTCTATCGTCAAAATCAACGAGTCGATACAGGGCTGGCCGCAGTCACTCAAGTCGCTAACAATTTACACCGTGGTGGAAGGCGCGAATGAAGCACTGAGGGCTTCGGAAGGGTGGCGGGTCTGCGCGGGGATAGCTGCCGTGAACGGGCTGGTGTGGATGGCGTGGGCCATCCCTCCGCTTCAGACGTTCATGATGCGCAGCTTCACGCACCACCCGCTGTCGGGACGTTCGTACACGATGCTCACCAGCGTGTTCAGGCGAGTGCGCCCTTTTGTCGGGACGGATCCTTTTTTCTGATGCACCGATCGGCAGCCACCACGGTTTCATACATCTCTTGTTCAATTGCATGGCTTTGACAAGCTTTGGTACGTTTCTCTTTTGTGCCTGCATTTCGCGCCTGCTGACTTTTGACAGGATCCGCCGCGACGTCGTATTTTGGAAAACAGCAGCAGAAGGACCCCTCTAACCTGCGTGAATCTACGCCGATATACCACTTCCTTGCATTCTATGTGTCAGGCAAGTTAGCCTGTGTCTCGATCACAGCGATGCTGATGCTCTCATTTTTCCAGCGGGCATATTCGCCTCACTCGCTTCGCACGTCGCGGCGTCGCGGATACTCTACCCGCGCCTGGTAGCCGCGGCAGCAGCAGCGATACCAATCTCAGCGGCGAAAGCCGGGAAAGTGGCAGCGAAGAAGATTTTCCCGTCGCTGGGAGCGTCCGGCGCGGTCTACGCCGCGGTGGTGGTCACCGCGCTCGCGTTCCCGAATAACAGCGTAGCCCTGATTTTCCTCCCTGGCCTGCACTTCCCCATCCTGTGGGGCGTGGGCGGGATGGTCGTCATGGACGTGATGGGTGTGCTGCGGGGGTGGGCGTGAGTGCACTGGACAGTCTTACGTGATACCTGGTGTCTGACGTGCGTTTCGCGCAGGTTGTTTGACCACTACGCGCATCTCGGAGGGGCGGCGTTTGGTGCGTTGTACTTTATGTATGGCCCGTCGGTGTGGGAGTCCTTCCGGATGATGACCCTCGGCTCGATGCCTCGCTCGCTCTCAGGCACCGCGCGCAAACAGTCGTAATTGCTGAGTCGTTTGGTATCTGCTGTCGATAGTTGATTATTACCACTGCTCAAATGCCTGGATATTTACTAATGATAGCCTGTTGTTAATTCAACAAACATCTTTTGTTCTCAACTCAGCGTACGACATCGCGTCAACCCCTATTCGTTTTGACGGAAAAACTCAATTGCAATTAATGCGGATGTACAACAGCTGCATTTTTTTCCCCAGCAGCTGGTCAGTATTCTGGAGGAAAATTAAACGTCTGAATGAAGTACAAGTGACGCGTCCGTTCGGGCATATGTCGCCCGTCCCACGGTACCGGCGGACGGTACGTCTTGGACTGATCTCGCTTTGAAAGTTTGTCGCGTTTCTTTGGTGCCGTCGTCTGCCTTGTCATAACAATGGACCAGGCTTAGGGCATTCGTCTCCGTTAGTACCAGTCTCTAGTACTCTCGAAGATGGACATACTGTAGTTCTCTGGTACACATTCTCGCAAAGCTACTTGCGGAAGTAGCGGGACAGCGATATAGTGCATTCCACTAGACCAGCAAATACTGTCACGGTTTTTCTCGGTTACTGTATGGGTCTCTGGCTCACCCACAGTTTTACATTGGCAAATATTCCTGAGGCGACAACTTGCCATCCTAGGCTGCAGTTGAACTATTTGCAGCCGTTGGCATAGTACACTCAACTTGCCTTTGCTAAGTTATAGAACTTGTTGGAAAGTAGCGCCCAAATTTCTGGAGCTCCAGAAATTGGGGAGCGCCCAAGGGCAGACAAGCCGAGGGCATGATTACAAAGACAAAGAAGGAAATTTGCTTATATAAAGTGGAGCGTCTAGAACTGTATATATACAGAAATCTATTTTAGGACGCGTAATCACGCGCCCCGACGCATCTTGACCCGCCATCACTACCTTCCTATTTGGGAACTAAGGCATGATTTCTAACAGGTTATGAGCCCCGGCTCTAGCCAATAAATACTCGGATAACAACAGCCCCTATTGTGGCTACAAAAATTGTTACCCCCTTACTAGTATGAGAACAAATAATGTCGACCAGCACTGATAATACGAGCAATAGCAATGCTTACCGGATTCCGCTCCTGAAAGAAGACAATTGGCTCTCGTGGAAGCGCCACGTCGAGGCCATCCTTAATGATAAGGGTCTCCAGGAGTATGTGACTGGAAAGACACTGAAGTCGCAGCCGAGTAATGACCCGGCCAATAGGGCAGCGAGAGAGGCGGAGATTAGTGTCTGGAGAGAGAAGGACCTCAAGGCCCAGAACGTAATTGTGCTATCGCTGGGAGATTCCCAGATGGTGCACATCGCTGGAGCTGAGACGGCACGGGCCATGTGGGAGCAGCTCCGCACAGTCAAGGAACAGCGTGGACAGCATGGAATTCTCGTGCTGTGCCGGCGTTTTTACCAGATGCAAGCCAAGGAAGAAGACAATATCTCCAATCATATCACACAGTTGCGACAGATCCAGGAACAACTCCACCTAATGGGGAAGGTTGTTTCTGATGAGGATTTCCGGCTCATCCTGGCCACTTCATTACCGGAGTGTCACGGGGGCCAGTCGTGCCACCGTACATCCGGTTCATCATCGTCAGTGACTAAGCCTTCGCAAGGGCTCAAGTCAATCATGAGGGGTCCGACCTCCAGTCATAGCGATAACCAGAGGTCGGCCCAGTGGAGTAGTCTTATGAATGCTTGGCTGCTGTCTGCGGACCAAGGTCGATCTATTGCACAGATGTAGATGGTAAAACTGGTTGATGTGTAACCAGGACAAGATGGGGACTCCAGCTTGTCCTGTCGGTCTTATATACAAGTACAGGTGTCTGTCTACCTGTAATACTAGAACTACGATTGGTCCATCGGTCTCAATACAAGGGCACAGGGTTCGTATACCTGTCCCACGGTCGTGAGAATGCTGAGTCAGTCATGACTCTGCATGAGAGACAATCTGTCCATATGGAGATAAGGTCGTGCTGCAAAGACAAGGCAGCAGCGAGGTTGTCGTGCGTCTAGCGCATGTATCAGGGTCTAGGGCCATGCCCATGAGGTTCGGTATCTGTATCGTAAGGGTAAGGCAAAGGTGAGGCAAACATGCCTTTGTCGCATGTGTGATAGGAAGTGCGTCCTAGGTCTGGATCTTGTACATGAGGTAAACATGCCTTGAGCACAAGGTGCATATCATCAGATGATCTGGTAGATCCGTGCCGGATAGATAAGGGCGATGACCATGATGACATCATGGTCATGTGGTCAGTGACATCATTGTCACATGGTTAGTCTAGGCTCTGTGATGTCATTGTCACGTGATCGGTAAAGGTAGAGGCGGAAGTCGTCCGCGCGTTCCTCAGAGAGGAGCTTTGTAACACAGAGAGCTGAGATTCTTTCCTCAGCTCTTACTTTGGCGCCGAAGGTGCTGACAACGTGCACCCTCAGCTTACATCACAAGAATTGATTGCCATCATTCTTGATGAAAATAGGCGAAGGCACGAGCGTGGCGAGCGTGGTCAATCCTCGGACCAAGCCATGGTTGTCAAAGGAAAGAAGCACCCCTTCGGGGAATACAAAAAATGTTCAATCTGCGGAAAGCCGGGACATCTTGGTAACGAGTGTCGGCACTGCGACAAGGTCAAATGTATGAATTGCGGAAAATTCGGGCATAAGGCCACGGATTGTTGGGCTAAAGGTGGCGGCAAAGCCAGACAGGGCCCGCCGATGAAACAGCAAAAGATGAAACGTGCTTACGAAGCACGTGAGGTCGAATCGAGAGAGGATGAGGCAAAAATAGCCTACGATAATGATAGTGACACTGTATCTCTCGAATCTGATGGCGAAATCACTTCTTTCTATGAGTGGTTTGCCGACTCTGGGACAACTTCACACATTACAAATCGTTGTGAAGTCTTCGCGACCTATCAGGTGCTCGAAGATCATGTGATCATGGGCATCGGACCGCAACCAACACAGGCATTGGGCCGCGGTACGGTCGATGTCGAAAGTGAAGTAGGAGACCAGAAAGTGAAATTCCGTCTCTACGGTGTACTGTATGCGCTGACAGCACCCAATAGCCTCCTCTCCATCACGTGTTTGGATGACGTGGGAGGAAGAGTACTTATGGGTAATAGTCGCGCAATACTAATAGATAAAAATAAACACACTCTTGCTATAGGCAAGAAAAATGGACGACTATATTCGTTGAAATTGCGTCCAATAGTTCCACAACCTGCGCGAACCTATACTGCTAAGGAATATGGCCCGCATACCCAGGAAGAGTGGCACAAGATCTATGGCCATATTGGGAAACTAGCGCTTATGCGATTATATCGCGAAGGGCTTGTTGATGGCCTAGAAATCTCACCAAGCTCAGATGAAATTAATTGCGAGGTGTGCATTCAAGCAAAGGTGACGCAGAAGCCATTTCCCAAAGAGACGGATGAATGCAGCAAGGTACCCAGAGAATTAACACACACAGATGTGTGGGGACCTGTGCAGACAGCCACTCTACAAGGGTGGAAATATTTTATTACATTTACCGATGATTACAGTCGTCGAAGTACAGTATTATTTATGAGGCATAAAGATGAAGTAACCGAAAAGATAAAGAATTATATTACCTATATCGAGTGCAAGTTTGGAAACAAACCCTTGCGACTCAGGCTCGACAATGGTCGAGAATACATGAACACCGAATTAATTAACTGGTGTCAAATGAAAGGGATCGAGATGGGTCCGACTGCGCTGTACTTACCATCCCAGAACGGGGTCTCTGAGAGATTGAATCGCACACTGCTTGGACTAGCGCACGCAATGATCTATGCGAGAGATCTATCTCGTTATCTTTGGGCTAAAGCGATTGCTCATGCAGTTTATATTAAAAATAGATCGCCTACCCAGGTGTTAAATGGGGCAACTTTTGAAGAAAAATGGAATGGGACGAAACCAAATATCTCGTACCTACAAGAATTCGGTTCCCTCGTATGGGTCCTCACGGAGGACGCAACACTATCAAAGCTAGCGCCCCGTGCCAACAAGTATATTTTTGTTGGATACATGGACGGACCCAAAGCCATCAAATATTATGATATGCACATGCACCAGATTAAAATCTCGCGTAATTTCCAATTTTCTTCGAATTCCCCGGACCATTTGCCCGGCAATGCGCCTCACGTGCCACAAGAGCAAATAGGATCCGACGTACCTATCCTCACAGCACAGCGTGAGGGGGAGCAAAATATATTTCTGAGCACCTTACCTAGCAATGCGTCAGACGTGCTGCATGCGGAAAGGAGACCCGAAGTCCCAAACCTCACAACGACCGCAGACGTGCAGCGCGAGGGGGAGTTAGGAACTTTTGCACCACAGTCACCTGCCAAAAATTCACGAAAGTGCAGATGGGATGATGATCCTGATCAACATGAGAAAAGCAGGATGGACGCACCAAGCCAGCCCAGATGAACCAGAAGAAAGACAGTTCAGCATGATTACTGTCTAATGCACAACCCAGAGGCAGATGAAGATCTGGATAATGATCCAGATAAATCAGATGCCGAATTAGTCTATATTGCAATGAGCGCCCACAGAAATGCGGACGCGGACGAGCCAAAGATGCTCAGTGATGCCAAGAGATCACTCGAGTGGCCCAAATGAGAACAGGCAGTCCAGACGGAACTCAATCAACTACAGGGTATGAAGACTTGGGAGTTAGTGGAACCTCCCGAAGATCGAAAACCCATAGGAAATAAATGGGTTCTAGTCAAGAAAACAAACAAAGAGGGTGAAATAATTAAATACAAAGCCCGCCTGGTTGCGAAGAGATATTCTCAAATCCCAGGCATGGACTATACCGAGACGTTCGCACCCGTAGTCCACCTCAAAACCATTCGAGCTATCCTCGGGCTAGCCGCAATCTTAGATTGGGAGATCGGACAGATGGACGTGAAAGGCGCCTATCTTAACGGAACTCTCAAAGAAGAAGTGTACATGCAGCAACCCGAAGGATACAGCGATGGAACGTATTGCGTATGTAAATTAAAGAAAACCCTCTACGGGCTAAAGCAGTCTGGCCGAGAATGGAATATCATGCTGAACCGCAAGTTACTAGACGCGGGATTCAAGCGCCTATTCTCGGATCCATGTGCGTACATTCAGATCAAAGGTGATAAGATAGAAATCGTCACCATTTGGGTAGACGACCTATTAATATTCACCGATGATTGCGCACTAATGGACCAATTGAAGAGCGAACTCCGAAATATGTTCGAAGTTACCGACCTTGGCGAACCCTGGAAAATTGTGGGGATAGAAATTGAGAGAGACCGTTCAAAGCGGACAATCAAAATCTCTCAGACAAAATATATTGAGTCTATCCTACACAAGAATGGGCTTACGAACACCAACACAGTTGGGATGCCTCTTGATCCAAATACAGTGCTTGAAAAAGAAGAACCCGAAACTGATGATGAATGCGACTGAGACAACGGATATGCATCGCTTGTCGGATCACTGATGTATGCGGCAATTGCCACGAGACCAGACATTGCTCACGCCGTGCAACGGCTTAGCTCATTTACTGCCAATCCCAGAATGGCTCATTGGACTGCTGCTAAATGCATCCTCCGCTATCTATCTGGAATGCGAGAACTTGGAATAATCTACGGGCCAATTGCAGATGTCAAGCCTGAAGATCAATCCATATTTGTGGGCTACTCAGATGCAGACTATGCGAACGATATCCGAGATCACAAATCAATCTCGGGATATTTATTCAAATTAGGAAATGGCACGATCATGTGGAGCTCAAATAAGCAAACCACGGTCGCGTCATCCACCACAGAAGCCGAATACATGGCATCTGCCAAAGCGGCAAAAGAAGCCGTGTGGCTCCGAACACTATTCAAAGAAATAGGTTTCGAGCAACAAGATCCTACAATTTTATTCGAGGGTAATACGGCGGCGATCTCAATCGCATGTGATCCCCAATTCCATGCGAAATCAAAACATTTTGATGTAAAGCATCATTATGTGCGCGAGAAATTGAGGGATAAATATATTGATATCCATTACTGTCCCACAGAGGACATGATAGCGGATATCCTAACAAAGTCACTCCCTAAGCCGAGGCACGAGAAGCTCGCAAAGAAGCTCGGAATGCCCATCGGCTTGAGGGGGAGTGTTGGAAAGTAGCGCCCAAATTTCTGGAGCTCCAGAAATTGGGGAGCGCCCAAGGGCAGACAAGCCGAGGGCATGATTACAAAGAAAGACAAAGAAGGAAATTTGCTTATATAAAGTGGAGCGTAGAACTGTATATATACAGAAATCTATTTTAGGACGCGTAATCACGCGCCCCGACGCATCTTGACCCGCCATCACTACCTTTCTATTTGGGAACTAAGGCGCGATTTCTAACAGAACTGAGCAAACAGGAAATTCTAACTGCGCTCTTTTAGTTGGTGACTATGAAGTCGCGATAGTTGCCCGTTTCGGTATGTTAACTGCCCCTTCAGGAAGGCGCCGCATCTCCCACGCCTTTCTACCTCGTCGAAGAGCTTCATGTTCTAATTTAATGTTGTACTCACTGCTCCGCTCAGGCATTGCACTTTTCCTTGATCTCAAGCATGCGAACTCACCTCTCGCGAAAAACCAGGCGGCTTCTTCCTGTTTCAAGCCTGTCGAGTATCTGGCCGGCAATGGAGCACGATTGCGTCCATGGATTTATCTCGAAGTGCGCATCCATAGAACAACCTATTCTGCCCACGAATTTGTTTCTCTTCTCTTTTCTTATCCTTCGAATTGAATCCTAGTCTCAACTCATTTTGTATGGCATGCAGGCGCGATGTTTCACGATGAGTTGTGAGAGTCCCTCGCGCCTCCTAGGATATGTTCTGCAAGCAGTACAATGACGCTCGTGGAATTGGAGGTCTCGGTATGCATTGTGAGTCTGACGTACTGCACTGTCAAGCCTTTTTAATTGACGAGCCTACAAACCTTGTGGTGAAGTTATGAGTCGTGCACCTGTAGTCGCGGATAACATAGGGGTGAAAGACGCGACAGGCATTTGCAGTAGGAGTCCTGCCTTCATGACCCTTCTCCTATTGTCATGCCTCCTCGATAAGTCATCTCGGAGTGCCATTGAAACATAAATCTGTGAGTTCATGTACCTGCTTATAACAAAGACATGACCCCTGGCAGTCGGGGTACTCAGCCATTGACGCCCAGGATCCTTGTGGACTTTGTCGCTGAAGTCACATCCCGACTCATGCTCAGCGTCGCGTCAATCACCACATGTGTATTTTCAGAATGGAGGACAACACGTTAGTCATTGGGACGGAAGCTTCTACCCAGTCCTTTGACCGTCGGTCAAACCCCTGGCCGATACCTAAATGATATACGCCTCTAGTCGCGTCTGAGAAATTGACGCGTTCCCTGTCACGTCGCACGTGATCCACTGGGTGATTTAGCGTCAGGCTATATTGACCTGCTCAGTCTACAGCCGGGTCATTCTTTTCCTCCCACGTCACCACCATCATTTTTGCAACAAGTTCCCGCCCAGAAATCAACTTGTACGTCCTCCCTAGCATTTTGGACGTCTTTGTGCCGACTTTTCAGTCTGTCAATTAGTACTCACAAAGATGTGGGAGGAAGAGCCTCATCAGCACCATCAGCACCATCATCACCACCACCACGAAGACGTATATATCGTGTCTGACGATTCTTCGTATGTACTCTTGCGCCCGCCGGCTGAGCGCCGGCACTTCGGACCGCTGTTCCAGGACGAGGACGAGAACGGGGACGACAGGCGGCTGCACTTCCAATACTCGCAGTGCACTGGGAGGAGGAAGGCGCTTTGCGTGCGTTTGTGAACCCCTTCTATTGTACACATCTGAAACTTGTTCTGATAGATCGGTATCAACTATATCGGTCAATCCGAGGAGCTCAAGGGATGCATCAACGATGCACACAACGTGCGCCGGTTCCTGTGTGGTAGGTATCGCTCAGTCCCTCTTCTCTTGGTGCTTATACACGTATCCAGAGGACTATGGATACCAATATGAAGACATTGTGGTGCTAACGGACGACTCGTCGAACCCCCGCTCGATTCCGACGAAGGAGAACATGGTAAAAGCCATGTCTTCCGACTTTCCTTCGGCCGGCTGATGCACAACGCAGATCGAAGCAATGAAGTGGCTCGTCAGTAATGCCCAGCCGCATGACGCACTGTTCTTCTATTGTGAAGTCGTCCTACTGTCTCGTCGATGCCAATCCTGACCGTGCGATAGACTCGGGTCACGGTGAGCAGACGAAGGATATGAACGGAGATGAGCAGGATGGGTATAATGACGTGATCTACCCTGTTGATTTCCAAGAGAATGGCCCTCTCGTGGACAATGTACGTACCTCGTCCTGTCTGCGTCTGACACCCGAGATCCATCCACCGATATCTGGACACTTCAAACAGATGCTGCATGATATCCTTGTGAAGCCATTACCTCCTGGCTGTAGGCTTACCACAATATTCGACGTAAGGGCACCCTTCGGTTAGATGCGGTGTAAACTCATTGTACGTTTCTTTTGCAGTCTTGCCATTCCGGTACTGCTCTCGGTGCGTCGTCTCTCAAATCTCCATTTAATTTCCACAATTCATCGCACTGATCATCGCAGATCTACCGTACATCTACAACCACTATGGCAAGATAAAGGAACCCGGTTTCATTAAGAAAGCGTCGCAAGGCCTACTCACCGCATTCGCTGGTTGCGGCTTCGTACGTTTCACATTATATTCCTCTTCCTGCATGATGCTTACGGCATTTGCGCTGCAGGCTCGTGCATTCTCCTCGGCAATTGAGTTCATGGAGCGTCGCTTGCGGCAGACGAAGACGAGCCCGGCAGACGTGGTACGTATTGCGATGTCTCCTTCGCTCAGAGGTTGCTGATATCTCGCTCCGACACGTGCTGCGCTGAAGATATCATGGAGCGGATGCAAGGACTCGCAGACGAGCGCGGACATGTTCGAGGCAGACCAGGCGACGGGCGCGATGAGCTACGTGAGTCAGATTTGCAGTTATACGCTCTTCCGCTAACTGATCCTCATCTCCCGGATGCAGGCGTTCATGACCTCGCTGAGTAGGCACCAGCCTGAGCCTCCTGCCATAGAATCATGCTGACAGGACGTATAGGGCAGAACAGGCACCAGAGCTACCAGCAGCTCCTCGTCAACCTTCGGTGCGTATGAATCTCTTGTACTGGGATGTCTTCGGTCTGACACGACTTTTCCCAGCGGCATGCTGCCACAGCATTACAACCAGACCCCACAGCTGTCTAGCTCGCATCCGATGGTGAGTCCTTCTGGAACTATCCGCGATCGGGTTGATGTGCATGTGTAAATATAGGACACTCGCTTGTTGTTCATCTGTTGAGCTCACGTCAACCTCGCGACTTAAAGATATTCCGATGCCGTTGAATATACAATTACAGAGCCGGAGCTCAGCGCTCAGCAGGGGAAGAAGCTCATTGATTGTGGGAGCCTTGCAAATCTATAGGATGTAGTAGGATTCTAATAGTACTTGAATGGTGGGGTTGTTGAAAATCCGTGACCTATGACCATCCGGATTGGTCGTAAACCTATAGTGGATGCCTTCCCGTAGGATTTGGAGCACTTCTAAATCACAAAGCGGACTGCGAAACACCCCACTGTGTCGGAACAGCAGGATTTGTGAAACCGTAGCGTCGCAACATGATGATGATCAAACCAAGTTCTAGAGGGTCGGAGGACGAGCGGCAGCATGATGTAAGCAATATGCAGCACCAAATATAGGCAAAGATGGGCATTGCGAGTGAGCGGAGACCGAAATCATCGTTTAGAGAGACGTTTAGAATCTGGAAGGGGGGGTCGACCCCCCCTTCCAGATATAAGGTTTAGAAAGAGCTCACTCTGCTCTCACGGTATGCGGAGATCAATTTGCCGACGTGCCGGCCTGATTTAGAGACGAAATTTAGTTTAGAACGTTTCTAAACGGCTACGGGAAGGCATCCAGGATGGTGCTTTTCTGGCTCTCCGTCATGTGACCGTGAATCCGGCTGAGCTCGGCATTTGGAAGCGTGTTCAAGCGGCGGCAAAGCGCACGTCCTGCAGTCTTCTCCATCCATGGGCCCTCTGGTCGCCCAAGTTTCAAGGCAACAACACAACCGTACAAGCACGACAGCAGCTCCAAAGATAGCTGATCTTGAAGAAAGTCACTTTCTTCTCCGAAGGCGACTCGGTTCATCTCTACTGGTCAACAACTGCAGAAATTATGGTAAGCTGTGGTTCGACGTTGTGCAACTTCATCTTCATTGTTGGAGGTTCTGCTTTCTCTACGTCTATACCAGCGTCTACTGTCTTCGGCGACTTCTTTGAATACAGGTTTCAATCCTGCTCAACCGGAAGTCAGCAAGACTCGTGATGGTCCAACCTGAGATACATGGAGGACATTAGCGGTATGCTCATTGTTTTGTATGATAACCATGTGTATGTTTTATTTTCAGACCACTGCGCAGACTCACTGATCCCCGCGCATCGTTGTCATTTTCTCCGTCGCACTCATTCGAGTATACAACAAATACTGCATCAAGTCAATCCGCTCAAAGCTGTCATCCTTGCCAAATCTGCCCACTATGACGACTTCGCCTCAGAGAACTAGTCCTCACTTTCGACGAAAGATTAAGATACAGTTAACCTCCCAACTCTCTCACGCCAGACGGGTTGCCTGGTTTCCTGTTGAAACCCTCTTCGTTGGCCGTCTTCACAGCACGGGCCGTACGGGAAGCTATTCAGGGCGGTCCTGTTCAGAGGCCTTTATGTGCGACACCTCCGATAGTCCTTCCGCTGTGCATAAAGACGCTGAGTTTTTGTACAACTCGCACGCTGATGTCCTTGCACTAAGTCTAACCCCCGTGTGCGTGTGTTCTCGAGCCGCTTGTCGCTATGGTTCTAGCTTTACGTCAACTCCGAGAATATGGTCTAGGAACGCACGGCATCAAGGGCGACCTAATCACAGCTTCCGATGGTTATGGGCGTGAAGATAGATGATTCGGGAAATGTGATGGAATGCAACGAAGGTAAGTGGTGACAATGACTCAATATTTGGATAGCTGGGTAACGAGTTACTGATACATATCTTAGCGTGCGCTTCGTAGGGTGGGGTGTCAGTTACACCTTGCCAGACCTCATCCAAGTGCTAACCGTCATGCGTTTCAGCCAGGTGCGTGCGCGGTACCATGGTGGATATTTGGTTCAATTTGCTCTCAAGCCTGGACCAGCCCGTGGGTTTTGCTCACATCTCACGCCTCACCAACACAATAGCGCGCTCTCGACGATTCGATTCTATGAGTGCGTATCCATCTTAGCCTATAGCAACGCAGATTGATATTCTGGCTGAAACCTTGTCATATCTACACAAGATATCTGCACGTGCAGCTGTTCTCGCCTTCTCGGTCATCGTGCACAACATGGTAGGCCCTACATACCGTCTTGATCTACTTTCACTACCCTCATCGCCCTCACCTGATACATCTGAGAGCGAAGCGAGTGAACAGAGGCTCTTGAACATTATCAACGCCGAACGCGAGAGCTTTGAGGCGCTCGTCGCGTTCACCGACCGAAAACTGAGCCTTTGCCCGTTCTCCGGAACAAGCACCATGACCAAAGGGCGCGCGTGCAGGCAGTCGTTCTACTTCTCGCGTGCGGGCGTGATGTGGACCCTCTACTCATGCTGCGGTCGACATGCTCTCTGTCGCGCACAGACTTTTCCGACGCTGAAGAGTAATGCGAGCTCAATCTTGTGCAGGCGTGCAAGGCGGACTTTGCAGAACCGGCAGCGGAGGTGTATGGATGCAGATCCCATCTTGTTTGGTCTTGCGATAGAGCCTGAGCGGTGTGGTTTGTTGCTGTATTGTCCCACCGCGACGCCTATGGTCTACTGTTGCTGCTCTTCTGCTACATTAATGCCCGTATGAAATTGTAGGTTTCCTGTTCACACCGTGGTATCTGAGGTTATCTCTTGTTCCGTATGCTTATTCTGGTCTATCCGTCTAGGATAGTTAACTGGATTACTACCTGCACAAGGGATGTACAGGTGACCACTTGTTATGGAGCTTCGTGCTTCTCCCCATGCGTACGTACCAAATGAGGCTGCCCCTATCTTGCCGCTTGAGATAAGACCTACCTACCTACCCGCAATATCTAAACACCAACCAGTGCAGTGCAGTGCAGTACTTTCGCAGATGGATCCAGTTAACGTGCTGCAGCCCGTCAGGGACGCCGAGTTCTACTTCGAATATATTGTTTTTCTTGTAAGTTCCATAAGCTGTATACGCGGTCTCATCAATTCATTGTAGCGGCAGGTCGAGGGCACCCTCTTTAAGGTCACTCGTCGTAACCTCGAGAGCGATTCCGAGGTTTTTCGTGATATGTTCGCGATGCCCGTCTCAGGAAATGCCACTGCAGACGGCTCTGACGACGAGCATCCTTTGCGTCTCGAGGGAGTAGCAAAGGAGGACTTCGCCCAGTTGCTGCGAGTTATTTATCCCAAGTAAGCATTACAATTGACTACCAGTTTGCAGTGTTAATTGACGAGAAACAGGTATTACGAACAGAGCGAGCAATTGACGAGTGAAGAGTGGATTTCAGTCCTCAAGCTCTCCAGCATGTGGAACTTCGAACGTATCCGAACAACAGCCATCCGAAACTTGTCACACAACATGCAGGGTGATCCTGTTGGGAGGCTGGTGTTGTCGAAGAAGTATGCCATCGGAGAATGGATGGTACCTGCGCTGAACGCACTCGCTCGCCGGACACAACCACTACAAAGAGCCGATGTGGATGCAATTGGTTTGGACGATGCACTGAAGCTGGCAGAAGTGCGTGAGGTTTTCCGGGGTTCGAATAGCACCTGTTACTGTACATGCACCAAATGTGCCGCACAACACGGATATGGAACCAGACAACCAGCCGACAGAGAGAACTATGACTTCACTCGGGAAATCTTGCAGATCTTTGATTTACAGTCCGCCCCCCTTGTTCCTGTGTACGCTTTACGTTATTAATAATTTTTCGCCGAATATACAGTGTAACGGCATGGCACTTTGCACACCATATAGCCTTTACTAGGTTTTCGGAGCTCACACGATATGCTGCCCAAATCTGAGGAGACATAAAGTTTCTAAGATGCCTTAGGATGTATCTACCAACTTTTGCGACATTTTATTCGGGACGGGAGAGGAACATACAGCCCTCGGATTGAGCAAGGTCAGAACTGCACGAACTGCACGACTTTGCACACCCGTGGGAACCGTCCGTCAGCCTGCTCCCAGCGCGGCGCGAGTGAGAAGCGCCCGCTTCACGACGCGTCGGGACTACTTCACGAGCGAGCCATAAATCTTTCCTACAGGACACAGTTCTGCTCTAATCCCTTCTTAGCAAGTGAACAAGATGTTCAGAAACATGTCAGCCTTCTGTATAAAATAGTGTTTTTGTGTGAGAGGACCATCATTTTGTAGCATTTACTGTACAGAAGTGTTACTCGGCTAGTTCTTGCATTTTGGCCGATCTCAAAATTTCCTGCCTGTACAATTCTGGCCCATCACCTCAGAAATTTGCACAGTGAAGGATCTAATAAACTACTAGATACACAAAAAAAAGCAGGACAGCCAAGTCAGAATTGAGAGTGTGCCTGGCAGGTGTGCAAAGTGATGGGGGTGTGCAAAGTGGTGCCGTTACACTGTATTTGGGGTTCAATTCGGAGAGCCCGAGTTTGACTACTGAGCCAGGTGGGCGCTTTTGTACCGTGGCATTGTAAGCACATAGCGCGGACAGAGAATCTGACAAATATTTGAATGCAGGTGACGCTGAACATTAATGGACATACAAGTTGCTGTTCTGTACATAGCGAAGGTCTTTATGGTGCATACATCGCAGGATAATAAAATCAATGTCATCTCTATGCCGCCTGAATCCTGAAGGCGTACCGTGTGTCGCATCAATCTTCCTGAGTTCTCGTTGTGGCTTTCGGCCTCTGTCCGACCAAGCGTCTCTGGCAGTCGCCATACTGGATGCATCACACTGACTTCAATAATGGTGAGTTGATGAGTTCTGCATGTGCGGCATTAACGTAGAACCTAGCGAGGTTTTGGGTTAAATGTGCCTATGGTCGAGGAACGACACAAAACGTGTGTCAGAAGGTCCGCGATGTGTGTATGCTGTGCATGTCGCAAGTTTTTGAAACTGGAGGAGTTGCGTGAGTCTTCTCACGGATCATATCGTATCCTGGATAGTATCAATGCAGGGATCATAAGACACACTAGATCATATTCTGACGGTCTCACCTGTTTTTGTTCATGCCACTAGTGAATGATTTGCACGAATTAAAGCATAAACGGAGTGTTGGTCAAAGATACGCGAAGTCGTGGATGTTTTTCGGGACATTTTGAACTTTGAGGGCCAGCACCATGGATTCCACCACTGACCGCATCCTAATATCGCGAAGTAAGGCCCTGTGCAATTGCGGCGTGTTCTGTTTCTTTATAAGCTACACCTTGCCAAGTGATGGACGAATTAACTCACCGTGTGCTCGATGGTCTCAGACAACTCGCATGCCTAAAACTTTAAAAAACCTGCCAGAGGGGCTGTATGTGAAGATGACCGGAACAGTTCCGCAACGCATTTACAGTGAAATTCTTAGTATGACCGGAAGAAACCACGCTTAATCGACAATGTTACGCTAGGTTGAACGAGCCGAGATCAGGACAAATTCGAGAATCCTGCACGACAAGTAGAGCTCAGAGTCTGCCCATCTCTGACACGCCAATGTGCCCGTCATCTCTGACTACAGGTGAACCACCACCTTAGCACCCCTCGTCCATCATGCGCCTCAGCCTCCACCTTCTGACACATTCCTCAAGGCGCGAAGCATATCTGCATGCATTGAATGCTTTTCCATCTGTTAACTTCTTCCTCTTCCCTGCTCGCATCATTCGCAACTTGCGCCAGGGCGCAGCATGATTTTGCCTCATTCTACTCCACCCCGCCCCTGGCCGTACCCTCGCACGACTATCCGACGTCCCCGTCTGTCTTGCAGGCTACCTCTCGTGATTGTCCTTGCCGCCGATCATATCTCTTTGTTGAGCCTTTTGCGCTGGCTATCGTTCGAACACGTCCATCTCCACCTCGGTGTGTCGTCATCATCAGAACTCGGTACCTATTGGCGGCCCGTCGTCGGGACCATCAGTAAAAAGTGCATTCGGAATGCAGCGCAGTGCAGCGCGCTGTAAACCTTACCTGAGCTGCAAACCCTGCAAGATAGGTAACCTGTATGCAGCGGTTTCCATCAATATCCTAATAGGTATGTAAATTATTGGCAGTCCGATGCATACTTACCAATCAGCTGCAGACATTGCCGAGTGCGCGATAGTTTGCAGCCGATGTACGGCTTTACAAAGTTAGGTTATTAGTCTGCATGCGAAGGTATAAACTTTGTAAATACATTCACGGACTCCTTAATTTCAATACAATTTATATACCTTTCATTGCCTTCATATAGCAGGCACTGCAGATGGCCCAACAAAAGGTATATTTCGGATGTAACAAGACCAATACAAATCTACTACAAGGCCACTGAGAGAGAACAACAATGCCGGTGACGCGCGCCGAAGGTTAAGCACTGCGAGAGCGCCCGAGTACAGCAGCAAAGCGCGGAAACAGTGAGTGCAGAAAGAGTGAGCACGGAAGAGTGAGCGTGGAAGAGTCAGCGAGCGGGTGCGAACACGAGGAGTGAGTGAGAGCATGAGACACAAGTGCGGGAGACACCAGAAAACAGGGATGCAGACAAGAGCGGCAGCAAGAAGGTGAGCAAGAGGAACTTGCGGGCAGAGGTAGTGGCGGCAGCAAGTAAGGTGAGGTTCGTGCTAGATGTAAATGACACAATAAGCACGTATGGTCGAAAAAAAGCAGATAATTACCATCATGAGAATCAAACGGCGCCGGATTGCACAGCCGCTCGAGCCGCGCATTGAGCCTTCAACTTCGTGATTGCAGATTGTGGCCGGGTTTTCTTCTTCGCAGTCTTCGCAGTTGTTCCAAACACTGCTCTATATGTAATGTGTGAGCGCGAGTATAGCTCCAGCACGAAACTTACTTGTTCCACCATTCCAACGTTGCTTGCCCCCATTCTTCGTCCTGGAATAGCCTGAGAATTTCGAAGAAGAACTGTTCGAGATCGAAGTTGAGATCGATGTTGGACCATGATTGCTGGCTGTTCAAAAGGAAGCGAACCTAGAGTGCATATATGATTAATGTGATAGACAGAACAACTGCACCGCTCACCAGGACAGCCACGTACGCGATGCTCCTAGGACTGACTTGAGTCATATCATACTTTTTTGCGAGGGGGGGGTGACCGGGTCTGCTGCTCCTGCCCTCGCGGTCTCCATGGTTCAACAACACACTACCGGGACCTGTAAATAACGACTTGAAGCACTGCGCGATGACATCAGTAATACTACTGTAATATGGTGATGAATGACGAGGCAATTGTAATACTCACCGACAGAAGCAACGGCCCTCTAAGCAAGCCCGCATCCAATTCGTCTGGGTTGTAGAGGGCTTGATCATACAGGAACGATGGAAATTCGTCAGAAGCTGTGTCAATCTCACCATCGCGAACTTGGCAGCAAAAACTAATCGGTGTCATTGTGAATATGGAGCTCGCTCACATTCAGAGACTTACTTATCCGGTTCATTGAGAAACTCCGCAAGCATTGACTGTGGACAAAGAAGTCGGACGGTTGTGGTGCTCTGGAAACCACACTTCCATTTGCTATCTTGTGGCTTCATTGCAGGGTATTCAGCACCGAAATCAGGGAGGTAGTTAATAATGCGCTCCCGCAGAGAGCCGAGGTGATCGCCACGAGCGTCAGGAGCATAATGGTTAAGCTTGTATAAGAACTCAGCGATACACAAGTAGAGTATACACAGCGACTTATATAGGACCCGAGGACGTCAATGGCATCTATGTTGTCTCCGATGTATACTAACTGATCCTTGAGACCAGGTATGAAGCTGAGTAATGTGTCAAAGGTGTAGATGAGCTCTTCACGCTCATCGTCGTCCCTGAAAATAAATTAAAGGTGATTATATGCGCATCAAAATCTCATATACATGTACCAACATGAGTACTCACATGGAACTGAATGTGTCCTTGGTCTGTGGGTCCAGTTCATCGTCATCATCTTGCTGCAAGAGCAAGCCAAGTTGAAGCGCTTGCATAGGACGTGCAAATGGGCCAATGATGCAGGGAATGAATCGCGTGCCATCATGGTATGCCTTGAGGGGATGGAATACTCTGCGAAGTTCTGTGATTAGTATGAGCCTATATTTGAAGCAAGAACTTACTTGGGGTCTCATCTCTCCGCCATGCCCTTCACAAGCCTCTCGGTGTGGCGGCATTTATGAGACGTTGTGTCAGTCTTATCATCTAGTGCAGCGTTTCCACGCTTGTGATGTCGGTGAGGCTCCGTGTCCTCTTTCTCGCCCTCTTCCTGATCTTCATCCTCTTTCTTGCCCTCGTCCTGATCTTCGTCCTCTTTCTCGCCCTCATCCTGATCTTCGTCCTCTTTCTCGTCCTCGTCCTCACTCTCAATGTCATACTCACCTTCCACCTCCCTTTCCTCTTCATTGCTAGTGTCGTTTGCTGGGGCTACCCACTTCTTGTGTGCCGGTTGACTTGCCTTTGTACTCTTCTTCTTCGGGGGCACCACCTCATCTTCATGTTCTACCTCTGAGTCTTTGGTCCTGGTGAATGCTGGACGATGGTCTCACGAAGACAATAGGTTTTTTGAGAGGAATTCGAGCTTGGAGGATAGCGAGATGGCATCTTAACTGAGGAAACCGGGTTCCGTCGAGAAGGGGATTGTTTTTTTGGATTGCTTCGACCCATTGTAAGATGAAAATTGGAGGAGTAGGAGTAGCCTATGGACGATGGCCACGTGAAGGCAGGTAGGTGTGTATGGGGAGGATGCAGTCACACACTGACCTGACGCGTGACCGCGTGTATCATGTGATTGCTCCTGCGCGCGATAAACCTAAGTCCCGACAACCTCTGCCTAGGTTATCTCTCTTGGCTCGATGCGGCTGGCACCTCTTCTGCTAATATTTCTGCTGTCTATATCTATGACTTTGAAGTGCCTAGGATGTCTCAAGGAATTCAAACATACCCAAGGACTTAGCAATTACACTGGCAGCAGTGCATGCAAGAAAAACCGTGAGCTCACGCGAAAAGGTCTTCGTGTGCAGGAGGTCAAACATCTGAGGAAGAAGGCTGAGGAGAAAGAGAGGAGACGACATGCTAAGAAAATAGGGAATGCACAAGTAGACCAAGCGGGACATGTAGAACCAGTAAGTTCCCATTTGAGATGATTATTTGCGAAAATACATCCTCTTGCTTCAATGACATACAATTTTCGTTTTGATGTCAAACTGAGATATATGCTAGGATCTTTTTGAACCAGTAGACCTTGCATATTATCCAGAAGAAGACTTGCTGATTGAGCCTGCACCTGCGGGTGAAGTCGATGTCCTTCCTGAAGTCACCACTAGGTCTGGACGATGTCTTCGTGTCCTTAAAGGTCTGGCAGATTATCTTTCGCAACCATTCTATGGAATACCGGCACATATACCCAGGCCAACACATCCACAGAGAGCGCGCAAGCAGGCACGAGAGTGCCAGTCACCCGAAGTTCCTCCTTCTGTCGCGGATGATCTTCCAGCTATAGAGAACCCCGATGTTTTAATCAAGACCAAGCCTAATGCCTTCAGATTGTACCGCATGTATGGTGTCAAACCCCAGAAGGATCCAGAAGATGAAACAACCCTAGATACCATGTGCGACTCACCGACATTTGTTACTGCCCCAGAAACGACTGCACGAAGGCGGAACCCTCTCGATCGTATATGTCAATCCTTTGCAGACACCCTGTAAAGCATGCGTGATTCCTTCTTCACTCCCTTCCTGAACGTCACTACCTACCGCCTCATGAACTGGATGTATGGACCTTCCGATATGAAATCCATCTCAGAAATAGACAGTCTCGTCCACAATGTGCTGCTCGCTGATGACTTTGACCCCACCCACCTCCAGAATTTCAGTACTGCACGAGAGCTGAAACGACTAGACACGCATTCTAACACTTCGAATGCATTCTCGGCTGATGATGTCTGGGTTGAAGGCTCCGTCAAGATTCGCTTGCCCAAGGAACACACTAGGTTCAAATCCGAGGATGAGGCCCCTGAGTTCGAGGTCTCCGGTATCTACTACCGGAGGCTTTTGGAAGTCATCAAGGCTGCTTATCAAGATACTGCAGCACGCACATTCCACTGGATACCATTCAAGCTCTTCTGGCGCCCTCACTATGACAGCTCTGACGATTCTGACTCGGACGATTCAAACGACGACGCTGGCGACATCCGAGTTTACACCGAGTTGTACAACTCTGATGCCTTTCTCGAGGAAGATGCGCACATACGGTCACAGCCTCGAGAATAAGATGAGGATCCCAACATCGAGATAGCGGTAGCACCGATCATGCTATGGTCTGACTCTACACATCTGGCGAGCTTCGGTTCTGCGGCACTTTGGCCGATATATGCATATTTCGGAAGTTTAACCAAGTATGTTCGTGGCAAACCAAGTTCTTTTGCCACGCACCATCTTGCATATCTGCCCACGGTGAGTCTTCCTTTATTTCGTGATCCCTTTCGTACTCAGTATCTCAAATGGTTTCAGTTACCGAATTCACTGCAGGACTTCTACCGAGAAACATTCGGTATTGCCACCACGACTGCCATTCTCAAGTACTGCAAGCGCGAACTCATGCAGGCCATCTGGATGCTCTTACTTGATCCGGAGTTCATGCGCGCATATGAACATGGCATACTCATCCTCTGCGGTGATGAAATCCTGCGGCGGCTGTTCCCTCGATTCTTCACCTACTCTGCTGACTACCCAGAGAAGTAAATTCCATCAGGCTTCCATTTGAACTGAGCTAACGATACAGGAAACAGAATTCTACTTGCGTGCATAAAGTATCTTGCACGGTGTCCATGTCCGCGCTGCTTGACTGAGAAGTCGAAGATAGGTGCTATGGGCACCTATGCAGATGCAAAGCGATGCTCAAACACACGAAACGACGACAGCTGGTTATGGGCGAAGATCGCAATAACACGCGGTTGGATATTCGAAAAAGGGCATACACTGACAAGCAAGATAATTGCTCGCGTTCTGGACCCGAAGTCCTTTCTCCCAACACGTGTACGTAGCTATCTTGTGTGGTATCCATATATCTGAATTTTCTATTGTCTTGAATAGAGCGCATTCTCGACTCGCCGAGCCCATTCAGCCAATATATACCCAAATGTCCATATAACCGAGGTGGAATATTTTGTGTAAATTTCCATAAAACCGAGTGTTGGCCAAGAATATAATATAGGATGGAGATGTAGGGTTGGCCAAGATAAGTAGGCTATATAGGCTGAGTCGCATATTTGGGAGTTAGCCAAGGGAGGTGCAGTTTAAAGTCTATATAGGTTGTCGGGCATTTTGAGGTCAGCCGCCATTTCTCTATATAGATTGTAGCTGAAATAGTGCCATTGGCCAAGAGTCATAAAATTCCAATCCTATGTAGAGTTTGCAGACAGTTGGGCTTAGCCAAGTGGACCTATATAGAATCTTTGTGTAAATGTTCCGCTTGGCCAAGGCACATGAAATTTTGATCCTATATAGCATTTCCTAACATTTGGCTGTGGCCAAGGGTACCCTATATAGATTTTTGTGAAAATAGTGCCTGCGGCCAAGGGTCAAGCAATTTGCATTCTATATAGGATTGTCTGAAATTTGGCCTCAGCTACAGATACTCTATATAGTTCTTGTAGAAATGGTGGCCTCGGCCAGGAGTCATCAAATTTTAACCTATATAGAGAGATTTGAATTTTGGCCTTGGCTGAATATACACTATATAGTTCTTGCAGAAATGTTGGCCTTGGCCGAAGGTAGTAGAATTTCTATTCTATATAGGGTCTTCTGAAATATGGCATTGGCCAAGGATGCACTATATAGGGTTTTTGAAAATAATGCTCTCGGCTGAGACTCTTGAAATTTGTATCCTATATAGGATTCTCCACACTTTGGCTTCAGCCAAGTAGCATCTTCTATTTGTTTTGATCAGAAAGGGCAAAATTCTCTTCACACATAGGAGTTTTAAAGCTGGGGCCTTTACCAAGTGTATATATACAGGTTTCATCACATGTGATGCCATCAGCTATAATGAGCCAGGTCAGACCACCTTCAGGGTTTGTGTAGTAGTAGTTGGGCCGTCCTTTGCTATCACATTCTGAGACCAATATCCTTTATATCAAATGATTCAGAGCCACTGAATTTAATCTAAATACATATGATCAAATTTTTGACACTATGTTGAGCATATGAAGATGATGACCTTCTGTTGCCTCTGAACCTTTCAAGTCAAAGATAACATCCAGCCAATTTAGGAACTCGCTGCGGTTAATGTAATAGGCTCAAAGGTACTCCTCCACAAGATTGGCGATGGTATCATGCACAGGCAGCAAGTGCAGGTGCAGATGAACCAAAACCAAAGAGGAGGTATCCAACCTTGTGGTCAGTGCTATCTCCCTCTTGCCGACAATCCAAAGACCCTTCATCAATGGTACCCAAGATTTTTCAGTGGATGGGACACTATACAGGCCCTGATATCCCTCAAATATCAGCTTTTGTGCGAGTAAAGAATTCATATTAAACCTACATGGTATACCTGCATTGCACCTCTGTCACGCTTTATGGTGCAGGCCAGACATTCAAACTGCATCTGCTCAGTCATATTCCACTGTCGGAGATCTGGAATGCAATGCAAGCAAACAGCTCTGCTGCAGTTTGGATGGTCACAGTCGACCAAGTTTCTGCCTTATTGCCAGAGAAAGCAATACTAGGTGCATGGTGTTAGCAAGATGCATATGTTGAAGAGAGAGACAACACCATATCACAGACTTCTATGCCATCTGGAAGATCTTGTGACGTTGATGCTTAGGAGCATGAGCAGAAGGAGGTATAGTTAGATTGGAGGTGAGTAAGCTGTTCTCATGTTCATGAACAGCAGCAGTGATAGACACTGCAGGATCACATATGAGTTGACTGCTTCGGCATCAAGGGACATCCATTTTAGCAGCAGATGCACATCCTTTCGGCCTGCGTATGACTTTGACAAATGGGTGGCTCTGAAAACACATGAGGGCAGAGCAGGAACACTTGCCTCATCCTCATCCTCATCCTTGGCCTCGGCCTTGCACTCCTCCTCAACATCCTCCTTGATATCCTCCTCGACATTTGACACAGGCACATAGCTTAGTGGCTGGTGGATTGTCTCCTTATGTTCCTCCTTGGTATTGTCCAATTTATCACTCTCCTTTGATTCATCATTGGACAGAGGTGAGCTACCGGTGTGATTGTGATTTGCTAGAAATGTCTCACCTCTGTCCGAGTCATCATTCAGAAACTCCCCCTTCAACTGACCATCTTCATTAACATCTTCATACAAACCTCTATACACAATGCTCCCCCTGTCACCTCTGCTTTCTCTCAACTGGAACTGCTTCTAATTATCCATGTCCTTCATCTCATCCACACTCAGAGTCAATTGCGACATAGTATCTGCTTGGGGGGTCATGTGAGGTGTCAGCGAATGCAGGGTAGAGTCTGTCGTTACAATATCAAATGAAATGTTGCTTACTTGACAAACATATTCACTATTAGAAACATGAAAACATACCTGGTCTGTCCTTTTGCAAAGGTCGGCCATGGTAGTAAGCTGGTGGCACAGATCTACAGTACGAGATGCCTCCTCTAATTGGCTGATCAGCCTGATCGAGATTGAAACCTTGATGCTGGTCCTGACTTGTACCCACAGATGCAGGATTCTCTGGGATTGAGTGCAGATTGAAGGTAGATTGCCTAACACCAGACTGTGGGGTATAGGCAGGGACACAGGTCTACCTTTATAGTACAAAGGCCTGACCCTGACTATACATACAGGTACATAGACCTGCATATAGTACAGGTCTATGAGAGTCACAGGTTTATAAAAGATAAACCTGTACTATGACCTGTACTATTACTATGTATGTACCTATGTGTAGTTTACTACACATCCTGGACATGTCTTCAAGTAAAGTAGTACTTAAGAGCAAAGTTTAACATGCAAAGTTTAAGTTTAAGTAGCTCTCTTACAGAATATATGTGTTAGCATTTGTGCTTTAATTAATTTAGTTTAATTTGAGTCTCACTCATATATTTATAAAAACTCCGCAGGTTTATATAGTCAGACCTCATATACCTATACTATGTGTACAGGTTTCACAGGTCCAACAAACTCATACCTGGACTATAACATTTACTATAACTATACTTGGACCTTTGCATAGTTTATTACACTACTATGTCCCTGCCTAGTGAGGTAGAGGTCTGACTGGCCGGCTGAGCAGACTGTACGTGCTTCTCAGACTGGCTGTGCATGGTAGAATATACAAAAGTAGCCAAATAGATGTGTGAGAATAAGCAGCAGAGGCACAGCAACAGAAATATAGCAGAGCAGAGACAGCAAGGATAGAGCAAGAGAGAGAGAAAGAGAGAGACAGATCAGATTACAGTGATTGCAATCAAAATGACTTGTGCGCGTGAGCCCATGGAGATCACGTGATATGCTTGGAGGGCCGGACTTCCCGAAATCTAGTGGACAGTGGCTGAAATTTGATCGGAGTTCGAAAATCGTCCAAATATAGCAATATTCCAGCCACCAGTGTACACCTTCTGCATATGGAAGGTGCTTGACGCATCTGGTGTCTGAGGCACATGACCGAATAAATATGGCCAAATAGTTGGTTTTATGAGCTGACGCAACTTCCTCTCTCTCTTCCTTCTCTACCACCACCATCCCCTTCCAGCAAGCCAGCCACAAGTGGCTGAGCTTTGTTGCTGCATGTTGCCATGGGCATGCAGTGTCAAAGCTCAGTTATTTGCGCATGTCTTTGTAAGGTAACTGTTTCTTTTCCTGTAAATAGTATTATGTAATATGCACTTTACTGACATCATCCCATGGCTGGTCTTTGGCCAGTCATGGGGTACATGTGGGTTTTGGGGGATCACTGAGCATGCCTCGGCGAGCTGCAGAGGGCTCCGCATTGTGGGGGCGACCCACTCGCGTCCCTCACCTGGTACTTGAGATTTGAAGGATCACTGGGCATGCAGCGGCGAGCTGCAGAGGGCTTCGCGTTGTGGGGGCAACCCACTCGCGTCTCTCACCTGATACTTGAGATTTGGGGGATCACTGGGCATGCGGCAGCGAGCTGCAGAGGGCTCCGCATTGTGGGGGTGACCCACTTGCGTCCCTCACCTGGTACTTGAGATTTGGGGGATCACTGGGCATGCGGCGGCAAGCTGCAGAGGGCTCCGCGTTGCGGGGGTGACCCACTCACATCCCTCACCTGATACTTGAGATTTGGGGGATCACTGGGCATGCAGCAGCGAGCTGCAGAGGGCTCCGCGTTGTGGGGGCGACCCACTTGCACCTCTCACCCAGTATATATGGGAATTGGGGGATTTTGCACTTCGGTGCCAATGCGCTTCAGTGTACTTGCGTCTAGGCGCATATGTGCTCTGCACATTACATTGTCGCCGGCCATCAGCCTTGTGCTGTGCGAGTCGTGCGTGGAGCCGCCATTGGCCTGCTCCACCAGGTCAGTCTTTTTTACTTGTTTGTTTCTTTTTGCATGGTATGGTGCGAGTACAGGAAGTGTAAGGAAGATGTGGTAAGTATTCCACAGCACATCATACAGATACTGACAAGGGTTCTTCAGCATATAGTGGGTTTTATGGCAGTGGTGAAGACCAGGCCAAATCCTATAGTGGATTGAAAGAACCGGTGAGTTTTTTTCCTTGCATTTTGAAGAATACTGACCTCTTGATGTTTCCACAGCCTCTTACACATGTACTGAAAATTGACAACGGTCACTGCAGCGTGAGCAATGCAGCGCACAAGGTGAGCATTTTCTAATGTTTTCCGACTGTTTTCTGACTTCCTTTTGGTGTTTTGCAGATTGTATTTGTACTTTCCTTGTAGTCTATTTTCTTTCATTTTTCCCTTCTTCCTGGTGCTTGTGGCGAATGAGGGAGGGCCCGCCCTCAGTCATCACAAGTCACCTTTTGTTTTCCATCTTTGTAGTTAGAAAAAATTGTAATACTTGAGTTTGTATCCATGAAGCATGAATAAGGCGAAGCCATGCCAGTATGCCGGACGATGCACGGGTGCTTAAGTCACGTGATCACATCACGCGCCACCGTGTGCACTTTTTGAACCCTTGGCCCTGCCCAAATTTCCATCTTGCCTCTTCCCACCATCTGCTACAACAGCAATTCCAGTACTTTCATCCTTTCAAAAGCCCTACTATCAACCATGGCTGGCAAAGCTCAAGAGTATGTGCTTTCTCCAAGCCAGATTTCATCTGATTGAGCAAACTGAACCATAGCTCTGAACTTCCAGACCCTTGTACCCCTGGAGGGTATCACTGCATATAGTATATATAATGTAAGCAGTAACTGTATGATGAATAAAGCCTAAGTACAGCCTAGATACAGCCTTAAACTATGTATTCAGAAGCTCCAAAGGGAAAAGAAGACTGTTACAAGCCTTAAACGTAATGTGTATAATGTCATTCCCTCAAGTGAGGCAGATATTGAGGGGTATACCCTCAGGGTTTGGTACCCTTACCCATACTCTTACCCCTGGTGAAGGGTATGTACTCTTGGAGGGTAAGGGTAGGGGTACAGCTCAAAGTTCCCAGGGGTATACCCCTGCTTTGCACTAGTGTCAGCAAGATCATTAAGTTTGGATGCCTTAGCCTGAAGCCCCATTTGTGTAAAAAGCTATATGGCCAAGGTCAAAGTGTGAAAAACTCTTTATAGAATGAAAATTTCTAGATCCTCGGCCAAGGCCACCATTTTCACAAAAACTATATAGGGCATTCTTGGCTAATGCCAAAGTTTAGAAGACCCTATATAGAATATAAATTTCAGAACACTTAGCCAAGACCACCATTTCCATAAAAACTATATAGGATATTTTCAGCCACGACCAAATTTCAGACAATCCTATATAGGATTTCAATTTCTTGACCCTTGGCCACAGGCATTATTTTCACAAAAATCTATATAGGGTACCCTTGGCCACAGCCAAATGTTAGGAAATGCTATATAGGATCAAAATTTCATGTGCCTTGGCCGAGTGGAACATTTACACAAAGATTCTATATAGGTCCACTTGGCCAAGCCCAACTGTCTGCAAACTCTATATAGGATTGGAATTTTATGACTCTTGGCCAATAGCACTATTTTAGCTACAATCTATATAGAGAAATGGCGGCCGACCCCAAAATGCCCGACAACCTATATAGACTTTAAACTGCACCTCCCTTGGCTAACTCCCAAATATGCGACTCAGCCTATATAGCCTACTTATCTTGGCCAACCCTATATCTCCATCCTATATTATATTCTTGGCCAACACTCAGTTTTATGAAAATTTACACAAAATATTCCACCTCGGTTATATGGACTTTTAGGTATATATTGGCTGATAGGTGTGACTCGCCTGTCTATATTTAACTTCAACTTCTTTTCCATGTTCGTTCCAGATTTGATGCATGAGTTTGAGCTAGGAGTATGGAAGGCCATCTTCACTCACCTCCTTCGCATCCTCTACGCCGTTGGTGAGGATGCGATTCAGAAATTTGATGAGCGGTATGTCATCTCTTCTGTTCACAAGTATTATGTGCTAATTGGGGCTAGGTTTCGCAAAGTACCCACCTTTGGGCGCGACACGATTCAGCGATCCAGCACCAATGTATCCGCCATGAAGAAATTAGCTGCGCGTGACTTCGAGGACATCCTCCAGGTACGCCGCTGTATGTACATCATTCACGCATGCGATATTGACTTCTTTAAGTGCTGTATCCCGGTGTTCGAAGGTCTAATCCCCTCTAAGAAATACAACAACATTGTCCTAGATCTGCTCTTCGAACTCGCAAATTGGCATGCCCACACAAAGCTCTGTCTGCACACGGAACACACTCTTCAGGTATTTGAACGTGCGATGACTACACTTGGCGCAGCCGTTCATCACTTCAGGAAAACTGTGTGTTCAGCGTTTGCGACGAGGGAGCTTCCGAAGGAGACTGCAGCAAGGGGCCGTCGCAAGGCGACATTGGTGACACGCACTGGTGGTCATGGCCGACCATCTTTGAATGCAGTCGATCCGAAATGAAAACAGCTCAATGTCGAAACGTACAAATACCATTCCCTTGGAGACTACCCAGCTACAATTCGGGAATATGGGCCGACAGATAACTACACAACACAGGTGGTGAGCAGTGTCCTATATTGCTATGTGCTCCGAGCATCTTAATGAAAGATGTTCATACTCAGGGAGAACTCGAACATCGTCACGTAAAGCGGTTCTATACACGCACGAACAAGAGGAAGCACGCATTCCAGATAGCCAAGCACCAGCAATGCAGCCCTCCTACGGAAGATGGAGAGATGGGAGAAGGAGATCCTGGAACAGGAGGCACAGCACGAGCTTGAACTAACACAGGATGTGATGGAATCTGACAATGATATCGAGGAGCACCAGGCTGATGTGCGCCTTGACTTCGCCGATGAAGAGCCGCTTCCGCGTACGTCTCCTCGAGCATATTACCACATGTCGGAGTCGCAGCGATTCTGCGAGGACATCACGAGCTTTGTGATACGGAACAAAGGAGATCCCGCATTCAAGGTGCGTTAATTTCCTGACAACTTCCACTATATTTCGATGACAAATTCTTCCGCAACACAGATGTTCATGCCATCCCTCAAGGATCATATGCTCGCTCGCCTTACTGGTCGTGCATACAATGGCGATGAAGACACATTCACACACAAGGAACATGATCAGATCTCATTCCTCGACAACAAGCTCTACTGGCACAAGGTGCTCCGAATCAATTACACCACCTATGATATGCGCTGTGCTCAGGACTCCATCAACCCTCGCACACACCCCGACGTCATGGTGCTATCACATGAAGATGGTCAAGACGGTGATCAACATCCTTATTGGTATGCCCGTGTTGTTGGTGTCTTTCACGTTAACGTGTGTTACTGCAGGCCGCTACCAATATCCCGACAACCGCAGCGCATGGACTTTCTGTGGGTCCGTTGGTTTGGTCGTGATCTTACAGCACCAGGTGGCTTCAGGACCCGCCGCTTGCACCGCATCGGCTTTGTCGACATTGATGATTACAAACCATTCGGCTTCCTCAATCCTGATGAGGTTCTCCGAGGTGTGCACCTTATTCTGGCATTCGCACATGGGTGAACTTCAAGTCTTTTACCTCCTTCTGTTGCACAATGGTCTGATGACAACGACGAGGACTGGCAATTCTATTACGTTAATATGTACGTGTTCGCTATTATTTCCTTCCTTTTATTCTTCTTACTGTCGCTCAGGTTCGTCGATCGTGACATGTTCATGCGATACCTCGGTGGTGCTGTCGGACACAAGGGAGCCAGTGTCTCCCCCGCGGAGGACAATGATGGGATGGACATAGACGTCGATAAATTGGACGATGACAATCAATCTGTGGACTCGAGAGTGCAAGACGAAGACGAAGATGAAGATGAACATGAACACGAACACGAACACGAACACGAACACGAAGGCCTGATTGCACAGGAAGAAGACGACTACAGCTATGATATTTCGGATGATGATGAAGATGAGGAGGGCGCTGGAGATGAAGGGATTGATCACGAGGAGGAAGATCTTGGTCCGGAGGATGGCGAGGATGGTGAAGAGGATAAGTACGACGATGAAGGCTATGCGCCGCTGTAGCACGCGAGTACTCAAGAGTAATGTCACAGCCATGTATATAATATCCAGCTATATACAGAATAACTGCCTATGTCTGTATACTACATGCATACCCAACAGGACTCTGCCGGGATAGGCATTCCTATGTCGAGAGGACTTTGACTTGCAATCTTATTCCACTTCGCTTGCCTTTTACAGCTTGCTGCACCGTGATCCAATCTGACCCGCCTCCTTACAAACCCTACCTAGTGCTGCAAACTTTCAACACTTTTGCTGATGACTTTTCTAGGAGTAGCAGTACTTGTTCAAGCCAATACTTACTGGTTCTATTCATTCTGTAATTCAGTCAAGCATACTTGCTATCTGATGAATTTGAATTTTCATCTGTGTACACTTCTGAGATTAATTGCAGTGGCCGTGTCGAGAAGACCACCCGGCTATCTGATGGCTCTTTTGTCTGGCGGATAAGAAGTCTGGCGCGGCAGGACTAAAGTGTTGCATCAACGCGTAGCATGGCATAAAGACGTGGAGAGAGGAGGCAGATTTTACGCAAAGGAAGAAAAAAAATATACGAACTCCCTTGCATTTCTGATCAAATGTACAGCATCACCAGTATTGCCATCTCGCTGTGGGTATGAAAGCAGGCACTCTAACCTATCAGGTGCGTGAGATTTGTGAGGGAGATTATGCCTTCATCTTTCATCATGAGGGAGGAATAGTGTTCTAAGGCGAGGTCATCGTAGCGGGCAGATTTGGCAGGGATGACAGTTTTGAGTAGATGTACTCGATGCTGTATTTGCACCACGCTTGAATGAGAGAGTCGACGGCAGAGAACTGGAGGGATATACAACACACCTTTTCCTATCAGTGAGCATACTGGTAACGTCCTCGAGGAGTCTTCCATGTATCGAGTATTGAAAATCTTCCTAAAGTCCGATTGAGGAGGTTTGACTGGGAAATCGCCTTCGAAGAAGATGCCAAAGACGATAGATTCGTGCGAGATGCTGGTGTAGACACAGAGGAGGCAGAGCATCTGGGAATGAAGGTGAAATTGCACGTTACATCAGGGAAAAACTGGATTGCTCGATAGACCTAGCGAGCCTCACGGGCACCGGTAGCGCGAGAGTAAAGTCTGGGTCTCTGTAGATGTCGGTAGTCAGTGGTGGGAGCTCGAGGATACTCGATAGTCGCCTCGCGTGTCTCTCGAGTGCTAGCGAGCTCTATGGAGCTTGTGCTGGATACTCACTAGTGTTGATATTTCGCATCTTGCACACGTAGTAATCACTTGTTCACATGTCCATAGAAATGCAAACACCGAGAAAATATGCATTAGAATGATATAAGACATGCCACTGCGCGATGATCAACCGTCTTCAGCCTCACTATCCGTATCGCCGGTGCGGCCCTCTAGCTCCTTCTGCGCCTCCTCAATCGCCGCTGCGGATACATGACCTGTTGGAATGTCATCTTCGGTGATACCAGTTGCGCGACTGGGTACGAAATCAATTAGAACCGGCTGAATAGGAAAATGGTAGTACGCACTGCGCGCGATCGTGCAACTTCTTGCAGATGCTGCGCACGATGCCAGGGGATGGTTTTGCCCATTTTATGATGTCGGCCATATGGTTGACATACCGAGGTTTGCTATCACTTTCGCAAAATGGGGCTTGGATTTGAATCCCTGTTGCCCACTCTTCGATACAATGTTCAATCTGCCCACGCAATGTCAGTAACATCCATCCAACGGAAGTAACAATGGACTACATACCCCTGTCGCCAAAAGTGAAAGTGTTGGCAACTGAATAGAGTCGAAGGACTCCCGATATCTGATACCATATGAATCCTTCATCTTGAAGAAGCACTCCTTGATGACCTTCAAAATGAGGGGGTTACCTAGAAAGCCGCTTCGTGTTCCCTCTTGTAAGTCATAAGTCTAGAAATGTAGATAAGCAGAGAAGGCTATCTAGAGGAACAGGAGGGCATTATACCTTGTAGAGGAATGTTGATCTACTTGTCAAAGCACGATAAAGTTTGATGTTCTTGCGGCGAGTGCTCGGAGTATCTCTGGCGAGGAACCCGTAGGCGGCAGCAATATGTTTTCGGATCTCTTCAACCACGTCTCCACGCGCGTTAGATTTGTGGCGTACAATCTCACGATCCAGTCAGTATGGAAACAAGATACGGAAAAATGCTGCAAAGACGCACAATCGTTGTCATCCTGTCTGTCAACTCGTACTCATCCCCTTCACTGTGAGTATGGCAAACATCAGTCCAAATTTCCCGCGCCCACAGAATAGCAACATCGGAATCGGGGAATGGCTCCTGAGTTAATATGCGGCACTCGAAGCAGTGCATAGCCTTCAGTAAAAGGAATTTGATGTCATCTCTGTAATCAGCAGCCTTCGGGCGACCACTGGGGGGCTCCTCATGCGCGAACTCCGCCGTTTTCAGAGGTGTTGCAATGTGTGACCTACCTTGTGGCTTCTTCAATCGAGAACCTGCTGCGCGCCCTCGGGGAGTGGGTGTGTTCAATATGTGAGCATTCTCCACATTGAGGATGCCAGGGGTAGTGGGATCAGTAAAGGATGTATCCGGAACAGGTGAGACATTGGCCCGACTCGGACTTGAAGCAGAATCTATGGCTGTAGTATTTGTCACAGGGGCGAGTGATTGGATGGCCGAGTCCTGCTGAGATTCTTTTGCAGAAGCGGCCGGCGCTCCAGCAACGGCGCCGTGGTGGGGCGCACCTTGGCGATGAAGGTTTGCGTGGAAACCCTGGCTGCGTCCGACTGACTTACTAGGAATGGACACAGCTGTCCCCCTTTTAAACTGGACCCAATCGCAGACAGGTATCAGCGGCAGGACATTGGAGTCCACACGGTAACGCACCGAAGACCGAACATTGATGCCTCGGACAACTTCAACATCGTCCTCCTCTTCCTCTTCACTTTCATTGGGGATTGCCTCGTATTCCTCCTCAGTCGGCTTTCGAGCAGCAGCTAGAGCATGCTGATGCTTCTTGGCCTGTTTCTCTAGCCTTGCCACTTTCTTGCGAAGTCGTTCAACATCGGCCTGTTCTTTGGCTTTTTGCAGTTCATCTGGTATGATGCATGTAGTAAATAGTGAGTGGTTATGTGGTAAAAAAATTGGAACACAAAATGAGGTACTCACCAATCTCCTTCTGCTTCTGGGACAACTGGCGACACCGTTTGATACTAGAAGCTTCAGATGTCTTTGTGTGCTTTGTGAATAGTTCTGGCCCACTTTCCAAGTCCGAACCACTGTGATCTGAGCCAGAATTACTATGGGGAGGAGGAGTTTTCCGTTTTGCCATGTGGATGTTCAAGTGAGAGATATGATTATGTGCATGGTCACGAAACATGGTTCAATAAATTCACGCCACAGATCGTGGCCTTGCAGCACGCAAAGTGGCTATTCATGCCAAATAAACACTCACATTTCGCTCTTTCCGACCACTATGCCGTCCTACATATGCCCATTCTGCCATCACCACAAACCGACCCTCCGGGGCTTGTGTTCACACATTTCGCAGAAGAAGTCATGTCGCCTAGCATTTCATCACAAGCTCGATGCAGACAATGAAGCCACAGTGAACGATCGAGCACAGCAGCAAGACAGCGCGGAGGATAGAGCTAGTCAGGAGGATGGATCATTAATGGGAGAGGATGATGGAATGCTGGTTGATGGGGTTGAAGTTGGTCTGGATCCGGAGGATGTGCTGCCTGATCCTGTTGAGCAACGTCAAGACACCGAAACTGAAACACGTCCACCAGAAGAACAGGAACCTGCCATGCATGGAAATTCATAATGTACAACAGTTGAGGATGTCAAAGATGAGGAGTTTGGGGGATTACCAAAGCATCCTTGGGTTGAAGACTTCCCTCTGGAATTTGATGTTGCATCGGTCATTCGGGAAGCAAGAACTCCTTTTGAAGTGTTGCGGGATCAAAACAAGGAGTCAGCGAGAGATTCTTGGCATCCATTTGCCAGTCAAGAGGAATGGGAATTGGCGCACTGGCTGATGACTGCAGGATTAAGTCAGGAAGCCGTTGATGACTATCTCAAGTTACCCATTGTGCGTATGTCGATCCAGTCCTGAAGATTCTTAAACTGATGCGAGAAATTCAGACTAAGGAACGCATGGACCTGTCATTCCACAATAAGAGGGCCTTCTATCAGAAGATCGATGCACTTCCACAGGGTCCATCCTGGTCGTGTGAGCCTTGGGAAGTTACAGGAGATAAATTAGATGAAAGGGGAAATCCACGCACTGAGACAGTGGAGCTATGGAAATGCGATCCTGTCGAATGTGTCAAGAAATTGATTGGAAATCCAGCATTCAAGGAGGTGATACGATATGCACCCGAGAAGATATTTGCAGACCAGGATGGAAAGACAAGGATATATGATGAGACATGGACAGGGCAGTGGTGGTGGGATCTTCAGGTGTGTGAACTTGTCAACACAGTTTGATTAGGTTGTGTGTGAAGCTTACCTCAAACTTAGGAAATTCTACCTCGTGGTGCAACAATTGCCCCTCTGATTCTCTCCTCAGACAAGATGCAGCTATCAAACTTTAGTGGTGACAAATCTGCATGGCCAGTATACCTGTCCATTGGGAATCTCGAGAAGTCAACTCGTCGCCAACCCTCTGCACATGCGACTGTGTTGATTGGTTACCTTCCTGTCACAAAGCTTGAATGCTTTTCAAAGGGACACAGGTTGATTGAGGGTGTACGTCTCTTCCATGCCTGCATGCAATCACTCTTGGAACCATTGATTAAGGCAGGAAAAGAAGGGGTAGAGATGGTCTGTGCAGATGGATGCGTGCGACGTGTCTACCCCATTCTTGCAGCATACATTGCCGATCATCCAGAGCAATGTCTTGTATCTGGCTGCCAGGAGAATCACTGCCCTAAGTGTACTGTGGATCCTAATCGACGAGGGGAACCACTCCATTCACTTATGCGAGATCCGGACATAATTGAGCAAATTTTGTCGGAGACTTCACAAGGCGACAAACCAGAGGCATTCAATAAATTGGGGCTCAAACTTGTGGACCCCTTCTGGAGAGAGTTGCCGCACTGCAACATTTTTGCCTGCATTACGCCCAACATTCTTCACCAGCTGCACAAGGGTGTTTTCAAGGATCATCTGGTCAACTGGGCAACCATGTGCATGAACGACAAGGAGAAAAAGATTAAGCAATCAGATAAGGAGGTGGAGATTGACTGTCGATTCAAAGCTATGGTGATTCACCCTGATTTGCACCACTTCAAGAAAGGTATCTCCTTGATCTCCCAGTGGACAGGCACAGAATATAAGAATATGGAAAAGGTTTTCCTCGGTGTCATCATGGGGAGTGTCGACCCTGCTGTTCTTCATGCAGTCTGTGCAGTCCTGGACTTCATTTATTATGCACATTTTGAAGCTCACACAGAAGATTCCATAGCCAAGCTTGAAGCAGCGTGGAAGACCTTTCATGCCAACAAACAAGTGTTTGTTGACAAGGGCATCAGAAAGGACTTCAACATACCTAAAGCACATTCAGCGGAACACTATGGATGGTCCATTCACAGCCTTGGAACGGTTGATGGTTTCAATACAGAAAATTCAGAACGCCTGCACATCGACTTTGCAAAGCATGCATACCGTGCAACAAACAAGAAGGCATACCTCCAGCAGATGACAACCTGGCTCACACGTCAAGAGGCAATTCACAAATTTGATGCATACTTGCAGTGGGCAGGTCAGCAGCAACCTACACATCTGCAGACAAATGTCACAACTGCAGATGTAGCTGATAATAACTCTGACTGTGGGAACTCATCTCTTCCATATTCAATTGCCAAGGAACCTGGTTTTCCGAACACTTCTGTTCACACCCTGATCAAAGACTTTGGATGCTCAAGATTTATCCAGAACTTGGAGGATTTCTTGTGCAAATACTCACGCAACCAACAACTGCCCATTGCAGCACAAGGTATTCATGATCGAACACAGTTTGCTGTCTACAAAAGGCTACAAGTCACTCTTCCAATGGCCAGGCAGGTTTCATGTATGGTAAGAAAGGACACTATCCGTGCAACTCCCATTGTACCTGCAAGAGGAATACTGCACAAGGAAGTTTCAGCACATTTTGACACCATTATTGCTCGTGAATTTCCTGATCCATTCAATGAGGAGCCAGTCCATTGCCTTAATAGTAAGTTTCTTAGCACCTCATTCTTGCAAAGTGTTGATCCAGTCCAAAGATTTGTGTGTTGCACGAGTTCGTGCAATTTTCCGGGTACCTGAAGAATATGGTGTGCAATTCAAGCATCCACTGGCCTACGTTGAATGGTTTACCCCTTTCCACCCTCCGATTCCCAACATTGGCATGTACAAGATTTCATATTCCTACCGAAATCACCATCACCGTAGTTCCATTATTCCTGTTACACAGATTGTACGAAGTTGTCACCTGATACCACACTGGGGACGATCTATGGTAAGATCTTGGACATGACCAAGCTACATTCTTCTACGTGAACCCTTACCTACATTATGATGATTTTTTGATGTTCTGCTACTTACAAGAATGAAAAGAGCATAGATTCACTAGCAAAATTCAAAGAAATTGATATTCCAAGTTAGTGCAGAAGCTTCCCCACTGTGACTGAGGATCAGAAGACATTGTAGAGGCTTTTTTAAATGATTAAACTCCCTAGGCAAGCTTGAACTATCTAAACAGGCAACACTGCTCTCTAGTACTCCCATGGTCTATCGAGCACTCACCACAAACTCGTGAGCATCGGCGAGGCTAGCGAGACTCTGGAGACCATAGTGGTGTCTCGCGCGAAATGGGTTTTTCCTGATGTATGATATTTCCGCAGTTTTCGACCTGCATAGGTGAACTGAGTCGTCTTCGGAGCTCTGAAGATGACCTTACGCTGAAGAAAGTGACTTTCTTCAAGATAGGATCATCTTTGAAATTGTTCTTGTGCCTGTGTAGGTCGCTCTGAGACGCTTTCATTCAAAGCAGGGACCGTGACCATGCGCACCGGTGTGACAGCGACTGTGACGAGTTGCATGTGACTGCGTCACCTTCCCTTCAGGCTTCAAATATTCCGATTAGTTTCATCATTCAGAGCACTAGAATGTTTTCTACTACTGACCTTTCAACTTCCTTGTATTCTCCTTCTCCCTATGCCCCGGACAGATCAGTCCATGCAAGAGAATACTTGATTCCGCGATTCCGAATTGCCATCTCGACCCGGTTCACTTAGTGGTCAGGGTTTTCATTAATATTGTGCAAGCAGGCTTCCCTCCCAGACATAAACCCGAACATATTTCATCCCGCAGGTTTGCGACGCGTGATCATATGATCACAACTGGAGGTGCACACTCAGGTTAATACGCGATCATCTCTCTTCTCTGAGACGGTACAGTGCATCTTTCTTCATCGTTGCTAACTGTTCCTTTTGTTTGATTACTGCACCGGACGGCACCGATTTGAATGTGTGAGCAATTTGATCCATTCTCTTGGTTAATTCTGACTTTGAGACGGTAGTCCTAGGATCGGGAGCGCAGCTGTAATTGTAGCGACATGATGTTGCTTTCTTGGCTGCAATATTCGCTGCCATACCACTACCATTTTCTCGTGTGGTCTGTACACAACTTGATGCAAAGACGGCGTATCCGGTGCACGACATCCACGCACGTCTTGACATCAGTGGGCAGCTACAATAAACTGTGAGTTACTGAAATGGGTGCGTTGCCTAACCTCTAATGCGTGATCTTTCAGGGTTACGTCCACCTACTACTGTCAGGTCTTCATGGTTGGGCAAAGACTTTATTTTTTTTTTTTGCTTATTCCGACATTAGGACAAGTCCCTACATCGAAATCTCACCAGACTAGTACACGCAAGGCTTATTGATTGACAAAGAATGATCTTGCACCATCTTCATCCTCGTCGACACAGCAAAGCAGAGCGTGCTCAGTCCAGCATGAAAGAAGCCGAGCACACTCAATGCTGGTCTGGGTATTGAAGGTGCGTGATGCATGTAGGCACCGTGGCGCGTGTCTCCGGTCCAACCATGACCATATACAGCACCGTCTGTGTCCTTCTCGTCGGAGGCTACGATGAAGCATGCCATGGGCGGCATGGAGAGCGCTGTTTCACCAGTGGCCACAGCGAGCGTGGGTCTTCTGCTAAAGTCTCTTTTCATGCAGTGCTGCTATGCGCTCATGATCAAAACTTAAACCATAAAGACGAGGTAATGTGTATTATTTTCCACTTTGTAATGGTACTCACAATAGAATCGAATTAGTGATCATTGAGACTCTTACGGTGAGATCCTGTCACAAACTCGTGATGGGATTTGCCTGAATTTTATGCTGCTTTCGGAAGTCCGTTCCGATGCTGCAACCGTCGAAGGTAGGTAAGTCTTGTCATTACCTTAAGGGTGCAACAATGCACGTAAGTAACGTGACGCGGTAGATGTGGCCAGTCGTGGATTGTGCTCTTTTTCCAGGATCTCCTCTCACCAGTCTTACAGTGCATTTGAATATGCATCCAGCCTTGGAGGTTGACGATATTCTTAGCGAAATATTCCAGAAGTTGCAACCAGACCAAGACTTCGATGAGCAGTGCATAGTCATGTCAGATACCTCCGCCTCCGCCCTCGCTTGTACAGCACGCACATGCAGACGGTTCACCGAACCAGCGCTGAATACTTTGTGGCACACCATGGATGATCTTCTGCCTTTGCTAAAAATTCTAGAGACTTCCTTCCAACTGGCCATCACCGATGCGCCATCGGGCGGAGCCTACGTGCGTAACGCAGCATGTTGTGTTTGCGGGTTCATTCAAGTGCGATCTTCAGATTCTTCAACCAGATATTCCCACAAGAGAATGGCAAAGATTCCGTTCTTATGCGCACCGTATCCGCAATCTTGAGATCCCCCTATACCGCGAGGATATCGATCCGTCGGTCTTCGTAGTGCTCAAGAGTGTTTTGGCAGGAATTGCACTATTTCCCAACTTGCTTGCACTGTACCTTGGATTAGAACTAGATGCATACGGCCCAGAACTCTTGCTATTCATATCTCCAAAGCTTCGCATTGTTGACGTCGAAACACATGAACAATCGGATGACAGCTCGAGACACCTGCCCTCAGTTGCGAGCAGGAGCATTGCCGCACAGTTCATCTATGGTGTATGCTCCGAGGCTTCATCTCTTGAGCACCTCATCTTCATAGATTCCTCAGACCTCGACATACCATCTATTGAGTGCGCATCCAGACTACGAGAACTGGTAATAACCGGATTCCCTATAACCACACGCTTTCTCTCATCCGCCGCCAACTTACCCAGTCTCACCACTCTTCAGATCGAGATCGCTGAACAGGAGGTTGCAGCATGCGCGGGATTCCCGGTCTTGGAAACATTGTCTCTTGATGGGACCGTGACCGTGCTCCCGGACTTTGTCAGAAATATAGCCTCTCCGCGTGTTCAGAAGTTCCGGTACTACTCGGACTGGGGCGTCGTCAGTGGTCTACACTGCTACATAGACCTCTACAAGGCACTGGTGTCGAAGTTCTTCCTCTCGCTGCGTGAGATCATAATGTCCTTCTCATCACTCAGAAAAGATGAAGACAGTGGTACCTCACCGCTACTAGTGGACTCCATCTACCCGCTTTTCACTCTCTCCCAGCTCGAAAGGCTTGAACTTAAAATGTCCGTCTCCGTCTCGATCACCAATGCTGACCTGCAAACCATGACAATGGCGTGGCCGCACCTCCAGACTTTCGTTCTCTCCGCATCCCCTGGGAATGAAGTGCCATCCATGTATGCACTCACCGAGTTCGCACAGCACTGTCCCGAACTCAGAACGCTCTGCTTGCCCTGCGTTGACCCCAGGATATCGCCACCCCACGAGCAAGGGTTCAACACTATTTCGGGACACTCCCTCCAAGACCTCTGGTTTTCACATCCGCAGAAATGGACTCGCACGCCATTCGAATTGGAGATCGTGGCAGTTGCACAGTTCTTGGATGCCTTATTCCCACAGGTAAACCTTGCCCGGTTCTCTGCCAGGTCTTTTCCCGGGGTTGTGAAGTATTCTGCAGGAGATTGGAAGAGGGTAGCTGATGTGCAGAAGGCAATGCAAGCGGCTCGCCAAAGGGGTTAGAAGTCAAAGGAGGTTCGTTAGATCCCTTACTCGTACTCAATATGGGATCTTGTCCCATCTTGTCCCAAAGGTGTCATGGATAGAGCCTTGGCGACGACGTGCGGCCCTGCTTGATGACTGAGATGAGAAAGGGGATTCATTTCGGTCCAGACTCTAGGGAGAACAGTATGATATAAATTACTCACCATTACCTGACGAGGCTCCAATAGACTACTATGATGTCCAGACGTCTGGCGAGGAAGAACTGACATCCTAGAATGCACAAAATAAGACGTATATCAACAATTTAACAGCCAAAAACTAGTAAATGTCACTTACCTTAGCTACGTCCCTTCAGGTCTCCCAGCCAGCCACTTCTACACCCATAATCTCAGGCAGTTGCAGCCAGACTGTCCTCCGCACTGCAAAGTCACTCTCCCCGACCATATGTCTACATTTCATACAGAGCCCTGCATCAAGCCTGCACATGGCGACGAGTGGTTCGAGCACCCACAGATACGTGGAAAGGTTGCACGCTAGGATGATGAAGGGCATTTCGCGAAGGATCGCGGTGCAGGACTCTCGCTCAGCGTCTGTGCCCGTGTCTGCAGCAGACAGGGTATTGGAGCCGCCGGAAGTGCAATCAGGGTGGGGTGCGAGGCTGGCCATCCAGGAGAGGGTCGTACAGCGGAGGAGGCCATCCTTTACCGTGAGGCACTGGAGAAGATACGCGGCCGAGAGTTGCTCCTGTGTCCCGTCCGCGCGCGGGATGCCAGCGAAGAGCATGTCAGGAGGAAGTTGGGCATAGCCGTAGAGCGGGAGCGGGAGGAATATCTTTTCACCTGTGAGTTGTACCAGATTTGCGAGGATGATCACATATTCTTCTTTCATCGCGAGAGAGGTGCGGCGATTGAAGGCGAAGGTATCGTAGTCAGCGAACCTGGTGAGGAGAGCAGCCTTGAGGCGCGTAAGGACGAAGTCGCAGATGGATCTGATGCTATACTTGTGTCCCATGCGGAGGAGGGACGTGATACGAGAGAAGGAGAGAACTTAGCGGGAGTCGACGAGACTATAAGGCACGATGCAAGGGATGAGTATGATGGGGGGAAAAGGGCAATCACACGTACCTCTTGCTGTCGTAGAGAACCTGAAACATAAAAGTAACATCTTCTACTGCATCCTTCAAGTATATTACTTGGCTGTCTCCGCAGGTTTTCCTAAACTCTGAGCCAGAGGGTCGGAAAGCCACTTTGATCAAGTCCTCGAGGACCTTGGATTCGCGCGAGATGATACTGGTATGACCACGGAATGCAGTGTCGCTGACAATAATAATAATATTACTGTCCTCGAACCATAGATCTATATGTTTGCGGAGCTCTTGACCTGCACAGGTGAACCGAGTCGTCTTCAGCTTCTTCGAGACGGGGTCGCCGCTCTTGCGCTTGAGTGACCGTAACGCCAATCTGGTCCTTAACTTAGGATCTGAGTCTTCCTTCACAGACAGAGGCATGGGATGATCAAGGACAAGTCAGATGTACAGTACTAGTTGTAGTTTCGGCGGCACCGCAAAGGCATGTGTGACAGGATCGTGACGTGTTGCATGTGATCGCGTCGGGCTCGGAGAGACGTGCAGGCAAGTGCAGGTCTGTCCTCTACTTCCACTCGACTCGTCGATCTCCGCGGTTAACGTCGCGCCATGCGCGCCGTCAGCCAGCCACGGACGAAGCGCCGCATGTCCTTAACTTTCATCAAGAGAGCGCCAAGACGGAGATGGAGATGCTCGGCGAGGGAGCACGAGTACCGCCTATTGTTGGTAACCAGATACTCCTATGTCTCCATTTTTTTGGCCTTCTTCGCGCTTCAGAGATTTTCAGTTCTTCCTCGCAGAATCGCAGGCTCCACTTTCGCATTCGACGCCACTGCAAGGTGGACGAACGAGGACGCCCTGCACTGGTCGAACAAGATCTCAGATCCCAGTTTGGTATATATGCTACGCATGCCAACGAACCGCGAGATGGCCGTCGAGCGATACGCTTCGTCAAGGTGCGGTGCGTATATGTATCCATTGACCGCTGACGTGCAACATCGAAGATTGAACTATCGTCAATTTTAACAAGTCGATAAAAGGCTGGCCGCATTCACTGAAGTTGCTGACTCTTTACACAACGGTGGAAGCTGCGTATAACGCATTCAAAGCTTCGGAGGGGTGGCGGGTCTGCTGTGGTGAACGGGCTGGTGTGGGTGGCATGGTCCATCCCTCCGCTTAAGGCGTTCATGATGCGCAGCTCCACATCCGCTCTCGGGACGTTCGTACACGATGCTCACCAGCGTGTTTAGGTGAACGCACCCTTTTGTCCTGACTGATCTTTTTTTCTGATTCGCGATTATCGGCCACCACGGGTTCATATATATCTTTTTCAATTGCATAGCTTGGGCAAAGTCTTGGTGTATTTCTCTTTTATGCTTGCATTTCGCGCCTGCTGACTTTCAACAGGATCCGCGACGTTGCATTATGGAAAACAGCAGCAGAAGGATCCTAACCTGCGTGAATCTCAGCCGATACATCACTTCCCCGCATTCCATATGTCATGCAAGTCTCGGTCACGGTGATGCTAATGCTCTCATTTTCCCAGTGGGTATATTCGCTTCCCTAGTCCTGCATGTCGCGGGGGCGCGGATACTCTACCCGTGCCTGGTGGCCGCGGCAGCAGCAGCGACACGAATTCCAGCGGCGAATTTCGAGAAGGTGGCAGCGAAGAAGATGCTCCCGTCGCCGGGAGTTGAGTGCGGTCTACGCCACGGTGGTGGTCACCGCGCTCGCGTTCCCGAATAACAGCGTATCACTGATTTTTCTCCCCGGCTTGTATTTCTCCATCCTGTGGGGCGTGGGCGAGATGGTCGTTATAGACGTGATGGGCGGGCTGCGGGGTTGGGCGTGAGTGCACTCAACGGTCTCGTGTTCGCTGGTGTCATCTGACGTGCATTTCTCACAGGTTGTTCGAACGATATGCGCACCTCGGAGAGGCGGCGTTTGGTACGTACTATGTATGTATGGCTAGTCGGTAGGGGAGTCTTTCCGGGTCACGACCCTCGGGGCGATCCCTTGCTCGCTGTCGGGCACCGCGAGTAAATAGCCGTAATTGCTAAGTCCGTTGCTATCTGGTGTCGATGACTTATTATTACCACTGCTCGATTTTTTGGAGGCTTGCGGTGTTGGTCCATTATCGTTGCCGCCAAACGCCACGCAATGTGCGAGGTGATCGACCTTTATCCTAGCCGTACTCAGCTTTCTCGCCTTCAGACCGCAGTTGCGCTGGTGGCTATCACAGTGACCGGGGTGAACTGCGGCTGTCATCCCTCCGCACCGCCAGCGAAGTCGGGCTAGACGAAGAAGCAGCGGAATTCCATCTGGCACAAGTTCAACAAAGAGAAACGGGTGGATATTCCTGTTACAATTGCCTTGCGTCGATCGCTACAGGAAAGTCAAGTTGTCGTCCTCGTTGGGGCGCCAGGCGACATATTGGTGCAGGCCATTCGAGAGGATTGGCAGGAAGGTTCTCGGCAAAGAACCCCAACCACACGCGAAATGAGAGTAAAGAGTTCAATGTGAATGAAAGAAATGAAGGCTGTAAATCAAAACCTATGGAAGCTAGAAGATGTAGGGCCTGCGCACTCACTGAGGTGGGGCGGTATCACTCCAATGCAAGAGGGAGAGATTCAGGGACCAGTACTATGTCGCGATAATGATAATTTTATGCGAGGCATGGGGACGCTGATAATATGTAAAAAAACACACGCCCCGCAATGCAGCGAACGAAGGGAGCTTGCTAAGCTCAAACATACGTACCTACACATGCACCACTTCAGAGGAGACCAAGTCTAATGGAGGCCATGTCATAGAAATGGCAGGCTAAAGGACAGCGTCCTATTGATACAGGGAGCTGTGAATCTGAGAAATACGAGGTGTGATACCAGCCGAGAAACTCGCAGTACGACTGGGCCTCCTGAGACTGAATGTCTGGTAAGATCTGCGAAGACTGTTCGTTACCGCGAGACGAGCATAGGCTGAACACCTTCACGATCAACTCCACGGCGAGTGGAATAATTAGTCGATATGCAGGAGCGTGAGAAGATTCTGAAGGGGAAGCTGAGATGCCACATTTAGCAACTTTGACTCTTTCATAGATATCTTCGCCGCTGTGCGTCTGGGCTTCCCGAACAGTCGTAGCATAACATCATTTTCTTTCCAGCCTACATGTGAATATTGTTGCAACGAGTACTTCTTTGATAGATACCTCGGAACGAATGGACATGGAGGCGCATCCGACAAGCGCGGCGTGCTGCTTTAATCGTGCGCTTTGTTCTTCTCCATGCTATTTTTTCTGCGCAGATTAGTGTAAACGCCGAACTGTAGAGGGGACACACTACTCTCCGACCTCTTAGTTCTAAGCCCGACCCTCACGCGCAGGGTATACTGCTCGGACAGGTAAGTAGTTGCGCATGTCTTAGGTTCAGAACACTGATACGGTCAATGAGGACGACGCAGACTGGCTACCGCGTGGAACACCGACATCGGTCGCGATCTCTCATAGAACACTCGTCCCCGATGCTGGAAAGATTTCTGTCGCAATCTCCAGTGCTCGTAACACGTCTGTCGCAATCTCTGGTGCTCACCCAGGTGCTGCGATGAGCAATATCAGTCTCTATTTTTGGACTGAATATCATTCGGCTTCCTCTTCTGGCTCAGGGGCTCTCGAGTCGCCTTAGTATCACTCGCGGTCTATTGTCTTCCAGGAAATGCTTAGCACGGAATGTCAAGACTGCTCAAAAGTCAATGTTATAAGAATTACAAGGATACACTCGATTCTAGCTATCCAATAGCTCAAGACTTTGATCGAGTGGCCTGAAAATTCAATCATGTCACCATCCTGCACTTGGTGAACTACCAGTTCGGAGGCTCGGGATTCCAGATGCTGGAGGCTTTCGGCTACTCCTTCTGGGGCTTCGGAATGCTTTCCTTGGAGAACGTAGATGGCACGCCCGACTTCATCATCCTAGTCAAAACTCAAGTAGAGTTGGAGGTGGCTTTGCACGAGCAATTCTGCTGCGTGTGATCGTGCTACGGAGTGAATACGGCCGCAAATGTTGATGTCGGAGCAGGCAAATGGGTGTGTACGTACACAATCCTCTCCACATTAATTGATTTTTTTCGTTTGCTTGTACCCCCTTCACCGCGACTACTGCTCTGTATCGACCTCTGTGAAGGTCCGTCCACTGGCGCTGCATATATACACCACCCTGCATCACGTCCATGAAGCAACGTCTCGTTATATCTTTGCGGCATGATACCAGAGAATCCTGCCAAAGAACGACGCCATCATTCCTGAACTTTGCGACCATGATAATCTACTTACTGTTTCTCCGCAATTGTGCCCTCACGTGTGGCCCATGGCTTCTGACTAACTGGTACCTATACCATCTCATCAGAAGTTCGACGTGCTCGCGAAGGTATCGAAGGCATTGCGTCCACAGTTATTCGTCTACGTTTCACGGCTGATCACTCATAAGGTGCGAATAATACCCGGGTGCGTAATTGCTGCTGCGTGCATAGCACCCGCTCCGTGTCGCATCACAAGACGCATAGCCAAGTATTTCTCAGGGAAAACCCCTGAGAAAATTCATAAAGTAAAGCACGAGAAAAAACTTTGAAGTAAGCATAATGAATTTTCGCGGGAAATACTGTGATTGTCCAATCAGCAGCTGAGAATCACAGTTTTTCTTGGAGAAATTCTTTACTCTTTTTCCACAGTTTTTCTGTGTGCTTTACTTTAACCATTTCTACAGGTTTTTCCTCGAAAAATACTGGGCTATGCTTCTTGTGCATGATGCTTGTACGCGCATGATAATGGGAGTTGCCTAGACTATCCCTCTGGACCATACAACAAAAGCGACTCAAAAGCAGTAAGGGAACTTTGTGGCCGCCTATTCATTTGTTTTGCTTACAACAACGCCGTGCCATAGAGACAATGGTTTAGAATGATCGGCAACGGCCGAGTGCACGCCAGACGTGCTTGAAAGGCCAATGGCGGCCACTGGCGCGGACGCTTAAGTATATAAGATGAGCAGTTGTGTACTTTACTCCATCTCCTTCGCCCTCCTCCTTTCGTGCCGTTGACGTATGCCTCCGCTGTATAATCCCGCTGTCTCTGCAGAGAGAGGTAATGACTTTTCTTACGTGGCCAGTAGAGGGATCTTCACGAAGTCGGTATCGTCAATACAGACTGCCGATAGGATCGAGTCTAAACCTCTGTTGCGAGAAAATGCCCTGCAGCAGTCCACAGAAAGTCATTCTAGCAGTGAGTGGGGTACATCTCCTTATCTGAAGGTTGGCTCAGTAATCGGCTTCAGATTCAGAAGTTACCATGTGGTCCAAGTTCACTGCAAAAGAGTGGAAAGACACCAACTGGGTAGAGACAATCTCCACGGATCACGAAGATGTCTCTCAATGTCAAGTCATCAGGGTTACGGGGGCAGACTGGGGCTGGATTATGCCGCCCAGCACTCAAGACCTTCAACTTTTGGCCGCACTCTTCAATAATGTCACGGAGCTCCATTTCATTAATTGCTCCTTTGCGAAAACTGATATGCTTGTGGCTTTTGCCAACTCTTTTGTGAACCTCTTGACGGTCTCTCTGCGCGTTGGGAACTTGGCCCCTTGGTTTCACCCAATAGCCGGGTCTCACGAGGATCTGATGAAGAAAATGCGCACTGAGCTTTCAGCGGCCGTTCAGCACCGGTGGGGGGCGCATTAAGAAACGACGCGTTTGTCGGACGAGCATGGCTGTAAAGGTATCCCCTTCTCTTGGTGGTTGATGTGGTTTCCTTCGCTTGTACAGTTGTCCATGATACATATATATATAGACCCCGTTCTGAACGTCAGTGTAGCGCGAACCGTTTTGCTCACATTGCGTACACTTCCCTATACATTCTGCGCCACACTCGCATCGACCTCAACGATGCCTGCTTGAACCCTGAGCCTGAACATCCAGGATGAATGAGCCCATCCCTTCGATACAACCCTCGGCTACTCTCGGAGTAGCATGGCGCGCACCCTGAGAGTCCTCGTGGTGTGGGAGCTCCTTCTCTCCTCCAAGTTTCTATAGCGATACGTGCACCGTCCAAGCCGTCGGGACGTGACAGTTGAGACCATGGGGTGAGATCGAGGGAAAACCGGAATTGCTTTACTTGGTTGTAACGTGCCTGATAAGTGGCTTGTCTTGAAAATCGAACTACAATACAACAACTCCAGCAGTTGAGGTTCTGCAAACTATGAAAATTCAAATGCGAGAATGCCGACATTTCAGCATTCGCGACCCTTGAATATGGGGCAATTCGAATTGTAGCACAAATTTCAAGACAAGTGTGTGATCAGGTGACATTGGATAGTTATCAATGAGCCCAAGCTGTCATTTTTGCCTCTGCTCACCTCGCGCTATTATCAGTAACCTATCCTCCCCACAGAAGTCTGGATGTTTCGACGTCTATGAAAGCTCGGAGGGGCCTGCTCCTGTCCAGAGATACACTGCATACATCTTAATCGTCCTTGAGCACGTTACTGGTCGGTTCTGATGGACAGGTTTTAGATTAGAAACTGCTAGTCCACAAGGTCAATAGTGTCGCTGTGGTCCTGACTGAGACGGCCGCATGATGCACCGAGACACTGTTTACTCTGATAAAGGACTGCAATGGCATTCAATTAACGTTCTTTGGGTTCGTTTGTCCTGTGCGATAGGTAATTTACATGCTTAACGAACTCCTTGTCCGGTATCTTCGATGCCGTATAGAGAACATTTGCAATACGCAGAAAGTTAGCCATATGGTACGTCCGAATTTCAACTTCCCACTGCGTTATTTTCAATCTCCATTGTGCCTACAGCATTCTCATCGCTGGTTCAGATCTAAGTGCCGGATGTCCCGGCTGTCAGCCGCACTGTTATCAATTTGAGGTTTAGTCAATGTTGTTCGCTATTGAATATTGAGTTCGGAAGATCCGTCAAAACAGGCGTCGTCGGTGCCACCGGAACAACATATAATATGGTCGCAGTTCTTGGTGCAGGAACACGCCCTCGGTTTCATACCGCCTTATTGAAATGGGCTCTGAGAGCAAGGCACCAGCACCCTCTCTTGTATGTTCTCCCACTCTGTGCTGTGTCTTGTCTGTGAAGACAGGATGTCCGCACTTCAGGCCCTCTGTCAGTCGGTCAGCCGTCACAGGGAGTCTACGCGTCTCTCCTGAAAAGGTACGGACCGATGGTACCTTCTCTAAGACCCAGTTACATACTAATCTACTACAGGAAATGCTGTTATCTCTTTGTCGACATACCATCTGTGACTTCTTCCATAGGGTCAAGTTTACTGTTGTCCCGTATACGCATGACCCAGAGCTCGTATCCCAAGTCAACAACATCGTTCAAACCTGGGACACCGCAGTTGCGCTTCGTCCACATGTTGTCACAGCTATCGGCGGTACCATCGCTGCCTACAGTCACATCACCAATATCGAGACGAAGGTGCAGATTGCGCTATTTACTACGATCATTCTGGCTCTGGATGATCCAGACATCCTCGATTCTGTGCCGTCCCGCGAGTTCCACCACATGTTGTTTTCGCGCATGGCTGAGAGCAGCTCGGGTTTGCTCGGGGAGCTCAGGCGGCTGCTCCCAGGTATGTGGGACCATTACTCCCGGTTCGCGGCGAGCGCAATCGTCACGTCGGCTCTGGACTTCATGAACATGACGATTCTTGAGAACGAGACGAGGGAGATGTCGCTGTCTTCGGAAGGAGCGGCGTTCCTTGTTCATCGTCGGACGAGGACTGCAACTGCAGAAGCATATGCGCACTTTATCTGGGCGAAGGCGAAATTCCCCGACGTCAATGTGTACCTACAGGCTATCCCGTGAGTTTCTCGCATGCTCCGTTTTCGGACGTTTGGGCAATTGGCTGACACAAGCATCTCACAGCGATGTTATGGTCTACGTGAACTGCGTCAAGTGAGTCTTTGCGCAGCCTGTTTCTTCTCATCCACGTCCAGCTGCTGATTACCACCCCAGCGACATTCTTTCCTTTTACAAGGAAGAGCTTGCGGGCGAAACGGGAAACTATATTGGGGACCGCGCCGCTATAGAAAGAAGAACCTCGATGGAGATCCTGCAGGAAATCGTCGATGAGACGGTTGCCACAGCAGAGCGAATCTGGCACATCCTTGGGGAAGGGGATGCAAGAGAATCATGGGAGAGTTTCGCGCGGGGCTATATCAGCGCGCACGCCCTTACCCCACGATATCGTCTTCATGAGGTTCTAGATAGGCAGTATCTTTCCCACTAAGGTCTCGTATAGAGGGTGCCCCCGCACTGGTCATCTCATCTAGTATGTTCGTTGGCCCTTAGGAATCTGGAGACCACACTTACCTCTCTTCTACTCCATCCATATCGCACGACATACTTCGTCCAACACGAAGGCCAAGTCCTAGGTTCTTAACACACTCATGCTTCATCTCTTCTCGGCGCCATCTCACCGAGCGCTCTTCGTTTCCTTACCGAGATAAGTATAGGAACATCCTAGTGGATCTTATCGTGTCGTGTAAGGCAGTAGAGCGGATTTGATCTGATTTGCCCATTCTCTCTTTCAGGTGTTTGGCGAACTTGACATCATAGTGCCGCTCGATGGGGTACTTACAAAATCTAAGGCCATCAATCCGCTGTCACGGTGCTGCAACTTCTTGGGAGTCCTATCTGCCGTCGTTCTGGGTTACGAATACACCGATCTCGCAACAGTTGCTGTATGTTGAGCGGCACACAGACCGACCACAAGTTGACTAGTCTGTGGCACAGACCAGTCAACTTTTCATCGACGCTGTGGTGTAGTTCGTTCCAATATTCAATCTTTCCTCGGGCTGGACCGCAATTCAGATTGCTTCTATAGTCTGGGACATAATCTAGTATGTGAGCGCCATCACTATCCAATATCCGCCGTTCGAGTTCACTCATCTGACCTATATACATCAAGCAAATTTACCATGAGTCTCTGAAAGTAGTCACAGGCAGATGATCAAACGATGGTCCAGTAGCATTGCAATGATACTTCAATTTCCGCACCTTGCAATGGCTTTGCAAGGTCTCGGACACGACCTTCTAGACTGAATGGATCGTTAATTTCGTTCGGAGTGTTCTGATATTGTTCAGGTGATAACGTGGTGACACGTTCGCGATTGTTTGCGCTGGGCAGTCGCACCGCATTTTGTCAAGGCAATCCTCCGGTTGGGCGCCCCGACTACGCGGAAGCACTTATGTAGACAGACAACATGGTCCTCCTTGCCCTTGATCAACACGCTGGAAGTGCGGACATGTCCCACAAGAATGACAGCATCTTCCGAACGAACATTCCGCGGCAAGCATCATCACGAAGTACTTGTACACACATGTTCTTGGCATTTATCTCACACCCAAACAGCGCGCGATGCCGGCGTATGGATTCACTCGAACATACTAGAGTAGCTCAGCACGGCCAAGACAGGTACTTTTCATGTCGTGTTTACCTGTCCTTCCCCCACTTGAGAAACCTGCAGGCATTTTAGTTCGTCGCGCTCACCGTAAAGATCTTGACGTACACAGTAACTGAAACGCGGAGACGATAGAGTGGCTCTAACAGTTCTAGTCGACGTCTACACTGCCGCATGCTGAATGGAAGGATACTATGTCCTGTAAACGACAAGGAATGTTTCGCCATAGATGACATAAATCGCAGGTGGCATAGGTTTAGCTACAGGAACTTAACTGCGACCTCGTTCTTTTCTTCCGCAATACCGCAGTGAAATGGGTAAAGACCATAGAATGCCCTTGTACGTTTTTATACTCTAGTCATCGTCACAGCTAAACCATATCCCGATTTTCTGCAGGGCGCGTCAATCAGGTCTGAGTAGCCCATGTATGTTCAAGGAGGTAAGTCGCATAGTTTTGTTCGGATGGTGAGCCTCAAATCTTGATTCCCATAGCAATTGCTCTTGAATCTTTGTCGACAAGCCATCGGAGACTTCTTGGATAGAATCAGGTTCACAGCTACTCCTTATCCGCACGATCCCGAGCTTGTATCTCGCGTCTACGACATCGTACGAACTTGGGATGCCGCGGCTTCACTCCATCCCCACGTTCTCACCGCGATTGGCGGTACGATCACCGCCTACGGTCACATCACAAACATCGACACGAAGGTACAAATCGTGCTATTCACCACTATCATACTTGCTCTGGACGACCCCGTCATCCTCGACTCCACGCCGTCTCGCGAATTCCATCGCATGTTCTCTGCGGGCGCGGCGGAGAGTGGCGGGTCGGATTTGCTCGGAGAGCTCAGGCGGCTGCTTCCACGCATGTGGGACCATTATTCCCGGTTCGCTGCGAGTGCAATTGTCACGTCCGCGCTCGATTTCATGAACGTGACGATTCTTGAGAACGAGACGAAAGAGATGACGCTCTCCTCGGATGGGGCTCCATTTCTCGTTTATCGGCGGACGAAGACGGCCACTGCGGAAGCGTATGCGCACTTCATCTGGGAGAAGGCTAGATTCCCCGAAGTTGGTATATATATACAAGCTGTTCCGTGAGTTTACCTTGCGGTCCATTCCTGATTATTTGCTCGCATATCTGACGCTTGAATGCAACCCCCTAGTGATGTCATGGTCTATGTGAATTGCGTCAAGTGAATAATTTACTAGGTCTTTCTCGTGCTTCAGATACTAATCTTTGTGCCAGCGACATACTCTCGTTCTATAAGGAAGAACTGGCAGGCGAGACAGGGAATTACATCGGAGATCGCTCCGCTATCGAGGGAAGGCCCGCGCTGGACACTCTGCGCGAACTCATTGATGAGACTGTCGCCGCTTCTGAAAGAATCCGACACATCCTTGGGGAAGGAGAAGCAAGAGATGCATGGGAGAGGCTACATCAGCGCGCACACCTGCTGTCCACGGTACCGCCTTCAAGAGGTCATAGGAGGACGGTACATCTTGGACTGATTTCGCTTCGTTAGGTTTCCTTTTCGCAGTCTGCCTTGTTGCATAGCAATCGTTTCTTGGGATATCATATACATCATATCAGTCTCTAATAGTTTTTTCCAAGCGACTGGCAGACATACTGTAGTTATCCGGTACACATAATGCTGGGTTGAAGTAAGTGCGCCAGCCCACCTTTGAAACTGAGAACAGAAATAGTGCAAAACTCTAAATGTTTATGTTTGTTCCTATAACTGCATGCGTCACATCATCTTCAAGCGACAACCTGCCTTCGACGCCCCTATGCTGTAGTATACGTAGCTGTACTTACGATAAATTATATAACTGAATACAGCGTAACGAACATGTGGAAGACGTAACTGCGCTCTTTTAACATCATAAAGACCGTCCGCTGGACGAGCCTCGATAGTTGCCCCATTTGGCATGTTAGCTACCCCATCAGGAAGGCCACGCTCCCACGTCTTTCTCAGGCTTACGTCCTCGTCGAAGGTTGGGAACTTCGTGAAGTCTAAGTCTTCTCCTCACTGCTCCGGACTCATGATCAAGCGCAACGTAGGGCTTGTCCTTGATTCCAATCTCTCGCAAGAACAGCCACTCGCTGTGTCAAGCTTGTTGTCGATATCTGTCCGGCACTGATGCACGATTGCGTCCTTGAACTTCTCGCGAAGTACGTGTCCATACAACAAGTTGATTTTTCTGGCAAGTTCACTTCCCTTTTCTTATCCTTCTAATCGTATTCCAGTCTCAACTCATTTGGAATGCTACCTAGGCGCGACATTCCATGATGAGTCGCGAGAGTCCGAGTCACGTCTCTAGGATATGTTCTGCAAATAGTACCATACTGCCCGTGGATTACAGGCCTCGGTAGTATGCATTGTGAGTCCAACGCACCACACTGTCAAGCTCTTTCAATTGGTGAGTCTAGGCTATAATCCTTGCAGTGCAGTTATGCATCATACAGCTGCAGTCGCCGATGACGGACTCGAGGGCGCGACCCGCATTTGCACTAGTCATCCTACTGTACATGTTACTTATCCTATGGGGGTGTGTCCTCGATGTCATCTCGGTGTGCCAATTCAAACGTAAACCTGTAAGTCATGCACCTGCCTATAGCAAAAATGTATCCTCTGGCAGTCGGGATACTTAACCATTGACGTGCAGGACCCTCGTGGACCTTGTCCCTAACATCTCACCCCGGCTCATGCTCGGGGTCGCGTCAATCACCATATGCATGTTTTCTGGTCTGGAATGGATGACAACACGCTAGTTATCCAACCGGTGACTTCCACTCAGTCCTTTCGATGGTCGGCCGCCCCCATAGCCGGTGCCTCAACGCCCATACGTGAGGTCGCATCTGAGACAAGTAAATCCCTATCACACCGCACGTGATCCACTGCGGAATGATTTGGCGTCAGGCTATCGACCTCTCTGAGTCTACAGCCGGGTCGCTCGTTTCCTCCCACGTCACCACCATCGTTATTACAGCAAACCCCCACCGAAGAAATCGACTTGTACGTATTAACTAGTATTACGGACGTCTCCACTCTGACTTTCCACGTCTCCAGTCCGTCAATTGCTCGCAAACATGTGGGAGGAAGAACATCACCCCCACCATCACCAACACCATCACCACTACGAAGACGAGTATGTTGTATCAGACGGTCCCGCGTACGCGCTCTGTTCATACTGTCGGTGCCAGGATACTGATCTACGTGGATATCAGGTATAGCTTGGCTGCTGCGTGAGTTCGCGAATCCTATCATGCTTCTTCCTACTGTGCTAAGAGCAGGTGTGCAGGATGCCGGAACCGACCTCTCGACCGCGCGAGTACATAGAGTATCCGTCTGCCTATGCCCCTCCCGCGGAAAGGTATATGTCATTCTGTCGTTACTGAACATCCATCGTTCAACCGTTTGTGTAGGTACAGAGATTATGCTCCTCCTTCCGTTCCCGCGACAAGTTTAGAATACTCAGAGTACTCGGAGCATCATCACCACCATCACCCTCATAACGCCGAGGGCGATTACGCGCCGCCCCCTCTATACCCGGAGTACGGCCAGTATGCCCCCCCACCCGGTCCCCCGCCTCCGCGTGACTATCTCCCGCCTTCCGGCCCTCCAGGTGATTATAGTACCTACACTCCCCCAGGTACGCATCCAACCATTTCCCCTCGTTCCGTTGTCTGATGTGAATATCGTCCAACCAGACGGCCCCCCTCCGCGCCCGCCGGTAGAGCACCAGCACTTCGGGCCCGTGTTCCAAGATGAGAACGGGAACGACAGGCTGCTGCACTTCCAATACTCACAGTGCACTGGGAAGAGGAAGGCGCTTTGTGTGCGTTTATGTGATCGGCTTTCTTTGCACGCATCCAACACTTGTTCCGATAGATCGGCATCAACTATATCGGACAATCTGCGGAGCTCAAGGGGTGTATTAACGACGCGCACAACGTGCGCCGGTTTCTGTGTGGTATGTGTCATTCAGTCCATTGGAGCTCAGTGCTGATTCGGACGTATCCAGAGGACTACGGATACCAAGATGCCGATATCGTGATGTTAACGGACGACTCGTCGAACCCCCGCTCGATTCCGACCAAGGAGAACATGGTAAACAATCTGTCTTTCGGCTCTCCCTCCGCTGACCGATGTACGGCGCAGATCGAAGCAATGCAGTGGCTCATCAGTAATGCCCAGCCGCACGACGCACTGTTCTTCCACTGTACGATCGTCCTGCTGTCTCGTCGATGCCAATCCTGATCGTGCGATAGACTCGGGTCACGGTGGGCAGACGAAAGATCTGAACGGAGACGAGGATGGGTATGATGATGTGATCTACCCCGTCGATTTCCAAGAAAATGGGCCCCTCGTGGACGACGTACGTAGCTCATCCTGTCGGTTTGTCACCTGAGATCCATTTACCAATGTCTGGCCTGGACACTTCGAACAGATGCTGCATGATATCCTTGTGAAGCCGCTGCCTCCTGGTTGTCGGCTCACGACGATATTCGACGTAAGTTCTCCTTTCAATCAGATGCACTGTATACCCAGTGAACCCTCCGTCCGTAGTCTTGCCATTCTGGTACTGCTCTCGGTGCGTCGCTTCTCAAATCTCTCATTAAGCTCCATAACCCACCGCATTGATTGCTGCAGATCTACCGTATATCTACAACCACTATGGCAAGATTAAGGAGCCTGACCTCGAGCAAGAAGCATCGCAAGGCCTACTCGCCGCGTTCGCTGATCGCGGCTTCGTATGTTTCACGTTCTGTTTCCGCTACTCGCATGATGCTCACTGCATCTACGCACACAGGCTCATGCGTTCTCCTCTACAAATGAGTTCATGGACCGCGATCGTCGCTTGCTTCAGACGAAGACAAGCCCGGCGGACGTGGTACGATTTGCGATGTCTCCTTCGCTCAGAGGTTGCTGATATCTCGCTCCGACACGTGCTGCGCTGAAGATATCATGGAGCGGATGCAAGGACTCGCAGACGAGCGCGGACACGTTCGAGGCGGGCCAGGCGACGGGCGCGATGAGCTACGTGAGTCAGATTTGCCGTTACTACTCCCCTCTGCTTACTGATCCTCGTCTTGTTGTTACAGGCGTTCATGACCTCGCTGAGTAGGCACCAGCCTCACGTTCTTGCCGTAGAATCGTGCTGAGTACTCGTGTAGGGCAGAACCGGCATCAAAGCTACCAACAGCTACTCGTCAATGTTCGGTGTGTGAAAGCCTTCAATCGGAAATCTGTTTCACTGACACGGTATTTCGTAGCGGCATGCTGGCGCAGCATTACAACCAGACCCCGCAGCTGTCCAGCTCGCATCCGATGGTGAGTCTTCCTTGAACTATCAACGAGCACGTTCAGTTACATATGTATCTATAGGACACTAGCTTGTTGTTCATCTGCTAAGCATGCGTCAAGCTTCCCACTCGCTCTATCCATTCCCCCATTCGCACATACGGCTGATCATATTTCGTTGACTGGGATGATCCACTAGCGAAGGGTGGTAGAGGATGCTGGCGCGAATCTAGGCTGTAATTATATATACGTGTTTCTTGGAGAGTTGTGACGTATGCAGGTTTACATGCGAGTCCAATATATATCTAAGTCATTGCAGTAACTCTGCACAGCTTGCAGCTCGACTGCCGGGAAGGGTCCATGGCGAACTGAAATGGCATATGTGTGTGGATAGTTGGGGCGGTACCAATCACGAAGTCACTCACAGTTGGGCAGACGGCACACCGCTTGCGGCGATGAATCTCGACTCGCTTCGCAGGATGGGCCGTACGTACCATAGTGGCATAGTTCGCCAGTAGCGAAACTGAGGCCGGATATCTTGCAATGCATGAAGTGACCACACAGAGAAATGGATGGCAAGACTCGTACCAAATATGAAGCAACTGACAGACAACGCACTGGAGGCTAGCTCCCTCAAAATAGCTGTTCGTATGAATCTATTAAGGGGAATTTGACATGCCATTGAATTTTGAGGTGTTAGACTTGAGGTCAACGACCCTATCTCATCAGTGCCAGGGACACGACTGTAACAAATAACAGATCCTGTTGTACCAAGAAAGCTTATGCGGATCGGGGTCGTAGCCACGACGCGTCGAAATATTTTTGCGGACACAGATCTACAACATGTCGAGCTGCCAACCCAAGGGCCGATCCGCAAGAACCACGAGCTCAAGTTACAAGTCGGCAACACGAGCACCGAATTCCTGGGCTCTGCGCCGACAAAGCCAACAGATGTCGTCACCGTCATCCGCGACGCGCTCAACTCCTACAAGCGCCAATCGTGCGGGTCTGGTCACAGTCTCGTCCTACGGCGCCGCCGATAGCGGCATCGTCACCGAGGTGCGGGACTTTGCTCTTGTGGAGGTATAATCGCCAACCAGCGCTGGCACTGCTGTTCTGTATTCCGCTCTGCAATCTTCGTGTTCGTCGTCCCTCCGTGCTTCTGGTTGCGCGAACATGCAGAGCCAGAAACGTACGTTCCGCGTGACATCAAATCTGAGGTCAAGATTGCCGTGCTGTACAGAAAGCTCGGTAACTTCCTACCACGGCGATGACAATGGCTCAGTCAAGACTAGATGAGCCGCCAACATTGCCGCAGCCCATGTGAAGAGGATCAACGGTTCGTCATTATGATCAACGCGAGTCCCATCAGACTCACATTCGCCTCTCTTCACCGTTGTTGTCGTGCATCCGCCGCTCGCAGACTGGCGTAGTATGTTGCTTACTGGTACGCACTAGAGAGAAACGGGCAGCCAGTCGGCGCAGGATGGGATCATTGTCTGCCAACTTGAGGATGCTAAGGTGCGTCGACTAGAGCCTTGCTGTTGTTAGTGAGAAGGGACAGTTCGACGGTGAACAAAGGTCGATGGTTCTTATGGCCAGTAGTGCCGCAATCCACCTGTCATCACCGATGTCAGTAGTATAGAGGAGTTCGTCGGACGTTCTGTAGACCATGCAAAGCTTAGCACGAGAGGGGGAGTGAAGCTCGATGTAGCCACGGAGCCACCGCGAAAGGTCTTGAATATTGCGTCGGGGGTGGGGAATTTGTGGTGGTTGAACCCGCGGAGTGGAACATCTGCGCAACAAGGCGTCGTATCCGTGGAAGCAGGGCAGTTAGTCTCCGAGTCTAGCGGGTTATCATGATCAGCACCAAACCCCTAGCCAAGTCCTTGCCGCGTGCATGCCGTGTGCTGCGCGTCGATGTGGTGGGGGACGATTATTCGTATTGGGTGCGTAACCCGACGTTCGGGGATGCCCCTTATCCTCCAATCATTCTCAATGCCCTGCATGGGGTTGATTGGCAGCTGCGTTGACTATCAGAGGTCGGCACACCCTGCTAAGCATCAGCCTGCAAAAGGTGGTGGTATGATTATATCAACTTGTCGTGTATAATCTCACAAGAAGCTTACAGTAGTAAGTTGTGAGAACGAGGATCGGCCGCAAAGGCAGATGGCAGTTGTGTCGTGGACGTCGTGGATATCGAGTCCATCTCGATGGTCAACGTCGATAGTCAGTCGACGAGCGTAGCGAGAATATTGCGAGATGGTAGACGTGTTTGCGATCTTGAAGAGCGAGCGCGGCGGCAACTTGAGTGTTCGCGGTAGCTTCCGGCTCCCAGTGGTAGTCTTCTGCAATTGTTTTCAAGCTTATCAGCATCCGCCACTATATGTTCGAGTGTGTTAGCGGCGCCAGCTTATTGTGACCCTCCCCACCTCAGCAAGGTCACTATTGGTTTGCCTTCGGGAAACTACAGCCAGCTAACTGTACTAAAACAACCAATCCGGCCAGTCACGCTCAGTAAAAACCGGCAGTCAAAATGTAGTCGGCCAATTTCAAAATTTTGGCAAATTTGACTATTAATGACTACTTGTGACTATTCTTATGGTTTTCTTATAGTGCATGACCTCATATAGTTTAGACCATGTCTGTACAGTTATGTTCTGACCCCTCAGAGCAGAAAAAAGCAACATATGAGCTCCAGAATGCCATGTATTCTGAGAGAACCAACTGCAGTGTCTGACTTTTACAGACTAGGATTTGATGGCATTTAATCACATAATTTCTTGGCATGAGTTTGGTGACTTTAAACAGACTTCTCTGGACTTTACCTGACCATGGTGCCAAAATTTTGAATCTCACTGACTTCAACCCGACAATATCAGACTTTAATTGACTTCCAGTTTTTACTGAGAGTCACGCATCACAGCGATTTTCAGAGACCTCGCCAATAAATTTTGTCTCGATTTCTAGGAAATTTTGAGAATTAACTTTTTCCTGGTCATTGGGCCCCGAAAAAGGGAATTTTTGGCGCCGGGTTGCGACTTCCTTCCTACCAAATCGTTTGACTCAGTTTTCGCAAATTTATCTGTCGCAGATTGCTCGACAAATGCTTCCCACATGTTGTACCCTATACCACCACACCACCACCACCACTACCAGACCTACTACGCTGGAAATTGCATTTTTCAGCAAACTCTTTATCCACTTCTTGGCGTCAGCATACTCAGCATCTCGAATCGGTTTTAGACCGCTACTCCTAACTCGAGCACGAGCTAGGACTAGGACCCGGTTTAACCATATTTTTTTCCGCCAATCATGACAGCGGAGAACAAGCTAAACCTTGTATTGGCATTACTTGGCTTGAATGACGCCGCTGAGCTTCTCACAGCGTTTCACCTCAGATCGGGCATAGCTTGTGCACCAAATACTGGGTCGCTCATATTCGCTGGCTCATCCACGCAGGGCCGTCGCTGTGCCGCGATCCTGGGCTGGCCACTAGGTCTCGGTGCTTGTTGATAGATTCGCGTTGGGCTGCGAGCCAAAACTCCTGCGCGTTGACTGGTGGACCCAAGAAATTCATGCACTGTGAAATTATACTCCTACATATGTCGTGCGTGAAAGCTCAGTAGCCATAGGGCTCGTTCCCTGATGTCTCCGTTTCAGCTTCGGTCTCCGTTTCTGACCCATGACCGTTAACGTCATGCCTCCCATTCATCCCATTCATGCTGTCATCATTTTGCGAATCGATGCCGAGGCACGCTTGACAGAGTTCGGGACGCACGCTCATTACGATCCGCTGGTCGGGAAGCATTCTGGAATGAAGGGCCAGTTCCATGAGTAACTCTTTGGAACAATGGGGAGTCAGCGTTCAGCGACAAGGCGACTCACATTTCGACACACTCGTTCGCGCAGTCGTGAGGGATCGGCTTGTGGTATCTGCTCAGCAGGCAGTTCGCACCGTTGCAGTCGATCTGGCGGACACACGAAGGCGCGCGAGGGCGTGTGGTAAGCCTTCCTCGCGCTGCCGATGATCTTAAATAGGAACTCACATAGTGCCGCTGGGTGGGTATCTGATGCGAGCAGCTGCTATATTCCACATACGTGATGAGGTGGTAGCACATCCAGGAAGTCGCAGAAGTTAGCGAGGGGGGTAAGGGACGCAAGCTTATAGGCTGCGGACGGAGAACCCCCGTGTGCGTGCGTTTTTTACTTAACCTTTTGTTGGTTCGATCTGATCCACGCACTATCGCACCAGGGAGCTTGGGAACTTCGGCGTGTGCGCGACACGCGCCCCAGTAAAATCACCCCGCTCAGCCTAGATCCGCGTCGGCCATAGTCGACATGCCGACGTCACTCCGAGCTAGGAGACTCAGTCGGGTGATTAGAACCAGAAATTTGGACCCAGTATCGAGATTTACCTTTCGCAGTCGCCACAGATTAGATGTGATCGAATACGCTCGATTGATGACTTTCGCGGGGCGGGGCGCGCGGGTGGCTTGTCCGGTCAATATGTAGTGCAAGGAATATTGAAACGTCACAGGGGCGGGCCATGTATGATGCGGTTGCGCTCATATCGAGTAAGTTTCTTCCCGGTTGACGCAGGAAGCCGGTTCCGTGCCGTAAAATCGTCGGCGAAACCTGGACGAAGTTCGGCGCCGGCATGCGGGTTGTTAACAAAGTGATAGAATTCTTCTCGTCAAATACCACGTGCGACGGTTCGTGCTGCATGTTCTGACAATGAGAGGCTCTGATCCTTGCAGAGGTCAAGGAGGGTGAAACGTTGCGGCCCAAACAATAACAATATATATATTGCGGCCAACACACCTAGGCAGATTCTGTCCGCGAGATTTAGGCGAGCAGCAAAAGAGAGCATTCAGTAGCCACCCGCGCAAAGCGCTCGAGGATTCAGGCCTCAGGTGGCGAGCTGAATCCATCTGCCATCCGAGGTCATTTTGGTCTTACCGCACGTAAGTATGGTCCGTATTAACACAGCGTTCCGATAAAGGTTGAAGTTGAAGCTTCGAGGTGGGATTCCCATCGTCCAGTCATACTACTCCCAGTACCCCGGCACGCAGACTATAGTTGCCCTGCCGAAAAGTAATATTAATTACCCCCCCCCCTGTTGGTGTTTGTCATGTTCCATGGAGGCTGAGGAAGCCGCGCCAGGGCGCATCAGGAACGTGGAGGATAGTTGGGAAGAGTACAGGAGAGGAAATGGACTTACCATTTAAGTATACACACGTTCGTTGTCGCGTTCACGTTCGAAACAGACCCCCCCTTGTTACTTTACCGGTTACCGACCCAGTAGCTACTATATAACCGTAGGACGAGTACGCCGCCCCTCAGTGTCTGCTGCTAGACGACGGAGCACTGAGGGTGAGTCTCTTTACTTACTGCATACCCGAGTAGTACGCTGATGCCTTTGTAGTCACTCGTTTATTTATCTCTGCTTAGGTATGCACAATACACATAGTGTCTGCTGCTAGACGACGGAGCACTGAGGTCACTCGTTTATTTATCTCTGCTTAGCTCCGCTATCGCTCGTGACCTCGTAACAGGTTATGAGCCCCGACACAATGTCGCCTGCCTCGGAATCCCTGCAATCTCACCTCAATGTCATCCCAAAGTTGGCAGCCGACGGCTCCAACTGGATCACCTACAAGGAGCGCATGTTCACCGTCATGGGCTCCCGAGGACTGTTGCGACATCTTCAAGGGACTGCTCGCCGGCCACCGGATCCACCCCCGCTCCCGATGCCATCACCTGCGCAGGCCGCGACGACCGCTTCCACAACGCCAGCCGCTACGGCGTCGACAGCCGCGACGTCACGCACTGCCACGACAACAGCCCCTGTGACTACCACAGCACCCGCCGGTCAGACCCAACCTTCGATGACACCAGAGGAGTATCTGAAGATCGTTGAGGCCGCCGAGCAAAAGCTGGATGAGTATACGCAGAAGGAGTTTGCCGCGCGGCAGCAGATCTATGGTACGATTAACGACCGGCTCCTCTTGCGCGTCAAGAAGCTTGTGACTGTGGCAGAAGTCTGGATTGCGGTACAGAACGAGTACGAGAGCAAGTCCGAGATGTACTCGGGCGCTCTGCGGACTCGTCTGCAGAACACGAAGTGCGAGGAAGGTGCCGATGCACGGGCCCACCTTGACACTCTCGCGAAAATGCGCGAGGAACTGGCGTCCATGGGAGCACCAATTTCTGATGCCGACTTCACCGCACACGTTTTTGCATCACTTCCCGAGTCCTACAGTGCCCTCTTGCAGGCACTCTCTACCGCCGCACGCATTGCGAAGACTACGATCTCCGCAGATGACATCATCACCAGCATTGTTGAGGAGTATGACCGGCGGAAGGCACACCTGAAGCCTGAGTCTGCACTCTCAGCAAAGGCAGACACGCGCTCGCGCTCGCATTCCAAGAGTCGTGGACACAGTGCGAAGTCCAAGGACGCGGAGTGCTACAACTGCGGCCGAAAGGGACACTTCTCGCGTGACTGCTGGCGTGAAGGCGGAGGGAAGGAAGGCCAAGGCCCAAAGGACCAGGCTTCTAAGAAGGGCGGCAGCAGCAGCTCGAATTCGAAGGGCAGGTCATCAGCAAACACGGCCGTGAGTGATGACAATCAGACTCACGCATTCACGGCTACATTCGACAGTGCCGCACTTGTCCACCATCCCGCAACGTTGCCTGATGTCGAGATCGAAGTCTATGACAGCGGTGCGACACGCCATATGACTCCCTATCGCGACTCTTTTGTTTCTTTTGAGCCGATGCCTGTGAAGCCAATCACCGCTGCGGATGGCCGTAACTTCAGTGCAATTGGCAGGGGCACAGTTCAACTGCAAATCCCGAATGGTGAGCAGATGACGACAGTGCTTCTCGAGGATGTACTATATGCACCCGAGATTGCATTTGCGCTCATATCCATTGCACGTGCCGACGCTGCCGGATACTCTGCCATGTTCGAGAAGGGGGAGTGCCGCATATACTCCCGCAGGCAGTCTCGGATCATAGGGCGTGTCCCGTCATTGAATGGGCTGTACAAGGTCGAGCACTCACGTCGTGCAGCACCTGTGAATGAGTCTGCATCAGTTGCTGTCGAGCCGGAGGTTGAGCGCGCCCTTATTTCATTGTCCGTGATGGACTTCCACCGTCGGATGGGACACATCTCGCCAATCATCGCTGAGCGTCTTGTGCGCGAAGGACGAGTTGAGGGTGTGCGACTCACAGACAAGGCAAACAAGGAGAAGACGTGCAACTCCTGCATCCAGGCAAAAATCACCCGCGCGACTGTCCCTAAAGAGCGTGAGAGTGACCGCACGAAGGAGCTGGACGATCGAGTCCACTCCGATGTCTGGGGGCCGGCTCAGACCGAAACACTTGGTGGGAAAAAGTACTTCACCTCGTTCACAGATGATGCCACTCGCTGGACGGACCTCTACTTGCTTCGTGCAAAGTCCGGCACATTCTCGGCCTACAAGTCCTATGAGGCAAAGCTGAAGAACCAAGATGGGAAGACCATTAAGGCTCTGCAGTCTGATCGAGGGGGCGAGTATCTCAGCAGGGAGTTCACTGACCACCTCACCACACACGGCACAGTCTCGCGCCTCACGGTTCATGACACGCCGCAGCACAATGGCCTTGCTGAACGCATAAACAGGACCCTCCCGGAGCATGCTCGTGCAATGCTCATCGCTGCCAAACTGCCCAAGAACCTGTGGGGCGAAGCCATGATGCATGCGACGTGGCTAAAGAACCGCACATCAACTCGTGCCTTGGATGGCAAGACACCCTTTGAGGTGCGATATGGACATCTACCGGACTTAGGCGACCTTCACGAGTTTGGCGCGAAGGTCTGGGTCCGCATCGAGAATGCTGGCAAGCTTGACTCGAAAGCACGCGAAGGACGTTTTGTCGGGTACAGCACTGAGAGCAAGGGCTATCGAGTGTACTGGCCTGACAAGCATGCTGTGTCCGTGGAGCGGAATGTGAGATTTATTGATGAAACGGTCATTGCCGACGAGGCTCAGCCCGAGGGGGCGATAGAGGCTGTCGTTCCGAGCTCGCCGTCAACACTGCATCAGCCGCAGCAGAAGCCGAAGTCACACACTGAGCCGCCAGCACCATCTTCTGTGAATCCACCTTCGATGCCGACATCTGATGCTCCCGTGCAAGAACACAAGGATGAAAATCATGCACCTGAAGCTCCCGCAGAGCGAAGCCACCGCCCCCGCAAGGCATCCGCCTACGTGAAGCGGCTAAATGATGGCTCGGGCGTCGCAGATGGACGCAAGAGCAGGCCGAAGTACCCCCAGGGCCTCCAGCCAGGTGACCTGATGGGTGCAGCTGCGGTAGAAGCTGAGGAGAGCGAGAGTGAACAAGAGGGTGATGAGCCGATCTTCGCAATGCCAGCCGCATTTGCAGTACGCGAAGGTCAAGAGCCACGATCGCTCGAAGAGGCCATGCAGAGTCCGGACTGGCCGCAATGGCAGAAGGCCATCGAGAAGGAGATGCGGAATCTTCGTGACCATCACACATATGATCTTGTTGAACCACCTGAGAATACTAATGTCGTCGGGTCGAAATTTGTCTTCAGGATCAAGCGAAATGCAAACGGCAAGATTGAGTCATACAAGGCCCGTCTTGTCGCGCAAGGCTTCTCGCAGATTCCCGGCATTGATTTCAATGACACTTTTGCACCTGTCGCCAAGCTCGCGTCGATCCGAATTATCCTTGCACTCGCCGCACACCATGACTGGGATGTGCACCAGATGGATGTCAAGGGTGCATATCTCAATGCTGACCTCGAGGAGGAGATCTTCATGAAGCAGCCACCTGGGCAGGCCGAACGTGGGAAGGAGCACTGGGTGTGCGTGCGACATGCGATCTATGGACTCAAGCAGTCTGGCCGCCAATGGTTCAAGAAGATGTGTGCTGCACTCGACGAGATGGGGCTCTCGCGCAGCCTCGTTGATCACTGCGTCTTCTACCTGGACGAAGACGACGACTCGGTTACCCTCATCATCGCACTCTCGGTTGACGACACTACGATCGCAGGCACGAACAACGCAGTACTCTGGTTCAAGACGGAAATCAGCAAGCGATTCGAGATGACCGATCTCGGCGAGATGCACTGGATACTAGGCATCGAGGTACGCCGTGATCGAGCCGCTCGAACCCTCTCACTCTCGCAGCGCGCATACATCGATGGACTTATGGCACGGTTCAATCTCGAAGATGCCAAGCCGCTGTCCGCTCCCCTTGAACCTGGGGCAATCCTCAGCATCCGACAGTGCCCCTCGACACCGCGCGAGTTCGAGGACATGCGGAACGTACCGTACCGTGAGGCGATTGGCTCACTCATGTACGCGGCACTCGGGACGCGGCCAGACATCGCATTCGCGGTGACAGCGCTCTCACAGTTCATGCAGAATCCGGGACGTGCGCACTGGGAGGCCGCAAAGCGCGTCTTGCGCTACCTGAAGAGTACACGCGAAAAATGGCTGACTTACGGCTTGACACGCGATGGAGTGGAAGGATTCTCCGATGCGGATTGGGGTTCGTCAGAGCACAGGCATTCAATCTGCGGGTACGTCTTCCTCATCGACGGTGGCGCAGTCTCGTGGTCCGCGAAGAAGCAGCCGGTTGTCGCGCTCTCAAGCACAGAGGCTGAGTACATCGCACTCACGCACGCCGCGAAGGAAGCAATCTGGGTGCGCTATCTTCTCGCCGATATTCTCGACCCGGATGTCAGTAAATTCGCACTACGACTACACACGGACAACCGCTCGGCTATTGCACTCGCGAAAGACAATGCGTACCATGCCCGCACGAAACATATCGACATCCGCTACCACTTCATACGCGAGGCCGTTGACTCTGCCGCCATCTCCCTGCTCTACCGTCGCACCGAGGACATGCCCGCCGACATCTTCACGAAGAGCTTGCCGCGCGTGAAAGTCGAATATCTTACGTCACTCATGGGCCTCCATGGCACTTGAGGGGGCGTGTTGGTGTTTGTCATGTTCCATGGAGGCTGAGGAAGCCGCGCCAGGGCGCATCAGGAACGTGGAGGATAGTTGGGAAGAGTACAGGAGAGGAAATGGACTTACCATTTAAGTATACACACGTTCGTTGTCGCGTTCACGTTCGAAACAGACCCCCCCTTGTTACTTTACCGGTTACCGACCCAGTAGCTACTATATAACCGTAGGACGAGTACGCCGCCCCTCAGTGTCTGCTGCTAGACGACGGAGCACTGAGGGTGAGTCTCTTTACTTACTGCATACCCGAGTAGTACGCTGATGCCTTTGTAGTCACTCGTTTATTTATCTCTGCTTAGGTATGCACAATACACATAGTGTCTGCTGCTAGACGACGGAGCACTGAGGTCACTCGTTTATTTATCTCTGCTTAGCTCCGCTATCGCTCGTGACCTCGTAACACCCCCCCCCCCCCCCCCCCCATCTCAGCTCTCGTACAGGACTCTCTGGGTCGGGCGCGAGGGTGCGCCTGCTTGCGTGATTCAGTATATGACAACCTTTTATGCTCAGAACGCAGGTAATCGCAAGCAAGTCATACTGCCAGAACTATCTCCCGAGATAACTGACCGCATCATCGAGTTTCTGTGGAATGACTCCAAGACTCTCTGTAGCTGTGATCTTATCTCTCGCAGATGGCTACCGTCCAGTCGTTATCACGTTTTTGGCATGGTCAGAGTTTCGAGCCGAGAAGGTTTGGATTCTATAGTTCTTGCGTCGATCGAGGCTCCCGTACCTGGGACCACTGCTTGACACGCACGTTGACTCGATCTAACGGAGTCAAAGCATGAGAGGCCTGTGGATCGCGAGTAGTATTGGATACATCTTGTCCAATTTGCTTTAGCCAAGCGGTTGACTGCGAATCTCCGCCACGGATTGCACGTCCCATTCCTTCTTCGATTGTCGATGTAGGGTACCTAGAAACACGTATAATTTGTTAACAGCTTGCTAACGACTCATAAAATCCTATGTTCACGTTATCGACCTACGCCGTTGCACAATCCAGAGAGCAGTACAGTACCCCGCTGGCATCCAGTGACGGTAGCTTGGCTTTAACGAAATTGCGCCAATTCAGATCGAACTTCCGTCGCGGCCAGACACATCGGAAGCGCACAATCCGCAGATTCTAGTACTGTGGGAGAATCTGCTCCATTGCATTGCATCCAGTACCTCGATAACTGATTCTCTGCTGCCAGATACATGGATGATGGTGGCGATATCGCGGACCGCGGGGAAGACGGAGACGCCGAGCTCGAGCAGAGAAGAGAATGATAGAGTCTCGTAAACGCCATCTTCTACATCCAAGTTGGGAGGATAGCGCATAACGATGGTAGAAATGGATTGCAGTTGCGAGCACTTGGAGAGGTAGAGTGACCGCCACGGTTCTCCACCTATGGAAGATAGATCCTTCGTGAGCAAACATAGCACCATTGAGCTCAAGTACTTACTCGGGGCCACGCCGAAATCCGAGGTGAATTTGAGATGACGGATTGCTGGAGCGGCAACGTGAAGTAATCCTCCCAAAGCAAGGACCTCATTCCAGTTATGTAACTCTGCCTCAAGCAATTGGTATGAGTAGCAGTCATCTTCGGCAGCACATTCCACAAGACAAATCTCAAGCCTCTCCTTGACCGCCCAATACGAAGCGCACGCATCCGGAGGTGAGAAGGTATGTGATCGCTCAATGCCTTGATTTTCTGTCCCATTTTTCTGTAGTCCCAATTGTGACGGTCAATCCAGGCATCAGGACCAACATACAGCTCTCCAAGCTCAGAGAAGAGGCCAAGGAAGACTAGGAGGTCCTTTACGAAGAGGAAATACATCCAGTCTACGGAGAGGTGCTCTAGTTCGAGGCCCAAGCTTGTAAGGGAAGAACAATTACAGTTGCTGAAGAATCGTATACGAAGCTTCTGGAGATGAGGTATGCCTGAGATGATTTTATCGAGTGCGTGGTGGCAGATTGCGGGATCATCGTAAGCGTATGTGAAGCGGGGAAGTTCTCCTGCCAGATGCAAGAGGTGAATGTGAGACGCGATGTGAGGCAATTTCTCCAGAAATTCACGGAAATCACCAAGGCAGCTTTCCCGCGTTCCCGTTACTTTGATAGTTCTGAAGAAATGGCGTTGGCTCGCGTGGGTCCACGAGTGACACACTAGCGAACACGACGAGAGACTTACTCTGTCATTGTGAAGTTGGTCGAAAACTGTGCGCTTTATTTCTAGCGTGAAAGCAATGGCGTATGGTGACAATTCCCTGCATGCAGTGCAAACTGAGTCACTTCAAGTTGTTGTATTGTATAGTGGCCAGCTTACAACGCGAAAGGAAACCGTTTCGCCAAAGTGTTCCGCTAAAATATCTCCAAGGGCTTCTGAGATCATCGCGAGTGAAGTGCAGAATATCGTTACAAAATCACAAGATGGATAAACAATATGCAAGTAAGAGGTACTAGAAATAACGCTTACCGCTCAGATTTCAAACTCCTCAACCACCCTGCTTACCAAAGTTCTACAGACGAAGCTCGACAAAAATATCTGGTGTATCTATAGCGAGTATATCTTGCGGGTATGACTGGCGGTCGTAGGTTGAACTGAAGTGGCAAATTGCCACTGAAGCGAGACGCGTTGGTCACGTGCACGCGTCTAACGCCCACTTCGACAGGGTCCGGCTTCACTACTACTCCTTAAGTTGTCCTAGTACTCCTCCTCCCCCGGCATCCCACATGCGAACAATTATTATGTTCGACGCTGAAGAAACTGCATTTCCCTGAAGTTTGAAATCTGTCATGTTACCTACTACCGTCACCACCTCTCGACGTCCCTCACTGCGTAATCGCAGCTCATTCATGGCTCAGACGGACTTGTTCTCTGATTCTCGCACGCATGGATATCAAGGTCCCAACCGCCATGTTGCATTTCCTCGTGCGAGCTCCAGTGGAGGTGGTGCCATCGCAAAAAGCGAGGATGGGACGAGATGCGTGGTCGCAGGAAGAGAATGTACGTTGCGTCTCGCTTTCTTCAATCCACGTGGCTAGCGTTATCTTCAAGACGTTTCCATGCTAAGTACACCTGGATTCGATGTTCCTGCACTTGGCATCATTTGCCAGTACGTTATTCGCTTGAGTGTCTTTCTGCGAATGAATCTCCGGAGTAGCTGTATGAGTAAGCGAACTTGCTCAGCTACAGATCATTTCCCAGAAGATAATCCTTTAATGGTGAAATTACATTGAGGCGTGTTCGTTTGCATATCTGCCATATTTTCGGCGATTGTGTTATGCATAGGCCTTTGGAACTTGGTGTCTCTTGGAGTCTCCTTGCGAACTATGTTATCGTTCATAGGCAACATTCGCTGAATGATTCCCTAGCTTTGCGCATCTTGCGCATGTCCGACCCCACCCCAGGCCTGTCTACTCCGATCGATCACAAGTATGTGATTGGTAGAGGCGGTCATCGTATCGAGGCGTCGCGCAACTTTTGGGAAGGCAGTGGCTTAAAGATCGACAGTGCGACCACGGATGTTGCTTGGGGTCATGGAAGTACGTCTTCTGCATTGGATTTATGTTTTCCTGCATGATATGCTGATTGTACAAGTTTTCAGCAATAAAATTCTCACCAGTGCCCGAAATGGTGAATTAATCATGTGGGACCTGAACAAGCCAGGTTCGTCCAAGTATGGTGAGATATAGTATTTCTATCCTTCGTTCGTTGCGATAGTCGTTGGGCATTTGAGCTCGGATACTCAAACGCAAGAGTGCTAATAATAAATCCTCACTACAGAACGAAGGGCACGAGACCATGTTCGATCAATTCATGCCCTCTCATATTCCTCCATCGTCCAGAACTACTGTATGACTGGTTCTGCTGATGGCGATCTTCGTGTTTGGGTAAGTGAGCGAATTTCACACGTGCAAAGCGGTACTGAGGTCAGTTCACATCAGGACCTCAGAGATCTTTCCAAATCGATCATGAGGATCCGTCATCCTACATGTGTTCGTGCCGTTGTCTTCTCTCCGATCCCTTGGCGACCCCTTCGCGCCATTACTGCTTTAGACAATGGTTGTATATACAGGTTCGAGTCTTTTTCACCTCTTAGGCTGTAACCAATGCGGACCCATAATCCAGATGGGATCTTAACATGGGCCAACGTGGACAGCTCGACAGGATCCCTGTTGCACATGCTGGCCCTATCCTCGCACTCGATTGGTCTCTTCCTTCCTCAACGTTGAGTCCCGCACGCTGTACCGTTCAAGCAAACTGGTACGGTGGCACAAGCTCTGGAATGTTAGGCGACATCCTGCCTGGTACTGGAAGCTTGCTAGGTGGTGGGAGTGCTGGTGAGCCGGAAGGAACAGGGGAGGGGTGGGTCGCCAGCGGCGGTCTGGATAGGTGTGTGAAGGTAGTGTTAGCTATCCTGATTTTCAGTCCTCTCGTTCACCAACTTCACCTACCAGATTTGGGACTTAACAGGAGTATCTGATAAGTCCCACATATCTCACCATCCGACGTACACATTGCGTACCGCCTTTCCGGTCCGTCGCGTCCTATGGCGACCAGGGTACGAGTGCGAGCTGGCGATCGTTTCGAATGCAGACTTCGGCACTGGTGGCAATTCCGATCTATCCCACGTAAGTGTCCCCTCAACTGCAGGGCCAACTTCAGGACCTTCAGCAATCTCGTCGGGCATGGAAAACGTGACATCTAGTCCCCGTCTTGGCGTGTCTCTCAACATCGTCGACGACGCGGACAATCCAGAGATGAGTGCGACTTCAGTATCAAGAGGCGACAGGAGCGATCCCATTGAAGTCTGGGACGTGCGGAGGGGGTACATCGCGAAGTGGTCCATCGGCAAGTCAGGGATGGAGGGCGGAGTGACCGGTCAGCCTTCTACGTTTTCAATTAAGCTGCTTGCTTACGACTATTTATCAGATGTGGCCTTTGCTGACCCCCACGCGATTTGGGCGCAGCATTCTTCTGGGACCTTTTCCCAACTTGACCTACGTCAGGCTAGCAAACCACTCGATGCGATCCCCCGCACATCAGTGACATGGGACGCGTCGGGTTCTCTCACCTTCGTGAGCGACCGTCCAAGGCCTTGGGATGTTCCATATGATGACATGTATGCTGATCTCGCTGATACGTTTCGAAAATATGCTAACCCGCGTGCAGCAAACCGGAGAAGAAGGAACATCTGCAGGAATGGCAGAGCAAGGTGAAGGCTTTGGGCGATGCTACATTTGTGCCCAGTACCCAGAACATGGGTATGTTCACGTACGACAACTCCGGTAATGATTTAGAGACGTTCGTGAAGCTTGCGCAAGGGTACAGATATGAAGGTAGTGACAAGCAGAGCATCTGTGCGTGCAACGCGCAGGTTTGTCCGCTGTCTCCCCTGCCTTATGTTGGTGCTGATTCATCACCCCAGGTTTCTATTGAAGCGAGGGAGTATGGAGCGGCTCAAGTATGGACGATCCTCGAGAATTTACTTACCGATCTCATTAATACCTCGCCAACGTCTCATCTCGCAGTGCAACCGTGTGCAACCATTGGCTTACCTCACTCGATATCTGCGCCTGCCGCTATCCCCACCTTGACTTCGCTCCAACCATCCACACCTCTAGCGCCACGATCATTATCTACTGATGCAGAATCCGTCCACAAAAACGTCAAGGAGGTCAGCCCTAACACTAGTTCACGACACCGCGATGATAGGCAAGGTTCTCTCAGCCATTCTCCGCACCGTCTAACTCCCACACCTTCACCTGCTTCCTCACCTCATCCGACAAGTAATTCGTTGCCCCCCACGACGATCTTCGCGCGTCGGGACTCCACTGCGGGTTCGTCCATCAACACAAAGCGGCCTCGTCTTCCGTTGTCGCCGCGACGTCCTTCTTTCTCCACGAAGAGTATCCATAGCGTTCATAGCGAGAGCCCGAACGACAAGAGCCACGGTAGCCTGCGTCACATCGGCGAAGGCGCGCTAGATGACTCCGACTCTTCTGGAAGTGACAGTAAAGCGGGCAGTGTGGACGAAGAATTGAAGAGCGATGGAGAAAACGAATCACCTCTCCGACCTCCTGCATCTCCCTATCTCCATCCACGTGTTGGTACTGCCAACCCTAGTCCGCTGTCTCGTGTAGCTGGACAACATACGTGGACGGAGGACGAGAAGGAGGATGAGGACTCGCCTTCGCCCGGGTCGACGTCCGAGTCGGAGTCAAGCGATACGTCTTCCCCGGGCAGGGTGGGTAAAACGAAGTCGCGTAGAGACTCCACGCGCAGCCGGACACGCAGTCGCAGTTCGACAGTGGCATCGTTGGCAGTGGCATCCCAGCACATTCTCGTGAAGTGCCCATCTCGCAGTAGCATCCGAACCGTTACTGCTACGCCTGTGCAAGACAGCAAAGTCGAAGCTGCGTTATGGAGAGACGATACCCTGCGCGAGCCGCTCTCAGCCAAGCATTCCACCCATAAGCGCTCGGTGTCTGAGGCACTGTCCAGTGAATTTCTATTGGATGGTGATGAACGTCCAGAGGACCATGCTCACTCGTCTACTCAAAGTGATACCCATCGGAAGGTCATCCAAGAAGCCGAGTTCCAGTTCAGAAACCTCGGATGGGAAGCTATGCGAGAGGAATTCAGAGCTTTGGCTGACGAAGTATGATCTTACGCTATCTTGATGATCCTGTTTTCTCACTTATGATCCTTCAGGGTAACGTGCAGATATGTACTTTCCTCGCCATTGTCGCGCCGGAAGAGCTGAAGGTGACGAAGTCAAGGATGGTCCGATTTCTCGAGTCGTACATTGGTCAGCTTTTCTTCCAATTTTTGTTCCTGTTGCTCACCAAACCGTATAGACATGTTGAGTCGATTGCGCTTGCATGCCTGCGCTGCGTACATGAGGAAGTTTGTCGACGCAGAGGAGATCCGTGCGACAACCGCGGTGAGTTCTGCCTCACTATTGACAATGTTAATCTCATGTCAAAACAGTTGCAAACGACGATTCACACTGCATGCGGTCGCTGTCGCAAACCTATCATCGTGCCATTAACGGGGGCTAACTCTACCGTCAAGCCGAAGGGCATCTACTCCTACTGCTCCTCATGCAGATCCAACGTCGCGAATTGTGCCATCTGGTCAGTCCCTGTTGTTCCGCGTCTTCAATTTCTCTTCAACAACCCATTAATGACCTCTGAGTGCAGTCATCTGCCTGTGCGAACACTGCTGTTCAAGTGCCCAGTGTGTATGCACGGTGGCCATCAGGAGTGCTATCGCAATTATTACATGCGCCGTCCCATGGTGGAGCTCACTTCACCTTCATTCCCTCCTCCCGGTGAACGCCAGTCGCTCTCAGGCTCAGATCCTGGGATGACTGTTGTTCCACCACGAACCCGGGGCCGTGCGACCTCGCGAAGCGGGTCTACTACTGGCGGGGACAGCGATGGCGGTTCGGACGACAGCCGTGGGACGGGAATTCGAAGCGTTGTGGCAGAGGGAAGGGCTAGAATAGATGGTGGAGAACAGGTGTACGATGCTTCTGTGCAGGTTTTGTTGGGCCATCCGTGCGCCGTAGGGTGTGGCCATCATTGTTGGGTTGTGAATGCGAAGTCTCTCCCTCAATAGCTATCCCGTGCACTCGTGTAGTACCAGGATAGGAGAGCCACGGCTCAAATGACGATTATGCTCTGAGACTGGGCATAGCTTTTGCGCGACAAGACCACACCGTTATACACTATGACCGTCCAACTTCCTAGACGAGTCTCATCTCCCGTGACTGGCGGTCTTCGTCGACTGCTTCATCCGGATGCGATCAGCACGATGTCTCTGGGAATTCACGCGCTGTGCGAAGCCTGAACCTAGATAAACATCTCGTGTGTATGGTGCTCCATCGTAATATAATAATAAGCAATATCCGAGGTAGGAAAGTCTGTAGTTCCCGAAGCAGGTTAGGTGTTGCAAAGCTCGGGTAATGCAAACAAGAGCTCGAGGAAGTACTCGATCTCATCTCATCTGCACTACCAATTGATTGTCCCTATGATCTCGAGATTTTATTCGATGTTCGTGTAATCGGTCATTCGTGCCCCAAGTACGGACTCGGCGGGTGAAAAATCGACATCCATTAATCACATTTGGGCCGCTGGTTATCCACGGTTCCTGCATTTCTACCTTGCCATACAAATATCTAGATCAAGGGGACAAGCGAGTAGTTCGAGGAGAAACGTTGTTCCGAGTATACCTAGGCCATACCTCCGATTTGTTACATGGGTCGCCAAAGTTGGAGTATGGTTTTCACAAATACAGCACTATACCATGCAATACAAATGCTCTATCCTATAAAATGCGACCGTGCATTTCAGACTTTAAGTTCTTTGTCCGCTGTCCGCTCCGAAAATGTGCTACCACATTGTCACGTACGTTGAGTATGGCTGCTCTCACCAAGTTCGCACTCGACGCCAATACGTGAGCACTCAGATACCTGCAGAATTTCTGGAATCCACTCACTCACCGTATTCTAGGTCGACTGCAATGGAGCTAACTGCCGAGTGAGCAGGTTTCACATGCCAGTCGAACACGACTGTGCTAATGAGTGTGCCGACATGTAAGTCGCGAGACGGTGGACGTAATGATTAACGCTGGCTGAAGTCCCTCACCACAGAATGCTGCCCGACCAGCACCTTGTCATGACAGTGCGGCGAGAACAATGCAATAGATGCCGTGGCATTGAGCCGTCAACTACCAATGGATCAAACGGGTCAAATGGATTGAACGGTCATGGTGAGAGCGAGAGTGGGGACGAGACCGACAACTAGACAGAAGGTCAGATCCAAAGAATGTGTGCATTGCGCCGTAGCATTGGACTATGGTGTGCAAGGAATTTCCTGGATCTTCAGTATGTTCAGATACCTGCCGGTGTACGCGCGTCGATTGCAGCGGGAACTATAGGTCGTCAATGCCGTCCAAGAGAAAGCTAGTCACCGCCGGTGACAATCAGCGCGGATCCGACGAGAGCGCTTCATGCCGTATTTCCACAGTGGAGACAGAGCCCAGCCCGGGTGATTTGTAGCTGTACTGTAGATAGAAGGGATGTGCCCAGCGATAGAGGGATCCCGGACCGACTGCACGACGGAGATTGGATGAGGAATGCGTGACATGAGCCAGCTGCGGTGTCCGAGAACCTGGCCAACAACGGCACTCACCTGCCCATCCGTCTTCTTGTCATGGGACGAACCCAAAAGTGTATGGGCAAGAAGAGACAGAGGTCTTAGGTTGTGGGGGTCGTCTCCGCAATTTCTTTGGGGTGTTGGAGCCAGTGACTGCGTATGCGGCTTCAGGAATATATTGAGACCGGAAATAGGGTACAGCGGGTGGTGGACGGTGATAGGATGAAAGCGGGTGAGAGACACGCCTTAGACGATGCGAGGTGTCTCCGCAGGACTACGAAGTAGCGGTTGGAAAGCGATGAATTGTGGCAGGAAATACAGCTGTGGTTTCGATGGAGCCCGGATGGTTGTTCATTCATTGTAAACGGTGCTGGCGGTGATAAGAAATATAGAGATGTGGACGGCCGTAACAAAAGGATTTTCGACCGCTGGAAAGGTAATGAAGAGGATAGATGTTAGTAGGAGCTAGTGACAGCACGCACTCGATCTTAGTAAATCAAGAGCAAGCACAGTCGCGACCGCGGCCTATTGTTCTGCCGTCCACCAGCAGCGGGTAGCCGCCGAGCCGTTTCCACGCCAGCGGCCGATAATTTGGCTCCCTCTGATAGACGTTTTGATAACGACGAGTACTGCCATGCTCTCGACGATGTCCCCGCCAGTCCTCATCATCACGGATAAAGAAAAATGCGACGGCGGTCTGACGGTTCATCGTAGCACCGCCCATCAATATCCCGCCAAGCCGCCGCCAAAACGGCAGCACCCCACCATCAGCATTCACCGACGTGTACTTGGGCACGACCGGCTCTCCCCTACCCCACGCCCAACATCACGCTATTGAAGGACGCTGGATACATGTTCGAAAACCGTACGTCGCTCGCTGCATTCTGCAGCTGAAACTTCCTCGACGTACCCATCACACAGGAACATTGCTCACACTGCTCTCTTTGTGGTATGGGAGGTATTCATATTTGTCCATTTGGTGTACAATCCTCCGGACCATCGAGCAGCCCGTTCTTGAAACACTGGAGCGCAAAGGTGTGCGAGTAGATCGGGCTACTAAAGAGCCGGTGAGGGTTTCATCCAGCCCTCCAGCCCGTTATCACTGAGCCATGCACCGAGCCCATAATCTGAACTTCCCACTGTGTAGAGTGCTAGAGGTTGGTAGCTATCCATGCGTGAGAGTATCGCATGGAGGTGAGTGTTGACGGAGGAACGATAACGTACTCATGCATAAGCTTCTACTCTGGCACAATACCGTCGAGTCGCAGTGGTGGCGCGTAGCAGGTGACTAGTTGCGAGGAACGTGTAACGACATCAGCATAGGCCTCAGCCTCCAACGACCACTCACTGGCAAATCTGATATCCTCAACGGCGGACTCTGCGTGGAAGCAGTGGGCTGAAGGTGATCCTTAGCCATGAATGCAGCCAGAGATGAAAGAGTAAGTGCATATTTCTCTGCGGAGGTGGCAAATGACTGTCTCACGTTCCAGCAGCGATGGCAAATCACAGACGTCACTGCCATTGCCAGCGTTCTGCTGGTACAATTCATGCCACAACCCAGCCACAATTTCGTCAAAGAAAGCTCGAAGCCTGGTACTACCCACTGAAGAGTCCGAGGCCGGAAGAAACCAGTGTCGGTCTCGAATGGGTCGCCTGAAAAATTGGGCGGCAGAGAAGCCTACATCATACGCCGCGGGTGAGGACGAGTTGAATTCCCAAGTACGATCGCTGAGCTTATCACGGTGGCGAGTGCCGAAACCGGGAAGTTGGCAGGCCCGCACGTCGGTGCAATGCTACCAGATCGTATATTCCAGGTAGCACTCAGCTTGATTCCAGCATGTACGAGTCAGCGCGAGTTACATTGTGACTTACCGTTTGACAACTGGGGAGCTTTGAAGGTGGGTAGCTGCGCTTTGAAGACTATGTAAGCCTCATGGCTGATTCGGGTGTGGTGCGGATACACGTTCGAAATCGCAGTATTTTGTATCTGTCTTCTTTCCGAGCGATTCGTCTCGCCCTTTCCCCTGTCCCACCGCCGGAATCTCAAAAGTGGTACTCCCTACCCCTTCGCCTTTCAAAGTTACCGAGTTTTTTTAAAACTGATCATGCCGTCCAACTGACATCCATTCTCCTAGCAACCATTTCTGACTGCTTTTGATTGCCGCTGTTCTTGTGTTTCCACCTCTCTATCTATATATCTTGAACGTTCGCCATATATCTCAGATAATTTCTATGAAAGCGAGACACTAAAACGTCTAGCTAGTCAACTGTGGTGTCACTATTCCAGCGACTTCTTCTCGGAGCCGATATCCACCTTTGCACACTCGCTCGATATAGCTCTGGCCTGCCGGTAATACGGTGATAACAAGCGACTTCTGCTCTTCCTTCTAGTTTGTCACATGCGAAGTAAAGATACGAAGCGTGGAAGATACCTCAAATTTGTAAGTGCACTGATTTTAGTTGCCATTGAGCGGTGGAGCGAGGGATCTACCTCAGCTGATAGTCCAGGTCGTCTCCACACAGGTCGTGCCAGAATAGAACGTGGAGCTGCGGTCTCTCTCTTTTGCCCTTCCCCGCACTAGCAGCCATTGACAACGGGATCTCGTAACGGACATTCCAGGCCTACCGTGAAGGTTTAATACATCTCGATTTCACGCGAGTCAGCAGTATATGCATTTAAGACATGACGCGTGATGTATATACAACACGGACACTGCTAGGAATATCCGACCACCAAATTCTTCGCTCGATGATTTTATGGAGAATACCTCAGTAACTCGCTGCGCAGACGCCGGCGCCTCGTCGTAGGGATTTTTCATTGTTGTGCGTTCATTTATCTTTAATTATTCTTCACTATTCCGCTCGATGGAGGAAGCGAGGTTCACAGATGTCTAAAATTTTCGCACTGAGGCCGTACCCCGATGTCTTTGCTAGTTTCCTGAAGGTGGGAGGATGCTTCTCACCACCAATAGCTCGTAGGGACCCCTGGAAGGATTCCCGCACTTCCCCCAATTTCGGTTCCTTCAACCAACTACGACAAGGCCAATTAGACCCTGTATTTCTTCCAGCCGTGCTGAGAGATTACTGTAGGTGCGTTAGCGCTCTGTCCCAGTCGTGCTTGCCGCTTCAGGTATCAGAGAGCGCCAAGACTGATCTCCAGTTGCAGACTGTCACAGTTTTTAGGCATTCGTACTGTCTGAGACCATTTGGCGTACGGTGAGCTCACTCGTCCATAATTTGGCAAGATGTCACTTACAATCCATGCACGCTCATCAGTTTGACTGTTTGCAATACCCCGACGTGGTCACAGTAGCAATCCGCGGTGCTGGCTTTGAAGTTCAAAAATGTCCCGGAAAACATTCACGACTTCGCGCGTCCTTGACCGGCACCTCTGTCTATGCTTTATTTCATGGGCTGGCGACTTGTACACAAAAGCAGAGATCGTCGGAATGGGTCCACGCGCCTCCCGTGAACCCGCATTGACACCATCCACGATATGATCCGTCACAGTAGGACGATCCGGAATGGCTCCCACAGTGTTTCGTCCGACTCCTTTTTTAGACCAGCAACAGAGAAGCACATATCAAAGACCCTCTGACACGCGTTCTGTTTCGTCCTATGACAGCTTGTTCATATGCGCGATTATCAGAGAAACCTCGCTAGGTTTTACGATGCCCCATGCGCGGAACTCATCACTCAATTGGCCGCATCACCTAAGTTAGTGCAATGCATCCGACCGGAAGAGGCGCCTGGTCGGATCGGACGGGGCCGAATCTGGAAATAACGAGAGTTTAGAAAGGTCGGTGCGGAGCATGGTACGCCCTCCAGCATTCATATTCAGCCTGCACAGAGACGACGCTGATTGTTCTCGCACAGTTTGTCCATCTACCGTGCGAAGAAATTCGCTATATACAGAACGGTGAGCTATATGTTCGTCTGCGTGTTCGGAGCCACCTGCGTTCCAGTATTTGTCAGATTCTTTGGCAGCTATATGCGCTGGTAATACGTGCAACAATAGAAAAGCGTTCACCTGGTTCGTTCGCCGACATTGTGTGCTACCAACTCCCCGAAATGACGCCCGAAGAACGTCGAACTTCTTGTAGGGCGAGGGGGCTGTAAGTTAAAGATCCGCAAGATTTCGTGAGTGACGTCATAGTTCTCTCTGTCGGCTGCCAGTGACTGTCTGATTTTATATCCACACTGTCTGGCACAATTGGCACATGGTAACAGCTCCCATCCGAAGTCCGGAAAGCCTGGCGCACTTCTGCCCGCTTCAGTGCGTGCAAGCCAATTGCATCGACTTCGGTTCTTTGTGGTGGCCTTTGCCGCTGGGCGAGTGCATTCAGTTCAGGCACCATCATTTTCCGATGTCATACTTTTTCGACAACACCAGCCTCCCAACAGGATCATCCTGCGTGCTGTATGCCTGGTTTCGGAAGGATTTTTTCCGAATACGTTCCAAGTTCCACATGCTGAAGAGCTCGAGGACCGAGATCCACTCTCACTAGTCAAGACCTCGCCCCGCTCGTTATTCCCGTTCCTCGTAAATTGGAACCGCAAACTGGTAGACAAATATACCGCTTACCCTGGGACACATAACTCGCACCAATTGGACAAATTCTTCCTTTGCAACTCCCTCGAGGCGCAAAGGGTACTCGTCGCTAGAGCCGTCTGCAGTGGCGTTTTCTGAGACTGGCATGGCGAACATATCACGAAAACCTCGGAATCGCTCTCGAAGTTACGACGAGTAACTCTAAACAGGGCACCCTCGACCTGTAGCCATGATGAATCGATGAGTTCGAGCATATAGATTGAAACTCTCAAGGAAAACGACACATTCGAAGTAGAAGTTGGCATCCCTTGCGGGCCGCAACTCATTAACGGGATACATTTGCGACAGTATCGCACGGCAGTGTGGTGGTTGGCCTTTAGAGATTGCGGCAGGTGTCCTGCAGATTTATCTAAGCTGCCGCCTCGTGTGGGACGCATCAGGAGAAGTACGAGCTTCTACGAGTTGGGAGGGAAGTCACGACTTGTACAGTCGTGTGTACAAGCTGTAACATGCATGGTGCATGTGCCGGCATACTGCTCCATTATAAGAGCCGTATGCTTGTACCGAAGCTTGCTATGTACTGTTGGAGACAGTTGCCGTGTGGTCCACCGAACGCCGATGGCTTTCGTTTAAAAGCGGCGTCTAGAAATAAGCAGCGGCACTAAATACGAATTCATATATCGGATCCAATGGTAATACCTCCAGCGAACAATCGGGAGATACATATAAAGATGAGGGTATGTTAGATATACGTGAAATCATGAACGCAAGGGAAACATAGCGTGACGGCAGAGTAAAAGCATGACACTGTCCTGCGTATCTCGTCCCACGTCTTCACAGTCGTAATTGCACTCAGAAAGAATGCCGCCCAAACATTCAGCCCATTCTTCGGCAGAGAACTGCGCTCGTGTCACCCTCATCTCCCAACACTTCCTGCAATCAATTCGTGTGCTTTGCCTTCTTGTTGGGCATTTCGCCATCGTCGCCTTGTTTGCGCTTCGTGGAATAACTCTGAGGCTTTAGTGCTTTCAGAGAATCATAGAGGTCGTGGTTGAACCCGATGCACTGCAGGCCGGTGCACTCCACTTTCGCCACGCCCTTGTCATACAGATCTGCAATCAATTTTTTGACTATCGGTGGTATCAGATGGGGTGTGCGGAGTGTACGGCGCATGACTGCGCTCTTAACCTGTGCAGACAAAATTAGAAGCAGATACTTACCACTGTTCTGTACCCACAAATTTAGATAACTGCTTGTACTCCTTGGTTATCAGGGTAAAGAGGTTCAAACACTTGAAGGTGCCGGCGTAGTTCCAGCGTGATGTCAACTGATCATGGAAAAACACTTCGCGTGTTTGACCTAACAAGCATTCGTGATCTGTAGTCTTAACCCATAACTTGTTGCCAACACCAGCATGGTATTCAAATGCGGGGGATAGGACAATGGCGTGCTGCGACTCTTTTGATGCCCACATGAATAATTCATTGACTACCAGAGGTTCCTCGGCACTAAATCCAATATTTCAGTCCAATATCTCACAAGGAGAGCAACTTCGCACACAAACCACAGAGCTTTTATTTCCTACGGGTCCCAACGCTTCGTAAGTTTCCTGAGTAAGAGCATTGATCACTACACACTTTTGTCAGGCAACCTTGTAGGTTCTTCTTTACATGCTTCAGGCCCAGAGAATCTCTGGAGATGTTGGTTTGGTCCTCAATTGGCGGCAGATCAGCCATGTAGTCAAAACAAGTAACAGCTTCCTGTCACCGAGGGTTAGTCAGTCACTCCAGCCAGCTCATTTTAACGCTTCAAAGAAGCTAACGGTAGGACAGACTCATACCCGGGTATCATCAGCAATATCAACGTTGTCCCATTCCTCGTTCTTCTTCTGGATTTGCTCTTCAAGTCGACGAACTTTACGTTGAGCGTCGTGCAGAGCCTCCCAATCCATCCAAGTATCAGCGATCAGCTTACTCCGAAAAATTAAATGACTACCGTGAACGCAACGTCCCTCTCCTCCGTCAGCTGCACCACGACAGCATCAGCAGCTTCGCGAGCCTAACAGCCATCAGCACTACGCCGAGAGAACGACCAGATTTCTAAGCAATCACGTCGTGAAGTTCGAGTTTCTCGGCCTTGGACTGCTCGTATTTCTCCTTAAGCTTTATCACCCTCTCACGTAATTGAGCAATTGACTCTGCCTAAAATGTCTCCACGTCAAGGACGTCTGACGTGGGCGAGGTTTACGCACATTTGCTTCCGAGCTGTCTTCCATCTGTGATTTCAACCTGTGCACTTCTTCTACAGCCTATTTGGTGACGAAATCAACCAGAGGACACTTAACGAAGATCAAGCCTGCCCTACCGGACAAATGCCTTGAAGACATGACTTCATGTCCACATCATCCTTCATGTCTTCCGACACAGTAAAGAGTGGTACCGCTGCCTCTCTCAGTCTGCTCACTTCCTCCTGCAATATCTCGTTGTCGTGGGATAGCACAGCGACTTGTGCTTCGGCATCGTGAGCGCGTCTTCTGTAGTTCTCCGCGGCAGGTGTTGCTCCTTCTGTGTGCACAGACAACGATCGAACACGCTGCGGTCACATAAGCATGAGTGAAAATTAGAACAGTAAACAGGCGATCGTGTGCTTACTGCCTGCTCGGAAGCCTCGAGCTTGGCTCTCGTCGCCTGTAACTCCTTGTTAAGCAATTTTACTAGCTCAGATGCGAGCTCGGGGTCTGCACTGAGGGTATCCATGAGAAAGATTCGCGAAATTTGTCAGCTACTATAATGAGTCCTCAAATAACTTTGTCGATTGAAGGAACTTGGATAGGTGATTAATATTGCGGGAGCATGAAAATGTTCAACCTACGGATTAATCTAGATAAACGAGCACGTGATCAGGACGCGGACGCGTCGCGACTCACGGTGGACTAGTAGAACATTAGGCTCATAAATACAGCCTGTCAACGACAATGCCACTTCGATGTTCCCACGGGGCGGTCCTCAGAGGATAGGTGGTGCATGATCCTAGACTAGTAGAATCTAGTCAACCTAATCGGATAGGCCAAAAGGTTACAGGACCAGATTTAGACAGCCTCAGATATCACGAATGAACAGGAAGGCCACAATTCCATACTCAAATTACTGTACCGTAAGAACATAAACAATCATAGACCATAGCGTTGGAACGAGCCCGCAGCATCACGACAGCGCATAGCAGTACAGCAACATACCCTCACCTCTAATCCTCTATCGTAAGACCAAACCAAGATGGGATCTGAGTCCACACATCCTCTCGCGCCTTCGCTGCCGATTCCGCAAAGTCCGCTTTGCATGCCGCGCATAATTTGAGCCCGCATTGTTTCTCGCCGTCGGAGAAGTCTGTGCGCGAGAGCATGTCAACCGCCTGCAGCAGCGTGAAGAGCGGGTCCGCGTCACGCCCGCACGCAATGCCGCCGACGGAACGTAGGATATTGAGCATGATGAAGTAGAACGACTCCCGGCAAGCGCGCCCCTGGTCGTGCTGCTTATTCTGGCAGCCTGCGGAGATCGGGCGAAGGCTCAGCTCGCGGTCGATGAATGCGGCGACATAGCGCTGGCACGTCTCGCGCCCAGCGAGCGTGGTGTAAACCTCGTGCTGCGAGAGGCACACGGAAATCTTCTCTTCAGTTACTGGTGGCGCGCCAGGTTCGGGAGGGGAGGAGGGGTGTGGCGGGGGGAATGGTAGCACGGAAATTTCGCAGCCAGAGAGAATTTTACGAGGAGCATAGCGAGAGAGGTCGTAGAAAGCAGAAGGGAGGAGAGCATCGAGACCGAACTCCAGCGCGAGCTGAATGACGAGAACGGGGTGCGGAAAGCCTTGGCGGGGCTTGTACCGGCCTAGGGAATCGGTCACTTGTGTCTCCCTGACATCCCAGCCAACCAGAGTGGTCGGCCAGTCAGCTTCAAGCCGAGATAGACAGCGCAGGCGCAGATGCTCGATCATGTACTTCGTGGACAGACGAAGGACGGCGGCGACAGCAGGAAAATCACCAGCTGATGGCTGCGCAAAATACCTTCAAAAGACGTTCAGCCATCAACAATATGATCTACGATGCGGTGAGTCACAACTTACATTCCGTCGTATAGAGCTCTCAGCAGGTGCAGCACGTCGGGAGGAGAGTCATGCAGCTCGACCCAGGAGCACCCCTCGATCGTCTCTTGCTGTGGGGGCTGAGGAATTAGAAAGAGATCGCGGAAGACGTCCGAGTGCCGCTCGAGTTGGCCGCGATGCACCTTGAAAGCTGCTTGGCCTGCCAGGAGGACGATGTTCCCATCGGAGAACCACACGTCGGATTGGATGAGAGCGCGGAGGTTTGCGTAGTGGTTCAGAGGTGAAGACCCCATCTCGGCGGTGGGTGGTAGAAGGGGGAGAAGAGAGCTAGGTCAGGCAGCAAAGGTTGACGTCCTCGTTGATTCATCAAGGTTAAGACTGATGGCTGGCTGGTACTCAGCTGACCCGACGATGCTGAACGATGCGAGCAGTCAGATTCAAAATGCAAATTCAGATCAAAACCAACGGTAATAAGTCAAATTCATGCTTTGAGACGAATAGAGATGGCCTAGCCTGAGTTTGCGCAAATGGCTGCTAGTAACAACATAAGGGTGCTGTACTGAGGCTGATAGTAAATTAGACTTGGAGTCACCGTGGAGAAGCTATGCTTCTCCGTGACACAACCGTCGCTAAAACGCGTCGCCGTGACACAACGCGTTCTTTAGTCACGGACGCATCGCACGTCGCTATGGCATTGGCCTGCGTCGAAAGCAAAATGAAGACTACCTTCGAGACGTGGCAGAATCACCACTTCTCGGCGGCAAAGAAGGCAATGTCTGAGACAATCTGAATGAGAGCGAGCAGTCAAGTTCACAACACAGTCAAAAGTATCATAACACAGCAAATAGATAGGCTGTGTGGCAAGACCAAAGGTTCGATACATAGGACAAGTGACTGCCCGAGGAAACTGCGCCTGACATTGATGCAAACTGGCACCATTACTAGGCTCAACGTAGACCCAAATCAACGTGGCAGGCTAATGTCGACTGAGTTCGGAGAAATCACCGAGTATGGGACACGTGTCGGTGTATTTGACCCGCCTGGAGAGATTGGAGTGCGCAACACCGAAGGCGGAGGTGTCCCAATCGTAATTGCAGGTAAAACCTGCCGAATCTCTGTAGGCACAGGTGTGGGATCGGTCCCAACCTGCGACTCAGGCGACGGATACGTGTGCGCAGGCGGGGTGTGATAAGGCTGAGAATACGCCAGCGAATGCTGTCCTCGTACTGTAGCAGGGCTATCTCCTACTTGTCTGGCAGCTTCAGAAAGACTTCCGTACGTCGTAGGAGCATGCGGGATCATGCGCATGCGCGTGCTGTCGTCCCCGCGATGAATGTGTGGGCGCACCAGTGGCTTTGCAGGGGATGTGCCTATCAAGTCGAGCTCCTGATGCTGGCGGGTGGTGTAATACCACGAGTTCGGCTTTGCCTCTGGACTGCGTGCACGACTAGATTGGCTCGGAAAGTAGTCGACCGCTACGGGGTACGAAATCCACGGAAGGTTGCGCAAATCGACGAGTAACGTCCGTGCGCGAGTGATGTGTGCGCTAAAGGAGTCGTCGAGAGGCCGCTCTCGAGACTCCATCCGGACGTAGTCCGCTGTAGGAAGGGGGTTCACCTGCACCGGGCTGTTTACGGCGACGGGCGTACTCAAGAACGCAGCAGGCGGCGGAGTAATATGGCCTCTACCTGCCATGACAGTGGCATCATCCTGTTGCTGCCCTGGGACTTGTGAGTGTTCGTATGGGTTCTCGAGTGGTGCATCTAGGTTGTTACCCGGGATGTCTGCGGATGCTTCCTCATCCACGTACGACAGCTGTGCCGATGGATGCTCATACGAATAAGATAGTTGTCCGCCCGACGGTTGCTCCCAAGAAAATTGTTCCGCCTGCTGCTCGTGGAAACGTCCTGACGGAGGCGCTACAGGCATCTCCATTCCCTCGACGTAATGCACGTTAGAGAGATTTGGAACCGGTTGTCCAGGGTCATCGTAGCGCGGCAATGGTGTCGTCGACTCGGGCTCATCCGATAAGCCCAGACCTAAGGTACCCTTCCGTGGAGGTTTACGATCCAGCAGCTGTCCTCTGGATATCGCTCTAGGGAGTCTACCAAGTCTCTTGACGAAACCTCCAACGAAGGTTTTCGCCTTTCCCTTGTGTTTGGCAGGCTCAGCAGGACCCTCGGAGGGACCTGGCTCGCTATTCCAAACAGGCTGTCCATACCCTTCCTCTACGTGTTCACTCTCCCCGCTTGCGCCGACAATCATCTCCTCCGTATCGAATGGATCCCATTCGGGTTCTGCGTCCATTTCCGGCAAGTGCTCCGGGGGAGGCTGTTCTCCGTTGTCGCGCTCTGTGACCAGCCTCAGGATCTTCTGTTGCTGCGAGTCGGGCATTATTCGAGTATTAATAGCTGGAGAAGGGAGAGGCGGCCTCCCAGAGGAAGGTCGTGAATAGGGTGGAAAACTAGAGATCCAACTCGGACTGCTCGCATGAGTGACATGGGATGTTCGACGTATACCTGGGCTAGTGGGATACGGCGTATCGTTGCTCGTGAAGTTTGGGTCGAGATGGAAGCTCTGTGCGTCAAGGAACTGAATACCACCAGTGTAGTCGGCCATCATTGAGTGGAGAGGATCGCGCAGGGTTACAGCGCAGTCTAAGACCTGGAGGTAAGGAGGTTCCGTCTAACCACGAGGACACCACGAGGAGTACACCACGCAAAGAAGATCGCACCGAGGTGGATAGGTGTGGGCATACGTTTGGCATACGTATAGCTCGCAGCACAGGCGGTAAGAACAACGGTGCTGTCGGCGCGAGGATGGCGAGATACTAATTCATTGACTTCGCATAACTCCTGGATGGTAGTCTACGCTTGAATTGATTAATCCCTTCACTTCAGCCCAAAACGATGTAGTGCAAGACTTACCTGGATTGACGCTTGGAACCCATGGTACACCGCAGGTGCTAATATCAAGATCGAAACCTCATAAAACGTGCGAGCATTCTCCACGAGACAGCAGTAAACATTCCCAACGTATTGTACACCAGAGAGCTACGGCAGAGGGTGATGGGTGTAGCAGCCTGCGGCGGCCCGGGTGAGGCCAGAAGATGATCGCCGCAGTCGACCTCGCTGAAATTGTACGTTCCTCCCGCTCCAGTGAGCGCAGTGCGCCCCACACGTATTAAGCGGCGCACAACCACGACATATCTGCACTATATACCGACTACTTTGACTTGGCTATTATGGCATCTCCTCCGACACCCTCTAAGCAACTCGAACAATCTTCCTCGTCGCAGGAAGGCTTGGTTCGTCCATTTGAAAATGCAAAGGGTCTACTCGTCGTACTTCCAGATACAATTGACGTCGAAGAGGAAGCTCGACTGTACGATGAGCTTTGTGATGTGAGTATGCAGTTTCTGTCTCCTTGCAGTCGACTATAATATCAAAGTAACGAAGTAGACTCCGATCAACTCATCCACAATCCCACCATCACCTCCCCACTCCCCTCGCGAAGCACAATCAGTTTTCTCCCGAGATATATGGCTCGGTGACAACTCGGGCGAAAGCCTTACCTTTACTCGCAGCGTCGAGATAGGCGGTTGGACGAGTGTTGGCGATAAGCTGGGGGGCGCGTATGTTGGTGCGTGCAGGTTCATACATGTGTTGCGTGTTCTTCTCGTTGTGCTCATAACAAACAGTGTATGACTGCGCCATCAGAACTAAGGAGGCATGACGCTCTTAATTCCGGGAGTTTTACGCCGCTAAACGTACGCATGCGCAGGGAATTGTCATTCATGTCCACAAGCGGTACAGCGCCTTCGCCGAATTGTACGCCAAGCTACGTGCCACGCTCCCCGTTCGTGATTCTTTCTCCGATGTCAACTTAGTCTTCTCTTACGCCGCTCCATTTGAACAGGAGTCTCAGCAGCACTTCGTGCCATTACTTCCGCCCAAGTCGCCACTGGCGAAGTTTCGCTCGACGTTTCTGGATCACAGAAGACGGCAACTCCAGTATTGGCTGTCCGCTGTCTTACTACATCCAGAGATCGGCGGGTGTCAGGCGGTTCGCGAGTGGGTCATGAACTGATTGATATGGTCTTTGTATTCCGATATTGTATGTATTGTCACCGCGTCTTCCGGATTCTTACCGCTATTAGATCTGATTGTCATTTGTCGTGGAACTCTGTTCTGGTCTGCGTGATCTCACCCGTTTGAGTCTTTTTGGCTTTGCGTGCCCAAATCGATGTTTATCAGCTTTGGTGCGTGCCGAGATTGAGGTTTCTCCGCTTTCTGCCCTGAAATTGTACCCGCAGAAGACGAGGAAATATTTGAGAATTCCCATTAAATTCGCGAAAGATCATAAAGGTCTATCGGCCGTCTGACGGCCATCAAAATACAATACTGAATAGCTGGCATAGTATATCTTGTCCACCTGTGACTCTCATCACGCTGCTGCACTTAGCGCCATCTCGCACCACGCAGAGACTAGTCATAGTCTGTGTAGATGTACCTGTGAGGGCGGGCTGGCAGTGGCTTGAGCACCTCTTGAGGATCCCCTCGTGTGCGTGCGAGAGGTGGCAGATACCGAGCGGTAAATGAGCTGGGAAGAGGCGCGGATGGCGCCGTGGCGTATGGCACAGACGGGAGGTTGTACACGTTACTCGCGAGTGCCTTTTTGGAGGGCATTGGATATGGCGCGAGAGCCGCCACCTCGCACAGCTCGGGCTCGGGTGAGATACGGTGAAGTTTGTGCGTACAAAGCATGGCGTGCAACGCGGATCCTGTTGTCTCATACGACTTGCACGACGATTGGTACCTTGTGGTCTTAGCTGGAATCATAGGGCTCTTCGATACCTGCCTGGGATACTCAAAGACAAAGCTCGTAGACGGCGGCGGGGCAGCTCCTACTGAGACCGACACAGGCTCGTCATCCTCCTGCTTAATCTGCAGCACCTTCGTGGGGTGCAGCGCCTGCCTTGATGACCCGGGATACACGCTTCTCCAACTTTTCGGCCTGAATTCCTGGGGCCTATGTATATCTATGAGCCGCCGGGTCCCATTAAGGTGCCTCGGTGGCTCCAGCGTACAATATGAGGACAGCGCAACACCGTGTTCGTGCGTCATGTGGCTCCGCAGGGTCTGCATTGTTGCGGTTGAGAAATCGCAACGGATGGGGCGACCAGAATAATCGTGCATGATTGGGACAGGACATTCAAGCATTGGCGCGCCACTATGCATGATCAGCGCGTTGTCTAAAGATATAAAGGTCATCCGACGTACTGTTTCGAGCGTAAATGATTCTCGAGAATTTCCAGACGGACGGACATATACCCACAACCTGGTACCGAGCAGTTCCTCCTGTGGTGAAGGGCGTTCAGAGCCACATATTCTGCTCGACAAAATGGAATGCGTACTGGGCATCTAACCGATGCCTTTTCGTGTGCCTATCCCAACAACCGTTCTTGATGACAACTATATCTGGCATACATGCCAGACAGAGCTTCGAGTCAACAGGCTGTGGGATAGGGTCGGTACTGTGTGATTGGTGCGACCACGGGAAAACGCACCTCGATTTCGAGAGAGGGTACGACGTCGGAACCATGGGGCTGGCGTGGCGGCATTGGGTATTGAATTTGGTTAAACCAACCAAAAGGTGAAGGTGTCGCACGAATGAAGATGGGGCAAGGAAGCTGGCCTGTTTTATACGCTTCGACGGCTGCGCCACCGAGATTGCGGAGTGCACAAGCGCAGGACCAGGCCCGCTTTGGTTCGCCACAAGACCACCCATCCCTAGGGCCACAAGCCTAATCAACTCGACTTGAAGTCAGCGAGTCTCTTCGGAGAAACCCTCCACAATGCAGCAGACAATGGAACCTACGCGCGAACCACATCGAAGTGTAGATCGGGATCGCGGAATTAATCATACTTCCAGCGGCGCATGAGCGCCTAAGCAGTGACGTCCGACAGTGGCGCGGAATCTATATGTTTAGTCGGGCGTATGGTCTTTGATGGAATCCGAAATTACATGTGTTAGAGACCCTGTAGCACTTCTGCTGTGATGAATTGGTCTGGACTCAGTTCGGTAAGGATACTGCCGTGACTGGTGAACAATGCCCTCTGAGGGCACAATGGACAAGGCAACAGTCATGATCATGGGACTAAAGGTACGACCTCAGGCTCCCCGGAACTTCCGGGGAGCCTGAGGTCGTAAGCTTCGCCAGCGCAGAGAGTCACAATAGTCAGCCAGGCACCACAGAAGGCCTCCCGTCAGCTGGAATTCGTCCAGTACGACCGGTGGGGAGATTATGAAAGAGAGGGACTGGTTCAGGCTTGGTGGCTGGGATCATTGGAAATCCTTCGATGGAGAGACGAACAAAGCGTTTAGAGTTCCTGCAAATATCGAAAGTTCTGAAGGACAGTCAAGAAGCTGAGAGACCACCAGACAATGTGGAGATACATCGACAAAAAAAGCACCCTGAGTCATTGAGTGTACAGTTGCTACAAACAAAGTTCATCAGCAGCTTTGCCGTTCTATTAAGGTAAATGGGATCATAACGCACAAATAACAGAGGCACCAAACCGATGCAGAAGGATTTGCAGAAGTGGTACAGGTGGCACATAGAGGGACAAACAGCAGCCTCTCAGAAGACGACTTAGGGGCATGAAGAAAGGAGAGAACAGAATAGAGTGAACACACAAACAGCAAGTGAGACTTCAGGCTATGTCCAGAGTGGTTCGAGTGGTAGGTAGAAGTCATCAGGCAATTTCAATCTGTAAAGAGGGTTGACATTATAAGAGCTCTCCTCGGTCATAGCTTGCGGGTACCGACCTCAGGATTATGCTATGGTTGAAATGCAGCGACAGTACAGACCGATAGGTAGTGAGGACTTGCTGCACCTTAGACTGAATCGGTGATTGCTTCGTAACGTGTACTCCGTTGTTCCAGTTTAATCTAAATGAGAAGGATGAAGAAAAGGCCATGAAATGTACCAGAAGCATCTTACTCTCGACCTGATTGACGTGCAGCGCAGGTATAAGTCTGTGCGCCGTTCGCTCCGTGACTCACAAATTTCACCGTATGACTGTAGAGAGGCATCACAAATTGCACGGCTACCTGGGTATATGCACAAGTAAGACTCGTCGATTCCGTCTCGTCTGTATACTCTCCGTGTTCATCATCACTCCCAGTCTGGGATGGATAGACCTATTAGAATATCTCAATACCTTCCGTGACCTCCGGTTCAGGACCCTACCTTGTCTTGAATAATTGCTATTCTGACTTTATTGGTTGCCGACTGTCACATACTGTGAGCATGGAATTCCAACTATTGAAAGACGTATGATATTGATGGGAGACTCATCTCTTCCTCGGGTTCCTGCCAGTGTATGGTACAAGTCAACATCGATAAGCCTCTGGTGTGCTGAAGGTACTTACAAGGGATTACATGATAGCTTGGTCGTGAAATAAGTCCACCTGTCACGGTAGTATATAATCGCCCTAGCACTATTCCGGAGTTTGCAAAATTTGTCCCGGAGCAGGCATCTTCAGCAGCGGTGATGCGGCTGTGTATGCAATCACACGTGTCTTCATCCCGAGTATGGTAGGCTGCATGAGATTCTGTGATGGTCAACGTGCTCCAAGAGACATGGGAAAGGGTAGTAGATGCGTGCGTAGTGCGAAGAAATCACTCACGATTTGAACGCGATCTCAAACAATCTTAAGTTCCGAGTTAAGCTGTGAATGAACACGAACATTTTGTCTCAGCATCATCGCAAACATTTGTCCATATCAATCTGATGAATACAAAATGCGCCATCGTACTGCACGCGATCTGTAACTTGAAAAAGAGTCAAAATGAATGGGCCCAACCGGGAATTGAACCCGGGACCTCGCGCAATTAACCCAATGACAGGTGGACAAACCCGAAGCGCGAATCATACTACTAGACCATTGGGCCACGCTACAAGTAGCGATATGGCTCATGATAGTAGCACTGTTGCCTTCTATTTGCGCTAGTGCCACTGGCACTCCATTATTCGTTCTACTCGCTGCTTGCTTTGCTCTCCTGCTATAACTTTATTGCTTAATGTGCCCTGCTCGCTGAACGTTGTATCTTGGGATAAATATATATCATCTGCCTCTATTTCTTGGTTATCAGGCCTTACACTATATCTATGGGGAACAAACAACACCGGGATGCTGCAGAAAAAGACGAACATGTGAGTCGGATCGTTAAAGCTTCTAGCAGAATTTTGACCGAGTTACAGATTGCCATGCTCGAGGCGCAGATTGAAGTGCATGCCGCACACACATCACAAATGCACGCTCGCCTATTGTCCACGCTCGACGCCATGGACGCTCTTCGCACGGCGCATTCACGAGAACTCAAAGCCGAGCGACGGGCAATAGAGCGACTTAGCACAAAGCTTGACCACTATTTGGAAGACCTCAAGCGGGCTGAGGCGAAGCGAGACGAGATGGAGGAGATCACGTCGGTGCTGCTCGAGAAAGGTGGGTCAGCAGGGAGAGGAGCGCTAGTCGTACTCAACGCTCATGTCCGTATCTATCGTAGTCGAGCTTTCGAAAGACTATGCCTTGTGGCCCCGCAGTCAGATTCACCTTACGAGCCCTCTTGGTCTGTCCGTCCGACTTTTGTCCCCACCATCGATCTGAGCATTGCACACCCTCGCCCGTTGCAGAGCCATTGCATGAGCAGCAAGGCCCGTTTCCCTCCGGTGATGCCAAGGTACTGCAGATGTACGCATCCGCCGTTGTGGCCTCTCTCCAACTTGAACTCGATGCCGAACGGCGTGCGCATGTGCAAACGCGGGATCAGGCCGAGTCTGACCTTATCTCGCTGAATGCGCAACTCGCTCGTAGGGAGGCAGAACTCGAGACGTGCATTGTTCACCCATGTCATGATCAGCCTACAGCAGGTCCCTCAAGTCTCCGATTGACGACGCAAATGTCGACGGAGGACAAACTGCCACCTGCAGTGGCCATGTTCACACGCGAAGAGGCGATTAAAGTCCTCGAAATTACCGCTGCAAAAAATCATGCCCTAGAGATCGAAGTGAAAGAACTGGTTGAGACCGTGAGCATCTTCTTCTCATCACATCTCACACGTACACATCAATACCTGCAGCTCGAGAAAGCCCGTCAAGCACAAAACACTCCAGAGCCTCAACCTGTGCCGGTTGACAGATTTCACACCTTCGCTGGCCCCAGAGACCACGTTGGGATGTTTCCATCCCAAGCTCATGATTCGCCGAGGCTCAATAGTCCATCCACTCCCGCACTGCCGCCATCGTCTCCTGGGCTGCCACCGTTTGTCCAATCCACACAGGCATCACCATCACCTTACAGTCTTGCTCAGAATATTGCGAACCCTTCGCCGCATGCATCTCCTGGTCAAACTCTGGTGCTTGTACGGCTCGAAGAACAAATCAAAGCCTTCGCGACAGAAATTGACAGGTTCAAAACCGAACGCGATACTCTCGGAGCTGTGCTGGTAGAGGGGCGCAAGGTTTGCCTTCTTTTTATTTACGGGAACTTCCACGAATTGTGTCTGACCCTGCCCTTGATAGAAGGATCACGACTCAGGGACAGGCGGAAACCCCCAAATTCATCTGAGACAGCCTTCGCACACCGAGGAAGAGTACACGCGGTTCGTAATCGTGATCCTGTGGATGCCAGCGGTTTCTGAATCTAATTTTTGTAGGCTGGTGCGTTCTGAGGACGCCTTGCGCCACGAGCTGGACGCGGTACGAGACTCATGGAAGAAGCGGGAAGATGAACTCCAGAGGGAGATCGAGACATTACAGCAGGCATTGTCAACAGTCACTCTCGAGCATTCCGTGACCATCTCAGCAGCACCTTACGCTAATAGACAGTCTGTACCTGAGAAAACGAATACAGCCCTCACAGACATTCTGGACGACGATAAGGCAGAGGTTTCAATGGAGCTCGCGACGCCACTCCAGCCGACGATCATTTCTCTGCAGGTGGACGACAACCATAGGACGGACGAGTGTCGGAGTTCCCTGTACATCCCACTGCCGCCATCCCCTTCTTTAGCCTCATCTACACCCCCATCGCTACCTAATCCACAAATAGTATTTCCCACAGCAGCTTCCCCTCGACCTCCGCGACAGGCAGAAGGAGATGCTGCCGGCCGATTAGACGAAATTGAGCGCGAACTGGCGCTCGCTCGCATGGAACTCGAGGAGCGCGACGAGGCACTACGGGAGCTGCGGGAATTCGTGGGGCAGCTCAGGGAGATGGTGGAGGCGAGCGAAGAACCAGAACCTGATGGCGAACAGCAGCGCGGCGACGGGGATGGCGGCTGACTGCTAGCGGTGTGCTTTCGGCGACTTCTTCGCGTGCGAACTCTTCGCGTTCGACACTCGCCGACTTCGATCTGATGCATCATGTCAGTGGTGATGGGACGAACGAATGGGATGTATTGTGCGGGTATGCGGTTCTTCCACAGTCGGAACGGTGCGGCGAAGGCGAGATGCGGTGGATGGGTGCAGGAGTGCAAACGTTATCAACTATGATGAACTGATCGCATTGCACATCACCGTGGGCATTCCAAGCGAACTGGTGTAATGTGATGTCTCGTACAACGTTTACCTTCCCAGCTCCTCCACACGCGCTTGGACATATCATGAATACACGCACTGCATCCGTCAGGCACAGCCAGATAATTGTGAGACCGTTACTCCCCGCCTTACTAACAGTACTTGAAACTTACCTCTTCGTCGGTCGGAATTTCACACTCGGAGATAGCCCACCTATCATCCCATGCGAAGTTAGCCGTCCTGGTTCTCCTTCGCCTTGGACTTCCGTCAGCTCGAGCTGCTCTTCGGGCCGAGGATTGCCATCACCTTGGGCGCAGGAACGTAAGTCACGCTCGTCCCGCGCAGGTTTGCCCACGGGCGCAGCGGGTCAGGTGCCGCTTTCACGAACTCAACCTCTGGTGGGGGTGGGGGAACGCGCCTCGCCTGCTCCTTATCTGCCTCCTTCGCCGCGCAATCGCGTGACGCCGAGCGAGACTTGGCGGGCGACGTGAACGACGACACGGTGACCTTCTTCGTCTTCGAGTTGAGCGAGAGGATCTTGTGGGTCTGATTTGTAGGGTGGCTGGATAGCGTGTCCGTGGGCGGCGCAGCAGCGGCTGTTAAGGCTGGGAATGCCCCGGCTGCGACGCGCGCCTCCTGCAGCAGTCGCTCCCGTTCATCTTGTTCCTTCGCGAGGGTATCCGTTATTTGTGTCTCGAGCATGGTGACCAGACCATCCCTTGCCGCGGGAGTAAGGAGGGGCGACTTGCAATGCGGGCAGGCATAAAGCGGTAAATGGAGCTCGCACAGAACGAGACCGCAATTTTGACATATGGGCGTGTACGGGGATAGCACATGCATTTGCGCTACAATGAGGGAAAATCAAATTTACTATCATGCAATGCGAATAGAAATTATTCTGCATATTCAGCTACGTATTTCTCAATGAATATGTGGTGGTTCGGCACGTAGGACGAGTTTTCCTCCACCTAGATGTGGGATACTCGGAATGCCCGGCAAACCGGCCACAGGCCAAGTGCATTCTGGGGAGTATGCATACGTGCCTACACCACACCACCACACCACCACGTATCCTGGAAGTAATACTTCGCCAAAAATGCAGCGGTTATGCAACATACCTTGGCAAAAACATCCACCCTTGGGATCTGGCTCGCGCAGCGTCGCGCCGACAAGAGCGTCCCGCAAGCCTTCGAGCCTGCGTACCTCCTTGCTCTTCAGCGGCTCTGCCTGCTTGCCGCTTCCCTTGTTCTTCGCCTGACTCCTCACAGGCGGTGGGATTCGGTCGGATGGCACAGAGGAGCCCTTCTTTCGCGAGACGATCTGATTCATGCTTGGTTTTGTACAATGTACGGACAATCGGAAGTAACTAGTGATGTTCGGTTGAAATGAGGCGGAATGCTGCTTCTAGTATCCAGGCGACTGAGGTCTGGATAAGATTCAGTCGTCCTCGCCAGAAAGGAATGTGAAGGGCATGGACGAACGCAGATTTGACGCGGTCAGAATTTAATTTGCTGTGGGTACGATTGGACGACCTACTGGCAGTACAACAACTTTTTGGAATCGAATACACTGTCGTGAAGGATGTACTTACAGGCTAGAGCGGATATGGCTTAGCAGGCGGAGGTGGTGGATGCCAAAAGTCCGAAGTGGCAGATGCGAGGGCCGGGATCGAGATCACAGATTGATGATGCGCTCCAATAATTTCCGCACGTAAAAGTCCACTGAACGTTGATCGTACATACAAGTCTGCACAGTACTTGCAGAAAATTTGATCGCAGATGAACCTCTGAAGATGGGAAGTGTACGTAGGTGTAGGATGATACTAAGGGAAGGTACGGAAGGTTGCAATTTTTACGAGTTATTTAGCACCGCTAGTACTCTCAGTGCAGCCTTCCTGATTGCGCATGCAGAGTCTTCGTTTCCGATTTCGTAGAAGCAAAACGGTATACCTTCGGCTCAGAACTTGCGGAAGGCAGAAAAAAGTGGAAGTACACCGTCATTGTCGAACATGGACGAGTTCGTGGTACCTTTCCTCGTGGGCGAAGAGCCCAGAATAGGCTTCTCATGCACATACAACATGCACGTAAGGACGCGCAATCTTCTATTCTCATACTCGTGTGACCACGACGCGAGTCCGCCTGGGCTTCCTCTAATACATCCACGACTCAGAATACCTGCACGCCGGATAGACTCAGCCCAAGCTGTAAGTACACCAGCCATCCATGGCCGTTGTAACCACAGACCGCACTCCACAGCACATTCAAGCACTCCATCTAGAACAGGCTAAATCCACGGAGCGCACATCACCACTATCAGTATGGACCCAATATTAGTCAGGCCTGTCTCCTCCGTCAGCATCTTCGCAGCTAGATCGAAGTAGACGATACCTATTCCCGGCGGTAATGGTGGCGAAGCCTTGGGCTCTGGCGGATCCACACCGGACGCACAAATGCAAGCGGCGATCCCGTCGGTCGAAGAAACGCAGGCGACGACCTCGCGCGCAGTCATCGGAGGGGCGCCTGATCCGGCCACGCAGATGCTACCGCACCTAAAGTGACACTGATGACCGGGGTCGCACTCGACGGATCGGGTGGCGCGTGCCCCTGCAAATAAATGGGTGGAGATGAATGAGATTGATATGTCGAGGTGCGCCGCCAGCATCCTGGGAGGTGAGTCTGTCCAGGTGCGCGGCGCAGATGAGTCGAACACGCTACTATACAGGGCAGTCAGCGACCAGGGACTCTAGGTGTTCGTTCGCGCACTGTGAACCGAAGAAACATGCGGGCACAGCGACGTCGAGAAGGTTTCGAAAGCGTTAGCTTCGCCGGCTCCGCGACATCCATTGGGCGGACGTTCCTCTAGCCATGTCCAGGGCTATTCGCGACCGCGGGCTCTGTGTCGGCACCTGGCTAGCCGAATGGAGAGAAGAACGGAGAAAGGACATCGACGAGAAAGCTCGAATGCGTAAGCCTTACCTAGCCCAGTAATTCTGATCCAGCACGACTGACCGGTGGCGCCATACCTCCGATACAGGCGTAGGTTTGAGTTCTTCGGGTAGACGAGGGAGCTCTTCGTGGCGTCCAGCATTGCAAGGTATCGTATCTAGTCGTTCTTATCCCAAGAATGGAGAACAGGCGTACGTCCACGAGAACGATGCAACAGCGTAATCCTTCACTTGACCTGTACTTCTGACGCAGCACCACCCACGGGCGGTGCCATACCTCGGTTACGGGTGTAGGTTTGAGTTCGTCGGGTATATCAGGTGGAACGAGTTCTCTGTAGGTTAAAAGGTATCATATACATATCTTGTAGTTCGCATCCCAAGAACAGTCCAGTTGTTCCTTATTCCGGCTTCTGAAGAATATTCTGGACCCAAGGCTGAAGGAAGACGACGTCCTCGCGAAGGACGCTGACAGGAGTACAGAGTTGACCATAGATAGACGGATTCAAACCGAATTTTACTTCGGGACATCGGCGAAGAGTCCAGGAAATGAATGATAAACCAGAAAAAATAATGGGTGAGTGACCTCACGACAACTCGGGCGTGCACGAGAACGACGCGACAGCGTAAGCTTTCACTTGACCTGTCCTTCTGCTGAAGCACGACCAACCGGTGGTGCCATCCCTCGGTTACGGGCGTAGATTTGAGTTCGACGGGTATATCAGGTAGATCGAGTTCTCTGTAGGTTCCAAGGTATCATATACATATCTTGTAGTTTACAAGAACAATCCGGTTGTTCCTTATTCCGGCTTCTGAAGAAGGTTCTGGACCCAAGGCTGAAGGAAGACGGCGTCCTCGTGAAGGACGCTGACAGGAGTACAGAGTTAACCATAGATAGTCAGATTCCAAACTGAATTTTACTCTGCGGATATCGGCGAAGAGTCCAGAAAATAAATGATAAATCAGAAAAAATAATCGGGTGAGTGACCTCACGATAACTCGAGCACGACAGACACATCACCTGTAGAACGCCGCTACAACCATCGGGAAAAGAACGGTACTGACGCAAGTCTCATGCCTGGCAGCGAACCAACCATACCACAACGACGGGAGTATAAAACCAGAATTTCGGCCAATCGATCTCAGTCGCAAACAGCGAGTAGGTAAATGCAGTCACAAAATCCGAGTCGACGTCCAGTGGGGGGAAACCACAAGTTGGCCCCACCGCGCGCACAGTCCGTCAGCTGCTCACGCTCGCTGGCGCGGAATCATCATCAACTGCAGGCTGTACGGTGATGTCCACGGCGCTTCGCGGACGCACTTGCGATCGATGCATGTGCCGGCTATCATCATGCTGAGGTTGCTAGGGTCCTTTAGCGCAACAAAAAGAACAACAGAACCAAAAGAAAGGCAGACCAAATGCAGGCACACGAAACCCAACGAAGCGGAACGCAAACGTAAAGTGGAGCAACACGAAATGAGACCCCAGGTCGATAGATCAGGCGGACTAATGCTGATGCAATCCGGGGTGTGGGTGCGCATCGGATTGGACTCTTGAGGAGTAACGGATAAATAAATTGCGTGGTATTTTGGACGGTGGGCCTGGGGCGGCTGTGGATGTGGATGTGGACTTGCTGATGTCCGAGACGAATATGAGGCGTCTCTTAGTTGGACCACAGAGGTTCTGGGGAATCACGATAATTGTGTCGTATTTGACATAGTAATTTGCACCTTGACGCCATCCTACCTGGGACAGGGGAAATCAGATCTCAGACCTCAAAGAAAAGGGCAGATGCGTACGTGTGAACGACGGTCGGAAGCAGTGGAATGCCTTTCTTGCCGGATATAACAGAGAACGAGGAGTAGAAAAATAAATCAAACTTAGACAATGGCGGAATGCGGGAGGACGCTGAATTAGGCAGTACGGTGACTCACCATAGATTAAACCCACGCGTCAGAAATGGACTCCATATTTTCCCAGTGTATTTGGACGTCGTTCTCGGTCGCAAATTTTTAGGAACCTTGCCTCCATAATTAATAATGCATGAACCGCAACGAAATATCGAATCTCGCGCTGCAAGTAACGACCTTCTTCGTGGCGTCCCCCTCCCATTAGTCCAAATGCGAGCGGAATTCTTTAATGCATCTTTCGCATCATTCTCGCTGCGCCGCATTCCCAACGCTGCCCGCACTGCCGCCCGCGCAAAAAAATTTCTCCAGCCCTTGAAGGACCTAGTATGTCTTCTCCGCCGACGACCTACCATCACGCTCTGTCTGCCGTGCATTTCACGGCTGGAGTTTGCGACGCGGAGTTCCGGGATATCAATGTATGTGTACCGCGCCGGGCCATCCGTGTCTCTGAATGGTCTCTGCGCGTCTCACGTCGTGATTACATGGGACGCCGTGCGATCTTGACGCGCTTTCTGTTGGCCCATGCGGCCGCGAGAAACCTGCGCAAGTACCACCTGCCGTGTCTTGCGGTGTACGTACGGGTCTATCAGTGATGATTGAAGCGCGCGCGCGTGGGTTCGCGGAAGAAGATGTTCTATTCTCGACGAGAGCAAAGTTCGAGCACCAGCATCATCCCCTCATCACGAAGGCTGCAACACTGTACACTTTATCAGGCATCCATCTGTTGGGCACCGTGGGCTGAGCTCAGTTGGCTCGGCGACCTGATTTGTAGGTGCGGAGAAAGGCAAGGACTGCCTACTGCGGTGGGACGGTGGCGCCAAGATCAGTCGCCGCGATGGTTGGGTATGATTCAAGTGTACTGAGGAATCCTCCTGCGGATAGGAAACTTCCTGACGCCGGAACCGCGACGGAGAAACAATGCTAGATTCTGAGAGCCGCATCGAGAAACTATCAAGTAGACGCTGGGTGTCTGCATGCGTCGACGACCAAACCAATATTTGATGAAGTGAGCTGTGGGGGATCATACTCTGTACGCTGCAGCGCACGACGAGCACGCGCCCATCGATCGGGAGGTGAGCGACAACTGGTTGCTGAATTCAACGCGCCTTGCTCACCTGGTATCAGATATGAATAGACGAGGCCCCCGCAAAATTCGATCTGGCTGCGGTCGTCGTCGAATACGGCAACAGCGGAACCCAGAGTTCCAACTGGGAGCTGCGGTGAAGACCCAAGATACTGCTGTCAACACGATGTCTGGTATTTTGTGAGAATGCACGGCGAACTCACTATTGATGGAGGTAAATTTCATAGAAGCCATGAAAACGTAGTTTCTCGATAGAATAATCCAACGACTGGGTAGCTGGGTCTGGTGCACGTCGGTCCCATGCGAATCGGGCGCCGACACAGTGACAGACGTCGTCGTATTCACCCGTAGACTCTGAATGACGCGGCCTGTGAGCACGGGCCAAATATGGAAGGCTACGGATGCCCGAGAGCACGCCATCAGTACTTGCGCAGACGTCAGTTAGGCATCCGGTGTCGTCGAATTGACTGTCTGGCGTGGGCAGTGGAGACAACGACGTGGATGTGGTAGGCGCTAGGCAGGGATCGCGGGAGGACACGAAGCATCATGCGGCGCGTCAAAGTGTGCGTATGCTGTAGAGCGTCGATACTGCCCGAGACAACTGGGATGGGGCTGCGCTCGTTACGGCAAGGCAAACTGTACTGGACGTGAGAGCACACAGTGCGCCACGCCGAGTTCATCGATCAGATGCCAACGCCGAGAAGTTGGGAAGAGGAGATGATTGGATCATCATCGATGTGAGGACGGTAAGTATAGCAAGGTTGGAAACTTACGAGGATGCCATGGGCCCTTCCATTCTCTGTCAGGACTGGACCGGGTGGGCAAATGGAGCATATGGCTGTTGTAGCTGCTACGCGCCGCCGTAGCCATGATGCTGTTGAATTGGATATGGGAGAGCCACTACCGCAGTGGGCGCTGAGCAGAGATAATCTGAGATCGATAATGGATGGAATCTTACAATCACTGGGTCAGGGTCGTCGTGATAAGGTGTGAGGCGCAAGGGGCGGCGGTTAGGGAGTGAGAGCGATCAGTATTAATGCACTGCTGATGGCGCAGAGAGGGTGGACCGCAGAGGGTGGCAACATCATTCTGGACGAAGGACCGCAAGGAACCGGAATGAAATGCTTATGCAGGTACTGCAGCACACCGGCAGGGTCCCTGAGGGGCGGGTGATGGGAGAGGGGATTACGGTGATGGCCGGAGGCGTGGGAACATCGCGGAGATTGACAGGCTGATGGGAGGACTTGATATGGGAAGCGCAGAGGTGGTGGTGGTTGATCAGAACAGTTGAAGAACCCTGCTCGCGCACAGACCAGTCTGCCAGAGTCTTCCGACAGCAGTGACAGCCTCTTCGCATCATTCGCACTCTTCGCGGCTTCGGATCCTGTCCGACGGTTCCTGGTCCTCCTCCAAGCCGGGCGCCCATCCATTTGTCTCTCGAATCACATCTAGCCTTTCTCATCACCCATCGTCTTCTCGCACAGCTCATTCCGGGACAGCCTTGAGAATGCATGGGTCCGTTCCTGCTTATATAGTTTGCATCATCTGCTTACTCTTCGCCAACAGAGACTCGTCCCCCGCCAACACTCCTCGTCTCCAACCGATAGCGCCTCGAGATCCTCCTGTGCCCGTCGACGACACCCACCCAGCGCCGAACACACTCTCAGCATCTGCCACTGCCCCGCCTCCCCCAAAGCGCAGCCGCACCTCGACACCGGCCTTTCCTACACACTTTGATCATCATCGCTGGGTCAGCCGGTTCCGATTTCGCTTCAATTTTGACCCCATCTGACTGCATCACTCCTTCATGTCACATTCGATCGCTCTGTCACTCCAGGAGTTTGCCCCGCCCCTCCATCCTGCTCACTTCTACCCCCTCGAATACACGCCCGATCACGACATGCCGCATCGCGTTCACAGCACGGATAGGCATTTGACGTGCGTGTTGACCTCCTTTGTCTACCTATATATTTACATTTTTTTTCGTTTGATATTTAGTCACCACTCTGAGGATATGGGTCACTACGATCGCCCGCACTCGCATCCCACCCCGCCGCCGATTGCAACTCTGCACCACTCGCCCGCCATGTCGACCTCGTCACTTGCCAGCTCCTCGATCTCGCCGTCTCCTCCCGTGCGTCGAAACTTTACCCTCATAATCCTGTGACTCACAAATACAGCAGCTGCCTCAGCAGGGCGCGACCTACTACTCGCACGCCCCGCAGAACGGGATGGGCCCCGCGCTCACGTACACCTATTCTCCGGGCGCACAGCTAGGTGCGCGCTATGGACCGGACTCCATGGTGCCCCCGACGCCACACCACACATCGCCTTACGGCGTGCCGTCCCACGGCGGCCAGGTCTCGACGCGCTCGATTCGGCCGACCATGGTCCCCTCGCAGCCCTACCCCGGCCAGGCGAGCTACATCGTGCACACGGACGATGCGGGCACCAAGCTGAGCGATCGCGTGCGGCGCAAGTGCTACAACTGCCGCACCACGGACACGTCCACTTGGCGGCGCTCGAGCCTCACCCCGGGCAAAGTGGTTCGTCGCTCCCACGCGCCCGGCTATTCTGCCCGAACCTGTACACTGACCTGCTGCGCACGTCCAGCTCTGCAACAAATGTGGTCTCTTCGAGCGCACGCACTCGCGCCCGCGCCCGGACCAGTTTCCGCACAAAAGAGGCCCTCTCGTCACCGCGACGTTCAAGTCCTCGCGCACACCCCCGCCGGCTGCTCCGTCTCCCTCCATATCCTCGTCGTCCTCGTCCTCGCGCCTGCCCCCGATCTCGCCGCACATGCACGCGCTCCCGCCGCACCACTACAACCATCCCTCCATCGCGCCGCTCATGCCGCGAATTGACACGCACGTGCAAAATTCATCGCCGACGAGCGCGGGCTCGATCACCGAGATCCGCTCGCTGCTCAACTCGCCCGATCAGGCCCCTGCGCAGGGAGGAGAGGGCGAGAGCCGCACCCAAAACCAGAGCTCGCGCACGCTGTCGCCGGTGCAGTCGAGCGCGGGCTCCAGCCCTCGCATGGAGCGTCGCGAAGCGCCGTCGTACAGGGCCGGCGAGTGAGCGTATCGCGTATCCCTCGGCCGCTCGAAATTCGCTTGCGCCTCAAAACGGCATCATCCAATGCGCGCGTAAGCTCTGTATTTATATGTATTTTTCGCCCCCGCACGCCTGCATCGTTCCGCTGTAGAATTCGCTGCGCCGATCCGTGCTCTCGCTGTCAGTAAAGTATAGCTACAAGTCCCGGACCCTCCCGCTACGCCTCTCCCTGCTTACTCGCTGCGAGGCTGCGCCTCCTGCATCGCGTCCGTCTCTTCTTGTCAATTGCTTGTATCGTGGCCAGTGGCCCGCATGCGTTGTCTGTGCTGTTGCTGTCTCTTCTATCTAATTAGTGCTGCACTTGATTTGCCTATTTCTTGCTCACTACGTGTAAATACTAACGTTGACTCTGCGATCGCTCGTTCCGTCCGTCTGCCCGTCTGACTCTGATCCGCTATTTGATCGCGCGTTGGACTTAACCGACTGGCGTGACTTCTGCTATATGCCTAAGCCTCTTAGGGGATTAGTTGTGTATAATCTTGGATTCAATTGCCGGAGCTTATCTGACGGCGGGTGTCCCACTCTGCCGTGCTCGTCTCTCAATTCAGATATCGATTCTACCCGCGCACCTAGCTAGGCGCTGCGCAAATACGAACACGCTTAGTGGTACGTACTACTGCGCTATGTGGTTCCTCGGACTCGTATACGTACGTCTCCGCCCGTCCGTCCTGTTTCCGGTGATCAGCGCAGCGCACCATATGATGCGACGTGCCCCACCTCCCTTCCGTAGAGAAACGTCGCGCAAAAATGGTGCTTATCGCGCAAAGGTCCCTGGGCAGCCGCTGCGCGCAACGTCTTACGTTGCGCCCTTCCTGCAGAATGCTGCAGACGGTAGTACTAGTGCTTTATCTGCTGCGCCGCCGAGCGGCGGCTAAGCGCGAGTGTGCATATGGCGCACGCGCGCGCGTGTGGGGGTGATGCGCATGCTAGCGTCCAGGGATGGAAGGCCGCTTGATGCTCCCCACTGCCGAGTGCCGGGAGTCGCCTCGGCCCTGGGGGGCGTGAGAGGTCTTCCCCCGCATCCCAGGGAGCGCAGGCTTCGCGCACAGTCAGCCGACTGCGAAGGCGAGGGGACGCCGTGAATTCTTCTGTGGCGCGTCCCGAGGATGGGGATCCTTGTACTCGGGGATGCGCGGAGCGATGAATTCTGCGAGAGGGCGCCCTGTGCCGCTACGCATGCGCAGACCGCTCACGCCATCAGGGACGTGTTGAAATTGGGACGCACTGCAGGCTTAGTGCTGTGGCGTGCGCGCCCGCCGTCCTTCGGCGCTGTGGTCCGCTTCAAGTTAATCCTGCGCGAACGTTCGAAGTTCCAGAGAACCGTCGTGTTTTGCGCGTATGATGGAATATAGCTCGCTTGATCGCGCGATTGCATCATCGTTTGATCCTCGAGTGCGAGAAAGGAACCAGACGCTTCGATGGGCCGCGTGCCAGAGACATGACGTTAACATTGTCCGACCTACTGGCTATCGTAGTAGTAGTAGCACAGCCCGGTGGCCGTGTCTATTCTTGCGGGCGCAAGCATGTAAGTACTCGGGTCTTCCTCTGACGTTAGTACTCGCTATATTGCAGGGTGACTTTGGGGTGCCTTGATAAATACGGATTCGGCGCCAGACATGTGTTTCCAGTAGTGCCTTACGCAATTCCTCTTGGGTGATCCTCACTAAACTCCTTCGAACGCCGTCGGCTGGAGGGCAAAGGAAGACGACGTGCAATTAATACCGAGGAATTCGAACTGGAATTGCTCTGCGCGCGGGATGATCGAGGTCGTCCCAATCGGGTAGGGCGCCTGCCTTTCCGATATATCGTGCACCGTTCAATATTGATCAGAAACGGATCAAAATATTCACGGATGCAAACATGCGCCGACGTGCGACTTGGAGCTGACCAAGATATCGAGCTGACGCATCCAGGCTGGATACCACTTTGAGCCACCAGCGGGCCGGAGGAATGACCCGGGGCATGGAACTGAAGACCTCCTGCACACCGATGGTACCTGAGACCGCTGGGAAGTGGAATTTATTGATGCCACAAATGCTGGTTCGTGCCAGTATCCCCTGACATTGTAACAATATTTGATCCTACTGGGTTGTGGACGCGCCGCCAATGCAATTCTTCTATCGAGTCTCAACACAGCTTCCAAACCAAATACAAAGTTTGCTGACCTATTTGTTCACGAAGCGTTACACTGTGCGCCGCCGAAGTCCTGCGTTTATTCCGGCTCACATATCCATGATGGTTTAATTTAAGTGGGTCCTCTGCGAGATACACCGGACATGTGATCCGCACTGCGAATTCTGCTGCAGACGCACGCTCAATGCATTATCGGGTATGGATGACGGCAGGGCTTCCGTAGACGCTGGGACTTGGTGACGTGGAAGACGAGAGCGGGAAGCGGCGAACGCCTGCGCCTGGCCCTGTCAGCGCTGTACCTTCACCCCGCTCGCAGGCGCGGCACCTGCGCGAGATTCCGAGTGCTGCGCTGATCCCGCCCTGGCCGTTCTTGCTTGGTGCGCCGATGATGAGCAAGCGCATGTGGGGAGGCGGTTGAAAGGGGGAAAACCGGGTGCAGTAGGATGAAGAGGATGAGGAGGGGATGGGCAAGGAGGACAGAGAGGGCTAGTCTCCCGGAGGCAGATGGTAGACACTCTGCTTCAACCTTCGTGCCTCAGGATATCTGTGTCTGACATCTGCACTCTATAATGGGCTCTTATTAGGAGGTCCTGATTGCTGACCCAGCACATCACACGCTCACACAATGTGTCTGTAAATCGCATCGAATGCGTTGCATTTCGAGCGTAGGAAGTCTCCATTCTCTCTGCTGCATATGTTTATATACGTTCAGATCGGTGTATTAGTTGAGATTGATTTTAGAGACTTATCTGCTCTATACTGGTTCAAGATAGTGTTACATGTTTGAATCTCGTAGGAATCCATTTTCTGTCCCGTTCCCAAGCAGTACCAACCATTTCATCACCCATCCATCACAGCACCTCACCTTGCCTGAGATGTGCCCAAACCAGGGTGGAGAGGATCTTCAAGAAGACTTTCATGAATTTCCGCGGATTTACCTCGCCACCTGCATCACGTGGTATTACAAAAGTTTGAGATTCCGCATTAGAAAGAACTACGAAACTTTAGGCTCCGTCTAAATTGTCCGACCTCTCAAGACAGTCATCAGCAAAACTAGACGAAACTTATAAGGCATGATAAGCCCTTGTAAGGTACATAAGACTCGTATCCTGCCGAGTTTTTCACCGGGCCTTATAATATGACCATGAGAGTTCGGAAGGGCCATAAACCTGGCAAAAGCAGGCATCCTTATGAGCCTTCCGAAGCTTCCAAAGCCTTATAAGGCCAGATGTGTCGAGGGTTCATTTTCTGAATATGATAGGGAATTTTCACGCATCAAGCATATGCAGAGTCCTGTTAACTATAAAGAATATATTCCAATATTATAACTACATGAAAATATAACAAGACTGTAGAATAGATATCGACCCGCACACTAAATGCACCGAAAACACAGAAATAATGACCCCAGGAGCATAAATTGTAGCGACAGGGCCTGTCAGGAGCGAGTTGATGCCGATCGCACCCCGACAGGGCCGCCGCCCGTGCACCTATGCACCGCGCATCGAGCTGCAGTGCGACACAATAGGCCCGAGCAGCATCAAGTCTTCCTGCAGATGTGCAGTGCCAGGGAAATGAAAGGGAAATAATCAGATAATACTCCAAACATACCTGGCTAGCATAGGCTCCATTCAACCTCCAAATCCCCATTGGCATTGTGCCGGTGTATCTAGAGCGAAGATTGTCAGACAGCATCCATGAGGGACAGGATGTATCTGCCAATCCGAAGCTCAGGCAGAGTACATGGAGACTGCGAGGCACATCTGTGGGTACAAAGATGGCCCCGCATGAGAGTGTGATATGCAGTAGCTAGTCGAAGGGAACAGTGGAGGCAGGAAGAGAGAGAAGAGGATGCCGACGTGAGGTGACCAAGCAATTTTGATGAAGTTCAACATTTGCAGTTGTTTGTGAGCCGTCATAGGCCAGGGGTAGTCAGACTGGCAGAGAGTTGCGCAGTTACGGGAGGCAGTACGGAGGGTATATGTGGGGGTCAGCAGCGAGATGGACGCTCAGAAGGCCTTTCAAGGCCTTCTGATACGCCATCAGTCTTATCACGTGTTCCAAACGCCACCAGGGCATAGCAGATTTCTCCACTTTTGCTGATGGTCTCAACAAGGAGGCGCGTCAGAAAGCAGGTTAGAGAGGGCATGATACCGCGAGCATTACGCGCTGCAGGTGGACGTATAACGTGCGCGTGCGCGCGTAGATGCAGCGTGTTGATTCTGCGGTTTCAAGACTAGGCGCGTAGATCTCTAGTACTGTGCGCATGTACTCTCTGTTGGCAGTGTCTGGCTCTGCTCCTAGTTTTCCTCCTTCCGCATTCTCTTTGACTTCGAACACCAATACCTCATTACCTCACATACCTCTCCTACGTCCGTACGACTCAACCCATTCCTACCCCCCGCCGCATCCTTGTCTTCGACGTCCCCACCAATATTGCCTCTCCCCGTCTTGCCGTACTGTACCATTTCGACCACTCCGGCGGTCACGCGCACACCTGATTTTCATTGACCTCGCCCATAATTTTATCTCGATTTTCCGGACTTTCTGGGATTTTTCGAAAATTCAAAATAGGCAATTTTCCGCCGGAGTGGTCGAAATGGTACAGCATTCTACCCTCTACCTTACCCACATATATCTCATACACATGCGTTTCGTGCATATATTTGTTGCCCCTCGGGCTGTTGTTGGTGCGCGTTCAGGTTTAAGGTCACGCTGATTCGAAGGTCGTCGACGAGTACGTCCTGAACCAACAGTAAATTTGCTGGATTGAGGGAAAAGTACCTCGCTCGACGAGATAGATGAGGGGCTCCAAGGTCGGGCAGCGGGTTCAAGCGTTTATCTACATCGTCATGCTTCGAACCAAGACGACTCGGAGTGGACGGGTCGCTCAAACTCCGGTGCTTATGGCCAGACATAGTCTCCCGTAGGCAGACTACAATATAATCCGTATTGAGTGGGTGGAGGACAGATTATAAAGGTCAGCTTGAATACGCGCCCTCTGAGCCGTAGTACACGATTTCGCCCGGATAATGCCGAGCCTGGAAAGCTTTTTGCTCGTTCATCGCCCACGTTCGCTTTGAATACCATGCAGGATTTGCGAGATGCACATAGAAAGTGCTCTCAGCAATTGTTCAAGAGCATATTTACTGTGGAAAGCCCACCCCAGCTCAATAACGAGAGCGCCACAGCTGAGTGTCGGAGTTGTGACCAGCCAATGAGACGCGTCAGGACGCGTCGAAGCGAACGGCAACTCCCGAAAGCGTGTACTACGGTGTGAACAGTGACCCCCGCCAATTCAAGCAGACTAGGCCAGACAAGGCGGAGTATGGTTGCCAGATGAGACAAGTGAATGCTAGTGGTGTTCTCGTCTGATAGTCCAGACTATTTTCAGCGGTTTCCGTGCCATGTACTCTGTTTGCAATGTTGTGGCTGTAGAGGCTTCCGTTCCATAGTTTCAACTTTCGTTCAAGGGTCTGCACTGCTAATATCCACATAGTGTACCGGAAAACTCGCCGGTGTAACAAGGGACAAATTGTGTCGCAGTTCCGAAACCTCAGGCCTCAGCCTGAGTATCGCGTACGCCTGGATGAGCTGACGAAGCGCAAGCTATTTGTATTTGCTCATCACACGCAGTGAAGTCAGACCGGCGACGCAATGCCAGCAGTGCTCCCACAGCCGTCCTTAAAACTCTTCAGCTGCAAGCCGTCGGAAACCTCCAATTCGTTCTCCAGTGTGTTCACATTGCGGTGTGTGCTTGTGATGGGCAGCGAGGCGAATGAGATGCGATCCACGCGTTGTCGATCCGTGAAGTATTCCTGGACATTAGTGTGCACCGCGTAGCCCAGGCCGACACGCATGTTGATAAGCATGAACGCAATGCCAGACACGGGGGCCCATGCGTCCTCGACCAGGAACAATATGTTATTTCTGGGGGTGTACGCCTCGTAAGAGGCCATGAAGAGCATAGTCCAGGCGCTAGATAGGACGGTCAATAATTGTGGGTCAGTTACACACACCCACAAAACGCTGGGAAAGGCGTACACATAGAGGACCGCGCTCTCAATAAATACGGAGATAAACCACTGCAGGCAAGTGTCAGCGAACATGAACGTACATGTCACATTCACAGCTCGCCTTCAGACCGTGCCTCTCAGAATGTTCAACAAGTGATATCACTTGCGAATGAACAGGCCATAGTCGCCATATTATCAACACTAAGTGGAACCAAAGCATGTCAAAACTGTTAAGGACTTCTAAATGTCTTACCACAGCAAGATAAATTCGTGCTGTGTATTATTAGTTCATACGAGCGCAAAGCAATGCATTATCAAGCGGAGAGCATAGAACAAGCGCAGGCACATACCACATAGTCAGACTCCAGGTGCTCTCCAGCCATGGGTTGATATGAACAGTGTCGAACGTTGTTTGGCCCACCTGGTGCGCCTCTATGTACACAACAACCACACAACATACTGCGCGCCCGCATTCAAAAATCCGGCTACATGGGAATCCCGAAACTGACTTACCACTTGAGGCAATGAAGGTGCACAACGGGAAAATGATGACATACACGTTGCGACTCCAGGTCATCCAGAGACGGTATAGCTGAAGGAAATTTTATTCAGAGCCCGAGCTCTGACTCTGAAGTAAACGAAGTAGTCATTTACCAGCATAGTGTCCCCAATGGCTAGTGATGACAGCCAAAAAGCGATCTTGATAACATTGGTTACCACCATGAGACTGAAGTACTCCTGCGGAGCTGTACCGTCCTTATAAAGGCTACGAATGAACGATACACAATCAGGATCCAATTCTATCCAGCAGGAATAATGAGTCCTATTTCTTCCACCCTTCATCTCGTCAAAATTGTACATACCGCGGTGATAGTGATGAAGTATGCAATTCCTCCAATAAATAACGGTTTCTTCCAAATCTGCAAGGAACGAGAAGAGCCGGCATGGTCACCTTCGCGCTGCGCCATGAGGTACGTGGACGTGCAGAAAAGCACGAGGAAGACGCCATAGAGGAAGGCCGAGATAGACACCGAAGCAAGACAGGCCGAGAGGAATGAGATTTGCCCCATGCTGCCAAGACCAGGCACGATAGGACAGGGAAACAGATCCAGCCAAGGCTATACATATGTAGATGACGTCTCTCGAGACAACGAAGAACAGTGTATGAACTCTGGAATAATTAATAGGAGGCGGCGCCCAACTTGATATTGATGAGGACAGTATGGACAACACCGTGATCGCAGCATTGACGCACATTCTACTGAGGTGTATTGCTGCACAAAGCCAAAACGCAGAGCGCGTTACTCTGAAACATAGAAGCTCGTATGTCGCACGCAGGACAAAATAGAGCGGCCTTCCGTGTTCACTCGAAACTCCTTCCACGGCAGTCAAAACGATAAGGCAGCGATGTTCTGAGCAGCCCTTGCCGCGCACATGTCGGCTGTATGGAATGACCGCAGGGACTGCGCTGCAGTCACATAATTGATCACATCGCGATCGTGATCCCGTCAACAGATAGGAGGCAGACTGGCTCCGGTAACGCCACGAAGGAATTGCTGGTGCCTGTTTCAAACGACGTGAGATACGATGTAATTCAAAGAGTATGCGCGGTATCAACGCACTGTGATTGACTCTCACAAGCCTAGGATTCTTGCTGGACCCTTCATAGCAGTCAGACGCTCCGAGAATCAACGCAGCCAGTAAGAATGCGGTGAATGGAAATTGCGATATATTCCCTTTGCATGATGTCCTTGTCAACGAGAGTAGCTCGGCAGTCATGACAGCACACTGCGTAATGCTGGGTGAGTATCAATATCAATGCTGTACTCACCTCAAACGGGCCAATCTCTCACGTCCCTTAGTCTCAACATGCCGTCTCTCCTGACCATTTCATAACATTCGACCACATCGCCGTCAGCCAGATAGCGCCCGCGTATTTAGCAGAAAGTCTCCGAATTCCGAATCGTGATCCCGAAGTTCAGATTTTGGACCTCGTGCGCCGAAGACCCGCTCCACGACAGACGTTCAAATCAAACATAGTTAGCCCGTCACTGAACAAGTGTTGATGATGCCGACGAAGCCCGTGGTTCGAACGAAGGACCAGCAGTCTGGACTGCACGGTGTATTCTAGCATGGATGTCGAAGATCCGAGATTCATTTCCTGGACATGACAGTGAAGACGGTGATTAGATAAACATGGAACTCCCCATAACTTTCTTGGGTCTTCTCGTGGTTCGAGGAACCAACAGTCAGCACAGTCTTCATTTCGTGGCAGAGAAGGTCCGCATTCCGAGTACGCAATGGTCCGCAGGCTAAGCTTCGGAATATGAAGCCCTTCGAAGAACACATGAACGAAGAACGCTCGGAGCCAATGAAGGGGGCAAGGAACCGCTATACCGTACTGCTCCAACTAGCGCACTTCGGGAGCTCTCGCGACCAGGAATCGCCTCGGTTCAGCCCGGCTCCGCCCCGAAGAATTGGTTTTAGCGCGTTGTCGAGAGACGCGCGACGGCGAGCAGGAACCGCGTCTGCTTCTCCGCCGAGCACAGACGCCAGATATTCATACGTAGAGATCCGAGGTGTGAGCCTGCGAGCACTACGTATATCATCAGTACTCGGTACCTTCGGATTATTTGGAGAGGTTACGTGGAACACATCAACAGCTATTGCGGTGCAGGGAAGTACCACGATGTCCTGGTACATCGAGTAGGCGGATTGCAGCTCCGAATGAACGGCACACGCGCGGTCCTTGGGTACAGGATGCGTAGAAGCACTTAGGTTGGACCTGAATTTCAATCAGTGAAAGATCAATGGAGCCAAATACCCTTTCCTTGTATTGCATCTATGCATCAGCGATATTCCCAGTGATACACGAAGGACAGACGAATTCACGATTTGATTTTTTTTTCCTAATGTTCCACTTCCCCCCGAGTCCGAGTGGGCCGAATGCACACAAGACCCACAGATCCTGTCAGTAGATCTAGCAACATCAGGGGACGTACCCCATGCGGTGCCTAACCATCATATACCGTATGTCGTCATGCTATGATCGAACCTGGGTCCACGTACAGTCGGCCTTGTATTCTTGAATAAAGACTGCACCTAACTGCCAAGTATCCTGCCAGTGGATCTTTCCGTGAGGAAATATGCGAGGCGGTGAGACGCACCTTGATTGTGGAGGTAGGGACTGGCTTCCAGCATCACTGTATTGAATTTAAGTCGCAAGGGGACGTCTGGGGACCCAGACGTGCACGGGTGACGTGGATGTGGCAAAATTCTCCGCGACGGTGCACCGGTATGAGCTCTGGGATGTCTACGCATGGAACTCGCTGACACAAGCCTGACAGCATTCATCACCATACAAATAACCTCAAATTGGAGGGCAAGCAATATGCATTTCGATCTATACAACGTCGAGCAGAACTACAGAAAATGTGTCGAGAGCTGATTAGCCGCCCACCAGTAGAGCAAAATAAAAGCAGACGGCATGCCCAGCTCTCGACGTCGTTATGCTCGACGACCCTACACCGATCAACGACCGCCGCAGGCCAAAGCGCACGTATCCTTGAATCGCGTCTCCACGCAAACTTGAAGGCCGAGGTGACTGTAAAGAACCATCTTGCGCGCGGACTGCGTATATACCCGGCGCGTGGATGGTCCGTGCGCGGGAACGCGCCGTGATAACTTCAGCGCGGGCGCTCGTATCCGACTTTTTATCGAAAGTTCCACCTTGCAGGTCTGATATTTGGGATGCTCTTATTACATCCTGCTACGTTTGTGGCAGGCTGTGGGGAGGATCTTGAGCCGTTCGCTAGGGAGAGCAAATCCTTCATCTCAAGATCGTGCCGACGTTTTCTGAAGTCGAGGGCGGCCCGTAGTGGAGGAACAAATTTGATGTGGGGCTGTATGTCTTGTAACAATCTATTCTGTTTTATTGTGAATGCCAACAATCTCTTGCCATGTGCGATGATACACCGCACCTTGCGACGCGCACATCCACTTCCATGGTTCTAGGTCTTCAGCAGCAGCTCATTTCGATCTTAAGGTGTGCTTGCCAGAGCCAGATGCTACTGGTACGTTTGTTGTCAGGCTATAGTACAATATTGTGAACGTGATGACGATCGGAAACAATGGTTAATCCAGTGGATCCCACCTGTATATCTAGATACTCGACATATGGTTTCGAAGCCCAGTATTCTTCTCGAGGGCCCGTGTAAAGCACTGTACAGCTTGCGAGCCCTCGTCTGTGCGTTGCGCATATCACGCGTCACGATTGTGCTCGCTATCGCTGGGATGATTTACGTCGGAGTCCACGCCCTATATTTCGGAGGCACCGCGTAAACCATAGCCTCCAGTCATGGGTGCTTTTTATTCGAGGTCTATCGTCTCGGATCCTTCTCAGTCTTCAACGCTGGTGATGGCAAGTCCGATAGCTCAACCTGGCGTGAATATGACTACGTCATCGTGGGAAGGGGTTAGCATATTTTCCCAGTTCAATTGTGTACCTCCTCACGGATATCCTGCCCTCGCTAGGGACTGCCGGTTGTGTGCTCTGAGCCGTTGTCGGTGCGTTGTCACTCAGGCCGTTGTGTTTGTTATCGCTGAGATGATTTTCGTTCGCGTAATGCAACTCCCTTCTACGTGTAAGGTGCTTCTGCCCTAATTCTTTACGTAGAGTATTGTAGGCGCCTCGCGTCGTCAACCGTTACCTCAACTACGCTTTCCTGACTTGTTTAGATACTCCGAACGGCGAAGGCGACTTTACCTCAAAAGATATGCTTCCGGAGCATACTGTATGCGCATAATTGCCGCTCTGTCGAGCCCTGAGGCTGTCACCCATTTGGTGAGTTCACCGATACACATAGGTTTACGTCTCGTTTTCTCACCTATGTGTACTGGATGCCCAGCGGGTTGTTGATACTAGGAGAATACGGTGAGGCATACAATGACCAGTAACATTTCTGCATTATCTCCGTCGTCTGCAAATATTGTTAAACATAACCAAGCAATTGTCGACCTGTTACTTGTTCAACCTTACTCGTCAAGTTCACGATCTGCTTTTGGTGGCCCGATCCGAAACGAGTCTCTAAATCTCTATTCAATGGCACCCTGCTCCACAGATCGGGATAATTGAATCCGCTGTCCCGGATCTATCTCTGACCATGCGCCATGGTGGTGGCTTGCGGCACATCAGCTGGCCAACATTTTCTCGCAATGTCTCGATCTCCTCGGTTTCGTTGCGATAGGAATTTGTGTGCCGGATGTGTGGCTATGACTTTGGCGTTAACTTTGTCCCGCTTTCGCAATTTTTCATGGCGGGACACATCCAAAACAGAAAACTGTTGTACCATGTCCTTGAATCAGCTCTAAGGCGCCAAGTAACATGCGACACTTGTTATTGCTCTTAATTCAAGTGCTTACGTACATGGCGAGTTCTGATGCACTACCCTGCCAAGGTGGAATTGATTTCTACTGTACTATGCTCCAATTCATAAAACTACATCCTTTCTATCACCCTGCCGATGCCTGCTGACCACCCTAGGTCACGAACTTAATTTCTATGAATCCTTATGGAAAGTCGTCCGCCGTAAACATATCGTCCAGTAACTCGCAGCACTTACTTTCTGCTATCTTTCTCACATCCCTTGCCCATAGGCCTTCCGCCATGTGTAGCAATCCCATTTCAAACGAGACACGGTCCCAGTCGTGGGTGCATTTTATTCCAGCTCTCTCGTCTCGGATCCTGCCCAGTTTTCAACGCTCGCTGGCAATTCGATAGAACCTGGCGTGAATATGACTACGTCATCGTGGGAGAGGGTTAGCATGTTTTCCCAGGTCAATTGTGTACCTCCTCACGGATATCCTTCCCTCGCTAGGGACTGCCGGTTGTGTGCTGGCCTCCCGCTTGTCCGAGGACTCGGATGTGACAGTGCTACCCATCGAGGCAGTTAAAAGACGAGTTTATTTGCAAGCTTTTCGTATGCAGGAATCTGAGGAACTTCAGACAGCCACAAGGGGGCCCTTCTCACCAGTCTACCTCTCGCTTCCAAGCTGAAATCAAATAATGCGTGGGACAAGCCACTGATCCACGCAAAATACCCGAATTCGCTTTGCATGCTCTGGACCACCATGCTGACACCAGAAGACAGCTATTTTGAAAGCGACATGAACGTGGTTATCCGCGGGATGAGGTTCCTCGAATGGCGCACACGGACCCACTCGCGTCTGCTTTGGACTTGAAACCCGAGTCCTTCTCGCTCGGAGATGCAGACCCTGTGAAGGTCTAGCGTAGCATTTATGTCATTTTCCCGTTCGTCAGGCTGATGACTTTCTTCCAGGTTACAGGTGACGAGCTCGAGGAGTAGATCAGAAGAAATTTGTCGTCCTTGTTTCATCCATTACGTTTATGGCCACGATGGCTTGTGTGATATATGCAAACTGGCTGCTTCTGTATTCCACAGGTAGCCACCGCGAGGATCGGTATCCGATTTCTTCGAAATTGCAGACGTACTGGAAGTGCAGTGCTAGTCGGTGCGTGTACATGCAAACTTCAAGGGTTTGATGCCGAATACGCCGATTCCTGTGTTGGTTAACAGACTAACTGCAGTAAGCAATGCGTCGGAAGAAAGGGCTGCTCGATGAATCTGTATACCTTGCGGAAACTCTGCGTTTTCAGTCTGAATCAGATGGCCGTTCGCGACACAGAAAGCGCCTTCGTGAGTGCAAACATTATAGTCGTTTGTGGAGCTCGCAATTGGGACGAAATCTTTCTTAGGTGAAAAGCTGGACTTTAGTCAGTCCGCGAGATGAAAATCCAATGTGGACGTCCACTTCTATGCGTGCGTGCTACTTACGTCTGAAACTACTTAATCTTGGAACATATCACAATGGTATCAACGATATCTAGATCTCTTGTTGGAATGGCAAGATGGAGCAACAATGCTATCGGGCCTTGGATCTAACCTTCTGTACTTTGTTGTCGTGGCAGTGCTGTGAAGACAACTGCCAAGTTCGAGTGGCCACGCATGTATAAAATGACAAGGGCGGCGGCCAAGTTCCAACTTGAGTCTTTCCTACCTTCCTGATATGTTCCCGACGCAGGCGCAGCATGAGTCGTGGCAGGACGAGTCACCGCCGCCTGCCTTCCTTCGCCCTGTGGATCTATGCTCTGTCGATGGGTGCCGTGACTGGGCTGACGTTCGCTCCGACGTAAACGGCATGGGGTGCCCTGTGTGCAGGTATCACTGGTGCGTTACAGCCTCCCGTTTTCCTTCCTTTTCGTCGTTAACTCAGTCCATGGCACCGTACAAGCTACACAAACCCGCAAGGTATTCCCTCCGTCTCCACTGCGAGCTGCACGTCACCTGTCTGGTCTTCGCAGGTGCTGCACGAACGGCACGATGACTTGCGCCCGCCCGAGCCCTCTGCTCCAGTTCTCTGCACCAAGTGCACGTACTCAGCCACGGACCGCCTCGGGATCGAGGACCACATGCGCGAAAAGCAGTACGTCTTCCTCTCCCGTTACAATCCCGATCTGACTCTGTGCTTTCGTACTTTAGCGGCGACATGGCCTTCAGATGCCCGTACGTGCTCACCACTACTGGCGAGTCCGCACGGTGCGAATTCACCACGGACGACTACATGGGACTCCGGCATCACCTGTTGCTTAGCCATGGCCAATTAGTGCGTGACTACGGCGGCAAGAGCAGTCTGCAGGATGCCGCACGGTGGAGACGGCGGGTCGCAGAGCGAACGCCCATCCCGCCGGAGCTATCGCTCACGCAGCCCAAGCGCTCACGCGCGCACGAAAAGCTCGAACACCGCTCTGTGCGCCGGCAGCATCCGTATGCATCCCCATCGCAGGCAAGGTTACCCGGGCCTGGGCCGCCGCGCAAACATCTCAAGGTTGAGCCACCCTGGATACCGGACGCACTGTGGTCGGCTCCAACAACGCTGTGGCGAGAGCCTGTTCGAGCTGCGGCTAAACAGCCTCCACCGAAAAGTGAGCATCGCGGTGATCTCGCGCTGTTCTCTACTTCGTTGGAACGCGGTCGGAGTGTAGATACGTCCCCATCTCAGTGATGCGAGGCCGGATATTTTGTTTTTGGGGAGTTCCCTAGTGATTCTCGGATTTCTTTATGTTTGGTCAAAGTTCTTTATGAGTTATCGTGGTAATGCATATGGTAATCTGAATATTGTAACATGAGCGAGCGTCCCCTCAGGTCCATTCGTTGACTGGCGAGATGTATATGAAACTCCACCAGAACGTCTTCGTGGCTGCATCGTGAAATTTTGAACATTGCGATATCGCATCTTATGTTGATCTCTACTCGCGGTTCCTCCAATGCAAACCCCCAAGCTGCCGACGGCCAGCCTAGGCGGTACCACTACAAGACCGACTTTGTGATGAGGTTCTAAAAACACATGCGGAACGCGCATAGCGTAGAGAGGAGGGCAGGCGTATGACCGTGGTGCCCCTGCAGCAACAGTACGCTCTTGAGCAGGAGCAGGAGCAGCAGGTGACTCCCCACTCAGTAGAACGGTGTGTATCCAGCGCACCGTTTCCGGCTCGGACAAGTTCCTCGACGTACATGTTCAGTAGCATTTGCGCGCTGGCATAAAGCAGTACGTCCCGCGCCTCCCACTCTCGTCCACACTGGGGTCCGACACGCACGGCGAGTCGGGCTTAGCGAAGGTAAACGCGCAGATATAGAACAAGGCGCGCAGTGTAGTATCATGGCCCGTTACGTCCACGAGACGGTGAGGAAACAGTTTAACCAGAAATTGTGTTCACATGATACCACTCCAGTTCCGAACTCCTGGGAATAGGCGCCTTGATCGTACTTCGCGGTAGAAGACGCCTTGAACACCCGAGTAGACAATGAGTTCGATGACACGCCCGGCGTTCCGTCCTGCTACGCTGGACGCGAGTTCTGGACCACACTTCTTTGAAGCTGCGCCCTTGCTGGGACGCTCAGAGACTTCTCCTGTGAACGCATCAATTACGCCATCATGCCACTGAGTGCAAGAGAATAGATTTACAAATCGCATATTGAGAAATTAGACCTTAATGGACCATTTCGTGCGCACGGTGGGATTACATGAATGAAGAGGAGTTGACATGATGCACGCGAGACGCAACGTCGCGTTTTCGACTAGACTTCCACTAATCTCACGCGCCCTAGTCGCGAAATCGAGGTGAGTCAGATCGTAGATACGCAGCCTCTGCGGGACGAGTACCTGGACGTTGTGTCATTTGTCCGACCTCCGCGCACAACCAAAGTTTGCCTACATGTAGTCCGTGTTTTTTGACGGTAAAGAGACAGTCCTCCACCATGGTTCAAGATGCATGGTCGAAGGAGACGTCCGGGAGTGGTGGCGAGGTCATTAATACAGGCTCATCGTGAACGAAAGGATGTCTGCACAATACAGACAAAACACAAACGGCAGAAAGCGGGCGTGAATGCATTCTGAACTGGAGGCACTCGCCTGCCACGTAGGGGGAGTACTGGGGATCCTGGAGGCAGTTGCACAGAGTCGCGCATGACATATGCGCGTGTACGACGCGGGGTGGTTCAAAACGCCCATTTCAATGTCTTCTAACCTGCAAATCCAGAGATAACCTACGACGCAGAGCATGCACCAGTCCGAGCATCCGCGCGCGTGCTATGTGCTCTTGTCGGACGGAAACTTTTTGAATAACGCACCGATGTGGCATCCTAGCACTATCCATTGGCTTGTTGACTCGGAATGGCGATCCTGTGATCAATGCAAGGCTGTTCGCTATGTGGAGAAGGGCACCGTCTTCACTACAGTAGTTCAAAGAAACTGGTCTGTTGAGAAGCTTAGGGACTGTAGGCTATCGGGTTAACGAGACCACGGGACTCCATGCGAAGTGCCACATTAGCACGCGTAGGAAGCCTGCGAAGAAAGATCTGAGAACAATGTTGGCGTAGCGCAGTTGACAGAAGTACTGGTCCAAAGCCCCGACGGCCCACTGCAGTTGTGGAGGTGTCGATCAAGACGCGTTTTTGGACGCGTCTTCTTGACTCTTCGGTAGTCTCCGAAAGGCAGGTTGTAGATACTCTGGTTCAACCTTGTTGCCTCAGCCCCAGGATACCCGTATCTACTCTTCAGCGACTTCGATGTGTCTGTGAAACGTGCAAAGCCGCAGCACTCGGCGTGCTCAGTCTGTGCGACGCGGTCATGCCTTATACATTCGACGCTTATCCCAAGGGCCTCCGCGTGGACGGTTCACAATCCTCGCCTTTGTTCTTAGCTTTTACCCTACAAAACGCGAACCGGTAATTCAGCCGTAGTACAGTACTTCAGTTTGCTTGCGCACCATCTCGACCTATTCACGATGTTGACCTTCGCACAGCGCACCACCAGCAGCCTCACCACGACGTTCCCCAAGGTGGAGATCCTTGCACAGTACGACGATGCCGCTTCTCTGGAATCACAAAGGTGCGCCCTCTTTCCCCCTCTCGCGGGCCCACTGACGGACTCTCCTCTGCAGGCGAATAAGGGCGACTTCAAGGACATCCGTCGTCTCGACCCCGCCCTCATCGAGGACATCCCAAACACTGTCCCCATCAACACTGTCAACCGCCAGTGCTCCTCGGGGCTCTCCACCATTAACCACATCACCGCGGAGATCGTCTCGGGCCAGATTGATATTGGCATCGGTGGGTGGTTTCCCCTCTGAGCTCTTGGCTTCGTCTTCGTTGCTGATCACCGTGCTGGAGCTTTTTTTGCGTTCTCATCCCTTCCGGTCCTCCTAGCAGAGCGAGGATGTGTGTTTCCATCGTTCTGGTTGGACTCCAAGAGCTGTCTACGGTCGACTGGTCGTCTCGAGGACGACAAGGTTCACCTTCTACGGCATACCGGTTCGTGCAGAGCCTTCTCAGGCTAGGTTGACCGGCCGCCTTGTGTTGTTCGCCAGAGATGTTGCCAGAGCTATAGGTAGAGATCACAGAGGGTGCAGGTATCGAGCCCGTTGGCGCCTCTACTCTCGTCTCTTTGGGCCTCACTCCCGATGTAACGAGGTCTTGGCCGTAGCATGGCTGTGCCAGTCTTGCATGCACAGGTGCCACCAGATTTCTTGCCTACGGCTCCGTACTCTCCTTTCTGGTCTGTGCAGGGAGTCCGTAGTGCAACGGAATTCGCCTTGTGCGTGCGCCGCAGGTCGGCCAAGCCGTTGGATCACTGCTCTCACAGAGCGCACCACCCCTGCAAATCGCGTTCGCCCCTGCGCTTCTTCCCTCCACTTCAGTTGTTTCCGCCGTTGCCCTTTCATTCCTCCCCCAGTTCCAGTTCTCACTTGCTACTCTCTGTCCTCCCAGGTGCGGGCGTCGAATCGATGGCGTTCGGGTACGGCGCGCTCGGGCTCGCCCAGACAAAGGGTTTCTCAGAAACTTCGCTCTGCGCAAGAAGCAGAGGACTGCCTAATCTCGATGGTCGCTCGCCGAGCTCACACATTATCGCACGGATGCTATTCATGGCCTCCGCACCATGGACTGCCTGGCGGCAAACCTGCCTCCCTTGCAGGTATTTCCGCGCTCTCATCCAACAGTAGATTTCTTCGCCGGATTCCTCCTTGTGCCGGGGTGCTATGCTCGCGCTGGGAGTAGTCGTTGAAGGTTGTAGTGCATGCACGACGCCTCTGGTGGTCCACATTTGGCCCATTATCGAGGCTGGGCTCCAAGATCCTGATGCTTCCGTGTGCATGGCAAGCTGCATCGCCGTTAGCTGCATGTGCGAGTGATTGGAGGAAGACATTGTCTCTAGGCATGCCGTGCTTGTCTCCGTACGTCCGATTTGTCGCACATAGCGGTCTTGAGGTCTGACGCCTTGCACAGACAATGATGCGACTCATGAATGACCTTGTCACCCAGCGCGCTGCGTGCACTTCTCTTGATGCGCTGCCGGAACTCTCCGAGAATGTCGTTCAATGGTACCTCCAGGTCATCGTGGAGCAATTGCCACTAGCACTTCATGCACATGGGCCGAATGTGGTCTGGATCACAAAGCATCTACGTCACGCCACTCCACCCACCACGACGCTGTTCGTGATGCGGTACTGTTCGTGTTCGCTTTGTTTCATCATGCATACTCCATGCGTGTTCGCTTGTCTAACCACGGCATGCTTCATATAAAGCGGACAAGAGACGGCCATCCGTGACGTTCGTTCAAGCTCTACAGTACCATGGCGGTTTGCCAGTTAGTTTCAGCAGTCGTATATCTCGACCGCATGTCCTCGTCGCAAGCTGCAACCGGATTAATGGGCCCTGCCCTCATCTTTGGCGACCGGCGTGTTCTTTGCTCTGTTGTGCTGTTCCCGGATGTTCCTACTGGTCCGACTGCCGGTGCCCCTAGTGATCAAAGACCACACATGCAAGATGAAACATGGTCCCGCCTTGCTCTCTCGCTCTGGCCCAGATATACTAGGTGCAGACCGAGTGGCAGAGCGCTGCGCACCGTTCTTGATAACGAGCGCTGCGGCCGCCCACGGTGGGATATTATGCCGGTGACAGGTCCTCCTGGAGGGCCATGACAGGGGTCGACCTCGACGCGACGAGCGCCGGCGGTGAAGCGGTGACGCGCGGTCTGACCATTGGATCTCTGGCGACATATTTCGTGGGCCGCGAGTACTTGAAAGCTGGTTATGACGAGCCTGGGGTCATTCGATCTTTTGTTCTGGCTTAAAATTCCATATTTTTTTCCCATACGTATTGCTACGGCGCAAAAGGAGGCTGTAGTGTCGTGCGATGAAGTCTTCGCACTGTGCTACATCGTGCTACATAAACGGGGACGTATCGCCTACCGTGACTATGTGGCCTATGTTGCACTGCACGGCTTCCGGGAAATTTGCTGAGGGAGCATACTTACTCGCTATTTCTCGCTTCCTTCAAACGGACCGACGGACGACAGGTATTAGGTATGCTTCTGTCCGCGGACCACTTGCCAGTCATTGTCTCATTTGATCTCACTGGCTACAGTCCTGGCTTAGATCTGCATCGGGTCAATGCTCGTGCAGGACGTATGCAGCGGTGCTGAGGAGCTTCGGGCACCTCATTCGAACCTCCAGGATCTGACACTTTCCGGGCGCATTCCGTATCGGACCAGCGAGATGCAAAACTTGTTCCTGGGCGCAGCACAAGGATCGTGCGACACGCAGTGGGCGTTCATATCGGGACATCTAAGGTAATGTCTCCTGTCCTTACCCTGAGCTGTGTCGGCAGAATCCTTCCGCTGCATGACCTGTCAGCAGGACTCCTCGTGTTGTGTGCGAGTTACTCAGTTATGCCGGAGCACGGCATAACTGAGTAAGCTTTCTTCGATGTTTGCTGGTGCGAGATCGAATGCGGGTGATTCGGCCGTTCACGCTGGAATGAAATCTTATCTTTGCAAGATTTTTCAAACGTAGCCGCATCTCTTTGAGTTACTGCGGCAATCTATTGAGCTGTCGTTCGTTCTGAATTTACTAACACATTTCGCGACAGCATTTCATCTGCGGATAAAGAGGAATCACGCTTGGGGGAATCATAGTGGCATCGCATGGCGGTGGTTACATGCCGTTGACTTTGAATCTTCATGTTCAGCACCAGCTTCTCTGTTCAAAATCGAAACTTTAGGTTGCGGAGACACTACTCCGCTAGGTCTCCACCTTCCTACGACGGAAAAACTTCACGGCGTCAATGGTCATGCTCTCCTTGTCGGATTGCTCTCTTCGCTGATACGTAGCTTCCCGAGCGCTGCTGATCAGAGCTGATAGGAACAATCAATGGGTCATGCCCTCCTTATCGACGAGCTCTCGCTCGGCATCTTTCCGCCCTTATCAATTGGCCCCATCGATTTCTGCGCATCAACTCCCAGAGGTTCTGGTTACCGTCTCGAGACTTCCGTCCATATTGCCTTAGACGTCTACGAACCTATCGAAGGGACTGCCTCGACATCCTACTCCCCCAATGTCGAATACAATCGAAGGGTAAGTAACATTATTGATCCGATTCACCTACTCATCCCAACGCGGACATAGATCGCGAGAGCATCAACAGGCTGCTGAAGGGCGAGCAGAAACAAATCATGGAGATGGGTATGTAGCTACAGCACCAGACTCAGTGTGGCAGTCGTATAATCCACGATCACAGACTACAACACGATGCTCGAATGCCAACCCCTGGAGGCAACGATGCGAATAGAAGCACCAATGCACACACAGACGACGACAAAGAGAAGTGAGTTTCTTCAACCATATGCAAAAGCGATTACTCAGTGATCCGAGAGCAGCTTGAGTATCTTGCGGGATATTCTTCAGACATTGAAGGACTCTACAATCATCGAACCAAGCGGGAGAGATGTCAGATCACGCTTTTGGGCGAGCTATCAGAAGCTTTCAACTGAATATGATAATGAATTTTTGGAACGCTGCCGCGGGGACATGGACATAATCCTGATCTTTGTGAGTGAAGGAGTACTGATGCTGATGTGCTCTAATGCACCATGCAGTCTGGCCTCTTCTCCGCCGTTAGCACAGCCTTTATCATTGCCATGCAGCCCAATCCGAGTGATACTACAAATGCTCTTTTGGCACAGCTTATCCGGGACAAGAATAACGTGCAGGGCGGCGATCCGATACCCTCAGCTTCATCGAGAGGCGTGTGGTTCCAGGCCTTGGCTTATGCTAGCCTCTTATTGAGCCTTCTCGCTGCTTTCGGTGCAGTTCTTGGTAAACAGTGGCTTTCTCACTATAAATCAAGTGGTCGCGGTCATGGTTCTCTCGAGGAGTGCAGCATCAGGAGGCAACAAAAATTGGACGGAATTAAAGAATGGCATTTAGATGCCGTCTTACAGTCATTTCTCGTGCTCATGCAACTTTCCCTCTTTTTCTTTGAGGCTGCACTCTCCTCTTATGTTTGGGCCGAAAGCCATGCAATGTCTGGTGTTGTCATTGCAATGACAACTATTGGCTTTATCTTCTACACTGGCACAATCTGTGTGTCATTTAAGTCAGAGGACTGTCCATTCCAGACTCCTGTGTCGACTCTTCTGCGGTTGGTTTGGAATAGATTATGTGCAATCTGTAAGTTAGACATGTTACTCACCTTTAAGATGGGGCACTGATTGCTGACCATCACAGCTCAAAGCCTTACCTCTGCTTTTATCATTGTCAAGCTCTTGAGAGGAATGAAGTTTGCTCTGATTTGGATCCAATCTGCCTTCTCAGTGACAATCTCGAATGATACAGAACAGCAAATGAAAGAAGAAGCAGAATGTTCTGGTGGCCCAAAGTCTGACATTGACCTCAGGTCAACCTGCCTTCCATCACTGAACTGGCTCTTTGAAACTTCCACGGACTCGGAGATGATTACAGCGGCTGCTTGCCTAGTGCCAGAATTGGACATAAGCCTTTTTGGGGCTCTGAAGGTGTCACCCATAGAGTCACAACTGCCAGATATGTTCATGAAATGCTTTGATGACCAGGCTCATTGTATTTCTGGGGCCTTTGACAAAGCTATTGCATTTGGTCTTGCACTTTCTCACTTGTACTGGAGACGATACTTTCCAGGAGGAAATTCTGGATCTGCAATAGTTCTTCCAGGATTATCAGAATGTCAAGTTCAACATGATCAGGTTGACCTTACTGACTCAAAAACTCGCATACACAAAGCAATGATGATCAATGGAGATTTCTGGGACTGTTGGAAGTACCTTGAATCACAGGATCCTCATTTTATGTTGGTCTCTCAGATTGGTCTTGGACAGATGACATGGAAAACATTCATCCGGGGTGACATTGATGTGTCATCACATTCAATTGCTGCTCTTACATCACTTTTGCCCAGTTTTTCATACGCCTTCCTTTGCTCCCAATCATTGCAGCAGCCATTTGAGCTAGAAAAGTTGGCAGTCCATATAATGCTTAGGCTGCTTTCATCTTCACTGGCTGAGCACTCTATGCCGACAGTGGCCAACTGTGTGTTCCTTGTTATATGCATCTTTGGCATAAAATTTCCACAACAATACTTGATGAATTCTGATAAAGGGTAATGTCATTTTGTTCTTTCATGTATACATTATTTTAACAAGCATATTTGCAGCATAATTGTTGAAGATTTGGTTGCATTGCTTGTCTGGAATTTTCCGAAAACTCTTCTAAATCATGTCCTTTGGGGAGACACTAAGAAGACCCTCTTACTGGCTCCAGTGATAACTCATATCATAACCTTCGATCAGTCATTTGCCTCAGCCCATGGTCATTTACAAAGCCTTCAAATAATGTCTCAAAGTTCTTTCATCAAGGAAGTGATTAGGTGTTGCAGAGACTTGATCAATCAATGCTCTTCTTTATCACATGTGGATAAGAATATCTCAGCAGCACATCAGTTCATTGCAGCAGTTCTGAGGATCCTCATCACATGGAAACAGACAAATTGTCATAATGACTTCCTGATATGGAATGGCAAATTCACATACAATCATAGTGCCAATGACTTGCAGGATTTTGACTGGCTGGCCGACTACCTGGATTACCATTGCAAAGCAAATAATAAGACTGCTATCATTGATAGTCTCCTAGTAATGACTATCATGCAAGGTCTTGGCAGTAACATAAAGAGGGCAGCATTTCTTGATGCCATCATTTTTTCCTTACGCTCAGAGGTTGTGCATCTGCGCAATGCTGCTCTACAAGCAGCTTGTGCTGCTATAGTGACACTCTCCTCCATGGAGAACATGCAGAATTTTACAATAGGCAAACAACCTCAGACCAGATTCTCAGAAGCTCTTGGAATCTTTGCTACTGCTTCCTTCAACTCTATCAGCCAGCCAAATTTCACTGATTCCGAGTATGCTTATAAATCCCAGTCTGAATATAAACCAAAAAATTGCTATTTGGAACTCCTTCTGGCTCTTGCCAACTCCTCTGATTGGATTCCTTGTCTGGAAAAGGATGGTCATATCAAGTGCTGCATAACACTCCTCAAGGAGCCAAATATTTGTTATCATCCTTCCCATTACTTTTTGCTCGCTGGAATTTTTGCAAGAATTGGTGCCAATGATTCTGCTCTTCATGATGTGATCACAGAGGACCAATGGTGGATTTTGATCAAGAGCTTTTGGGGTGAAATGGCTAACTGGATTGATGCCGATGATTGGTGCTTTGATGCTCTGCCATTCCTCGTACAGCGCACAATCAATCTGTCAAATTTAGACGAAGTGAAAGAAGAACTCTACAAAGATGTTAATTATTGCTGGATGTACATGCAGGGGAGAGATGTGAATGTGAAGAAGAAAGTCATGCCGGAGATGGTGAAGCTGCGTAACAGACTTAGATAGTGGACCAGGAAATGGACAGTCAGTGATACCTTTACGTAGTATAAGATGCAAAAGCATCTTGGTTGTGATGAGTTCACTTGCGTACTCAGTAACCGCATACTACGGTAATACCGCACTTCACTGTGTCCATTGATCGGATCGCACCACACAATGGACTGGTCAATCTCATGATTAGAAGAAAGACAATTGACTCGGATTGCAATGAGTTCAGTTGCGTACCTGGCAACTGCATACTCCAGTAAGACCGTGTTTCACTGTTTCCATCGATCACATTGTACCACACAACGGACTGGTTAATCTCATCATTAGAAGAAAGACGGTCAACTGGGATTGCAATGGGTTCAGTTGCATACCTGGCATCCGCATACTACGGTAAGACCGCACTCCGCTGCCTCCATCGATTGGGTCGTGCCGCACAATGTACTGGTCAATCTTCTTATTAGAAGAAGGGCAGTCGGCTCGGACGCATACATTCTGTGAGATAGAACCGTGATTCACCGCAGTGCCAGCGCTCGCCGCAACCGACGGTCTGTATCGTGATTGGTAAGTGAACCACATGCCTGTCAATGTATATCTTTTGGCAGGACGGCCGACGAAAAATGACGAGTTATCGGGGTGCGAGGCCTTTCCAAGCTGAGCACCAGCGGCGCAGACACTTCCAGAGATTAGACGTACATACAGCCACGAGCCGAGTGCGAGTGACTCAGCTGGAGTGGGCGCGGTTGCCTTGACATTCTGTGAGGAAACGTCGTGTATCACCGCCTCGGCAGCTCCTCAGCAGTAACACGGTGAGCTGTGAAGAGAACAGTGGGATTCGGAGAAGGGATATAGTACAGATATGCTCACAAATCGAGGCGGCTAGGTGGACTAGTCTCTATTATTGTAGAGTCTAGTTACTCTGCGACGCGTCGGTGATGCTGACCAGACTGGACCATTGTGGTGATGCATGCGTTAGCCTGAGCCGGCAACTGGCCAACAACGCGTCCGCCTATACCGGATCTTACTAGGAAAGCGTTCTTTTTCATGCGCATTTCATGATAAGTGACAGCTTGTGCTGGGTGGACTGTGGTGGCGCGGTCGGAGAGTCAGCACCGAGGCACGCGACGCGTACCCCTAACCCCACACCGCGGGGAATAACACGTGCGACAGTGGGCCGGTAATTCAGCCATCGTATTTCAAGCTTGCTTCAGCTCTCTCTCCTCACCCGCACCTACTCACGATGTCGTCCTTTGCACAACGCATCAGCAGCTTTACCACGACGTCCCCCAAGGCGAAGATCCTCGCACAGCACGACGACGACGTGGTCATCGTCGCCGCCGTCCGCTCAGCCATCACGAAGGTGTGCCCTCTTCCCCCGTCTCGCGCTCTCGCTGACGGACTCTCCTCTGCAGGCAAAGAAGGGCGGCTTCAAGGACACCCGTCCAGAGGAGATCCTCTCAGGCATCTTCCGCGCCGCGTACTCTAAGGCTGGCCTCGACCCGAGGCTCATCGAGGACATTGCCGTAGGCAACGTCCTTCCCCCCGCCGGCGGTGCGAGCGCTGCGCGCATGGCCGCCCTCCACGCTGGTATCCCAAACACTGTACCCATCAACACTGTCAACCGCCAGTGCTCCTCGGGTCTTACCGCCATTAACCACATCGCCGCGGAGATCATCTCTGGCCAGATTGATATTGGCATCGGTGGGTGGTTTTCCCTCTTCGCTCTTGGGTTCGTCTTTGCTGGCGATCCTCGTGCCGGAGCAATTGTCGCGTCTCGTTTTACTCGGTCTTCGTAGCAGAGCGGGAATGTGTATTTCCTTCTTTCTTCTGGGACTTGGGAAGCTGTCCGTGCTTGACTAGTGGTTTCGAGTGCTGTGCCTTCTGCCGTGTCTATATCAGCGTACTAACCTAATGGAGATGCTTTCAATTTATCTCTTCCGGTCTACGGCGCGGTGTCTCTTTATATCCACCACTTCACATTCCCCGATACGTTTCATCCTAAAGCTCAATCTGTGGACGTCCGAGCGCGACTTGTGCCTGTTCTCCATTTTTTGCACACAGCTATGCCGACGTTGAGTTGCCGTCTTCAAATGTTGCCTCCTTGCGTGTGGCTGTATCGTGGAGGACCGGACTTATAATACGGATATCCGGTCGTTATCCTCTGATGATTCCTTCTGCGCTATGCGCGGGCTTTCCCTACGTCATACATTCGCGATGACGTTGTGACCACGTCCTTGTCTTCAATTTTGGAATATTCTCTGCAGAGCAAGAAGCTTCACCTATGACTGAAATGTACGCAGGGACTGGACACCGGTTCGCGCCTGCAAGTCCCTTCTTCATTCACCGGTCCTTTTCTCCCTGCCATCCTTCACTCCAGTTCTCAGCCACTGACTTCTTTCCTCCTAGGTGCGGGCGTCGAGTCGATGACGTTCGGGTTCGGCGCGCGCGCCCAGGCCGACGGGTTCTCAGAAGCGGTGCTCTCGACTCAAGAAGCGGAGGACTGCCTGATCCCGATGGGGATCACGTCCGAGAATGTAGCAGCGGACTATGGGATCACGCGCGAGGTGCAGGACGCGTTTGCCGCCTCCTCCTTCCAGAAAGCCGCCGCAGCACAGTCGGCGGGCAAGTTCGCCGCGGAGATCGTGCCGCTGGAGGTGACCTGGGTGGACCCTAAGACGGAGCGCGAGACGCGGGTGGTAGTGGACCGCGACGACGGGGTGCGCGAGGGCGTCACGGCGGCGTCGCTTGGGAAGCTAAAACCCGCGTTCAAGGCGGACGGGAGCACGCACGCCGGAAATGCGTCGCAGGTGTCGGACGGTGCCGCGGCGGTGGTGCTCGCGCGCCGGTCGACCGCGGCGCGCCTCGGCTTGCCGGTCGTGGGCAAGTTCGTAGCGGCGGCGGTGGTGGGGGTGCCACCGCGAATCATGGGCGTGGGTCCTGCATACGCGATCCCGCGCGTACTGGAGAAGACGGGGCTCGGGCTGGCAGACGTAGACTTTTTTGAGATCAACGAGGCGTTTGCGAGCCAGGCGGTGTATTGCGTACAGAAGCTCGGGATTCCGGTGGAGAAGGTGAACGTGAATGGTGGAGCGATCGCCATTGGGCACCCGCTTGGATGCAGTGAGTACCCTGCTTTATCTTTCCTTTTTTTCTGGAGTGGTGCTGAGTGGTGCCTTTTGCAGCGGGGGCACGCCAGGTCGCGACGGGCTTGAATATCTCGAAGCAGACGGGGGCGAAGGTGTTTTGCACGAGTATGTGCATCGGCTCTGGGATGGGCATGGCTGCCATATTCGTGAGCGAGCAGTGAGCGCGACGTGTGTCGTTCTTGCGTTGTATGCAGTCTGGAGACGGTGGGGACGCGTTACATATGTATTGTCGTCCTTTTTGTGATGACGTCTTTTCTGTCTTTGTGTTTTTCTGCTTAGCGGACGAACACTGTCACGGTATATTATGGAAAATAGGAAATTTTATGCAAGAACGCAAGATAGAGTGATTGAAGGCGCGTCATGATTGACTTTCGAATTTTCATGTGCTATGTATTGCGGAATACAAAGCCACAGACGTACGGTCAAACCGCACGTCACCGCGACGTCAGACACGGATATCCGAGGTACGAGGTTGAAGCCCAGTGAAAAACGCATGAACGAACCAAGACGCACTAGATCACGGCTTGACTTGGACTATCAACTTAGCTTCGCAAATGCATCGCACGTTCTGATAGTCAAGCTCATCCTAAGAGGTGTTCTACTGGAGCAATTGTTTTAATTTGACTTGGGGCAAGTGCTATGAGCATCATAAAGTCAAGTTAAAATGTTATTTTGGTTAAAATTTGAAGGGATTGCTTCGAAGTGTATAAACGCGCTTCTCCACACGCTTCAGCCACCGTATGTGGCGTAGGCGCTGGGGTCCTTCCCGGTGGCGCTTCGCTGACTAAGCGGCCGTTCTCTTTGGAGGGATTGCCCCTCCCCATAAATATAAAGATCAGGCCTTTCTCCCGTTTACCCCCGTTTACCAACCTTTCTTCACCTACAAGACGACTTCCACGCATCAAAAGTTTCCCATTCTGTGTGACCGGCCGAGTGTGTGCATGTTTCACCTTTACGAGCTATCCACGTCACTCATTGATCCCTCTTTCTCTCCAGACTTTACTGCCCGCACCATGTCTATCTCACCGATCCTGGGAGATACCCGCCATCGACACATTAAACGACTTAGTCCCTGCTCTTCATTCCTATGTAACCACGCGCACCTCCCTCCCGAGGCGCGCGAGAGCCGGTGTCGGCCATTCACCGACGTCGACCGACTACTTAGCCCTGTTGTAACCGAAGCATGCAAGAGCCGGTATCGACCATTCACCGACGTCGACCGACTACTTAGGCCCGTCGTACCTGGGTTACATGGGCCCCCGGACGGAGTCACAGGAGGTCGAACCAGATCTCACCTGGTCGAACACGTGCGAGAGATCCTGTGATTTGACGTGTCGATCCTGTACCATGTCCCATCTGAATTGCACTTTGCTCGATGTAAGGCCGCTATATATCTGCCGAATTTTGCTGCACGCATGTATCGATTAGCTATATATACACTATATGTTGTACTTGTGCCCAGTGTACTTGCACTTATATCATCTCTTTGCACCCACGCTGAGCTCAGAGATTGTGACATGGATGCGTCACCGTACTCATGTCACCACCACGTCTGCGCTCTTATCCTCCTGCATCCAGTCGCTCTGACCTCCAGAGCACGATGCTTATTATACCGGCTGATCGCTCTCACTCAAGCTCACCAATAGCTCCATGAGAGCACCCACCCCTCGCTTACTAAAGACACCGCCGCGGGCGAAGACGATGCAGCGGCAAGCTCGAGCTCCAAGAAGCCCATCATCAAGGCACCGCCGAAAGCGTGCACACTGCGCGAGATCAAGCTCGAGATGCCGATTTTATATGCGGCCGAAGACACCGTCGAGAAGTGGCTCAACAGCCTTCTCTGCCTCAATGTGACGGTCATGCCACGCTCGAGCGCGCACAGCTGCCCGCACCCCGCACAGTACGAACTGTTCTACATCTCATTCCCTGTCTAATCTCGCAGCAGTTCCAGGAGAACAAGTTTGCTTTCTGGCGCACGCGTGGTGCGCATTGCGACACATCCGGACTATGTGAACGTGTGTTCATCTTCCTGATGGTAATCCTCTGATGTGTCCCTATTGATGAGGTACAGCAACAGTTTCTGTGCCAGGCACCCAAGCACCTAAAATGTCCTCAAATTTACTTATCAGATGGTCGAGAGATCCCCTCAGCCGTACTCGCAGTTGCTGCTGATTACCGTAGTAAGTACTGCCTGCTTTTGTATGTGCAAGTGTAGATCACGTTGTGCTAATCTTCCGCGTATGAGATCCTTTCTCGCAGATTCGCCACCACATCTATTGCGTATGGACATCGTGTTCGTTCAGATGACGATGACGAGCGTGCGTGGGCAGGGGTGCGCGGGTGCGGGCGCGCGGGCGGGGATACGGGCAGGAGCGGGAGCGGGGGCGGCGAGAGCGAGAGCGGAGCAAGTCGAAGTAGATCGCGCGATGTCGCAGGAGCTCGCACGACGCCGAGGGTGCTCACACGACGTCGAGTGTAGTCACAGTGTATTTAATCACGACAATACAATTATTATACAGCAGCTTAATATTTGAGTAGGTGCGAAGTCCCTCAATTCTCCCGCTTGGCACCATGTTAGCCTGCGACCACGTTCGACTGGCCTTGCTCAAGATCGCATATAGTCCAAAATCTCACGGCTGGCTGGTCACAGCCACGACCTCGTGCGACTCGCTGCGATCTCACAAGACGCGTTTTCCACTGGGAACGTTGAAGCAGAGTGTCTGCCATCTGCCTTCGGGAGACTAAGTACTCGCGACCCGCGAAGGCGCTCCAGAAGGACGAGGCACTGGCGTACTCCACCATAGGCTCATAGATACAGCCTCTAGTTAGCGGCAGACAGTCGTTCCTTTCTCAGTGAGCATCACCTGCCAGATTCCTAAGAAATAGGAATTGTCAGTGAGGCAAACTATGTCATGCACACTGGTGAAGCCAAGAAATAGCCAGCTATCTTGCGATGCACGAGCACGTTGTCGACGCGCAGATATTCGCGATAACAATAACTTGTATATGATGCATGTTTAGGCATTGGGTTGAATGGACAATATACACCAGAGCATCTAAAGAGAAAATACGGAACACGATGCACACATGGCCACAGATTTCAAGAAATTCATACCAGAAAGTAGAGAACTCCGACAGCCGCCACCGCGCTCCCGTCAGCTTTCCAAAAAAACAAAATGGTTTGCAAAAATTGTGGAGCCACGCATCACCGTTGCATCGAGGGGGGAGAGTCAATACCCACGACAGCTCTCCAGGAGCGCGCGGGCAACGACACAGGTGCAATCTCGGTATCCAGCGAGGCATGCGTCAGGACATCGCTACCCGGGCCTGCATTTCCAGACACAGGCTGTCTATCCACGGGCAACGATACAGTCGCAGTCTGGCCATCCAGCAAGGCATACATCAGGACACCGCTACCCGCATTTCCAGACACAGGCTGTCTATCAGGAATCCCCACAGTCTCGTACCACGACATTCGTCTCGCGGTCACAGTGCTCTCCGTCGCGAGTGGCGCGTAGGCCGATATCATCGGGGAGACACGATCGTCTGCCGATATTTGCATCTGCACTGGCGCACGCCGGATGCTGGGCCCAGCGTGCGCCATGCCTGCTCCCGGCCTAGCCGACACGCCTTCTTCTCGCCGCATAGAGGCCAATGCGTACTGCGGGAACGGCAGGCGCACATCGCATACCGAGATGACAGGTCGTAGTGTGTACGATGATAACGGAACTTCCTGTAGGTGGAGAGGCGCGCGCCCTACTGGGATTGTTTCGTCTCTCTGATTGACGGTATACCCAGGATGTACACGGAATACGTGGGCACGTAATGATCTGCAGAGGTGCGTTATGTACTGGCACTGCTCGGATTTTCCGGCGGAGTGCGCTGGGGCCGTGCATTCGAATAGCCGCCGCCGGCTGATGGTTGGAAGCGAGTCAGCCTCACGGAGGAGAATGAAGGAGAGTGAGGAGCGGGACGCACTGCATTTGGCGCAAATGATCTTTCAACGTGGCTCTGTCGGGGAATTTTAGTGTGCAGATAGTGCAGGGGACCTCTGAGTCAGCGGGATGGCGTCCACGGTCGTGTTGTGTCTGGCGCCCTTGCGGCTGGTAGTCTTGCTTCTTCATTGGAGCTTCTCCGATGACCTGTTAGGGAGATCTGTCAACTAGAGTGGACGAGAAGATTAGGTCCGGACGGTCCTCGTCCGTTTTATATGTCTTGGTGTCCGGCCACGCGCGCTTGCGCAAGCGTACCTTGCTACCACAACAAAGCGACACGAGGCAAACCGTGTGTGCATTGTCTTTTCAGTGGCGAGTGGCCATCCCAACAACAGTTCAAGCGGTACTCACCCGACGGCCAACACGAAGTTTCAGAGCTGTCCACATGAAGCCAAAACATATGGCCAAATTGCAACGATAATTTTTGCGTGATATGCCGCTGGAGGGCATTCTGGTCGAAAAATATTTGTGGACAGCACAGAGTGCTTTGAAACCTAAACAGCATCCAGATAGCTACCCAAGCAATGCATTGAAGGCTAGGCTCGGGAGTCGGCATGCATGTCTCCATTGAACTTCCGTCATCGGTATCAATCCTATGGCGGAATCAGCAGGTACCGAAAGAGCTGCCTATGAGTATGTGCACCAAGAAGGAATTACGCCGAATTTAAGACGAGTGTGAAGAGTCAATTGGAACAAGACACTGGCAAGGCCATACGTACGTACCATATCGCCACTTGGATACCACTGACTGATTATAAATCGTGCATTAAACGTATCCAGCGAGAGAGAAGCGCATTGAGTAAAGTAGAATTAAACTAGATTCCTAGAATGCCAGCAAGGAAAATGGAAGTCCGTGCTGGCAGTGTGTAAAACCGTGCTCGCTCTATAAGCCGCTCACAATGCACAACTCGGGAATTGGAGAACCATCTATCGCTGTGTCAGACGATGAACGCACCTGAGAACGTCGATGCTTTGAACATTCAATATCCATGACGCACCGACGGTGTAGTTAGTGATTTCCCAATGGGGTACGTAGTCTTGAACGAATGCATCTGACATCATTCCTGCACTCTGGGGCATTTCAGGGTCAGGATATCCGGGAGGCTGTCGAATACTACCGTAACCCATAGAAGGATGGAAACTGCCATGGCCAGTACTTAGGTTACGCGTCCATTGTCTTAATTAATAACCCCGTCCTTCCCAACTTAGTAAGGGATTATTTGTAGTCTGCTTACAGGACTGAGGAGACAAGTCCATTGCTTCCTCAATGTTCTCCGGATCCTGAAAATCCATCTCTCGAGCCTTGGATTTTTGACGGTCCCATGTTTCGCCTCAGTAATGTAGAAAGAAGTCTTTATAAATCATATATAGAGAGGGGTCTTACAGCAAGCTATAGCGCGTATCTATCGCACCGGACATGAAAATTCGCCCTAGAAAAACAAAGATTAAGACCGACCAGCGGTCGCTCAATCGCAATGAGCAAAAAGGTGCAGTAAAGTTGTCAAAGGCTGCCATTACAGCCAGCCGCTGATCCCTGAGCGCACCTGTCGGGCAAATCCAGAGTATAGGAACCTTCTAGGGCGGGATTCCCTCGCACTGGCAGCTCACCGCTTGCACGCCCACTCGCATGCACGGGCTGTCTATGAGCAGCGCCCTCCAAGGCACCCCACATCGGTATCGTGGAGGATGCCGTGTCCTCAATTTTAACCGACGCGTCAACCGAGATGTCAGGCCGGGCATACAGCATATTGTTGATCTGTGGCGCCAGTGCAGGCCAACTGGGCTTCGCGTCAGCCGTTCCCGTCCTGGGTTCTGCCCACGTGCTGCGACTGCACTCGGTCGTGGATAATGTAAACGTCGGATTTGCGCCAGCAGGATGGGCTGGCTCGGGTGCATGCAGGCGCCGTTGCGCCTCCAGTATCTCCCGCATGCCACCATAGTCCCCGAGGCATTGGCCGTGCTTCCAGCGCAGGTGACCTCTGAATGACGTATAATAGATCGTAGTGTATGTGCACTGTGCCGAGGTGGAACCGGACATGAATATGTATGGGCACTGGATGGCCGGCTCACCGCTGCATATTGATCATCAGTGTGAAGTGGATCATATTGAGAGTAAGGGCCGTACGTACTGTGTCTCCCTCAGGTGATCATCGATCAAGTAACGGTGTATTTCGGCCTGGTAGTTGCATCCTGCCACAGGGCAAGAGAAGCTGCTGCGAACAACAGGTCAGAAAGAAGGAAGTATAATACACCAAATGGGTAGCATACCGTCGCACATCCGCCTTCAGATTCCCCGTCTGTACCCATCCATGGTGCTCAGAGAACATGACAAAGTTTGTTGCGGTTCAGGATTCTTGGATGAGCGAGATGGGAGCCGTGCAATGCTTTAAACCTTCCTGGCCATCTGCCACTGGTCACGAGTGCGGCATGCGAGTTCCATTGTGACGTGATAGCCACTGCAGAATGCACTGCCAGTGGCAACGGACAATGCAACAATGGGACAACAAAGAACAGGCGAGCCTCCGCGTGCATGAATCGATCATTCCAGTCAACGAAATGGCGCATCGCCACTGAGCAAGAGATATATAAGCTGCAGATCCATCGTTGAGTTGGCCGGCTTCGAAAGACTTTACCGTGATTGAGGCCGCATGTTGGTCTGTGGTTGCTCCATAATGTGGCTAGCCTCAATAGAGGGCAACGACTCGAAGCGTGGCTCGAAGCAATGCAGTTCTGAAGTCTATTGGGACTGCAAGAATCGGTGGATAGATGTGCATGCGTGAACTCACTAGTGACATTGAGAACGACTCATTGCACAGCATTTTTGGACAGGAGGGAAGGATAAGCACACAGAAATGGTACGAATAGCTGAAGTACGATAACAGGTACTTAGTCCGCGCCTGAGTGTATGTCAGCAAGTTGATGCAGCATATCAAGATGTGTCAATACCATTCTCAGTGAGTGCGGCCCGGAATAAACGTCAACGTTACGATCGCGCGTGCTGATCTGAACGGAGCTACGATTCATTGTACATAGTCCCTGGACGATGCTCCAGTCCTGTACTTACTATCCGTCGGTCATTGATAGCAGTGACGAATGTCCAAACGGAGACGCAACTTAACAAAACTTAACAGATAAGGTGCTGCAAGTATCGAGTTTCTAGTGACAAAGTGACAGGATACTGAAACGGCGACCGCCAGCAGATAAGGAGAGAGCAGTTGACAGCATGACCTTCTAGCGACACAGAAATTGGACAAGAACCACAAGTGCATCTTGACTTGAATAAGGTCTCATTGACATATGACGATAGTCCTGGCAGCCACCCAGAGATGAGTCGTATAGGGCTCAGGGACTTTCAAGAGAACAGCGGAGCAAGTAATAGCGGCGCGGTCGGTGTCGCGATTGAGGTGGTGCCACCATACCGGCGTGTACCACGCCACTCGCGCCCACATGACGTTCCTCGTTGTTGCGTTCGACTGGTACGTGTACCAAATACACGTACCTGATACGGCTCTTCCGGTGGATCCAAACTTTCTGCTGTATTCACGATAACAACGCAAAGCGAAAACCAATATCATACGCGAGGCACACTCTGCAAACTATCGTAACACATGGGAAACATACCACAAAGAACGACTACACGCAACCAACCGGCGGCTGTGACAACTCTGAGCTTCAAGACATATCAAGGCGGCACGGGAAGACTTGAAAAACTCGAAAACTACTCAACCGCATCAGTCAGGTGCACCGGAGGAGTAGGAATGAACGGTTGCCTCCCATGAATTCACCTCCCGAAGCGCGCCGACTCGCTCGTCGAAAACCCGCGACGGTTCCTCCATCGAAATATGAGCATGCAAAGGCAAGAGTCCATCTTCGCGCACCCGACCGTTTACGTCGTCATTCAGTGAGGGCTCTCGCTGTATTGGGCTTGTAGTTGGTGGGGTCGTGGTATCCACCGGCGGACGGCGCAGCGAGATCATCTGAGGCGGGGCCTCCGCAGAGGTGAGAGGCACGATGAGGCTGATCACGGATGGGATCAGCACCCTGCCCGCCTCCGCTCCTGCTGGCTGTGCGGAAGGCACTGGGTGTCGTATCGGGCTCGTGAGGATGGGCGAAGGCTGTTGCTGCGCGACACCTGGTGCAAGCTGTGGAGGCCAGCGGTATGTATACGGCGGACGCACTTGCGTATCAGCGCCAGCGTGAGTATTCGTGATCGCGGGCGGCAGCTCCAGCCGCATCCTCTTCGCTGGTCATGCATCCGACGGACTTCCCCCTGTTCGAACATTTCTAGGCGCCTTACCTGTGATTGACGGGTAGACCTGACGATTCTCCTCTTTTTCCAGCTGGTTGTGAAGCCTCTTGTGGGGCTTTGTCGGCACCTCGTCTGCAGCTGGAGGGAATGTTGCATCGCTGTTGTGCTTTCCGTGCGAGTATTGGAGCTGCTCTGCATCTGGCCGCACTAGACTCAACTGCAAGGGCTCCTCGAGCAGCGGCCCCTCACGCAAGTACATTTCATCGAGTAGTGGTACCCTAGGCGGGGGCTCCAGGTAGGACGTTAGGAAAGAAAGGTCCAGGTACGGTTTAGGTGGCTCCTTGTGCATCTTCTTCGCTCGTCTGCCCTTGAACGACTTACTGACTGGTCGAGGAGGCTCCTTGAATGTCGCATCGTGACTAGATGGATGGGTCTTGCTAGCAGAATTCTCACTCATCTTCACATGACTTCGAGGCATCCACGATGCATCAGGCGCTTCATCTTCCAGAGGTAGAGTGTACGCAGCTGTGAGGTCTTCAAGAGACACATGCCGAGTTGGTGGCCCAGTCTCGGCTGTCGGTGCAATTGACACCAGGTTGTGCACCGCCACGGAGTCATGCATGCCGTGCACTTGTTGCAGGTGGAGCCCTAGTTGTTTCCGTGTTCCGGCGGTGAAGTTGCACAGCCAGGGCTCGCTAGGGTTCGCGTCGACAAGACCGGGATCAAAGTGGCATAACAGTGCCGGTGACCCACTGGTGAGGTGAGGCGATGTGAGCATATCGGTGGAGAGGAGAACAGGTGAGCAACGTACTGAAATAGACGCATGTGGTCCTCCAGCAAACCGGTGCTAGAGGCCACAAAGTGGCACGTCATACACTCGCGTCTGCTGCGATGACAAGTAAGAGTCAGCGCGAGTACCACATTGCACACAGGGAGAGAGAGAAGTGTACACAAACCTGGAGCCTCTCCCACGAGACTCCATTGAGAGTACCACGTAAGAGGCTTGAGCGGCTGGCTTTCTGCAGGGAAGAGAGTCCACGATGCACAGGACAGACTACGCCCGCTTTATATGTGATCAAGCCTGAGCGGACTTACGGTGAAGTAAAACCTCCAGCGCAAACAAAACAAGTCGTGACAGGGCCTTTAAGAGATAGCCGGACAGGTCTGCAGTACGGATTTAATTGTTCCAGTTGATAAGTACATCCACATTAACTCTTCGCCAACCAGATCAACCTCTGTAGAGTTCCACATGACTGTGGCTCCATCTCACCTAATGCACAGAACACGCACGAATGCACCAGAAGCTGGCCACTGCTCCGCAATCCGTGACCGGCTGAGACTACATCAGAGTCAAATTGAAGTGCAACCCCCTTGGGGGTGTCACTGAGGCGTTATCTGACCTAAGAACGCCAAAGCCATAGCGAATCTTCGGGCGCTTTGAAGTATGCGAGGTTGCCCGTGCCTTGAATTAATTTCTTCCGACGCTTCGCTTGAAGTTTATGGTGACAGCCTGATCTATTCTTCAGCACAGGCGTAGCTGTGTCCACTTTGGGCGGCCCGTGATCGATGCACCCTTCGCATGCAGGGATAAGAAGTTAGCTAGACCAGGTGTCCCCAAGCACGGACAAGCCGGGTTTCTGCTGGAGAGTACTACAACACGTCTATAGATCGGTGCCAAAGACAGAGCTGGACAGCAACAACAGCAACAACCATTGAATATTGAGGGCCGTGAGACGACGGTGAACAAAATCCTGACTCGACGGATGGAAGCGAGCACACGTTGCGTTCCCCGTTTCCTCCAAGATGGCTAGTCAGAACGGCCAACCAAAATACTCACACGAACACATAAGGCAGCCCTTGTGTTGCCCCATCAATTTGTCAAGATGGGTGTAAGTACATGGCAAGTTGGAACGTGGAACCTCCGGAAGACCGTAGAATCGCCGAACGATGATTACCACCACCCACAGATAGAGCGGAAAATACGACAACGCAGTAAAATAAAGCAGCTTACAGCCTACAGCCGGCAGCAATCTAGCTATGCACGTCGTACCAGGTCGTACCGCGCAACTTGAACCACAGGGAGCAGGATACGAAGTGCCAGTGGAGACAGAGTTACGAAGTCCGAGTCAAGCGCCGGCACCGATTCAAACAACCACGTGATCTAGTATGCCAAAATTTCGCGCAGAAAGAGTTCAGTTGGACCTCCACCCACCTTGTTCTCTCCTAAAGTTTTCCCCCTGCCTCGCGGTTCTGTAGGCATGGATGTAGGTTTTCTAGCTCCTCTTTTGAGGTGAGAGATCATCCTGATCGTCCCCCGCAGCCCAATTTCGTGCAAAACCTGCATCATCTCCTTGTGCAATCGACCTCTAATGATACCATTCAACTGAAGGCTGTAAGCAAACAGCTGTCGGTTTTTATCTCCGTGCGGTATTTTAAAGATTTTCATGAACAGGCTACAGCTCAGCTGAACAGAGAATACTATAAAAATGCCGCTTGTATACCCGCCCTTGCCAGCATTATCGCGAGCTCGCCAGAACAAGCAGTACGCTCGAGTTGGATTGATCTCACGTTCGTGGAGTGACTTGTTTCTAGGTGCGACAACTTGCTGCTGTAGAGTTGCGCAAACGCGTGCTGCAGAACAGCGGAGAGTTGTGGATTCAGGTCTCGCAAGAAGACCGGGAAGAGATCAAGGGTAAGCTGCCTGAGCTTATTCTCGCTGAGCCAAGGTACGTGTGCATGCACTATCAGATAAATGTGTCTACTTACTTCATTCTTCATCAGTAACCTCGTGCGCCATTCGACTGCGCGGGTCGTCGCTGCTATCGCCTCGATCGAAATTCCCCTCGGCCAGTGGCCGCAGCTCCTTCCGTTCCTGCAACAAACATGCCAGTCCCCGCAGGTCGTCCACCGTGAAGTCGGGGTATACATCCTGTACACTGTTCTCGAAAACATCGTTGAAGGCTTCGAGTCGCACCTCCAGAGCTTCTTCAAACTGTTCGAAGTACTACTTAACGATCCAGAGAGCGCGGATGTCAGGATTACTACTGTCAGGGCACTGGGTGTCATTGCCCAGTACATCGACACAGATGACAAAAGCGATATTGTGCGTCGATAATATTTTCTCTATGTGCAGGAGCTCATTGCGTTCTCAAGAAATCGTTCCAAGTCCTGCTGCCGGGTATGATTAATGTCATTGGCCAGTGCGTTGAGAGTAATAACGAGACCGGTGCCCGCCAATTGTTTGATGTCCTGGAGACGCTTCTCATTTTGGTGCGTCAGGCACGACTGCAAATGAGATGTATACTCATTGTTTGTGTAGGAGATCCCGCTTGTGGGCCAGCACACCCCTCAGCTCGTGCAGTTCCTTTTGACCTGCGGAAGTAACCGAAATTACGATCCCGAGATGAGAGTGCTCTCCCTGAACGCACTAACTTGGACCGTGCAGTAGTACGTACGAGCGTCGCACATGCAACGATGGAGTACTCACTTCAGCAATTTTCCAGTAAAAAGACAAAAATCCAGTCTAACAACCTTGCTGCTGCGATCTTGGAAGGCCTCATGCCAATCACGACGGAAGAGGAGCCGGAGGACATCGACGACGATGCACCCTCACGCGTATGTCTCTTGCTCGCCAAGTTCACACATCATCTCACGAACGCTGTTCCTTCTTTCTCAGTCTGCTCTCCGCATTATCGACTGCCTCGCGACAAGCCTGCCTCCATCTCAGGTATTTCCCGCTCTTCGTGCTCTCATCCAACAGTACTTCTCTTCACCGGATCCCTCCTTGCGCCGGGGTGCTATGCTCGCACTGGGAGTAGCCGTTGAAGGTTGCAGTGAATTCATGACACCACTAATGGTCCACATTTGGCCCATTATCGAGGCTGGGCTCCAAGATCCTGATGCTACGGTCCGCAAGGCAAGCTGCATCGCCGTCAGCTGCATGTGCGAGTGGTTGGAGGAAGACGTTGTCTCCAGGCACGCCGTGCTTGTGCCTGTATGTCCAGCTTGTCGCACATAGCGGTCTTGAGTTCTGACGCATTGCACAGACGATGATGCGACTCGTGAATGACCCTGTCACCCAGCGCGCTGCGTGCACTGCCCTTGATGCGCTGCTGGAAATCTCTGAGAATGTCATTGAACAGTACCTGCAGCTCATCATGGAGCAACTGGGGGGCCTCCTCGAGTCCGCGCCCATCCCCGTCAAGTCGGTCGTCATCGGCGCGATGGGCAGTGCTGCGCATGCGTCGAAAGAGAAGTTCCTGCCGTACTTCCAACCGTCGATGGAGCGCTTCAAGCACTTCCTTGTTCTCACTGGCGAGGGCGAGGAACAGGAACTGCGTGGAATTACCATGGATGCTATAGGCACGTTCGCTGAGGCTGTTGGAAAAGATGTGTTCCGGCCGTACTTCGCCGATATGATGAAGCAGGCCTTTGAGGGTATTAGGATGGGCAGCGCACGCCTCAGGGAGTGTAGCTTCTTGTTCTTCTCTGTGATGGCAAGAGTGTTCCAGGAGGAGTTTGCGGTGTATCTCCCTGATGTCCTTCCTTCGCTTATTGCCAGCTGCAACCAAGCCGAGCATGGAGAGCCTGGCCCCTCGAGTGCGTCGTCTTCTTACTGAAGTGGATGCCAACTGAATGCTGCATACCGTAGTCTCTAATGCCGAAGCTACGGTCAGCTTTGCGTCGGGCTCGTCGCCGGCTAACGCCATCACTGTCATGGACGATATGGGCGCTGTGGAAGTCGACCTCGACGATGCTGTCGATATTGACAGGATGCTCGATGTGAACAGCCAGATCTGCATCGAGAAGGAGATTGCCGCCGACACCATCGGGACGCTCTTCGTCTCAACACGCCGATATTTCCTACGATACGTCGAAGAGTCAACACAGCTGCTGCTTAGCTTACTCCCGCACTATTACGATGGCATCAGGAAGTCAGCTGTCGACTCGCTGCTGGAATTCGTTCAGACGTTCTACGAACTCAGCGAGCCGCAGGAGTGGGTACCTGGTAGGGCGTTTGTGAGTGGTCGTCTCTTCAGGATCTGTGCGCAGCTGATCTCTCGCATGACCTGCTTCATAGCACCCTCTGCAGCCGAATGTGAAGAAGCTTGTCGACCATATTTTTCCTTCGCTCCTGGAGTTGTTTGAATCGGAAGACAACAAGTGCGTAACTGCATTCGTATGGGGGATTGAGAGGTTCTAATGTCCCTCCAGAAAAGTCGTCTCGGGCTTGTGCATTGGCCTTGCGGAGACTATCAACAAACTAGGGCCCGCATTCTTAGAAAACAGTGAGGGACAAGCTCTCGTATCGATGGAATAGTTTCGCTAATGTCGTTTGAAGAGATGGAGCAGGTCGCGGGTATAGCGATCCAGATCCTTGAACAGAAAGCTGTTTGTCAGCAGGACCCGGATCAAGATGAGAATGAAGAAGCGCCGGAAGACCAGGCAGAATTTGATTCTCTTCTCATCTCATCAGCTGGTGACCTCGTTTCCGCCTTGGCAAATGCGTTCGGACCCGACTTTGTGCCGGGATTCAACAGATTTTTCCCTGCGATTTCGAAGTACTACGTGAGTGCCCTTCTTACGAACCAGTTCAATTACTAAGTGTATTATGCATTCAACGACAGAAAAAGACTCGCTCCCTCAGTGACCGCTCATGTGCTATCGGTTGTCTCTCTGAGATCATCGCGGGGATGAAGAACTCTGTTACTCCTATGACTGAGCCGTTGTTGGAGCTGTTTTACCGTGCTTTGGCGGACGATGAAGCAGAGGTGCAATGCAATGCTGCATTTGCGGCCGGTCTCCTTGTGGAACACTCCGAGATGGACCTGTCCCCACAGTATTTGCACCTCCTCGCCGCTCTCCGGCCGCTCTTCGTCCTTGCACCCGGTGCATCTTCAGTGAGACTCAATGCCCGTGACAATGCTGTTGGCGCAGTTGCTCGTATGATCAAGAAGAATGTTGCTGCTGTTCCGTTGGACCAGGTGTTGCCTGTCTTCTTTGACGCACTTCCTCTCAAGAACGACTTTTTGGAGAATCGCCCCGTTTTTGGAGCAATCTTCCTGCTCTTCAGGACCAATCCGGCTGTGCTGCACCCGTACATGGACCGGCTGCTGCAATTATTCGCCTACGTGCTCGATCCGTCTGGCCCAGATCAAGTCGGTGACGAGGTCCGGGCGGAGCTGATCCAGTTAATTGGATTGCTGAATGCAGAGGACCCAAGCAAGGTGCAAGCGGCGGGTCTTTCGCCATTTGTCCCTGGTGGTTGAGAGGTGGTGGTAATGTCGGGTGTTTATGAATGAAACGATAACGTCGCTTTCACTGATTCTTCTTTTTCTCGCATTGTTGGATCGTTGCCGCCATATCTCTGCTGTCTTGAAGTAATTCTCTGCGACATAGGCTTCCCCTAGGATATATGCTGCAGATCTCTAGATCAACCTGCTTTCGATGCATGTGTACACTATTCCTGTACACAAAGTATTCTGTCTCGTTTGTTAGCAACGGTTATCGTGCCTTACACGACGCTCGAGTATGCAAGCACTCATTAATACTGGAAGTCCGACGAGCGACGAGGCCAACGACGCTCGATAAACAATAGTTGTGAATGTACGCTCTACAAAACTGGCTTTGGAAGCATCTTTCCTAGACCGTTGGGACAAGTTGCGATATCGAGGGAAATCGATGGACAGCGGCTGTCAGCATCCGGGTAATATTAGTGCGCATGGAGTCAATGGCTCGCCTGAGGCTGTAAACTATCCGGGCGAAGGCGCTATATTTTGGCATGTCTCCGGTAGAAGATGCAAGCTTATTTGTTGCAGCGTGCGCTGCCATGCAAGCTGTACTTCGAAGTGTAAAGTCAACCGTGTACTTACCGTGGACTGCGACAGTTCCTTCTACTGGCCATAACCACATCATGATCAGCCGCATAGCCAGTCCTCTGCATACGTATATTGACGGGATTCTTACCTCCATCATGACTGTTAGAAGACGCGTTTGAGATCGTCAACGCCGGAAGCAGATACGGAGCCGGGCCACTGAAAAAAGTAGAAAATTTCTCGCCGCACTCTTCATATTCAAAAAAACTCGAAACATTCCGACGACATGATGAGAGTGGGATTCGAACCCACGCCCTTTCGGACCAGATCCTTAGTCTGGCGCCTTAGACCGCTCGGCCATCTCACCATGCACATAAATCCTAAATAAATACTAATACCTATCTTGTCACCCAAGTCGAGAAATTTCCAAGGGCTAGACAACCATCACAAAAAAGGCGCGGAACTTGTAATGCCATTATATCGTAATAGAATGTCATTAGAATAGATAAAATCATCAGAATGACCGGAATGGATAAAAGGGCAATCTGTCTTAACAATGAAATGTTAGAACTCGGATAAAATGCAGATAAAATCACATAGTGTATCGGTTGCAACAGGCACAGGTGTATTACTGCTTAGAATACTTTTACTGCGCCGGCTGCCAGCATTCAGGTTGCTCGTTGCAATTTCCTCATCGCATACAATGCATAATAGTGTGCATAAAAGATATATATTGCGGGTATAATGTACATGTGTGGGCATCTGCCTGCCGTACATACAAAGAAACAAAAAGCGGCCATGGGTGCTGAGGGCGATGGTGAGCGCTGAGGGGCCGGAACTGCTAGGGTCACATCGGAGACCTCATAATAGATGAACGGCATCCTCGGGTTCAGATCTGTCGGGCGTCGTGAACTGGAGGCGTGCTGCATAACTTGTGACACTTTAGAGCATGTTGCGGAGCGATAGGTTACCACAGGCGGGGGAAAGCTGTAGGCAGCACGGGGTTCATGACATTGGCAACGAGTACCATATGACGGAGCCGGTATCCTTCGCATAAGTCTCTGTCAGGATCCACCAGGAAAGGCACTGGGAAACCGTAGCCAGCGTGCAGAATGTTGATCATTCGCGTGACGCAGAACACATAACATGGCTTCTTCGCGTTCATGTGTTGGTACCCAGTGACTCTGAGAAACGTGGTCTCGGGTACGGGGAGGTGCGACGAGCTTTGAGTCACAGCAGAACATGTAGGCGATGCAGGCTTGCCAGCAGTACTTGCGGGGAGTTGGATGGATACATACACATTCTTCTCTGTGTAAGTCTTCTGTCGGGGATCGGGATCCACCTGAGCACAACACTACGGGACCGGAGCCGGTATATCGAACGTTGACGACCAGCTTCGAGCACAATGCACCGCACCTGTCCTTGATCCTCACAGTTCGGTTCTTGCTTCTAGCACTGTGGTAACATGTACAGTTCTCCAGCACAATGTTTGAGTCCAACCCCTGGGCACGAGTCACTGCACGAGAATACAAGATGCTTGTGGATCCAAGGAGCCTGAAGCCACACCAGCATAAAGAGTAGAGACTACATTGTAGTCAGGCAACCAGAGAAAGAAGATGACACAGGAGGCCAGCCGATGATTGCCACAGGTCTTGCATGATATCCGGGGCCAGTACGCGAGCAGGGTGCGGTGTGATCTTGATGGTGACGTCTGAGCGGGAGAAATACATGACAGTTGAAATGTCGAAACCTGCAATAAAAACCCTGTGAAAAGAAAAGGTTATAGTAGTGACCACGGATCAGTTATGGCGAGAGTTGAATGTTGAAGGAAGGAGCAACGAGCGATGGAGCCGGACCCGCCACTCATGTTGTGGAGTTTGCAGCTGTACAGTTGCCGGAAGTAGCCGGAAGTTCACGACACTCAGGAGGCAAAGCCTTGTGTCACGACCCAAAGGCGAATGGAATGGGAGCGCAATACCGTTGGAAGGTGCAAAAATGTGGCACATCGATTAGTTGGTGTGACATTATTTCTCACGTTGTGACACGATCGTAATGGTCTCGCATTTCGGCTACAATCCTATTACAATCAATAAAATTCTTGGGTTACTCAAAATAGATAAAATCTGGCGGCGCTTTTTGTGATGACCCATATCACGACTCAAGAGATACTGACGAGAAAGTGAGAGTCTAAGGTTGAGAAACTGGACCGCTAGTTTACCGTGTGACAAAGGTATGAAAGCCGTCGCCTAGTGCTCGTGTATCACCTGAATTGACCTGACGAAGAAAGGCGGCGAATGCACCCAAGGCGGACAGAGATCTTACCCTTCGAGAGAAGACTACTTACCGGCACAAGAATTGGTCTCTTCACCTGTTCAAATGGGGACACTTCCCCGCCTTTCGCAGTACGTTGGCTTGTTAAGCACGGAGCAAAAAAAAACCGCACGCGCAGGAGTGCTAGACACGATGGGACCACCTATCGAGTGAAAAAAGAACTTGTAGAGAACAGCCTGTGTCGCCTTAAGAACAGCCTGTGTCGCCTTAAGAACAGCCTGTGTCGCCTTACACGTATGCGCAGCCAAGTTTCAGATTATGCAGGGGAACACCACCGACTCGGAGTAGTCCACTCGTTCAATAGAATAGAGCGCCAGATAAAGTTGGACCATCCTCCCAGGGCCTGGGATCATATGAGCGAGGGAGGTCCGTGTTACGAGGTCACGAGCGACAGCGGAGCTAAGCAGAGATAAATAAACGAGTGACCTCAGTGCTCCGTCGTCTAGCAGTGGACACTGTGTGTATTGTGCATACCTAAGCAGAGATAAATAAACGAGTGACTACAAAGGCATCAGCGTACTACTCGGGTATGCAGTAAGTAAAGAGACTCACCCTCAGTGCTCCGTCGTCTAGCAGCGGACACTGAGGGGCGGCGTACTCGTCCTACGGTTATATAGTAGCTACTGGGTCGGTAACCGGTAAAGTAACAAGGGCGGGTCTGTTTCGAACGTGAACGCGACAACGAACGTGTGTATACTTAAATGGTAAGTCCATTTCCTCTCCTGTACTCTTCCCAACTATCCTCCACGTTCCTGATGCGCCCTGGTGCGGCTTCCTCAGCCTCCATGGAACATGACAAACACCAACACGCCCCCTCAAGTGCCATGGAGGCCCATGAGTGACGTAAGATATTCGACTTTCACGCGCGGCAAGCTCTTCGTGAAGATGTCGGCGGGCATGTCCTCGGTGCGACGGTAGAGCAGGGAGATGGCGGCAGAGTCAACGGCCTCGCGTATGAAGTGGTAGCGGATGTCGATATGTTTCGTGCGGGCATGGTACGCATTGTCTTTCGCGAGTGCAATAGCCGAGCGGTTGTCCGTGTGTAGTCGTAGTGCGAATTTACTGACATCCGGGTCGAGAATATCGGCGAGAAGATAGCGTACCCAGATTGCTTCCTTCATGGCGTGCGTGAGTGCGATGTACTCAGCCTCTGTGCTTGAGAGCGCGACAACCGGCTGCTTCTTCGCGGACCACGAGACTGCGCCGCCGTCGATGAGGAAGACGTACCCACAGATTGAATGCCTGTGCTCTGACGAACCCCAATCCGCATCGGAGAATCCTTCCACTCCATCGCGTGTCAAGCCGTAAGTCAGCCATTTTTCGCGTGTATTCTTCAGGTAGCGCAAGACACGCTTTGCGGTCTCCCAGTGTGCGCGTCCCGGATTCTGCATGAACTGTGAGAGCGCTGTCACCGCGAATGCGATGTCTGGCCGCGTCCCGAGTGCCGCGTACATGAGTGAGCCAATCGCCTCACGGTACGGTACGTTCCGCATGTCCTCGAACTCGCGCGGTGTCGAGGGGCACTGTCGGATGCTGAGGATTGCCCCAGGTTCAAGGGGAGTGGACAGCGGCTTGGCATCTTCGAGATTGAACCGTGCCATAAGTCCATCGATGTATGCGCGCTGCGAGAGTGAGAGGGTTCGAGCGGCTCGATCACGGCGTACCTCGATGCCTAGTATCCAGTGCATCTCGCCGAGATCGGTCATCTCGAATCGCTTGCTGATTTCCGTCTTGAACCAGAGTACTGCGTTGTTCGTGCCTGCGATCGTAGTGTCGTCAACCGAGAGTGCAATGATGAGGGTAACCGAGTCGTTGTCTTCGTCCAGGTAGAAGACGCAGTGATCAACGAGGCTGCGCGAGAGCCCCATCTCGTCGAGTGCAGCACACATCTTCTTGAACCATTGGCGGCCAGACTGCTTGAGTCCATAGATCGCATGTCGCAGGAGGCACACCCAGTGCTCCTTCCCACGTTCGGCCTGCCCAGGTGGCTGCTTCATGAAGATCTCCTCCTCGAGGTCAGCATTGAGATATGCATCCTTGACATCCATCTGGTGCACATCCCAGTCATGGCGTGCGGCGAGTGCAAGGATAATTCGGATCGACGCAAGTTTGGCGACAGGTGCAAAAGTGTCATTGAAATCAATGCCGGGAATCTGCGAGAAGCCTTGCGCGACAAGACGGGCCTTGTATGACTCAATCTTGCCGTTTGCATTTCGCTTGATCCTGAAGACAAATTTCGACCCGACGACATTAGTATTCTCAGGTGGTTCAACAAGATCATATGTGTGATGGTCACGAAGATTCCGCATCTCCTTCTCGATGGCCTTCTGCCATTGCGGCCAGTCCGGACTCTGCATGGCCTCTTCGAGCGATCGTGGCTCTTGACCTTTGCGTACTGCAAATGCGGCTGGCATTGCGAAGATCGGCTCATCACCCTCTTGTTCACTCTCGCTCTCCTCAGCTTCTACCGCAGCTGCACCCATCAGGTCACCTGGCTGGAGGCCCTGGGGGTACTTCGGCCTGCTCTTGCGTCCATCCGCGATGCCCGAGCCATCATTTAGCCGCTTCACGTAGGCGGATGCCTTGCGGGGGCGGTGGCTTCGCTCTGCGGGAGCTTCAGGTGCATGATTTTCATCCTTGTGTTCTTGCGCAGGAGCATCAGATGTCGGCATCAAAGGTGGATTCACAGAAGATGGTGCTGGCGGCTCAGTGTGTGACTTCGGCTTCTGCTGCGGCTGATGCAGTGTTGACGGCGAGCTCGGAACGACAGCCTCTATCGCCCCCTCGGGCTGAGCCTCGTCGGCAATGACCGTTTCATCAATAAATCTCACATTCCGCTCCACGGACACAGCACGCTTGTCAGGCCAGTACACTCGATAGCCCTTGCTCTCAGTGCTGTACCCGACAAAATGTCCTTCGCGTGCTTTCGAGTCAAGCTTGCCAGCATTCTCGATGCGGACCCAGACCTTCGCGCCAAACTCGTGAAGGTCGCCTAAGTCCGGTAGATGTCCATATCGCACCTCAAAGGGTGTCTTGCCATCCAAGGCACGAGTTGATGTGCGGTTCTTTAGCCACGTCGCATGCATCATGGCTTCGCCCCACAGGTTCTTGGGCAGTTCGGCAGCGATGAGCATTGCACGAGCATGCTCCGGGAGGGTCCTGTTTATGCGTTCAGCAAGGCCATTGTGCTGCGGCGTGTCATGAACCGTGAGGCGCGAGACTGTGCCATGTGTGGTGAGATGGTCGGTGAACTCCCTGCTGAGATACTCGCCCCCTCGATCAGACTGCAGAGCCTTAATGGTCTTCCCATCTTGGTTCTTCAGCTTTGCCTCATAGGACTTGTAGGCCGAGAATGTGCCGGACTTTGCACGAAGCAAGTAGAGGTCCGTCCAGCGAGTGGCATCATCTGTGAACGAGGTGAAGTACTTTTTCCCACCAAGTGTTTCGGTCTGAGCCGGCCCCCAGACATCGGAGTGGACTCGATCGCCCAGCTCCTTCGTGCGGTCACTCTCACGCTCTTTAGGGACAGTCGCGCGGGTGATTTTTGCCTGGATGCAGGAGTTGCACATCTTCTCCTTGTTTGCCTTGTCTGTGAGTCGCACACCCTCAACTCGTCCTTCGCGCACAAGACGCTCAGCGATGATTGGCGAGATGTGTCCCATCCGACGGTGGAAGTCCATCACGGACAATGAAATAAGGGCGCGCTCAACCTCCGGCTCGACAGCAACTGATGCAGACTCATTCACAGGTGCTGCACGACGTGAGTGCTCGACCTTGTACAGCCCATTCAATGATGGGACACGCCCTATGATCCGAGACTGCCTGCGGGAGTATATGCGGCACTCCCCCTTCTCGAACATGGCAGAGTATCCGGCAGCGTCGGCACGCGCAATGGATATGAGCGCAAATGCAATCTCGGGTGCATATAGTACGTCCTCGAGAAGCACTGTCGTCATCTGCTCACCATTCGGGATTTGCAGTTGAACTGTGCCCCTGCCAATTGCACTGAAGTTACGGCCATCCGCAGCGGTGATTGGCTTCACAGGCATCGGCTCAAAAGAAACAAAAGAGTCGCGATAGGGAGTCATATGGCGTGTCGCACCGCTGTCATAGACTTCGATCTCGACATCGGGCAATGTTGCGGGATGGTGGACAAGTGCGGCACTGTCGAATGTAGCCGTGAATGCGTGAGTCTGATTGTCATCACTCACGGCCGTGTTTGCTGATGACCTGCCCTTCGAATTCGAGCTGCTGCTGCCGCCCTTCTTAGAAGCCTGGTCCTTTGGGCCTTGGCCTTCCTTCCCTCCGCCTTCACGCCAGCAGTCACGCGAGAAGTGTCCCTTTCGGCCGCAGTTGTAGCACTCCGCGTCCTTGGACTTCGCACTGTGTCCACGACTCTTGGAATGCGAGCGCGAGCACGTGTCTGCCTTTGCTGAGAGTGCAGACTCAGGCTTCAGGTGTGCCTTCCGCCGGTCATACTCCTCGACAATGCTGGTGATAATGTCATCTGCGGAGATCGTAGTCTTCGCAATGCGTGCGGCGGTAGAGAGTGCCTGCAAGAGGGCACTGTAGGACTCGGGAAGTGATGCAAAAACGTGTGCAGTGAAGTCGGCATCAGAAATTGGTGCTCCCATGGACGCCAGTTCCTCGCGCATTTTCGCGAGAGTGTCGAGGTGGGCCCGTGCATCGGCACCTTCCTCGCACTTCGTGTTCTGCAGACAAGTCCGCAGAGCGCCCGAGTACATCTCGGACTTGCTCTCGTACTCGTTCTGTACCGCAATCCAGACTTCTGCCACAGTCACAAGCTTCTTGACGCGCAAGAGGAGCCGGTCGTTAATCGTACCATAGATCTGCTGCCGCGCGGCAAACTCCTTCTGCGTATACTCATCCAGCTTTTGCTCGGCGGCCTCAACGATCTTCAGATACTCCTCTGGTGTCATCGAAGGTTGGGTCTGACCGGCGGGTGCTGTGGTAGTCACAGGGGCTGTTGTCGTGGCAGTGCGTGACGTCGCGGCTGTCGATGCCGTAGCGGCTGGCGTTGTGGAAGCGGTCGTCGCGGCCTGCGCAGGTGACATCAGGAAAACCCAACTTTTCCTTAGGGACTTATTTAGACTTTTGGGTCTGGCAACCCTTATTTAAGGCCATAAGTGTTTAAATAAGTCTCAATAAGTCGAATTTCAGACACTCAGGGAATATGCCTTAGGCCCTTTTTGTCCTTATGTCCTTAAATAAGGACCATAAGTTTATATAAGTTATTTAAGTGTCTTCTTAAGGAAAAGTGGGGTTTTCCTGATGGATGGCATCGGGAGCGGGGGTGGATCCGGTGGCCGGCGAGCAGTCCCTTGAAGATGTCGCAACAGTCCTCGGGAGCCCATGACGGTGAACATGCGCTCCTTGTAGGTGATCCAGTTGGAGCCGTCGGCTGCCAACTTTGGGATGACATTGAGGTGAGATTGCAGGGATTCCGAGGCAGGCGACATTGTGTCGGGGCTCATAACCTGTTACGAGGTCACGAGCGACAGCGGAGCTAAGCAGAGATAAATAAACGAGTGACCTCAGTGCTCCGTCGTCTAGCAGCGGACACTGTGTGTATTGTGCATACCTAAGCAGAGATAAATAAACGAGTGACTACAAAGGCATCAGCGTACTACTCGGGTATGCAGTAAGTAAAGAGACTCACCCTCAGTGCTCCGTCGTCTAGCAGCGGACACTGAGGGGCGGCGTACTCGTCCTACGGTTATATAGTAGCTACTGGGTCGGTAACCGGTAAAGTAACAAGGGCGGGTCTGTTTCGAACGTGAACGCGACAACGAACGTGTGTATACTTAAATGGTAAGTCCATTTCCTCTCCTGTACTCTTCCCAACTATCCTCCACGTTCCTGATGCGCCCTGGCGCGGCTTCCTCAGCCTCCATGGAACATGACAAACACCAACAGTCCGCCCTCCCGGACATCTTGGCGACCGCAGCAGCATGGTGAATCTGGAGCCTGGGAGATGAGGGCTGGGGGGATGTTCTCAATGTGCGATCAGCAACGATCTGCTGGATCACACAGATCGACGTAGAAATACATTAAGTCTGTTGAGTTGGACCGAATAGCTGAGCTACTCCAAAGTGCCCGTCTATTGCCAATACATCGGGCAGCAAAATTATGGGAATCTTAGATGCATGATGGCGCCACGAAACTCCGAGTCGGGCTGCAGTATCAGACACACTCCATCTGAGACTCTGGCGTCACGAAGAACAAGGAGAACCTATCTTGAGAACATATTAGAGACCACATGTATATCAAAGGCACTGCTTCCATGAACAGAAAGCTAGTGTTCGAACAGAACGAAAATATCCCGGAAAACGCTGACGTACTGCTGACCACAGGTCATCATTTCCCTTCTCCGTCTCCACACTAAATTGTCAGCCCATTGCAGGAGATGAGCCAACGAGGGCTGTTACTCCAGCATGTGAGTGCCAGTGTGTAGTAGTTACAAGTGCTTCTTTCGTATCTTGTTTATTATGCATATGCATGACATTTGAAACAGATCTAATCCTTCTTCGAACATCCTGCACCATCGCCTCCTTCACCGCTCGTTCATAACCTCGACAGTCTGTTTTCTTCCTCATGGCCAATATCACTCGATCTGCCAAGTCAGGCATCGATTGGACGCAGAATGAATTACAAGCATATCACATTCAAGTGGTCGAGCAGGATGCCACCGCTTTTCTTGGCGTACCAGCTCTGCCGCTATCCTCCGTTCCACAAGAAGTCCTTACAACCGCGTCGGCCGATGACATGGCCGATGACAGAAATTTCACCCTGGCTCGCTATATGGAGCTCGCGATGAACCCAAAGCCGGGCCAGGAGTCTGCGGTGATCGACTTTGCCCGTCACTTGTTGGAGATGTTAGGATACGCCCCTCGTCCGCGGGTGATTCGGACGCGCTATGATATCCTACTATTCATCTGCGGAGCGTGGAAGCACACGCAAACGGACGTGTGCATTATGGACGAGGACGAGATTCTTCTTCTCGTCCAAGAGAACAAGCGCCATCTCGAACAAGTCGACGCGGAACCTCAGGTCATTGCCGGAGCAGTAGCGGCGTTCCGGACGATGAATATGATTCGGAAGCCGCAGCCTCCCCTCCAGTCCAAAGTCATGGCCGGTATCATACTGACAGGGACTTTTCCGACGTTTTATAAGATTCCCGTGACGGTCGAGCTGGTCGACGCCGTAGCCCTCGGGACCTACCCTGCCGCGCAAACCGTCGTATTTACGCACACACCCCGTGTTCCACGACTCAACCGCCGGTATAGTGAGGGGATGAAACCTTTGGATAGCAGGGCGGTCATACTTTCGTGTTATGAGGCTTTCAAGGCATTTGTTAACTAGTACGTGGATGATCCTGGTCCGGTGCTCAGGGAAGAGTAGGCGAAGTGCTTAACTGTACTGAACCATATAGTCCGTTGGTTGTATTTCATATGCCCGCACGAGCATGTACTGTGGACGCCAGACCGTGAAACAACTTGAAGTAAGATCACTCACGATTCAGTTGACATTCACCGGCCACCCCGAATCCGAGTGATATTCGGGTAAGGGGTGATTTTCACCATGTCAGTGCAAATCACTCACAACGACAATTCAATCCCAGCGCCCCCACTGGCGTTTGAGCAAGTGAGCTGCTACCGTGACGCCACCATGCCGTTGTAACGCGTCACGTAACGTCACACTTCACTGGCACCGACACCGACGAGGTACTCGTTATGCCACCTATCGACCGAACGGTGCATCTCGTCCAGATGGCGACGCTCCGCCTTCTCTCGAGCAGATCATTCGCGCTGCAGCGGTTATCGCGCCTCGAAGCGCGCCGCTACGCGTCTCCGTCTTCCTCGGTCGCAGCGAGCGCGCCCTGGCGCACAGCGCTCTACGCGACCCTCTTCACGGTCTCCGCCGGCCTCTTCGCGGTGTACTACTTCGACTCGCGCTCCGCGCTCCACCGCTACCTCCTCACGCCCGTCCTGCGGCACGCGCTCGACGCGGAGACGGCGCACAAGCTCGCGGTGCAGGTCCTGCGGAGCGGGCTGGGCCCGCGCGACACCCAGCCGGACGACGGCGTGCTGAAGACGGAGGCGAGTGGCCCGCTCTGCTGTATCGCGCGGCGAATCGGGGGTTGCTGACGGCGGACGCGGCGCAGCTGTGGGGGCTCCCGGTCTCGAACCCGGTCGGCGTTGCGGCGGGGTTCGACAAGAACGGGGAGGCGATTGACGGTGAGAGGCTCCGCTGCTGTTCATGCTGATTGCGGACGAAGCGGAAGGGTTGACACAGGACTGTTTGATCTCGGGTTCAGCTGGGTGGAGGTGGGCAGCGTCACCCCGAAACCTCAGGTGCGTTCTCGTTTCGCAACCCTCGTAGTTTGCAGGGTTGGTTTCTGGCGGGGGGAGAGGCGTTCTGAACCTCGTTTAAACGTCGATTCCCTCGTGTGCGTAACGTCTACCATTTGATACCGTCATTGTCGTCTTCTTCGTGGAGGTTGCGAGATTTCCTGATAGATCGCTATACCTGGGGATGAGATAATTCTGCGTATTACGGTTTATTCATTAACACATTTATATCGCAGCCCGGTAACGCCAAACCGCGCGTGTTCCGTCTGCTCGAGGACGGCGCGCTGATCAACCGCTACGGCTTCCCCTCAGAAGGGCACGCGTCCGTGCTCGCGCGCCTGCGGGCGCGCATCCCCCTATTCCGGGACGAAAGCGACCCCTCACCGGCGTCGTTCCGCCCCGATGCCCTCCTCGCGGTGAATCTCGGAAAAAATAAGGCGTCGGCCCCGGAGTCGATCGAAGATTTCGTATCGGGCGTGCACGCGTTCGGTCCGTACGCGGACGTGCTCGTCGTAAATGTCTCCAGCCCAAATACGCCGGGGCTGAGGTGAGTGGTCTCGTTGCTGAACGCTGCTCCCGCGGACGATTTACCTGCCGCCAGGGGACTGCAGACTCGCGCTCTCCTAGAAGAGCTGTTGGCGGGCGTTTCGCAGGCCCGGGACGAACTGGTCGCCTCCGAGAAGGTCGTGCGCAAGCCGAAGCTGGTGCTCAAGATCGCGCCGGACCTCGACGAGGCGGAGATCATCGACATCGCCGCGGCGGTAAGCAATGGCGACGTCGACGGCGTCATCGTCAGCAACACCACAGTCCAGCGGCCGGCGAGCCTGACGGACCGTGCGTTCCCCTTCCCCCCCGCTCAGCTGAGTGCCGGTCTGACGTACCCCACAGCGAACAGGACGGAGGCGGGTGGGCTGTCCGGGCCGCCGCTGAAGGCGTACACGCTCGCGACGCTGCGGACGCTGCGCGCCCACCTGCCGGCAGCGGTGCCGATCATCGGGTGCGGGGGCGTCGCGTCGGGCGCGGACGCGCTAGAGTATGCGCGGGCGGGCGCGGCGGCGGTGCAGCTGTACACGAGCTTTGGGTACGATGGCGTGGGCGCGTGCCGGCGGATCAAGGACGAGCTCGCGGAGGCGCTGCGGGAGGCGGGCACGAGCTGGGCGGAGGTCGTGCGCGCGGCGGTCGACGCGAAGAGTTTGCGGGAGCGGGCGCCCCCGGCGGAGGAGGGGCTTGCGGAGCTGATTGCGGAGGCGGAGCAGCTGAAGAAGCTTCTGGATGGGCTGGGGGAGCGGGTGGATCGCGGCGAGGGTGCGACTGCGCCTGCGTCGGGTGCGGCAGTGGCTGCCGTTGCTGTGTAGGCTCCGCGGCTTCTGCCCAGTGGTGATCCCCTCATGTGGCGGACACGCATATTTGCGTCATCAATGCGATGATTGCGCTCGTATGATGCCTTCGCTCGTGTGGTGCTTTTTGCTCGTGTGATGCTTGTTGACCCGGATATCGAGTGCGCTCTAGTCTCTGCGAAGCTCGCGTCCAGCGACCGGGATCTGGTGAAACTGGTTTCGAGGAGGCGAGGTGAGTGTATCTCCGCATGTCTGCGTCGGCGGCGTGGAGCTGGCGGGGTCCATCTGTGCGGTGCCCATATGCTCGAGGTGATGCGGTCGATGGGTCTCACTCGCGTCAGTTTGTTCGCCGGGTGAGCTCTGGCTGCTCGTTCTCGAGCCTGTCTTGGACGAAGACACCGGAGTAAGTACTTCCTAAGTCATCTGGTGCCAGTCTGCAGTTGTAAACGGAATACAGCGGCCTTGGAATTTGGAAATGCAAAATGAACGGGGACGTCGGGGTGGCTACTCGGTTCAGATAAGGAGGCTGCTTCTATTCTGGGTGCTGCTGCTGCTCATTTGGGTGCTGCTATTCTTGCAATCACCGCGAATTCGTATTCGTAGGAGTTCAAACGTTGATGCATGATGTACATGTAGGGAGTGTCGCTGCCGAGTTGGGTTCGACTTCGAGCGGCGACTCGACCCGCCTCGTCCGTCCAGTTGGCCAACGCGCACTGACTTGACCCAGGAGCCCTGGACTCTGATTGGCCCACAGCCTCAAATCGCTCCACCGAGTTATGGCGAGTTCGTCCAGTTCGCCTCGACTCACGGTATCGCATGCTGTGTCGGACGCGTCGACCGACGCGTCGACCGACGCGGGAGCTGAATATTGAATATTGAATATTGAATATTGAATGCGTCCGCTGCGAGCGAGTGTCGCTATCGCCGGACGGTTCGATCGATGTGTCGTTTCCGGATGCGGTACAGTACTAGCAACGGTGGCGAACCTGGAAGGGCCTCGGAGTCGAATTCGCCTTCTGCCAGGGTGTACCGCATGGAGGCGTCGACGCTCGGAGTCGCGACATTCTTCTGGGCAATGGGGTGAGATGTTGGTAGACTGACGGACGTCGACAGCGTGTCAGACGCAGCCGCAACTATGGCATTCGAGCTGCTGTAGGTGAGCAATTGCATGCCACAAGGTATATAATTGCCCACCGCCGGTTCTGGGGCACATGGGCGAGATCAAGATCAGACGAAATTGATGCCACTCAGGTGGCGGCGGCAGGTTATGGAACAACAAATCTCGTTTGGATCTCCCATCTTATCGCGCCGGCGGGCGGAATGGAGCTCAGGTTCTCTCCGCCTGTGTGCCCGTATGCATGAGCTAGAAGGCGACACCCATCCATGGCAACAGGCGAAGCGGTGAGTGCGGTTGTGCGAGTGGAGAGTGTTTCGAAGCTGAGACACGTTATCAGCGTAGATGTTGAGAACGAGGACGACACATGCTGCATGCGGGATTCGACGCCGCGCGAGTCTCCTCGGGCATGACGCCAGCGGGGGTTCTGTCAAGGCGATATTGGATTCCGGGTGCTATGGATCCCACGTCCCACATGCGCCGAATCTCCTCCACTCATGATCCACTTCTCCAGGCACCTTATACCAGATCCATTTCCCCTCACCAACTCTTATTAATACCGAGGCTAGCGTGCACCTCGCTTCCCTGTCCAGCTTTTCCCCGCTCGCATCGTCGTCTTGAGCCGCCTCACGCCAGCTGCTAGCCATGGCCCGCCTCGACCCCGAAGTCATGGTCACCGACCCGCACGACGCCGCCGACATCGTCAGCCAGCTCCCCCACATCAACCACGACCTCGACGAGAAGCTCCACCACGCCTCCTCCGTCTCCTCCGACGAGAAGAGCGACGCGAAACTCCAGAAGAGCACCACCAGCGTCGGCTCCGAGTCCGACGAGGCCGCCGAGGACAGGCTCTACGACGCCAACGGCAGGGAGCGCGTCCTCGAGACCGCAGAGGACTTCGCCACCGCCCTCGTCTCCCTCGATGACGACCCCTCAATGCCCGTCTTCACCTTCCGTATGTGGTTCACTGGCGTCGGCCTCGCCGTCTTCGGCGCCGTCCTTGGCATGCTCTTCGTCAGTCCCGCCCTGCTGCCCGTTCACTCGATCGTACGGCTGATCCCCTTCTCGTGCAGCAATTCCGGCCGCAGGTTATCAGCGTTTCTGCACTTTTCTTGCAGCTCCTCGCCTTTATGATCGGACGCTTCCTGGAGTTCATCATTCCTCGCCCAGGAAGCCGCCTACACACCGGCAACTGGTTCTGGAACTGGATGAACCCCGGGCCCTTCAGTATGTTTCTTCCGGTATCCCCAAATTTCGAAAGGAATTTGAATACATTTGAACAGACCTCAAGGAACATGTAGCCGCCCAAATTATGGCCAACACCGCTGCGTATGCGCTCCGCTGTGCGCATATATGTTGGGAGCTGACGGCTCCCCGTCTGTAGAACCGCCGCCACGGCGTGCTTCGTGTTCGCCTCCGACGATCTTTTTTACAACATCATAATTAACGCGAGCGCGATTTCTCCTTTGCGTCCTCAACGCTACTGGTTAACGCTGTGTTCCTCCAGCCTGGCAATGCCATCTTCACCCTCCTCGCCTCGCAGCTGATCGGCTACGGCTTCGCAGGCATGTTCCGTGAGTCGCGTTAATGCCTGAAGCTGCTGTCGTCACTGATTCGCTATGTATGCGCAGGCTCCTTCCTTGTCTACCCGACCGCGATGCTGTACCCGCAGAACCTCATCTACGTCAACCTTTTCGATGTCCTCCACAGGCAAAAGGGCGACCTCCTCCAGGGCAAGCGGTTGCGCTTCTTCTGGATCGTTGTCGCTTGTGTGTAAGTTATTCGCGTTCGTCCCGCCATTCCGGAACGTTGACTGATATTGGCGTAGTTTCGTCTATGAGGTTTGTTTCCAAAGAATAAGTTTTTTCTGTATCGCGATTGACCCTATTCCATCCGCTCACAGTGGTTCCCCGAAGTGAGTGCATCGCCGCAATCAGCGGTGGAAGTGAATTGATGATCGTTTTGCAGTACATCGCTCCCCTCCTCGGCTCGTTCAACATCGTCTGCCTCGCCGACCGCCACTCGGACTGGGTGTCGTACATCTTTGGCGGCGCCGAGGCTAACGAGGGCATGGGCCTGCTTGGCTTCGGACTCGATTGGGCCAGTGCGTGCACTGCAGATCCTCGCCGGGATTGTTGCTGATGACAGATGCTGTCGTGCGCAGACATCACTTCCCAGCCGTTCTACCAGCCGCTGTCCACGCAAATCTCCAGTGCGTCGTGTGCTTGCTTCCTACCGATCGAGCTGATGCGCGTGGTCGATAGTGTACTTTGGATGGGCGCTGAACTACCTCATCCTGCCCCTCGTCTTTGCTCGTAATGTTTGGTATGCATTTCATCCGAGCTGTCCGATTGTTTTGCTTATCCGCTAATTTAGGCACTCCAAAAACTTCCCCTTCATTTCTCAGGTATGCGGCTTCCTCTGAATGTGGGGTCCGTTGACTGACATGCGTTCCGTTTATAGAATCTGTAAGTCCCACCGGTCTCCACGCGCTTAGCAAGCTGATCCGAAGACTCTTCGCGTGTCTGCCAGGTTCTGTGAGTTCCGGCGTCCGCGCCCCGCCTCGCGCAGATAGCTAATACGTTCACCCACAGTTGAGAACGGCACGATCTACGACCAGAACCTCATCCTCAATGCGTGCGTTTTTCTCCCGCATTCCGATATTCGTCGCCGCAGGGATTGACCCCGCGGTTTCGCCGATGCAGAGACTACAGCCTGAACAAGACGGCGTACGCGATCGTCGGCCAGCCGTGGCAGAGCGGGTCCACCGTCGTGCGTGCAGGTTTTATGCGTGGCGGCCGTCCTGGGTGACGTATCTTCCCGCGCGTGCAGATCTACAACCTCGGGATAAACCTGTCTATCGGCGCGACGTTTATGCATATTGGGCTGTGGTACGGACCGACGGTGCGTGCCTCGCTGTTCTGAGCCGTCTGGAGCGGGTGTTGATGGTGCTCTGTAACAGATCTGGAAAGCGTTCAAGGACTAGTGAGCACGACTTCCGCGCATACTTACGGCTCGGACACTGATGGGGTGACCTAGCTTTACCGGCCAGCCCATCGATGATCTGCACTACAGGAGGATGCAAGTGTACAAGGAGGGCAAGTGGCGTGCTTTCGTGCGCTGAGCGTTCGCGAGCTCACTGCCCTGATGTGATTAGTGCCCCTCTGGTGGTATGCTGCGCTCACGCTCGGAGGTACGTTCCCGCTCGCCTCTTCGTGCTTCGTTGTATGCTCATATATGCGCCTGGTGTGCAGCGTTCGTCACTGCGAGTGCGTTCTGACGTGTTTGTTGGTGGAGGGGATGTGATACTGATACTGACCGTGTTTCAGTGGTCTGCATCTACACCGAGGACTCCCAGTAAGTCGCCGCGCCGCTGCTACGCGAGGGGCGTTCGCTGACTCTGCGCTTAGGCTCCCGTGGTGGGCCCTCATCGTCGCGCTCCTCATCGCCATCATCACTCTGCCGTTCTACGGCGCCATGTACGCCGTCGCCGCGTACGTCCGCTCACCGCTGCATCTTCGTCCTACCGTTAACGCACCCTGACGCACAGGTGGGGCCCCGTCATCTCGAACCTGTTCCAGATCCTCGGCTCAGCGGTCATCCCCGGCTCGTCCCAGGCGAACATGGTGCGGAGCCCTCTGCTGCGTTTCTGTGGCACACGCTGAGTTTTGGGCGATAGTACTTTGAGCTCTACTCCAGCGGCGCGCTCGGCCAGGCGCAGTCGATGTTGTCCGACTTGAAGCTCGGGCAGTATACGAAGCGTGCGTGGTTGGCCGGTCCGTGCGTTGCGGTGGCGGCTGATGTGTGCGCTGCAGTGCCCCCGCGGGTGACGTTCGCCGTGCAGATCGTCGGGACCGTCGTCGGTGCGATGCTGAACTGTGAGTGCACCGTTGGGATAGCGAGTGGGGTTTGACGCGAGATGCGGTGCAGATGTTATCATGCGGGACGTCATCAACAACGAGCGCAGTATTCTGGTGGGTGCACCGGTATGGTCGGGGTGCGCTCGTGGTTTTCTGACGTTACTGAGTGCAGCTGAGCAATGAGGGCACGCGTGTCTGGAGCGGCCAGCAGATCCAGTCGTACAACGCGAATGGTGTGTTTCGAATTTCCTGCACGTGCTTTGTTTCTTCTGACTGTATTGCCCAGCGATCCTCTGGGGCGCCCTCGGCAAGGAGATCTGTGCGTTCGTTTCCACCCCCCGCGTAAAGGTGATAGCTGATGGTGCGCATAGACGGCCCTCACGGCCCGTACTTCATCGTGCCCCTCGGTATCGTCATCGGCCTCGCGCTGCCCATCATCCCCTGGCTCATATACAGGAAATTCCGCTGGTCGTGGCTCCGCCTCGTGAACACCGCCACGCTCGCCGGTACGTCCCCCACACCTGGCGTGCCCCGTTCACGGCTGACGCCCTGTCCGCAGCGAACATCGGCGACCTTGCGGGCGGGACGAACGGGTACATCAACACGTGGATGACGATCGGGCTCACGTCGCACTTCTACATCCGCAAGTACCGCGCGGGGTGGTTCAGGAAGTACAACGTGCGTGTGGTCGGTTGATGCAGGGGATGTTTGCTGTACTGATTTGGCGGGGGTGCGCAGTACCTGTTCGGCGCCGCTGTGGATGGGGGCGCGCAGATCTTCGTGTTCATCTTTTCGGTGAGTGGCGTGTGGGGGCTCTGGAGGTGTGGGCGGTTATTGACGTCGGTGTGTTAGTTCGCGCTTGGTGGTGCCGGAGGTAATCAGACGCCGTTCCCTACGTGAGTGTCCGACCGTGGTGGCTCCCTCTCCTCCTGCGAGATGCTGACGACGCGTCGGCAGATGGGCGCTGAACCCTGTCGGCAACGCGGATTACTGCAAACTTACTGAAAGCCAGGGCTAGGGCAGCGGGGTTCACGGACGCTATGGAGAGGCCTTTGACGAGCGTGTCTGTTGTTGTACTAGTGTCGTTATAATGTTATTATCTTGATGTCGCTGTGCTAGTGTTTTTACTTCGCGGGTTGAGGGTCGATCGTCGCCGCGCTGCAGAGGCTTGCTAGAAATTTGAGAAGCGCGTATCAAGTAAACGGTAGACCGAGGCCTCCGGTAGGCTGCGTGATCCGGTGGCAGTAGCTCGCTTGGTTCAACTTCGAATCCCAGCCGTCATATACTTATTCCCAAGGGACGTCCTGCAAGCCTCAACGCTCCTCTCTCCCTACGTCCACCGTGACCGCGTCTCCGGCTCTGGGGACTTTTTGTACACTGTTAGCCTGATCGACTGCCGACGGTCGACGTCGCCTGCACTGGATTGGTGGTGCACTCTACGTCCGTTAGTGGGGAAATAGGTCTGTTTTGCTGATGTAGTGAGAGATTGCCAATTATAATAGTCATCAATGTCCTTTCAGCAGTAGAGGACAATATTCTTGAATATCATGAATAGGGGTTAGAGCTCTGCGGTATGAAATACAACGGACTACCAATACAGTTGAGCGCTTCGCCTACCCTTTCCTAAGCACCTCACTAGGATCATTTATATGTACTAGTTAACGAAGGCCTTGAAAGCCTCATAGCACGAAAGTATCAGCGCCCTGTTATCCAAAGGTTTCATCCCCTCGCTGTACCGGCGGTTGAGTCGTGGAACACGGGGTGTGTGTGTAAAAATGACAGTTTCCTCTGCAGGGTAGGTCCCCAGGGCCAACGGCGTCGACCAGCTCGACCGTCACGGGAATTTTATAGAACGTCGGAAAAGTCCCTGTCAGTATGATACCGGCCATGACTTTGGACTGGAGGAGGACCCCCGACAATTGGGGAGGATCCCTGAGCCGATTTCGGACAGATTTTGGACTTTTGAGAGCGCCATCCCTGATTTTTCACGGACAAATCAGGGGGTCAACCCGTGGATGGCCTGAGGTTTTTCACGGACAGACGTACCGGACATCATGGATGCCTGATCCCCCTCCGGACAAAGTTCGACCCCGGCCGAACCTATCTACGTATGAGGCCGGCACCGGGGCGGAAGGGGGCTCGGACTTACTACTGCCTTCAAAGGCTCTCTAGGTGCTGGCTGGTCGCACAGACATGCCGCTTCGAAGTTTGTAGTTGACATCTCAGCAGCCTCACATAAGTGCCTTCCTGAAGATGGAAACTCGCTAAGAACAGTAGAAGGTGCTTACCTTATGATGTCACTATCATAGTAGCCTTGAATTCTGTCTCAAGTAATAGACAGAATGTGTTACACAAAGGAGCATGCTCATTCCTTCATTCTCGCAGCTCGGAAAGCGGTTCTGAAATTTGGAGCCTCCCGACTCGGGCCTGATTCGTGAATACGGACAAAATTGGAGCCTCCTGAGGCCTGATCTGGGAGCCCGGACATTTCTGTGATGAACGGATGCTTGGTCCAAAACCCGGACAAATTTGACCTCCGAGGGCCGGAGGCCTGGTTTTTCGCGGACATTTCAGGCCAGAAATCGGCTTCTGCTAACGGACATTTTGGGCTCCTCAGGATCAGGCATTTCCACCAATTGTCGGGGGTCCTACTGGAGGGGAGGCGGCGGCTTCCGAATCATGTTCATCGTCCGGAACGCCGCTATTGCTCCGGCAATGAGCTGAGGTTCCGCGTCGACTTGTTCGAGATGGCGCTTGTTCTCTTGGACGAGAAGAAGAATCTCGTCCTCGTCCATAATGCACACGTCCGTTTGTGTGTGCTTCCACGCTCCGCAGATGAATAGTGGGATATCATAGCGCGTCCGAATCACCCGCGGACGAGGGGCGTATCCTAACATCTCCAACAAGTGACGGGCAAAGTCGATCACCGCAGACTCCTGGCCCGGCTTTGGGTTCATCGCGAGGTCCATGTAACGAAATAGGGTGAAATCTCTGTCATCAGCCATGTCATCGGCCGACGCGGTTGTAAGGACTTCTTGTGGAACGGAGGGTAGTGGCAGAGCTGGTACACCAAGAAGGCGGTGGCATCCTGCTCGACTACCTGAATGTGATATGCTTGTAATTCATTCTGCGTCCAATCGCTGCCTGACTTGGCGGATCGAGTAATGTTGGCCATGAGCGAGAGAACAGACTGTCGAGGTTATAAACGGGCCGTAAAGCTTTGAAAGAAGCAATGGTGGAGGGATGAAGAAGAATTAGGTCTGCGTCTAGATGTCATGGACAAGATCCAAAGGATGCATTTGTAACTCCGCACTCACATGCTGGAGCAACAGCCCTCGTTGGCTCATCTCCTGCAGTGGGCTGACAGTTTAGTGTGGAGACGGAGAAGGGAAATGATGACCTGTGGTCAGCAGTACGTCAGCGTTTTCCGGGATATTTTCGTTCTGTTCGAACACTAGCTTTCTGTCCATCATCATGACCGGAAGCAGTGCCTTCGATATACATGTGGTCTCTAATATTTATGTTCTCAAGATAGGTTCTCGTTCTTCGTGACGCAGCCCGAGTTTCGTGGCGCAATCATGCATCTAAGATTCCAACCATTTCCTGCCCAATATATTGGCAATAGACGGGCACTTTAGAGAGAGTAGCTCAGCTATTCGCCCGGTCCAACTCAACGTACAAATATATATTCTTCAGCGTTACCCTATCTAGTTCCATCCTTGTTTTATGGAATAGCGTAGTGTCCTACGATTGGAAATTGGCTAGCTAGAGTTCCCGCCACATTCTACAGCACTATATCCCATCAGCACTAGTCCTAGAAGGTTTCAAGTTCCAAAACAGAAGATTCACCAGTTTTGCCACACCAGGCAGCGCAGTGGATATGGCTTTAAAGCAATGAGGGCCTGAACCTAGTGTTGGCAAAACCCCCACTCGAATAAGGAACGGTACATAAATAATGAACGGAGTAAATCAGTCAGTAGCTCAAGCTGAGCAACTAATGTTCAACTTTGCTACCCTCGTGCGGTGAAAGCCTTTCAAGCTGAGGTACGCCACCCGCCCGCGATATAACCCTGAACCAGGAGAAAATCCGAGCGAGTCCGACGTATTCCAATGAGGGGATAGTGCTGGCAACGTCCTGGACCATCTGCATAACACGCTCATCACCGCGTGCTGGTTCGAAAGGCGTCCTCGCGGTAAATGTAAATAGAATTCCGACAAGAGGCAGCGTACGAAGAGAGTTAGAGAGGGAAATCTGCAGAGGGCAATCGGCACCAATACGCGATGATGAGCTGAGAAAAGCGTACCAAAACCGACTCAATTGACGAATTGATCGTCATGCGATCGAAGCCTTTGTCATAGAGATGTAAGTACTTCAAGTTTGGAGCCGCGTCCGAGAGTCTGACGTCATTGGTAACGAGCCGTGCAGGGAAGCAGAGCACTACTGGCGAAGTGCGATGGACCATGTCCGCTACATCCTGAACCCTTGCCCTCGAACAGTAATAGGGCTCGTAGAAGGACAGCCGGCGAACCGGGCAGAGCAGTGGGAGCGCACTTGCAGTCTCGACGTAGTCGAGCATCTCCCATCGGGGCGACCGTTCCAACTTTTTGGCGTCGAAATGATGATCGCTATCTTCCCGAGTATGGAAGAGTAGGCAACGGAACTCTCGAAGATTAGGGAATGCACGCTCAAAGTGCGAGAACGCAGTCCGTGCATGGATAACGTGCAGAGTATGTACATGCGACCAGACAGCATCGAAATCGAGTGTCTCAAGCCAGGGCACGAAAGACCGCAGCTTAAGCACCTCGAGCGAGTCGGTATATTTCTGAAGCATGCGGACCCTAGGGCCGCCGACGGGGGGGTTGCGACTATTTCCAACAAATTGGCCAAGTTCGAGATATCTTGGGCTACTGGCCATCCGAGGTATGAGCTCAAAAGACTGCACACCGATTTCAGAGAACGAAACGCGCTGAAGACCCGTGTGCATTGCCAGTGCGTCCCTAAGTGCCGCGTCGCCTACGAATGTCTCGAAGCACTGGACCTCCAACGACTGCAGACAGACTGCGCGCTGCAGTACTTCAGCGAATGCAGCAGCACTGGAAAAGTCCTGCTTAACCCGCCTGCGTTCGGTGGAAACGTAGTCAAAGCAAGTGTCCCTGAGAGTGAGCGCCTTCAGGTAACGCGGGGGGTGGACGATGTCAGCGAGTATAAACCTCGAGAAGCTAGCCAGCTGTTGTGCATCTCTGATTGTGACTTCAGAGAGGAAGTAAGGGATAGCCGCAGCGTAGACACCGCGACAGGTTCGTCCAAGGTGGAGAACTTCGAGGGGTGAAACCCATGACAAGATGGTCTGCATGATGTCGTCGTTGAGTGACAACAAAGACATCGCTTCCAGTGAAAGGCTTGAACTGTCAAGACCGTCCTGATTCCAATGCCTTTTAACCGGCAACTTACCACGGGTGCCGTGACTTCTGGAATAGTGGTTTTACTCGACGAACGTCAACCTAAACCACCGACAGTAAGGAGATGTCTAGGCAAATGCTTAACAACATTGAGTAGGAAAATACTGTCAAGAGACTATATGATACGTACCTATTCTTGAGTTTGTTTAGGGAGCTTCAATCATCTCCTTGATCACTTCAAGTGAAAGCTGGATTGTTGCAGTGCCAGCAGACCAGCGCACGGCGCTTGGCGAGGTGAAACCCGATTTCACTAGCGTTCTCCTATGTACACGAGGTCTTTACGCGTCTTTGTTACGCGCTCCAGTAAGCTTGATATCCTGGTCAAAAATGTACGGAGGGGGCTTGCAAAAAGGTAACAGTAGGACTTGGCTCGCGGTCGTTACAGTTTAAGATCGAATCGTTCCTTCAATGATGATTCCACCCGGCGGTCGCCAAGCGTAAGTACAATACTCAAAACTTCGCACCTCACAATCCGTTATGCAGGTTATCAACTTATCATCCGACCACCAGTGTATGCAGGTGTATGCGAACATAAGTTCTTAACCAGCAACACTGCGGACAAACTATGAAGGTGCAGAATCGACCCGAATGCATGTAGCTACTGAAACTCTACACATGGGCACAGCCCCGATCCCTTCGATCTCGTACACACCTCATGCGCTAAATCTATCTTCGTGGAATCAGGCGCAACGATGACTGTCCAGAACGCCTCTGCTCCACCTTAGGCTCATGCTCCAAGCTCACATCTCTTGTCCGCGAGCCTAACCCATATGCATCCAGGCGGAACCATGAGGGTATTAGTTTCCACATGCGCTCCCTCTCCCGCGCGGCCCACGCCTCAAGCGACTTCGCGCACGCCTTGCATTCCGAGAATTCTGCGCTCTTCAGCTGCCCTAGCTCCTCGGCGACGTAGAGCGGATCCGAGCAGCCGCGTTCGCGGTCGAACAGGTAGTGCTGCGTCGCGAGGTCAACAAGCTCAGCAAAGTCCTTGCGGCACGCGCCCGCGGACACGCATATCTGGCCGGAGGACCGCCGGCGGTTGTGCACCATCGCGAGATGCGGCGGGAGGGCGGACTCGCGGTGCGTCCCGCTCGCCATGCTCTGGATGAGGCCCGTCACAGCGTGTTGCGATGCCTCTTTCCCGAGCGCGAGCTTCTGCATGTCCGACAGGGAGAGCGACGCGGGCCCAAGGGGCTCGTCATCACCTGGCTCGAATATCTGCGTGAAGTGGTACCGCGAGAGGTCATAGAAGGCGGAGGGAAGCAGTTCGGGGGCGTCAATCTCTCGCGCTAAATTAATTACCGCCTAAGGGCGGGTTAAGCTGGAATGTTGGGAAGAGGTTATCCGGGATTTGAGAGAACAGCTGCTCACGATGGGTGAAGGATATAAGTGCCCGCGATGCGAGGCGTGTTCTAGCTCGTATGCGTGCGCGAGGTCCTCGCGAGCGTCCCATCCCTTCAGAGTCAACGGCCAGGCAATGCTCAGGTGCTCTAGCGCCTTGGCGCGTAAGGAATCTATGATATATTTGGTCGAAATGCGGAGAATGCCAGAAACCACCTGAAAGTCTTCGCGGTCGTTCGTCCCAAGATTTCTGCTAACGATGGTAAGGATTGACGCGAGCCTTGGGGCAGACATACATCAACTCACGGGCCATCATACAGCGCCTTCAGCGTGCAGCTCAAATCTTCTGCCGCGTCCTGGAGATGCAAAACAGGACACCCCTCAAGCATCGTGGATTGCGAGGACACGTCCAGTTCGTCAAGTGCGTCTGAATCCGCAACAGAGGGTAAGAGACGTGTGGCGGGCTGCGGTAACGAGAACAGATCGCGGAAGAAGGCAGATCTCCGGGAGAGTTGCGACATGTGGACGCGAAAAAGCGTGTTCTCTGCTCTGAGAACTATCGAACCGTCCACGAACCAAAGATCGCTGTGTCGCACAAGAGACTGTTCGGTCTCTTCATGATCAGAAGAAGAGTAGTCGGACGCAGACATTTCGCCAGAGCCTGACCGGGGGATGGTGCCTAAACTTGCGAACCGGTAACGAGAGAAGAAATCGAAAATAACAGCGAGAGGAACTATAGCATAGTCAGATGCAGGACAGCGCGAGTTGCCAGATGGAGGCGCAGTTATGATGATTGACAATTTGACATGATGAACGTGACCGTGGCGTTGATTCCGGTGGCGGTGCGATAAGATGAGATAACTTCAAGTTAAGACGGTGGAGGACGACACGCTGAGCTTGTACTCGTGCACGATCCGGTATGAGTGCGTTCTCAAGCATCAGGCGTAAAGCTGGTCTAGTGGCGAGTGCTAACGCTGAGGATTGATTCAGGTTCCTCGACCCCTGATGAACTCGTCACCCTCTTATTTCTGGTGCCGGCCCTCGATATAAAGCACTCTCACCAGCTCATGAGCAATGTCGCTTGGCACGATCTGCCGTCCAGGCAGGTGAGCAATATCCTCGCAGTAGAGTGTGCATTAATTCCAGACTCAATTCTAGGAATGAAAGCTGCTTCAACGTCCCCTACATGTAGCACTCATCTTTGACCAAACTTATTTTATAAGAACAACCCTTCCACGAGACGCTCGCCACCTCGACGTGCAGACGCGTTCTCCGCGACGCATGCGAGCGAGAATAACTCAGTTGTCCCGAGCAGTGGTACCCCCGCGGACGGGCTGAAAGGTTCACGCAGCGGCGGACCCATTAGTAACCCCCTTATTGTAGCGCTTCAGGAGTCTCCGAAGAAGACTTGATCGTGTCTTATAGGAAAGACGGAATAGCAAGGTACTGTACGCCTTCTACCGTTAAGACCAGCACTTATCTAAATTTTTGCAATGCAGCCGAATAGACTCGTCAAACGCATCGGACGAAGGTTCAAAGCACGCAGCCGAAAATTTCCCGGAGGGATATTTTCGGCAGGTCGTACTGGAAGGCAGGAGAGCTCGACACCTCTGTTTTCCATGCAGGCGACGCTGGTCTCCTCGAACTTGAGCCGTCAGGATAAATTTCATGGAGACACAGAAACAGAAACTGATGAGTGCGTGGTCATACAAGTTTCTTAATGTTTATGGCGTGTCTCCTCAACAAAAAATTCATGCTGGCATGCTTGCTGACTGTAGAACCGAAGTCATTCTTCAAGCTCCATGTGGACACTCCACGCAGTGCTTTTTGTTGTATTTCACAGCAGAGGCCTTGTCACTCTGCGCCACGACCGCCAAGAGTGCCGCCAAGAGTGGACTTCAAATCCGTTTGCTGAACAATCCATGTTGCGTATGCCGCTTCTGCAGCGATGTGGAACACAAGGTGCTACCAGTAAATTCCGACCATTACTGACTTACAATCGAAATTTCGGCTCAGAGACCCTGTATCAACAATTCCTCTGAATGAGACTCCGTTCAAGGACAGGCTCAAGGAACTTCTCGAGAATCTCATATTCTTGTCACTCTCAGCACCGGTATTCTCTGAACACGAAGGGTGCTCAGTGGTAGGGGAGGAAGGGTATGTATTTTCAGCTTTTACTAGACGTGACTGTCTTTACATTGTTCCATTCTCATTACAAGTACACTCTATTCTGACTAAAGATGCATCAGACAACTGAAGAAATCACACCAACAGTGCACACACCACCAGGACAATAACTAGTGTCTGGACTCTCTGCCCCTGGCAGGTCTCCCGCGCGAATATTGCCACATGTTCTCGTCATCGTCGTCATTGTCATTGTTGTTACTGTTGCCATCATTGTCACTAATGTCTCGATCAAGGTTCAAGTTAAAGTCGAGCGAGATGGCATCCTCGCTGTGGGCATTGTCGTCGGTATCGTCAGGATCATCCAAGGATGAGATATCCAGATCTGCGTCAAAGAGCGCATCATCTCGCGATTGGCTACGTGTCCTTCGATGTGCACCGGTGTTACTGGGGCGGGCACTGCTCTGGTAATTACCCGAAGTGTCCTCTCCGGAAAGAGGGTCCGAGGATAGTGCATCACGAACTTCTTTCTCCCTCTGCTCCTGATAGTTTAGAAATTCATCTCGGTCTTCACGAGCCATTTCCTATTTGAAAAATGGCAGTGACGTTAGACATGCTGAGAAATCAGTGAAACAAATGTGTAAAACTGTACCAGAGATGCTTCTGAGACATAATAGTCATCCGAGGGAGTGTAAAGAACGACGGCTGAAAAGGAAAATCCATTTCTCTCCAGGCCATAATGTCCCATAAAGCCTTGCGAAAAAGGGGGTTGAAGTCCTCCCCATCATTCATAAGAATAGGCTCGCAGTAGTAGAGGGTCCTCGGGTGAACCCTGGTGAGACTAAAGTACTCTGGCTCTACCTCCTGGTCAACATATGCCCTATATGTAGACACGTCATGGTCCCTTTTCCGCTTCTGCCTTTTCTGTGGTTGATTGCCATCGGTAGGTGGATGCAATTCCGATGGAGAAGGTGGATGAGTCGGAGGAGGAGTGGGCCTCAAGTACTCGAAGACCGAAAAGTATATGCCTAAGATAAGCATCCCGTAGAATGTGTCACCAGTAAAGTGATTGAATGCAAACATTGCCTGCTCGTTCAATTGTGCCAAATGCGACCACACATCCCGTCGTGCTGTGCGATGTCCTTCATCAGACATCCAATTATCCTTGCAGTTGAGGGGTTTGACCTCAAGCCAGAACCCAAGTGTAGGGGATCTGTATGACGGACTGAAGCGATCCACGACATCGATATCATGGAAGAAAGTAACCATGACAGTGAAATCCGGAATGCGACGGTCAAAACGTGTACCAGTCGGTGCTGCGAAGGCTGACTGGGGCTCGCAGCCTAGCGCACGGTCGACATCCAAAGGATCGCCAGCGGTTTCGCAAAAAGTTGTCAATATATGCCCATAAAGCATATACAAGTGGCTTTCTTCTTCCCGCAACGCCCGGGCATGCCCAATCATGACACGAAGTTTATTGAAAAACCCCGCCTTCTGAATCAGGACATTCTGTTCGTACCATAGCATGTTTAGTAACTTGAAGGCATCAGGTGGATCAGGAAGAAGCCTCACGGTCTGAGATTCCAGCGGTTCCGCCATAGGAAATACTGAGATAGTGGATGGATAGGTAAATCAGGGTCCTCTTGGGTGCACGATCAGTAGACTCAGGAGAGGCAATGATGAATATTTCCACCCTGCACTCGTCGTCTTGGCGAGACAGTGAGCTGAACTCCATGATTCATTGTGAACCATCGATCATATAGTGCTGTCCTGCACGTGACTGGCGCTTGAATTTCCAAGTTGAAGAAACCGCCAACAAGAGTGATCAGCTCGTTCAAAGCAGCCTTTATCATCTATCATGTCCTCTCTCGCCTCTGATCGCTACTCCGTCTATGAACGCGACGAGAACGGGAGCCTTATACCGGACGGCGGCTCAGGCTACAGGTTGACCCCCGCTGGCGTGGAAGCGGAGTACCAGGTTTGTGCTGCGTCGATGTTGTCCTGCTGTCGACATTCTGACCTTTCTTTCCACGCAGATGTACCTGAAAAGAGCCAAGGAACGTATGCCCGCTCCTACGACAGAACTTCCCGACAGATACAACCTCACGAATCTCAACGAGTTCAGCCCGAGACCACCCCGCTTACAGTACGGCATTGCAATCGACTTTAACAAGCTCGAGTCCTACGCGAAGGAGAAGAACCTCTTAGAGGCCGCCGCGCGTAAGCGCGGCGTGTCCGTTAGTTCGCTTTCAGACTATGCCATCATCTCCGAAGTATTCAAAGCCCTGAAGGTAGCGTGCAACGCCATTGTTTATTGGTGTGTACCGTGGGTTCCCGAATACAACGGAATGGTCGCACTTTATTCGAACTACACCATCTTTTGGGAACAGCTTGAAGAGCAGGATGAGAAAGAGGTGATCGATATATTGCAGAAGGAGCTGGGCGTTACAGAGGAACCGATGTGGTATTGGGATATTTGCAACCGGTGATGGTGAGTTACGCTTCTTTGTCTAACTTCCGACCCGTTCACAAATATATGCTTTCATAGAATCGCGGTGCACTGGAACGTTCCCACCTACCGTTCTCCTTCTGCGATATCCTCTACATCGTTCGCATTGCTCGCGTCCTCTACACCATTTGCATGATTTGCATCATTCGCATCCTTTACATTACTGACGTCCTCCTTTTCGCACGCATCGTGTTCATTATCAAGTTGTATGCCAAGTGTATAGTAGTTCAAGGATTCTTGCGCTCATCCGTCCACTCCATCCGTTTTTGGTCCGCCTTTGCTGTCTGTTCAACTGTCAATACCCCTCATGCCACCTATCTATAGCGGACCTTGTTGCTTTGTGTTGCTTTGTACCAATTAATAGACCATACCCTAACTTTGTTGGCATTTCAGACACTGACAGCACCAAGCATGAGACAGTGACTGTGAGGGGTCTGGGAGGGGTGAGTAGTGTGAAGGCGCTGTCGCGAGAGGACTTACTCGTCCGAGGTTGCGTCACAAGTGCACGCGTGGCATCGACACCGGACACAGGCTGGCTAGATGAAGCGCGATGGGGAAGGGTCAAAAAGAACTTATAAAGCGAATAGCATGAATGTGATCGAGAACAGTCGCGGAGGGAACGAGAGTCTGCGGCAATCTCTGCGCTCACTGTAACTGTACAAGTAGTTTGCGACGAAGCGAGCTTTTACCCGACAGGACATCAACACGCTGGACATGGTACTTACATGTGCAAATGCCTTCCTAGCATATTTGTTCATAGACGTCTTCTGGTGGGAATGCAACGGTAATTCATAACTCACCACTCAAACATTGTCTGGATGTCGTCAATGGGGCAAAGGCAGTGAGAAATGTGATATACACTAAGATCGCAAACCCTCGTGGTGGTACACATCGCTATGTGTGGTACATTTGTTGACTATGGCTGCTGCCGACGGTTGGTTCAGGCACCAAGTTGACAAACATGGGGAGGGGTTATCCGAAAATTGAGAGAACAGCTGCTCACAATGGTACAAATATCCGAGATGCGAGGCTCTAGCCCATATGCGTGCGCGAGGTCCTGCGAGCGTCCAATCCTGTCAGAGTCAATGGCCGGGAACACACAGATGCTCTAGCGCTTTGGCACGTAAGGAATCTGTAATGTACCTGGTCAAAATGCGCAGAATGCCAGAGACCACCCGAAAATCTTCGCGGTCGTTAGTCCCAAATTTTCTGCTAACGATGGTAAAGATTGACGCGAGCCTCTGGGGCACATATATATTAATTCGCGGGATGGAGACATTTCGTTAGAGATCGAGGGTGATTGGACGTGTGGATTTATAATGAGAGAATTCTGAGAGAGATAGCGTGAGGGACTATAGCATGGTATAAAAGTTAATTACAGAAAGCATATCATTACAGGACGTGACCGCGGTGGCGTTGCGAGTGATTGGGCCGGTGGCGGTGCGATAAGATGAGATGAGTCCAGTCTTATCTCTTTTTCCTGCGAAGGTTCGTTGGATCGGTTGCCATTGTTCTTTTGTCTCCATGGTGGCGTTGGCGAGATGCCAGGCACAATGCACACCCAAGGCAAAGTCGATATCTGATTGGCAGGTCTTTGTCCAATTTGAATAAACTTTTTACCTTGTCTAGCTGACCGCTTCGCAACAGAAAGGGTGAACCACAACCATTGTGCTGTCATGTGGACGTTGTCACTGTGTTTGTGTCCGCAAGAGCACGCGGGTATATAAGACTGAGGTGAGTCCAGTTGGCGTCCCCCCAAACTCTTTCACTTTCTCCCATCTTGCGTCTTGCCTTGCCCCGAGCAGTGCTCGTTCCGCTACCTTCTTTGCCCTCTTGTTGCCAGTCGACCGTTCTCTCGTTCAGCTTCAACGTGCATCCAAGCTTCAGATTCACTGACATTCGATTCGAAATGGCTCGCTTGACAGCGCTTTTTGTGGCTTTTTCCGCGGTTGCTCTCCATGTTAACGGGTTGCCCCTCACCAAGCGCGTCGCCCAAGTGATCTCCGACTCGACCACGAAGTGGGAGGCTGCTTGTGTATGTTCGCACCAGAGTTTTCTGCCGGGTTTGTGCTGATCCCGTTCTTTCCTAGGATACCGCAGGAGGTGGCTCGCAGTGCAACGTGATCGCTGTCAATTCATTCTCGACTCTCTTGGCCGCGCCAGGACCCTGCGCACAGCAGAATGCCGCCGACACCATGGTCAGCCTCGCTAAGCAGCTCAACAGTAACGAGATGATCACGCTCGCCCAAGTTTTCGCACAACAGCCGCGCAACAGCGTAAGTTTCCGTTCCGAACCATGGCCACATCTCACGTTGTGCTAATTACCATCTCCAGCCCTCGTCCCAAGCAGTGCCCTACTGCCAGCAGGCCCCGAACAACACCGAGCTGAACGGTCTCTACCAGTGCCAATTCCAGAGCGTCAACGAGCAGACATTCGTCGGTGGCCTCGCGGTCGGATCTGCAGGCACGATCCCCTTCGGGCTCTCAGCCCCAGTGTCTCCCGCCGGCTCGTGCCCTGCGAACCCCTCCGGCACCATCCCGGATGGACAGCAGCTCGTCGACATCACGCAAAACCCAGGCGTCGGCAGCTCGGGCAGCGGTTCCAGCAACGCCACCGCGAATGCGAGTGCAGCCGCATCGTCTGCTGCCTCCGCATCTGCGACCGTCGCCGCTGTGTCTTCATCTGCGCCCGTGTCCGCATCTGCCCCCGCATCCGCTACTGCTGGCTCTGGGTCTTGTGTGGCGCCTTCTGTTGCATCTTCCGTTGTAACCCCGGTGGCTTCTTCCTCAGCCGCGGGTATGATGGCCAGCGCGTCGGCAACTGCGTCCGCAAGCAGTGGCAACAGCAGCAGCAGTAGCTTCCAGCAGGCGAACGGACAGGCCGCACAGGCCCTGAACGCCCAGTTCGCGAGCCTGACCGCAAACTCGACTTGCAACGGTACGTCGCCTCTCTCCTGACGCGCAGAACGTTCGCTGATCGTGCTCATTTGCATAGCTGGCGACAACGCGTGCATCAGCAGCGGCTTCGCACAATGTGTAAACGGCCAGTACGTGAACCTGGGATGCGCTAGCGGGCTGCAGTGCTTCGCGCTCCCGCTCGTCAACAAGCAGGGCACGTCGATCGCGTGCACGACCCAGGCTGACGCGCTCGCGCGCATCCAGGCGACGGGCGCGCAGGGCGGCGTCACCGGCAACTGAGCGCTGTGCAGTCCAGTTGCATTCCTAGATGGATTGTCATGTGAATGGAGTTGATTGTTATAGTATGTATTTCGTACGAGCGTTATGGCTGTCATTAAGTTCCCATGACTTGTAGCGTTTTCACATTATATTATCGCAACGAAATGTATTTTTCGATGAAGTGCGCTTGGTCTGCTGTATGTGTCTGACTTGCATCGATTTCTCGCGGTAGAACCAGGCCAGAATGTTGAGTTCCTGTTACGGCTCGGATGCCAAAACGTTTCTCTCTTGCTTTGTGAACAATCTCTACGGGTCATCGCTCCAATTCGTCACAGATAAAGGCACTCCTCTGAGCCTGAATCGCCTCTGAATGACCAGCGATGACCTAGGCACACCATGCTCTCGCCGCATCATGATGCCAGTGCCAGTGGCCCGGAGCACCGTGTGCACCATACGGATCCAACATCGTCGCGCGTCGCAGAGGCACACCGATGGCGAACGTACGCAGACGTACGCCGTGCGCAATTCAGATAAGCACTAACACAACGGGTCAGCGGTAGAAGCCTGCCGTCCAAGTTCTCCGAGCGGGTACCTGTATCTTGCAAATAGCGGCAGCCTGAGCGCTGCTCATCGCGGGTGGTTCTAAAGTCCTAACTCCTTTCATAGGAGATGATAATGATGAAATCTGTGTATTTATATGCAAGTAGGTGAGCAAGTGCGCCGAGGAACAGTCATAAACGTATGCTAAAATACGCATTGGTAAGGGGTCTGTCTAGGAAGGATGTGGTCTGTGCTGCCATAAAGCAGCGGTGTCTTATGAGTACTGCGTTGGTCGGTGGGGAGGTTGTAATGTCACAAGCCTTTCATAGGAGACAATCGGCACGGTTTCAGGACAGTAAGAGCCAGAGGCCCTGCCCTGAACAATTGCAGAGATCCAAGTATCAGGGTCAGTGCGAAGTTCCTGCCATTCCTCAGTCATGCAACAGGTCTCGATGATGAGCCGCGTGAACGAGCTTATTCTGGACAGCGATAGCCACCAGGTAATGAAGAGAACCTCTTACCACGGTAAGTCACCAGCTGATATCGCCGTGTTAAATATCACTGCGTATACCCACAAGACTGAATTTTCTCCCGATTGCGGCGGGGAATCCAGTATAATCAACATCTGCCCAGGGAGGGAAGTGTCAATTCCGGACATTCTCGCCGTGAAAAATCTCTTACTGATACGATACCGTGAAAATATAAAATTACAATCTCCACCGAGCAGCTGCAACTCCGAGACCACGCTACATAGGTGAGGTCACAGATTTGCAACTTCCCAGGTAACGGTGAGTAACTGTATATACAACAGACAAAGACAAACCAATAAAACAACCGCAAGACGGACCCGCAGCACAAGGAGACATTACGCGGTAATAGCATCACAGATTAAGCAACAGTCGCCTTGAAACGACGCACAGGTACGAGAGAGTATAAGTACACGGAATAACCGCAGCACGTCGGGAAACCCAATGATCTAACAGGAAGGTAAAAATAGAGGTGTCATCGGAACGATACGCTCGGTGCCGCCGCACCCGTAACCTCCACAGCAGACGGTGCAGCTCCGGGTGCGGACGTCGAGCACGCACCCAGCGGGCTCGGAAGGGACGCGCGGAAGGCGGAGTGCGAGGACCAGAACGAGTCGTACGTGAGGCCCGAGGTCGTCGGCGCCCCGAGCGCTGCAGACACTTGGCCAATGGATGTCAGCGGCGTGTACTGGAAGGGCGATGGCGCAGGACGCGAGGTATTGTTTGGGGATGAGAAGGGGGACGGGCTTGGACTCGGCATGAACGACTGTGAGGACGAGTATGCGGGGAGCAGTTCGCCCGAGGCAGAGGAAGAGGTAGGTGCGTGGATGTCGCTTGGGTGTTTCGGAGACACTGAGCCTCTTGAGGAGGGGTCCTTGGGATTGGATAGAGTCGAGCCTGTGCTTGATAACGGTTGTACGCTCGAGCCTCCGTTTGTGGATGTTGACCCTCGGGAAGAAGATGCTACGGCAGCGTCTTCATTGTGCACTACGTCTCGTGCTGCAGACATTTTAGTGCATGATTCCTTACGATACAACTGTATCAGCATACCAGGGCCTACAGACGATCCTGCTTGCGGATTGCCAGAATTGGAATTGGCGCCATGCCAATCAACCGTTCCCGGAGCAGGATACTCTATCTTCTGGATGCTGACGGGAAACAGAGACGATGATCCATTTGGGCTGGCACTGCTGAAAGGGTGGAAAGAGACTCGCGCATTGCGCCGTCCTGAATGTATGGGAGGCGGTCGATGCTTTTGGGTATGGTGAAAATACAGATTCTCCACCTCATTAAGGGTCTGCCTTTGCTGCGACACAATTCAAGTGTCAACACAATCTCAACGGGTTATAGGTATTACCGGCTCACCCAGCCATGCTCAACTTTCAACTTCGCATACTGTAGACGGAGACGTAGTTGTCCGGATAACTGTGAGATCCAGTGAACCAGTAAGAAAAATTCATGGATATTTTCCGCACAATCCAGTAGACCAGTGTAAATGTGTCATGTTAGCGGAAGCGTCGAGCACGGGCCGACATCACTGACATAGGTCGCCCTGGCTCTCTCGGGAGTCAACTTCCTGCGTTTAGGATCGGGCTGAGACGTGGAAGCTTGCGTGTCAGACGATTCCCCCGCCATGAGACACGAACTGAGGAGGGAGTGACGGTAGCGCGTTGGGAAAGTCTGTCGTCAACCTGCCGTGCGGTAGGAGCGAGGTCCGGCGATTGCCTTGGCTGAACCTTCGCGCACTGGCGTGTCGGGTCATGTGATGTGCATTTAGTTTGACACTGCGCTTGGAATTCCTCCGCAAGAAAACTGTCTCTGCTCCCCATTTCTGACTCTGTCTCATTTACCCTTGGAGTGGTAGAGGGGGTGAAAACTGCGGCTGCTTACCACAAAAAGCGTTCATGGCTCCCTTTGCCAATTCTCCCCGGCAGCTGCAGCAGTGCAGCTAGGCAGGCTGCGGGAACAAGAGTATTTAGCAGCGAGCCGCAACAAAATTCCAGCCTCCTTTTCGACTGGAATCGAACGCGCGATGCAAATCCTGCCGTAACAGTTGTGACTTAATATTGTTCACAAATATTGATATCAAGTATTTGGTTGGTTAGTAAATATTAACCCTCTCCCTCGCGCTCTGTGCGCCATTGATCAACGCACATTGACTTCATGGGTCGGTTGAAGCGAACTCAATCATATTGAGACCCCTTCGGTTGACCTCTGGAGCCGATGTTACCACTCACTCCGTTTAAATTTTAGGAATTGTCGTTCTACCATTGACAACGCTCGTAGAATATTTATAACTTCGAACTATTGCGCAGAATAACTCGTAAGGTTAGAGTGCATCGTGCTCTTCCAAGTACTCCCGAGAATTGTTCCTGGATTCCTGGGTCTATCAGAGTAAAGGTGAGTATCGCATTGTCGGCCGTATGAATTATTGACTCACTCTTCAAGGCAGCCATATGTTCTGCGTTGATGTGAACCTCATTCTTATCGTTCTCGTAGGCTTGATGGGTATCGGACTGGCTCTCGAGCTCATCGATAACCTGGCGGGAGTGCTCCTTGGCTTCGTCAGAGACGTTCGGGTTATTAATGGCAGTCTTCCGACACAAAGGTGAGCTTGAACATGCCGAGGGCGAAAGGGAACGGAAGTACCTTGTGGCCTCCAATCTGGCGTGGGGAGAGACATGGTGATAGCGTATGGTGGTACTAGGAATGGTGGTACTGGTGGTTGTACGAGATAAAGTGCAGGGTACCAGAGCGGCATTGAAGGCGGTATATATACTGTAAGGGGGGCCGTCTTGGTGACTTCATGATGACGAACCGGCTAAACGTCGATGACAGAAGTCCTCTACGAGGATTGCCAAAGAAGGTAGATCCCTTGCCTGTTTCGACACGTTCGTCTCAAGGTGGTGGCGCAAGTGGCGCACTCACCCCAAGTATGAGGTCTGAGATCTGAACTTTGAACGCTCAGCTCCACGAGCAGTAGGACTTGTGCCTGAGCGTGTCTGCACTATATTTATATCGGGAAAGAAGTTAGAAAATATGCAGAACTCGTTCCGACGTCGGAGTTCTGCAGACGCAGACACATGTTTCCTAGGTGGTATGGTTTTGGTACGAAGCGCGCTGGGTTTACTCCCATCTTCATGTGAAGGTCACATCTACACTGGTAGAGAGCGGGGAAGACCGATGCCTCGACCATTGCACTCTACCTATGGGGTAAAAGTGATTCTTGATGAGCCGGGGAGCTGTTCAAATCCAACGCGCTACATAAGGAGTCGTGTATGCCATGCCTTTGTGAATCGCAGAGAACGCGATCAAATTGGGCAAATCGCGATCTGTCACAGGTTGTTACGTCCACGTGATCCCAAAGCGGAACTGTGGCGTCAGCCACTAGCCCGAGTACAAAAGGCCAACATGCGACGCGGACTCCCCCAAACGCATCTTGACCTTCAACTTGCATGTCCCCACTCCCTTCACGTATCTCAATCAATGGCCACTCACCTATCCTCATCCATTCCCTCATCGGCGTGATGCACGGTCACTTACTTTCGGTCTCTGGCCGTTGTCGCCCAGAACGTTTGGCCACCAAGGTACGTCTTCGCTGCGCACGCTATCGACATGTGCTGACTGTCGCCTCTTCTCCCATTCATCCTCGCTGTCGACCCACATGGCGGCTTCGATTAGTAGGTCGTGCCACACCGGAGTCAAGACAGGTGAGGTATTGATGTGGCGTCGTGGTCCGAATGTTCGTGTGGCTGACCATCGACATATACAGGCAACTGGTGCGCTGTTCGGCTTGTGTGCGTCAATAACATTCCAGAACGTTCAGCAGCGTAGCAAGAACACTTCGACAAGAACATCCTCAAGCCCGACGACACCGACGCCAATGGCCTGATCAACGGGCGAAGAGGTATTCGACGTAGGGGGTCGAAGAAGAAAACAAGAGCAGTGGAGGCACACGACGAAGAAAATTGCTGATCGACGGCGAAGAGGCACGCGACGTAGGAAGTTGAAGAAGAAAACAAGAGCAGTAGAGGCACACGACGAAGAAGAAAACGGCCGATCGAAGTCAACAGGAAGAAATAGGAGTTAGATAGAGGGTACAAGGTGCGTCCCGAGGTACGGATCGACGAGCACTTTCGCCCGTCGGTCCTGGCGCAGGCCTTTTCGTGGCCCTCGGGATAAGTACCCGCCGCCAATCGTGACGAGCACGCGGCGGGGAAACCAACGTGCGCCGAATTTATGTCTTCGCTATTGTTTGCATTATCTATCTTCTCTTCGTTACGTTGTTTGTCGTGTCGGAGCGCAAGAGTAGATATTGTTAATGAATTGCTTGTCCACCAGCCGCCGGAAGTGCGCCTGAGTTGTCGCCGACACGTTAGCAACATAAGTACACCGACCAACCAGTGTCCAACGACGCATACCGGACACTGGAGAACTGCGCCTGCGCGTCCCGTGTTGTACACGACTTGGCAGTCCGGCGTCGGACAGTAGTGAAACTGTCTGACCGCGTGTGGATGTGAGCAAAAAACGCAGCAGCGAGCAGTCGCGTTTCCTAGGCCTCCGGTGGAGAGAGGAGGTCGTGCAGGACCGATGTGTGGGGATCGGGTTGCCACATGCGACCTGCTGACCGTCTCTGCCCACCGATTGGATGCAAAGCAGACTCGACAGGGAAACGTCCGGTCCGGATAGCAGAAGGAGCTGAAGACATGATCTGCAGTAGGAATGCCCGCAAGGCAGTAATACACCCGGGCCGCCGCCTTGGATCAGGAGCCGCAGGAAGAGCACAGGAATGGTCTAGTAGCAGATGGAGGACTCAGTCGACATTCTGCCGGAGGCGTTTCTTCGGCACTCTCCGACATCAGCAAACTCACACAAGTATGGTTTGGTCTGGTGCGTATGGTTGCTATGGTTAGTGTGGCACCACACTGAGCCATACTCCACCATACATTCTGATTCCCTGCCACAGTACAACACAAGTAAGATATACTGTAATTTATTGCATGAAATTGACTACATCAGCAAAACCCAACTTTTTCTTACAGAGCTATTTTGACTTTTCGGTCTTACAACCCTTATTTAAGGTAATAAGTCTTCAAATAAGTGTCAATAAGTCTGATTTCAGACACTCATGTAATATGCATTAGGCTCCTTTTTGACCTTATACCCTTAAATAAGGATTGTAAGTCCATTTAAGTCATTTAAGTACCTTTTTAAGTAAAAGTTGGGTTTTGCTGATGTACTGTACATGTAGAGAATGTGCTACTGGCCACAGGGCAACTGACTTGACTCTACATTCTGTCGAGCTTGTTTCATGTTCGAACTTTGAAGCATCCGGGTGCGCTAAGTCCACAAAGCATGTGACTTTGTTGAACAAACCAAATAAGTCACAATACATTAATGCTCAGCGATGTCCTCTGAGACTTGTCCGTCTTTATTCTAACCTAATCTCACTGGTCCCCACTTCAAATCCTATGGATCGTCGTTCAGCAACTTCGGACCTTTGCTGCCGATGCTGGTGCAAACGGGGCAAATGGGGTACATGATGAATTACAACGAGCGGGGAGCTAACATTTTCTTCAGATCAGGTCTCCTAAAGCACAATCATGCGTTCTTTCTCCAGCTCGGATGGGGGGCGAAAGACCTTGGTCGCCGCGCTCCGTTGCATCTCATGGTCAGTCACTGAAGTTGCGCAACACTCAGAAGATGCAACACACCGTCTACCCGCCTCTGCCTGAGTCGATGATGGAGGAGACTGCTTCGCAACGACCGCCATCCCCTCAACGCTCAATTGCACCATCAGAATCAGCTTCTCAGATGACAAAATCGAGGTACAGAGCACCTACCACCAAGGAGCCCTCTCAGAAAGCACGTTTGGTTAGAAGCACTACTGAGGTCAATGCTATCCCGCAGCAAGGAGCTGTGGCTGAGTACTATGCAGAAGCAAGGTCACAACATGATGGTGAGCGGAATGAATAACCATTCGTGCCGGACTCTTACTTAAACCTCTCAGGACGCTCGCAGGTGCCGATGTCACAGGGACCCATGTCGCAGGTAGCCATGTTGCAAGGACCAATATCGCAGGCACCCATGTCTCCTTGCAGCTATATGAGTCAGGTTCCTCCCCTCAGGACTGCCGCTACAAATGAGGAGCTGCAATGTGCCGCTGCCGCTGCTTTGTCCCCCACGCGATCGAAACATTCCAACCACAATCCGGAAGCCACCCCAACTCCATCGCGCCCCACATCTCTCTCACGTGGCACTCGCATCAGCTCATGGGCAGTCGGTACGCCCACGAGTGTGCGCGGTATGTGAAATGTTACATCGACCAGTGCGTATGCTGTACCTGCTCTTGTAAGGATCATCATGACGGCAATTTCCCTCAGTGATGATAAGGTCGAAGAGAACCATCTAGCTATGTCGTTTGATGTCACCTGTCATGTATGGGAGGTAACTGTTTCAATCATTTGACATGATGGTCGACGTCTCATTGATATCCGTACCACAGGAACAATTCAAACTCCCAGACATCCACCACGGCTGCCCCCTGCCCGGAGAGACTATTGGGTGGCGCCTTAGTCACCTCTCACAGAACCTTTTACACAAGGCCAACTCAGACACGCCCTGGGCACTACGCCCGCCCCCGCATGCCGACGTGCTCTCTGCGATGCACGCGAGTGAGCACAATGCGATTGTGGCCGGCGGGGGCCCGCACGCCGCACGCGTGGAGCACCACTGCCACACTCGAGCATGCTCACGGTTGTGCCATCACTCTGTGATTGAGCTTGGTTGCCGGTGTCTTCAGTTGCCATACCGTCCCTGTAGTATTAGCTAGTAGTGTCCTAATATATTTCATATATTCAATTATCAAAAATTGGACCATTGTGGATCTAGTATGGCTCGAGTATGGCCCGAGTATAGCTTGAGTATGGCTCAAGTATGGTACCAGACTTCTCTGTCTGGTAAGTGTATGGTGTCACAAAATGCATCGTGGAAATACGTAGGTCAAATGTAGTGCCACGAGCGTTTGTGGCGGCGTGGCGCATATGGTGCATCTGGCACCAGACTCACCAGACTCGTGTGAGTTTGCTGATGGAGGCGAATTCATGCGAGACTACTACCGCTGTTCTACGTACAAATTTATCTTGATTTCCTCCGCCTGAACATGTGCTCTAAGCTCACTGAACCTCTCCTGGAAGGTGGATTCTTACCTAGCCGTCATGTTCAAGCGTGCAATGCATTCCGTCAGCAGCCTGCCTCATCCGCAGTATTAATACTTCTCTTGCTCAGGTGGTAAATCTTGCGTTATCTCTTTTGTTCCCAGTCCTGGACACGATGGTTGTGAGATATCACATTCCTTCTTTTGCGTAGAAAATGTATCGGTTTCCTTGACGTTATGAGCCACTAGTACATCTTAGTATTGAACACTCACTGCCTGCCTTCCCCTTAGCAGAATCCAGCCAATAACGTGCCCTTGAAAGCTTGAACAGACACCAACAGTGCATTTCATAATTGCATGAAATGCCTCTCATCGCGCTCAATCGGCGATGTCCATCGATACCCATGGTACCATATGTCTTCTATTTCAACCATATCAGGGTTCAGCCATTCTTCTTGCTGCAGTACCCCCCCCCCTCTTCGATGAACGTCTCCAGCATGAATATCAAGATTGGTGTATTCTATATCAACTATGCCCGCACGAGCCGTACATACTTTACGCTGGATGTTGACAGTACAGTACGTCTCCAAGGATCTGTCCACTGATATGATTATTTGATCTAGTATGATCTTCCATCGCCGCAGATCACCATTAAGGTGCTAAGGCAAAGTATCAATGCATATAATAAAAGTACCGCTACGTAAGTGCTCAGTGCTTTATCTCGGTATTGCTCTGAAGGAGTGCACAGCAAAGAGTCTGGGGACTTCAGTAAGATGACCACGAACGAGCCGCTGAGTCCGGATACACGGACACTCAAAGCATGCGGCATCGCTGATGGCCAGTCTGTGATTGCAAGTACGTGGTACGATCGCGCAATCGCACTTGGTACTGACTGTCAAACTGCGCAGTCCAAACCAATACAATAAACCCCATCTTTCGAATAATGCCAGTAGATTCTCCTGGCGATGGCAGTCCGGACATCTTCCTGTCATCTCTGCCGAAGCAGTAGACGGCGCTACTGGAATGCAGTAGGCTGCTGATTCATGAGCACATAGAGAGGCTGACAGGTCTCTTCACCAGGTGTCACTATCCCACCCTTCCTTGAAGCTTGAAGTCCCAACCATGCAGCTTCCGCCAGTTTACCTCCTTCGCCCTTGCAGTTATTTTTTCCTCGGCAAGTAGTGTACAGTGGAATTTTACCACAATTGTTCCGGAGGCAAATATACTTGCGCATACGCTCGCAGTCATACGCCGACAACCAAACAGCCATCGCCAATTCTCTGTTATAGGTGTCGTATACGAGCATCTTGAATTGCACCAGCAACTTCTCATGTAACTACTGGCTGTGAGGCCTTGAGGCGTATGTACATCAGGGTACACACAGAATCTCTGTGCGAAGCTGTTATGCCACCTTTCGGCTTTCTTCCGAGCCAGCTACGTCCGCCAGGCCACACGACTGACTGCCCATTTTTCATTCTCGTTGTCTGAGAAAAGAGTAATCACAGTATACATTATCTTCATCTCAACGGAACTTCGGCTTCGCTCTCTCACCTATGCGGGACTTCCGCCATATTTTTCTAACAGTGCTTCGGGTATTTTCATTATGTGAGCATCCTAGAGTTGTCCGTTATCCGTCCTCTATCAATTATCTCTCGAGGCACGGAACTCCCAGTGTTTTCATTCACAACCTCATTTTCTTGAACTTCTATCGCAGACGCTGTGCTGTACATCCTGATGGCCGTGAGTCTCGTCCTCGAAGGTACTGACTGTGACCTTGACAAAGGAAACAAAGGTGCGTACCTCGCACTGAGGAGATGAAGGGATGGGATACTGAAAGCTCGCCGGCACAATGGTATACATTCACTTCATACATGTGATTCAATGAGGAAGTAAAACAAACTATACAAATTTTCTGGAAGTATTATTCAAAGCCTGCTCAGGGATTTATTGGCTGATCGGAGAACTGGATCGTGGGCTAATATGTCCCAAATTGCATCCGCCAACCTTTTAGGCTGCATCTGTGGGACCTCCGGATAGCGCCACATCAACGCTCTGGGGGACATTCGAAAGGAATGAATCTGACTCACCATGTGCCCCGCCCCCTCCACACGTCTAGCTGATGTGTACTCTCCTTTTGCACAGACATTGAGCACATAGTCTTGCACAGCCCGTGGTCTAAAAATGATCAGCAATCAAGGTGTTCTGATAAGATGTTGGAAGCATACAGGAAATCATCAATAGTGCCATAAATAAAGTGTACCGGCATCGTCGCACAGAGGGTCGGCAGGAAATCGTATGCTCTTCGACTTCCCAGTTCCTCCATATAAGTCGCCTACCAACATATCAGAGAAGGACGTCACCATTCATTTGTTGATCACTCACAATTTCCTGGACTTTACTACACTTTAATGTCACACCGTCCTTCTTGTCCGGATAGTAGGCAGTGGGTAGATCCCGTAAGCCGTATTCCTGTATCAAGATCACCGTCAATTCTTTCTAAACGTGTTAGAAATGTTTTCTTATAATGAAAATACAGAGTACCCTCTGATCCCATGCCCTGTACGATGAGCGAGCTCGGCAAGCTGAGAGCGCCTCAGCGCGTGAAGGCCATATATCCCGTCGAGCATTGGTAGTCGCTAATAGCCTCCCACGGATATCTCTGGCAAAAGGGGAGTGTGGATATAGTACGGGATCTACCAGTATGGCACCAATAAATTTCAGCTTGGGAGTGTACGTTCCACCGAGGATGCTGGACATATATGAGCATGATCACTAGTGATCATAGCTCATATAGTGACAGTACACACATTGCTGCGCACCCCATCGAATGTCCTATACTTACTATATTGTGCGTGCTAAAGTCAACGTCGACGCCCGTGCCGAGACCGGTGAGGAATATGTGTACAGCGCGGACATACTCCTGGCAATCAACTGCCATACGGTGAGCACATATCCGGAAGATCCCATGCGAGACTCACAGACAGAATACCCATGCAGCAACGTCTTCTCGTTCAGCACCGCCGCCGCTCCAGCGTTTGGCGAATCAATGCTCCAGGCTTCTCGTATCCGAGGTTTTCCTTCGCGCCCGCCATTATCATACAATTCCTCAATGGTAGGCTCCTACTGTTCTTTGTGAAATCCTGTTCCGCGAGTGAAGATTAAAGTTAATACCGCTGGATCTCCCGAGACGTCTGCTTCAGATAACCAGTAACGCTTCGCTGTGATGAAAAGAGGATAATTCGGGCGAGGGTCGCAGATGTAGGCTTGGCAGTTGAGTGTAGGCATCCCAGATAAACAGAGACTAAGAGGGCCATGAAAATAAAAGTCTCAGAGGATGCTAGGGATGATCATGAAGGTGTTTATATGGATGCCAGGGGTAAACCAGCGCTCCAGGCATTTTGTCTTCGGGCACCGTGAACTCTTGAGTACTTCAAACTTGCCCTGATTAGGATCGTTGATCAATGTAGGCGCCCACGTGATCGGATGTGTGCGCTTGTGAGCCGCCCAATCAAGTCTGTTGCAACGTTCCATAACCTGTTCCCCGAGAGTCGGACAAGCTTTACCTGTAGGGGGATACTATTAATTTATCACTGAAGTGGTCTGGCCCTCAGAGTGAGCCCCATCAACGACCGGTGCGGTCAAGAGCTTCATTGATGACAGTTGCAGCTGTTCCCACTTGACGGCCCGCAGGCTCACATGCAAAAGTTAACACTAGGTTAACCCTCTCTTTCGGCAAAATCCTATCAAAGGTGCTCACCATTTCTCCGTGTGCCTCGAACTTCCAGCTTCTAACGAACCGCGCAAGGAGCTGCGTTATACTCAGACTTTCTATGTTTGACTTGATTTTCTACCGCACTGCATGAAAACTACGGCTTTTCACCACGGTCATCGATGTGTCCGATATAATGAGCCTCAACAAGGACTTGCGGGCAATGGCATATGCCAAGAAGTCGCTGAATGGAAATATGAACAAGGAGATGTACGGGAACCGAGTGCGCAATTCTTGCCGATGGTGAAATCATCGGTGCATACCAAGGTAAGTATTCAGGTTCTCAAACAAGACAGAGTCCAATGTTTCAGGCTGGCCTGTGATTTTCATCATCGCTCCTCGACTCCATTTCGTATATAGAAGACCTGGGGCTGGTTGAGGGGGATGTGTCTCTCGAGAATGTGGGCACAGACGTAGCTGGCGGTAGCCAGGGACTCCTGAGAAATTGGAGTGCTTCATTGGGTGCGTCGTCGGTCTTGTGTAGTACGCCGCAGATTTATTTGATGAGAACTGGCGGAAGACCTTCTCGACACTTTCTGCGAGACGTAGGCATGTCCGTGCCTATTTCACAGGTGCACTTTTTTGTAAACATGTTAGAAAAGATGAAGAGCTTGCGGCAGTTCTGCAGACGGATGTCTCCTAGGTAGTATGATTTGGTACCAACCGCGTTGCACCTAATACACCACCACCACCACCCGCAGTGACGAATACGCGATACGCGTTATAGGGCGTTACGTCCACGTGATCCCAACGGAAGTGACCGCAGCGTCAGCCACAACTAGTACAAAAGGCCAAGTGGCGACCCGGGCTCCCCAAACGCATCTTGACCTTCAATTTGTACGTCTCCACTCCTCTCATTTGTCCATTGATGGCCACTCACCTGTCCTCGTCCCTTCCCTTGTCTGCCTGGTCCATGGCCACTATCCTTCATTGGCTTACACGATGTCACGACATTGGCCACCAAGGTATGTCGACGCCGCGCACGCTATTGACACGTTCTGACAGTCGCATCCACTTTCATTCATCGCCGCTATCAGCTTGCGTGGTGACTTCGACTACTGTGCCGCGCCACATTCAAGTCAAGACAGGTGAGGTATCAGTGTGGCGTCGTTGTTCGTGTGGCTAACTCGTCGACATTTACAGGCCATGGCAGTAAGAGTGTACCTCAAGCTCAAGAAGGAGTCAACAGAAAAGGCGTGCAATCGTAAGGTGTGTGATCGACAAGACCGACAACAAAGTATTGTGGCGCAGTCAAGACCGACAGCGAGGACCTCCGAGGCTGTGAATATATCAAGGGTGTGACCTCAAGAAGTACTCGAGCATGGCAGCGAAGTAAACATGCAAGCGGTCTAAGCAATCGGTGCGTGGTTCGGCTTGTGTGCATCAAGGACGTTAACGTTCGGCAGCGCAGCAAGAACACCTCGACGCGAACACCCTCAAACCCGACGATGCCGACGCCGGCGCCCCGATCAAGTAGAACAAGGGGTGAAGAGGTATCCGACGTAGGAGGCGAAGAAGAAAACAAGAGCAGTGGAGGCACACGACGAAGAAGAAAATGGCCGACGACGACAACAGGAAGAAGCAGGAGTTAGATAGAGGGTACAAGGTGCGTCCCGAGGTACGGATCGACGAAGCGCTTTCGCCCGTCGGTCCTGGCGCAGGCCTTTTCGTGGCCCTCGGGATAAGTACTCGCCGCCGCTCGTGGCGAGCGCGGCGGGGAAACCAACGTGCGCTGAATTTGAGTCTTCACTGTCTTCTGTTTGTTACGTTGTTTGTCATTCTCGGGCTTCCACGTTAGTAGACTTGGTCCATGATTTACTTGTCCTTGTATACTAGTCACTGGAATCACCCCTGGCCTGTTGCTATGACAGCTTGAAACGTCAGTACCATACACCGTCCAATGGCCACTACTCCAACGTTGCAGTAGCCGGACGACGCTGTGGCCACTGTTGTCGTACCATGAGTCCTCGCTTTGATGTCAACCAGAAGGTTGATCATTCCACGGTGGGCACTATCAGCCCCGTGGCTTGCAAATTTATTTAACAGACCATCAGCGCAGAACCTAATGTACAAGAGAAAAGTCTTGAACATCCACATTCGTGCTGACAGCAGTCGCACTGAGCAGAGCCACGTTCACATGTTCGTGGATGTTCAGGCGCCAATACCTCCATGGGCCCGACGCATATGCTCGTACACCCCGCCTCCAGTCCCGGAATCCGAGAACGTCTCCATGCAGACCCAGCACATGTGCGTTCCACACCTGACGCACTTGATATGGTTGCAGCCTCCGTTCTTCTGCAGGTCTGCCTTGCACTTCGGACACGGTTTGATGCCATTCTCCAGCCGCCATTTGTTATATGCCTCGTGCCCGCCGGAGACGTTATCATGATATTCTGCGCAACTCATCCCCTCGTGGAACTCGCAGTGACACGCCGGGCATATCCGCGCCACGCACACAGGACACTGGAGAACCGCACCTGCACGTCCCGTGCGGTACACGACCTCACAGTCCGGCGTCGGACAGTAGTGGAACTCGTCTGGCCGCGCGTGAATGTGAGCAAGGAACGCAGCAGTGAGCAGTCGCGTTTCCTCCGGTGGAGAGAGGAGGTCGCGCAGGACTGATGTGGGGATCGCGTTGCCACATGCGACCTGCTGACTATCTCTGTCTACCGATTGGATGCAAACCAGACTCGACAGGGAAAAATCTGGTCCGGCGGATGATAGCAGAAGGAGCTGAAGACATGACCTGCAGTAGGAATGTCCGCAAGGCAGTACGCTCGGATCAGATACGTCGCAAAAGCAGACGGGACAGCATGCGTCGTCGGACAGCACACCGCTAGACGACGACAAAGATGCGACGGCGCGACGGACGCGTTCTACGTGCACATCGTCCCCGCGCACCACCAACGTGCGCGCGACAACGTTGAGAGACAGCTCCGCTGACCCTGCTGCTTCTTGAAGGGCATGCATGCGGTTCATCACCTCAGGCAGAATACCCCGCTCGAGAGGTATGCTGTGCCGCTGTCCCTTGATAATCGCGAGACGGACCAAGATGCGAGCCCTGGCTTGCGACCTCGCATTAGACGGCCCGAATAAACGAACGACACGAGTGCGCGGGTCCGTTTTGACAAATATTCCAACCTCGTCGCACGTATCCAAGAAAGTCCTCCCATCGCTTGACTGGAAGTACTCGTCCCAAAGTGCTCCTCCAGTGGTGACATCAGAAATCAGGATCTCACCATCCAGCAGCCGATCTAGTTGTAATTTGGCACGACCAATAGCCTTTGCATTTGCTCCATATATGCGGTACCCGACGGAGTCGAGCAGCTCTCCCGCATCACCGCGGTCGTAGAATCGCATCTTGCATCCTTCCAATGTGGCGCACAGGCGTTCGAGGTCCTCCTTGATGACAACATATTGGGCTTTCGGGAGCACGCCCTTCACGGCATGCACGACATCGAGGTAGATGGTACTATATCGCAAGAAGGCTTGAGATTTGCGATGAAGCGCATTCACGGCGTCGGCAGCGGCCTCTGCAGTGCCGAATTGCGCGAACGCGGTGATCTTGGTTCTGGATGCAGTTAAATTGGGTAACACGTCGAACGCGTCCAGCGCACCATGTCTTCGCAACAGGCTCTGTATTTCCTCCAGGCTCGCTTGCTCGTCATAGCTGAGCTGCCCGATCTTCAGCGAGCCCGTGAGGCACCAACGGGACAGGCGGGTCTGAGTGACATGCACCGGCAGGCCCTTCAACTCCACGGCGAACGACGTCCTCTGGAAGGGAGACGGTGTCTGGAAGGTGGCGGATACCTTCCGACCATCGTATTCCTGCCCATTGATCCTCTGTGCAACCGCCTTAGCCGCAGAGATGGAGTCGAAGTGGGCCCATGCGACGCGACTCGGCGCAAACCAGGTAAGCTTAACTTTGTTGCTTTGGAGAACTGCTGCACCACTGGCCCCACGGCGCAGATCGAGACGTACGGAGAGCTTCAGAGCCCCGAGCTTCTTGCCATCAAGCTTCTTCACGGCCATGGATGCGTGGTCTGGCGATGTATATTCGACAAGAGCAGTGGCTGTCGCAGCTGAGACACGTTCTGTGAGGTTCGCGGTCTTCAGGTCACCATGACGCTCTGTCAGCTCTATGAGTTCGGCTTGAGTCATCGTGAGCGGCAGGTTTGAGATAATGATGCGGGGAGATTCGAAGGCGGTGATGACACTGTCGATGGACGCGCCCGAGGAGAACTGAACGCTGCAGCCAAGGAACTGTCGGGATATAATGGAATCCTGCGGGGCTTGTCAGACATCTGTAGCCTAAACAAGATGCATCGAATTGGGATACCATGCATACAGGAAACATACCTCGCCTGACCCTGTAGAGTGTACATTTCTTGGATCGGAAAAAGTAAGAGCGATTTGCGAGTTTGACGGGAGGTCGTCCTGAGAATGATTTTCATCCGCGGCGTCCTCAGTAATAGCAGTCGCACTTGGTGCATATCGTGCTGCTCCACTAGTACTGTTGGTTTTTATCTCGACAGGTGCGGGCTGCACAGGGGCTACATGGGGAAATAGACAGGCGGCTCCCTGTGTGCATCTTCCCTGGACGAAGAACTTGCAAGGGCCAAAGACGGACACTTTTCCCGCCTTCGACGCACTCCAAGACTGTTCATTCGAAGGCTGCAATCCAGTAGAAGAGATGGAGAGTAATGAAGCAGTCTTGAGAGCCTCTGGGGTATGCAAGAGACGACATTGATCGCCGAATCGACACGATCCTTGTCGAAAATACAGGCATATCGCGGCATCGTCTATGTACTTGTCTGTCGGCGTAACTTTGGAAGAAACAGGTGATATCAAGATCGGCGATTTTAGCTCAGCCGCAGGAGAGTCGGGCACGACGTGCCTGTCTCGACACCGATCTCCAAATCGACAGTCACCACGAACGAAGTGGACACAGAGCCTGTTAGCATTCGTAGAGAACGTCGATGGTGCCAGTGTTAAGGGCGCATGGGCAATTGTATTCGGAGGGTGATAGAAACGGCATTGCTGTCCTCTAGCGCATCCGTTACGCAGATAGAAGGAGCAAATTGGACTGCGCGAATCCATAGAATGAGAGTAGTCCCAAGGTTGTATGGGTCGCCGACCGCGAGCAAAGGAGAGGAATTCGGCCACGAGGGAGGTGTTCTTTAACTCATGGCTGAACTGGCGCTGGAGACACGTTCCGAACACGCCTCAGAAAGACGTAGACGCTGCCAAAAGAACTCAGCATTCAGAAAAAGACAGGAAAAACGTCTTTTGTCGACAATCACCTCCTTTCGCGGCATTACTACATAGGTACTTGCCGCTACCAGCATCTCGCTGCGCACTAAACGAGTGCCGAACGTTAAATTTCAATGCAACTCATAAGGCAGGGTATTAGTACTAGCTACAGTACGTCCTTCCCAAGTATCACTGGTGCTACAAAGTCCAATTGAGTATAGAACTAAATGCTCCCAACTAGACCGGGTATGTTCAGAGAAGTGTCTGAGCATCAGATGACCGGGAACGACATGCTTCAGCTAGCATTTTTTAACAGGGATACATATCTCCCACGGGTGCCAGAAGCGTTCAAAGATTAGCTACTCAGACAACACTCACAGTAGCCTGGAGCGCAGGAAATTTGCAAGTATTCTTCAGATGCGTCGCCGTCTAGGACAACTGAACATAAGTAATAGGCTAACGTATATCTACAAAAAGAGTTTACATTCCGAACAGTAATACGCACCTACTTCTCAGACGTATACATAGGTCTTCGAGAATCGAATGTCAGACTCAGTGTAGTTGCCGTTTGCAAAGTACCCCAGCAAAAAGAGGCCGCCCCATCGAGCCGGGCTTGCATGACAGATACTAGTGATAAGTGTAGATCCTTGAAAGCTTGACCTCTCAGACGGCCGCTGCCGCGGCGGAATTTCTGACGGAGCTCTCCCTGCCAGCAGGCATACGGTCTTGGGTCAATATTGCATAATACTTGCGTAGGGCGCATCGCGTGCATGGCTGACCCACAGAACAGCCAGGACTTTGAGTCTGAGGACGCAGAGCCGGCTGTGATCTCCCTCTCAGACGTTATTTCACCATCGCATACTCAGGCTGTTTTCGGGGCTGACCAGGCTACACACAAGGGCGATAGCAGCACTACGTTGAACCCTACATTCGAACGTGTGCTCGTGAGTCTCTTAAGCCGTAACCGTTCTCTACTGATTGTCTGATCTCATCCAGAGTGCCCGCAACGCACACGTTTGGGTCCCGATTATTGCGAGTACGCGGCGAGGGGGGAAGGCGTCCAGGGGATGTCTGACGGATCTAGAGCGGGACCAAGCACAGCTCAGTCTCGTGCGATAGCAAACGAGTGACTCTATTAATACTAACCTAGAGCGGGACCAAGCACAGCTACTACAGGTCAGTAAGGAGATAAAAGGTAGGTAAAGAAAGTATTCACCTCAGTCTCGTGTGATAGCAAACGAGTGACTGAGGTGCATCGTCCGAACGTCCGCCAGTACTACCTACGTGATTACGTAAGTAACGTGGTGGCGTAAATACCGTACTACTCTGCCCGTGTCGCAATGTATGTACTTCAACACGCCCACTCAGGGGTGACAGGGAATAGAGTATATAAATGAAAATACTTAAGCCAAGCCCATCCCCGCTGAAAACTTCTCATGCTTCTCACGAGGAAGCCCCTTCGTCAAGACATCAGCAACCTGATTTCTGGTAGGAACGTACTCAGGTTCGATCTCGCCGGAGTCATACTTCTCGCGGATGAAGTGGTAGCGGACGGCAATGTGCTTGGTGCGTTCATGGAAAGCAGCATTTTTGGATAGCGCGATGGCGGACTGATTGTCGATGAGCAATGGAGTAGGGCCCTTCTGAACCTGTCCAATCTCCGAGAGGAAAGCACGAAGCCAGACTGCTTCCTTTGTACCATGAGCTCCAGCCATATACTCAGCTTCAGTGCTGGACTGCGCCATCGAGTGCTGCCTCTTTGAAGACCAGCTGACAGCGCCTTCCGATATGAGGAAAACAAAACCTGTGACTGATCGACGGTCATTGACGTTCGCTGCCCAATCTGCATCCACGTATCCGAAAAGGGGTTCCTTCTCCTTGGTAGTGCCACAATAGACGAGCTTCTTGTCTGCTGTCCCACGCAGGTAGCGATAGACTCACATAAGAGCAATCCAGTGCTCCTTGCCTGGTGTTGCAGCATGCTGGCTCAACGCGCCCACTGTGAATGCAAGGTCGGGGCGAGTCCCGATCATTGCATACATGAGAGAGCCAAGCGCGCTCTGGTAAGGCTTCGGGTTGATCTCCGCCTCCGAGAGCTTGACGAGCTTCTGGTTTTGTGCCATAGGTGTGCTGACCGGGCGGCAATCGGCCATACCATGTTGTGCGAGACACTTCTCGACATACTGGTGTTGCGAGAGCTCGAGGACACAGCAAGGACGATCACGAGCGATTTCCATGCCGAGGAGCCACCGTGCTTCACCAAGGTCGGTCATCTCGAAGCGAGACTTGAGATCTTCCTTGAGGGTGGTGACAGCAGTGAGGTTGTCAGAAAGAATGAGCATGTCATCGACATAAATGGCGATAATGAGGAGAATACCGTCATCGTTCTTGTAGAACACGCTGTGGTCCGAGTGGCAGCGGGTGAACCCAAGCGCCTCGAACTCAGCACGGATCTTCTTGTACCACTCACGTCCAGCCTGCTTAAGACCATAGAGGGCCTTGTTCAGCTTCCAGACGAGGCTGTTGGACCTGCGGAAGCCAGAGGGAACCTTCATGTAGATCTCCTCATCAAGATCACCATTCAGGAATGCCGATTTGACATCCATCTGGTGGATCTTGAGGTCGAGCTTGGCAGCAAGAGCAAGTAGTGTTCAGACAGAAGCAAACTTTGCGACGGGTGCAAAGGTTTTGTTGAAGTTGAGGCCCTCAACCTGTGTAAAGCCCTTGGCAACAAGTCGAGCCTTGTACTTCTCGATTTCACCATCCGGTCCACGCTTGATCTTGAAGACCCACTTGCAGTCTATGACCTTGCGATTCCGCGGGCGCTCCACTTCGTCGTAGAGCTCCGCTTTGACAAATGTGTGTAGCTCCTCTGCGCACGCAGCCTTCCAGCGTGCAGCATCGGGGCGTGACATCGCCTCCTCGTAGGTCTGTGGTTCATCCCAGCTTGTGGCTTTGTGAGCATTCTCTGCATCGCCCACTTCCTCTGCATTCTCCGAGTCTGCCGCTGCGGCATCAGCGCCCACTCCACCCACATCATCCTGGCCCTTCGGTTTCCGTGTGTAGGAGGACACGAAATAGCGGTCATCATCGGCCGCTACCGGTGCCGTGCGCATTCGACCTGAACGGCGCAGTTCCGGAGCCGGGGGAGGAGGTGGTGGTGGCTGCGCGGCGCACGCGGCGTGATGCCGGCGCCTAATTTCGGGCAGTGGAACCTCGTCGTCGCTGTCGTCCACATCCAGGAGTGCAGGTGCATCCTCATCTTCATCTGGGACATCTTCGACAGTGGGCCTTGGCGGGCGCGGAGACGGCGGCAGCTGTGGCCGCGCGTCGGGCGCCTCCTGCATAGGTGTGACATCAATTGTGATGCGACTGGGTGCGACTTCGGTGCCTTCGTCGAAATACATGTCGCGGGATTCGACGATGCGGCCGGTCGCTCTGTGAACCAGACGGTAGGCCTTGCGATTTGCGGCAAACCCCAGGTGCGTGCACTCGAATGTTTTCGAGTCGAGTTTCTGACGTTTTTCCTTAGGAACGTGGACATAGGCTTTGCAGCCGAAAACGCGGAGGTGCGCCACGCTCGGCTTGTTTCCGGTGTAGGCCTCGTGTGGTGTGAGGTTGTCAGGGAGAGTGCGGGTTGGAACAGAGTTAAGGATGTGTACTGCATGTAACACAGCATCACCCCAGTATGTGTGCTCCTGGCCATCTCCTTGATGGTGCGGTTCATCCGCTCGGAAACGCCATTCTCCTGTGGAGTGTAGGCATTCGTCTTTTCGTGGTGGATGCCCTTCTCCTTTAGGTACACTTCGAATTCCTTCGACTCGTACTCACCGCCGCCATCAGTCCGCAGGATATTGGCACGCTGCCCGGTCTCGACCTCAGCTCGTTCAACAAAAGCTTTGAAGTGTGAAAGCGCTTCATCCTTTGTCTTCATGAGGTTGGCGACAAGGTGGTGCGTGTGTCTGTCGATGAACGTGATGAAATAGCGGTGGCCGGACCACATCTGAGTCTGCATGGGACCACAGACATCGGAGTAGGTGCGATGGAGAACGCGGGGATTCTCGACATCCGACTCCTTCGGGATTGGCTGGCGTGTCTGCTTGCCATGGAGACAGGGCTTGCAGGTGAAGTTACTCACCTTTTCTCCGACGATCGACATGCCCTTGACCATTCCCTTTCGCACCATCTTCAGCACAGAGTCTACGGAGATGTGACCAAGGTGGCGATGCCAGACCTGAGCACTCGCACTGGATGTTGTCTCCTTAGCAACAAAAGCGTGGAGTGGGGGATCATCCATGGAGTCATCGTAAGAGGGAGGGAGATCTTCTGCCTGCAGGATGTAGGTACGCTCGGGGAGCTGCGTGGTCATGTCGAGAACATAGAGATTTCTCCGCATGTACCCAATGGCGCTAAGTCGGCCCTGGGCATTGCTGATGCGACACGTACCATCAGCGAACCTAACATCGTAGCTGTTGCGGTCAAACTGCGAGACAGAGAGCAGGTTGCCATTGAGATCTGGGACATGGAGAACTTCCTGCACAATGCCAGTGTTCGTTGAGCCATGGTTGACTGCTGCACGAAGTGTGACCTGACCGATACCAACGGCGAGGATAAAGCGCTTATCTCCGAGGTAAACACGCTTGGGCGTAGCGAGGGCACGGTAGTTTACGAACCACTCGCGGTGAGATGTCATGTGGGAGGAAGCTCCTGAATCAACAATCCAGTGGTGGAGGTCATCACCACGTGCCAACTCCTCAGCAACGAAGAGGCGGAGCGTCTCGGAGTCAGCCTCACCGACACTGGCGATCTTTGCAGATTCCTTTGCATCAGCAGCCTTCTCAGCTTTCTTGTCACCCTTCGCTGTGGCGCCCTCCACCTGGCTCGCCTTGAACTTCCGACACTCGTCCTTCGTGTGACCAGTGTAGCCACAGAAAGCGCACTTGCCCTTCTTCTTCTTGTCCTTGTCCTTCCCCTTCGACTTCGACTTGGTATCAGCATGCTTCGCAATGAGCGCAGATGCTGCGGTCGTCTCGCCACGTCGCTTCTCCTTGCTAAGGACCTCATTGACGACCTTCTCGACTGTGAGTTTCGAGTCAGAGGCCATGAGGATAGTGTGAAGGGTTGAATAGGATGGAGGAAGGGAGATAGCCATAGCGATGGCAATGAGCGTGTCGTCTAGCATTAGCCCGAGCGTCTCGAGGATGTGGGCCTTCTGCTGCATCGTGTTGAGCTGCAGCTCTAGCGGCGACTCGTCACTAAGTGTGCTGCGGAAAAGGTCGCTGATGAGATAGGCTAAGGTTTGCTTGCCTCTGCCCTCGTAACGCCTGTTCAACTTCTCCCAAGCATCCTGTGCCGTCATCGAGTACATCACACCGTTGAGCGGCTCGTCCTTGAGCGTCAACGTGATCTGCGCGAGCGCCTCATTGTTCCGGACATCCCACTCCGCCTTCTTCATAGTATCCGCTGTTCCGGGGTCGGCTTCGGTGCCGTCGATGAGCGAATAGAGACCACGCAACCGGAGGATGGTAGTCGTGCGGTACTTCCACGTCTGGAAGTTTCCGCCATTGCTTTCGAGGAACGGGACATCGTAGAGGCGCTTCGACTCAGCTTTGGAGCTGGCCTGAGATATCGGCGGGTATAGAGACATGGTTCGACAGGGGTGTGAACGAGAGAAGCAGGTTGTGGGAAAGGAAGGTGATGACGAGCGATTGAGTTCTCGATATTTCCGATGCTGTCAGATTCAGTTGGAGCCGGGGCTCATAACCTATTGCGAGTACGCGGCGAGGGGGGAAGGCGTCCAGGGGATGTCTGACGGATCTAGAGCGGGACCAAGCACAGCTCAGTCTCGTGCGATAGCAAACGAGTGACTCTATTAATACTAACCTAGAGCGGGACCAAGCACAGCTACTACAGGTCAGTAAGGAGATAAAAGGTAGGTAAAGAAAGTATTCACCTCAGTCTCGTGCGATAGCAAACGAGTGACTGAGGTGCATCGTCCGAACGTCCGCCAGTACTACCTACGTGATTACGTAAGTAACGTGGTGGCGTAAATACCGTACTACTCTGCCCGTGTCGCAATGTATGTACTTCAACACCGATCGCTGTCTCTAGTGGTGTCTTCTTACTGGGGAGCATCTATGGCATCCGCGGTCACTTTTCTGGGCACCGATTACCTCGTCTGTTGCCACTGAAATTCGCCGCGGGTTGCGCTACCTTCGGCACTCTGCTGTTCTGGGAGATGGGAACCCGTGAATATTTTCGTAGGATAGCAGAAGATGAAGACCTTACGGCGCTATATCTTCCGATGCGGATTTTTGCACACGATCGGTTCATAGCTGGATATCACATGGGGTTGTCGCAGGCGGATTCGGAGCAAGACTCGTATTTTGACCGAGTGCGCGGGCCCTATTTTTCTGAAGGTACGGGCGGAAACCCGCATTTGCGTCACGTATCAGGTACAACATTTATATTTTTCAGGCGCAGGCACTGGAACACGCATTCTGGAAACGATATCATATTGGACTCATCACGCATGGTCGACCCGCTCCGCTCAGGCGTGGACTAGACGGGTGAACCAGCTTATCCTCGAGATCCAGCATGTGAGCCCGCATGACATAGACATAGTCGTGACACCGATGTCGCGCGGTTTGAATATGAATATGTGGGAGGTAAGCCTTGCAGTCCAGACGATATTTTCATACCTAGCTAATTACTGCCGATGCACGATCGCGCAGAAAGTTTCGAACAGTTTTAGCTTAGTAGCATCGTGCATGGTCATAGCACGGTTGGCTACAGTTCGGTCTAAGCCACTCTCCGTGTGGTTTAACTGTTTGATGGCTCTGTCCATCTGCGGAGCCGCAGTCACAGGGAGCTTTCGCCGCTATCAGTATGTCACCTATCCATGCACCATTCTTGACAAGTCCGGAACAGTCCTCGCATCAGCGAACCCATCTCGTGCCAAGCTGTTCATGGAGAGAGATCTTAAGGCAGAGTATATCAAAACCGTCAAAATGCTAATAAAAACTAGCGAAAGTATGATCGAGAAATTAGCCGTACTACGAAGCCATCACGAGTCACACGAACTGGAGGGGCATGGAGTGCTCGACGCTGTGGATACTTTTATCCAGACACTCAAGAGGAACATAGAGGAGATGAAAGGGCGTGTCATAGCCATGGAACGCAAGATTGAGATATTGGATGCGGAGATTGAGGCTGCCAGTAGAACTACGAAGGAGCGCGAGGTTTGAATATGAGCGCTTGAATTTGTGATGCATGTCTTTTTGCTCTCCTCGTTATGCTCTTTCACACTTCGTACATACCGTCGATTGGCTGCCTTTCCGTACTTCACGTTTTGCTTATTTCGCTCGCTCACCGCTTAGCTTTCAGCTTTCCATCGTATCCTCTCTGCTTTCCTGCATGCATACTTACACCACCACTCTTCGTCCCTCTCGCTGAATGTCCAGACAGTAACACACTAAGTTGACCCACGCAGAGGTGGAAAACTGACGATACAAACGATGAGAATTACAAGGCTGATTAGCCATATACCCAACTAGTAAACAAACCAGTGGATCCGCTCCCCAAAAACTGATGAAAGGTGAATTCCACAGCAGATCATCTTCACCATGAAAGAATGTCTACGTAAGAACCCAATTTGCGTAATCACTCTGCAGGTTCAGCCCTAAGGCATAGACTCGGGCGCTTTTGTCGTGTTCGGCCCAAGAAAATGGCGCTTCAACAAACGATGAATATAGTGCGGAGGCGGCGATCCTTGCCAGTGTCGGAGGTAGTTGGCCAAGAACACAGCCTTACCGTTGAAGTACTGGGAACTTCAAAGCACTGCTGTATCGGTGCGCCACATATACCAAGGCTTGTCGTCTGGCAGGTGGAATACCGGCGTAGCTTCGTGGTTGCTTGTCGTGAGGATCGGGCGCACCGGGCACGCCGTCTGCAGTCTTCAATCGTCCGCGGTTCAGAGGGTGTGTATATAGGCAAAACGCTGCAATCCTGATCGCTTTTTAAGAAGTAGTCAGTGTGATAAAATACCTCCTCCGCAAGTGCCTCATGTTTTGCAGGTGCCTTGGGTTTGGTATCTGGATCTACCTCCTCCGGGGATGGCGTCGGTACGATGGCGTGGTACGCCGAGTCATAATCATTCGCCATCGAGTGCAACAGAAGATTGGACTCCACCATCGGGCTGTCAGGCCACCAATAGTCGGATGGGTACTCGTGGCTGTGATTTTCGCCAATTGACAGGGACACCAGCCAACATGTGCCGCATGTTGGAGCGCCAGATCCTTCTTCATCTAGCGATGCAAGATCGAACAATTCAGCATAGAATGAAGTCATAGCCTCCGGCTCGCAGAACGTGCGGATGGGGCGCATGCGTGGAGAGTCAGAAGAATGTGAAGCTGAACATGTCGATGGAATGCGATCAAAGTTCCTTGTATGAACAGGCAAAGTCAACGGGGGCACCCCGGTGATTTTCCTACGGTGTCAGATGCGGCAAGAACGAATAGGCCGAGGCAATTCATGTCCACCCAGACTTTCCGGACCTTGCGCACCAAGGTGACGGACTCGTGATAGTAAGCTGGATGCTTGGGATGCTTGAGTAGAGGGACAGTGGTCATTTGAAGCTTGGTAATTTCGTTGTGGATAGCGGTAAATGGATAGACGTGCGCTCGCAGTGGCGGCAGGTTGACATATGGCGGAAAATAGTTGTGGTGCTTCTTGACGTTGGGATTGTGACGACGTAGAACAATCACGTAACAAAACACAGAACGAATGGGGATAAGTCGAACTCGCGATTTATGTCCGGGTACATCTGGAAAACGTGTCAGGGTCAAAAAGAAGGTAATGTCTGCAAAATAATGAAGACCTCGCGCCAATCGTCGTGCAGATACCTCCACCTTTCCAGCTGAGCACAGGTGTTTCAGAGAATGCCAAATGTTTGAAGAATGTCAAGACGCACTATAGATCATGGGTCGTTGAAAGAGAAGACTACTGACACGTAGAGTGAAAAGGGGTTGGGGGAATGTCCCAGGATCCTTCTTCGAATGTTCGAAGAACGTCAAGACGTACCCGTGGGTCGTTGAAAGAGAAGACCACTGAGACGTAGAGTGAGACGCACAACACAACACATTGATAGGTGTCGACAAGCTGAAAATTGATAGCGAGCAGCACCACGAGCGAGCTAGGCGAGTTTCTGACCATAAGCATTCAGCGTAACTGTCCATAGGTGAGCGCTCTCGCAAACGGATGCTAACGATGCGGCAATGCACCACTGGCATTTCCGAAGCTGAGGAGTTATCGGTGTCAACTATGGGTGTTTATCGAATGATGATTCCCCTGTGAAGTGAGAGGCAACACCATGGAATACTGGATGCCTTCCCGTAGGATTTGGAGCACTTCTAAATCACAAAGCGGACTGCGAAACACCCCACTGTGTCGGAACAGCAGGATTTGTGAAACCGTAGCGTCGCAACATGATGATGATCAAACCAAGTTCTAGAGGGTCGGAGGACGAGCGGCAGCATGATGTAAGCAATATGCAGCACCAAATATAGGCAAAGATGGGCATTGCGAGTGGGCGGAGACCGAAATCATCGTTTAGAGAGACGTTTAGAATCTGGAAGGGGGGGTCGACCCCCCCTTCCAGATATAAGGTTTAGAAAGAGCTCACTCTGCTCTCACGGTATGCGGAGATCAATTTGCCGACGTGCCGGCCTGATTTAGAGACGAAATTTAGTTTAGAACGTTTCTAAACGGCTACGGGAAGGCATCCACTAAACTCATCGGTATTCTTGTGAATAATCCCAGGATACTGTCACGGTAGTGCCGCGGCATACACGCGGCCCGCCGGTAACAGATAATCGCAATCACGTGATCTTTGCCCAATATTCTCCCCTCACCCATTGATCGTACTACATAATGCTCCTAATCGGCTACCCCTGCGGAAAGTGTCGAGAAGGCCTTCCGTCCGTGCTCGTCAAATAAATCTGCGATGTACAGTATTATACAAGACCGGCGACGCACCCAACTCCAGCTCTATCTTGTAGAATGTACCTTGGCATGCACTGACGATCTCGTACCAAGGAACCTGTTGTTGTGTACACCCGCTTGCAATGAACATCTATTTACATAACAGACAAATATCCGGAGTATTATGCATATTGCGTTTAATAGACTACACAGAACTGGAGGAAAGCATCGCATGGAAAAGCGTCAACTAAGCGGTAAAAATATAGCGCAAGGAACAACACAAATTGATACAAGCGAGGTAAGTCCTTTCTCCAATCACCAGTGAAAGGTGAAAGTCAATGATTGGATGGCCCACGCACGCATAGGCGACTATGCAAGGAGAACTAGGAGCCCAGCAACCAACGCCAGGACGTGCTTGGGCGTAGCTGCTCACGACGGCGACAACCGCGCTCCTTCCACCGCAGGCGAATTCAGCCCAGAATTCGACGGCGTGTTCGGCGACGGCCCCGTAAACATCGCTTTCAGCGTCTGCTCGTTCCTCTTCTGCCGCACACGCTCCACCTCTTCAGCCCCGCCCGTCATCTTGAGCCTCTTGCCCGAAACGAACCCGTTTAGCTCAGACTGGAACTCGTCTGACCGGCTCTGCAGCTCCTTCTCGCGATTCTTCTCGTTTGCCGCGATAGCCTTCAAACGTCGCTCTGGGTCCACAGCTGCTGCGCCACGGATCTCCAGCATGACCGTACTCAAGCCTGAATGCCCTTCGTCCATTGGTGGAGGCTTGAAGCCACGCGCTCGGGTCGCCCGTGCTGACGCGTTTCCGCGAAGGGAAATGACCTTCTCGACATGACCATACACTTCCTCCGCCGCCTTGTGGTCCTCAAGCAGGTCGCCGAGGAACTCCTCCTGGTGCTGCAGGAACTGCTGCTCCTCCACGATATTCTGCAGCTCCTCCTCCCACGTCTTCTTCCACATCGGCTTCACCGTCTGGATGTGCTCCTTGAGGCTGCGCAGCTCCTCCGCGGTGGCGTCCATGTCCGCGCGCACCTTCTTGAGGATCTGCGGCTTCGGCGAGACGTTGCGCTTCAGGACATCGTCCTTGATATTCTCGACGATGTCCTGCAGCTCTTCGACGCGCGTCAGCACGTTCTGACTGCGGCTGTCGAGCTTCGCCTTGCCATCGTTGATGAACGACCGCGTGCCCGCGACCTTGGTCGTCGCGATCTGCCGCACGTTCTGCGTCTGCGACCGCAGCGCGCCTAGCGACTCCTTCGTCTGCTTCATGAACTCGGTGTACAGTTGCCGCATGATGCCGAGGTCCCGCCGCAAATTCTGAACTTCGTCGAATTGCGTCTTCAGGTCCTCCACCACGCGCGTGGAGTATTCGGACATCACCGACGCGCCGGTCATCTGCGGCTGGATGACTGAGCCCGTTTGCTGAGGGACGAGTGGCAGCCCCTCATCGGGGAGGAGACGCGAGAGACGCCGGGCTACGTTGTGGAACTGGCGCTCGGTGGGGCGGGCGGTGGAGGGCGTGCTCTCTGCGAGAGGCTGTGAAATGATCATCGGTGGTGGATGTGACGCGCGACGGTTACTTGACACGACCGCACGGAGATCCTTGATATCTTGGGCAAGTGACGATATTTGAGTGTCGATGTGCTGCTTAATCTGGTCGAGAGCTATCCATAATACGTTAGCATATTGCACTACGAGAGCACAAACCTAGCTTACGTTCGATGTTCAAGGACAAAAGGCACTTGTCCTTGATCTCGTCCGGATCCTCAAGTTCATACTGCACACCACTCGACGGATCTCGAATGTAGATCGCCGGGAAGTTCTCCTTGCCAGGATTGTACGCGAACTTATCCATGAACAATACCCTCAGGCTTCCAAAGGTCATAGGCGGCTCGATGATGACCTTCTTCACTTCCCGGCCAACCTGCAGGAAGACAGGGAAGGACGTCGACGCTTCATCAGACGCCCCTCCCACCGACGGCTGCTCCGCGGCAGGCGCAGCCTCCGGCGGTTTGTCAGATACAGCAGGTTTCTGTGGGGAAGGGCCTCTTGACGAGGGCAAAGGGGGGATGAGAGGCGCCTCTTCAATGGGTGAAGGATTTCGCGATCGCTGCGACGGCCTACTCCGTTCTCGCTTCATTGCAACAGGCGGCTCTTCGTCCACCTCCGTGAGCACCGCAAGATCCCCTGGGGTCAGTGCCCCAGTCACAGCTAGCGACCGCCGGTTAGGATTGCTGCCCACCCCATGGCCTCGAATCGAGCCACCGGTCATCTTGGAGATGTTGTACGTCGAGAAGCGCTTGGATGCGCGCCGCTCGAGGGCATCACTTTGCTTCAACGCTGCGAGCGAGTTCTGCACAGCTGGAGCTGGGAAGGATTCCATCGGCACGTTGTCTCGCGGTGGTGACTGAGGCGTGGCAGGACGAGTCGCCGGAGATGGAGATTCCTCGTTTACTTCGTCAACGACGACCATTGGTGGAGGCGTTGGGGCGCCGACGGGCGGGTCTGAGAGTGAGTACCGTTTCACGCTGGGGGGCACCTGAGGTTGTGGCCGAGCTATTGGGGTGACATCCAGGTCTGGCGAACCTTTAGATTGTTGCCCATTTACTGCGCCCTGCCCGTTCGACATCCCATGTTGCCCGTTCGACATACCCTGCTGCCCATTCACAACGCCCTGCTGTCCATTTACCATCCCAGCGGTAGCATCTACCGCCGAAGCTGACCGAGCGCGCGAGGGCGGGAAGCTGCTCGTCTCCGGCAACTGTGACCTCGGCGGAGGGCCGGGAGTAGACGATCGATATGGTGGCGGCGCATCCCCGTCGACCATATTCGGCGGAGCAAACCCGCCCACGAAGTCAGCGTTATTCCGCACCGGCGGCGAAGCTGGGTTAGCGCCTCGCCTGCTCGAGGTGGCGGAGCGTCGGGAAGAGCTTTCGGAAGACTCATGTCCCCGCATCACCTGTGCGCGTGAGGATACGCTCGTGCCGTCACGCCTGGATGCCGTCCGCTCGCTTCGGCTCTCGCGGTCGCTCCCGTTGGCGGCGTCGGAGGAGCGATGTTTGTGGTCGGATATGATCCGGCGGTATATCGACTGTTTCGACCGCAGACCTTGCAGCAGATCCGTGATGATCTTGCGCACTTCGGGCAGGTACTGCGAGAGCACGTCCGGAGTGGCATCTTCTGAGAGGCAAGTCTCGAGGATAGCGCGCAAGTCGTCTGGTACAGAGGCTAGTTCACTATTGGGGTATCAGCCGCACAGAATAAGAGTAGTGGCAGCAATCACTCACGACATCTCAATCCTGTACAGACTAAACGCCGCTACGGCGGCATTGAAGTCATTCCCCAAGCGCACGTATACATCGCTGACGTCCATCTCCGAGACCTCCTGCTTGCTCCATTTTGTGAGGGCTTCGAGAAGCTGCTTGATAGATACGAGTAAACGGGTGACTGCCGTTTCGACTTGGGGCTATATAGATGTAAGCAACTACACGAGCGGGTAAGGCCGACCACTCACGCTGGGCTCCGGTGGGGCTAGACGATCACTTCGTGAGGATGCCGCCGATGTCGTTGAAGAGACGGATTGGTTTGTACGTCGGGACGGATGACCTGGTTGTCTTGCAGTAGACATGATGGATAGCCGGAAGATGGGAATACCTTCGCAGATATTGCTTAAAGTCGTTCTGATCGCATGGAATGCTCAATGAGTCCTCCAATGCATGAAATGCATTACTCACAGTGTTCGGCGTAACGTACGTTCTGCGAAAGCACGCAAAATTCGACAATAGAGTATGAAAGAGGCGCGGAGGTGCTATACCGGCTTCAGACGGTGCTTACGTAAGCAAGGTTCATGGGCATTCCACGTGCTGATGTGCAGAGCGAGCGACCGCCGCAAGGACATCAATATTGTGAGGACTGCTGAAACTTCGGACACCTGGAGAAACTGAAACAATTCCAATATCCACAGGAATAATTGATTTTCTGCATGTCGTGGCTTGGGAATCCAATGCAAAGCATGAACTTATTCCAGTCCGAAGTTGAAGTCTTCAGGAAGCCGCACAGTATGTTTCGGTCGGCGCTGGGAGAATCGACATAATTTCGGGGACCCTGCCTATGATTGTTCTCCTGAGTAATTGTTGCAGCCAATTTTAAACAGATGTACCGACAGACTCGGTCCTTGATTCGTTGGGGGAGAGAAAGTAGGAGTCCTGTGTTTAGGTACGAATAAGCTGGGTTTCATCTGTACACGGGAGCACAGACCTATTCTGAAATAAGTACTGCAGTCTGAGAATGTGCGATGGACAGCCCTAGTACTCGCAGCGATACCAGTAAGTATGGTGCATGAAACATCATTGACACTTGTCAGAATTGAGACCGTTGAGTACATCCCCGTTATGCAGGACTGCGAGTGAATTACAAGACCTGTACAACACGTCGTTATGGTACAAGTAAGGCTGTCCAGAAAACCCGGGTGGATACTCGACGCGTGCACGTGATGCATATTTGTACGCGTTGTTGCCGGTTGTTGACGCGTACATTGCGCGTACATGTTGCCTACTACGTACCTCATGGCTATGCTAGCGCTGTGTCGCCTGGTGCTAGTGAGTATTGGTCCTTGTCAAGAAAACCTTGGTTTGACAGTCTCTGACTCGCAAAGTCGTGGGCGCCCTTGTGGAGGAAGTACTCATACCATAGGAATAGTCTTGGTCAAATTTGTGAAAGCCATGTTTGCGAGGCCTGAAGCTTGTGCTCTTAGCAAACTGAAGGAATCCGTTAAATGAACAGCTGGCAAACTAAACTTTCTCCTTGTAAATCTAGGACAGTTGGAGCGCCGTCATCACCATGGTACGGGCCTCACCCCTGTAAGTGGACTACGCCGTCGATCCATCTCGTCACTACCTCGCTTTCCCTTGCCATTTTCTTCTTTCAAGCATAAACTCCAGTAGCCAGAAGTGCTATTTCTTGTCGCACACGTGCAGATACAGCAGTTCTCACTTCTGACGAAAACGCCAGCTCCGCGCCGTCCTGCTGTCTTGGAATGGCTATCTCGCTTCTGGACAGCTTGGTCGATCATGCGTATGTGATGTCCGCTTTCGGCGGTGACTCTCCACAAGATGGTCGTTCGTAACTCATTCAAAACAGGAAGCTCAGTATCGCTATGGGTTACCGGTTACCCATGACGTCTCAACGAGTGCAGCTCATTGTTTAATAAAGGTCTGATCTTCGTGCTGCCTTCGTCAACGTCCACACTTTGTCCTCACCTCGAGGTGACACTAGAGAACAGAGAAGCTTGGCGTTGGCTTGGCAACCGAATCCCTGTCATTTATCCATAGCCGGTTCAGCGTCCATAACCTACCGCGTATGAACGACTGCTAAAAGCCGGGTGCTGTTCTCCCTGGACACTTGCAAGTTGCAAGGTCAGCTTGCGAGCATCCATGCAATATATGTGGTCTTACTCATAAGGCCAGTCATACAGCGTTTGCACCGAATACTGTAATTTGCAAGGTCGACACCTAGGTCTTAGATCGTTTTTCAATTTCCAAGGGCAAAATATTGAAGAAGATGTCGTTTCAAATCTTCTTGCTGCCGCCTTCGAGATCGATTAAATCAGCCTACCGCGACAGTACACTTCCACGCCACAATCTCTGCAGACTCACCTCGTCGTTAAGCCTGAAAATTGAGCTGGCAGATGCGATTTGGTGCAACTAAATTTTACGCATGGTGAGTTTTCACCACCTAGACGTCCGCGGGTGAATCATTTCTGGAGTCCGTTGGTGACATCTGTATGCAAACGGCACATCGAACTTTCTTCGCTGAAGGTCGCCAACCTCACGGAAGCCGCGACAAACAGCGTCTGGAGCGTAGATGGAACCCCCTTTCCCTTGGCTCCCCGCCCTTTGGCGGAACTTTGCTTGTCTCCAAGACGACTCTCAACCTGGTATCCTCCGGTATCTCAACATACATTATTTTATCCAGGCGACTTGGAGATCTCAGGATCGAATTTCAAAGATTGGTACCAAATGCTTGTAGGACCCCTGAATATTGAGGAGGATGCCGTTTCGCAATCCGGCCAAAATGCGAGCAAAAAAATGGCCTATGCCATGTCTAATCCGGACAATTTGGGGGGTCAAGACCTCGCATGCTGGAACACGTCTCCGGACATTTTGGACAGACCATAGCCCATTTTTTATCCGGACAAACTCTACCCGCGCCCGTGTCAACGGCACATCAGCAGCGGTCAAAATGAAGGAATGGCACTCTATGAGCACCAGGACCACTAAACGGCCTCCGTTAGGCTTCTAGCGGGCGAGATTTAGGAAAATAAGCCATTTTGGGGGTATTTTGAGCCAATTTTGGACGGTTGTACTGGATCAAGCGCCCAAAAAAGTCCGGACAGATTTCGAAAAAATGGCCCGAGGCCGTGTTTAATCCGGACATTTTCGCCAAAATTTGGAAATTTTTACCGGACATTTTTGGTCAATTTTCGGAATTTGTGAAACGGCATTGCCACCCATATTCAGGGGTCCTATGCTTGTACACCCAACTGTTACCATATGCATAAGCTGCCAGCGCTTTTAAACGACGTTCTGTTCGCCCTGATCGCATCTTCTCGGGGTATGGCGCATTGGACTGTGATTTGGAGTTATCGATGGGCTGGCCTAGCCACATTTAAACTTTTTGACCACTTGTGTCACGGGTATTGCTCCTCCGGTGCCGCTCTAATTTTCAGCAGCTCGTCATTGGGACTCCACGTGAAGTAGCAGTTTGAGGTTGTACTACTTTCTGTTTTCGTAAGTCGACATCGTTAACATACTTTCCGAGTCTAGACTTTCTGACTTTGGAGGCTTTTCAGACTGTCAGTCGGAGGCCTAGGACTTGGTTGATTTCGCTGTGCTGGCATCATACTTTACCCCGGCAATTCTAGCAGCCAAAACCGGGAAATTCCAGAATCTGATCAGTGCTTACCCGGCTGCGGAGAAGCCCGAGAAAATCGTATGCCACACAAAATGTCCTTGCGGGCGTCTACGCGACGAGGGTGAATCTGCAAGCGGACTGCTCTTTGTCTGACAACGGAAAGATCTGATGGTTTGTTGAGATACAGAACTTGTCCGACCTGCTCTGTTTCTCCCCTTTGGTCTGGCGGCGTTTCGTGCGACCTTCCTCGAGCCATTCCCGTCTCCCCTGCTTGCCTTCCGCGATGCCTACCATAGCCGAGGACCTACTCGGAGCCCTGTTGATTGAGGTTTCTCTGGCTGCTGTGTACGTACTTTTATCGAGCAATATCGGTCATTCTCATTGAATCACCTGCAGGCTGTACGGGATCACGACTACACAGTCCTATTTTTACTACTTCGCTTGCCGCGATGATGATAAGCTGATTCGATGGGCTGTTCTGTTCATTTGGTGCGAGGTGCTTCAAGCGTTACTTGCCGGGTATTGACACAGCTCTAGGATCGTCGAAACGGTGCATACGGCGCTCTGCGTGCACATGATGTACCACTATTTAATCAGTAACTATGGAAGTTTAGAAACAGCTAATCGCATCGTTTGGTGAGTACCAACCTGTGGCTTGGTTGCTTCAGTGCTTAACCTGCGGCTTAGGAGTGCTGGTGTAAGCACGACATGTTTCATGTCTCTTGCCCCCTTCTAACCTTCGTACCTGCAGGCTACTGTGATCACCGAGGTAAGTATTTTTAGTTCAACGCAATAAGATGTATGTGAATACTGCTGCAGGTGTCTATATCTGCGACTGTTCAAACGTGGGAGTGTAGATAATCTGAAAAATTTGCTACTAACCAGCCTATGTCTCGCAGTTTCTTTGTCCGTCGCATCTGGATCTGTGCGTATTCACATATTGTGTGGTGATGCCTACGCTCAAACCTACTTTAGTGAGCCACAAGTCCAGGCTCATAACCTCCCTTCCGGTGAGTCAATAAATATGCGCGGATGATCCCATTTCTGAATATCATGTAGGCGGTTCTCTTGTTCATTCGCATTGGTACGTGTATATTCTCCTCGACTCTCGTCGTACTAACATTTCTCAGCATTTGGATACGGTGCGACGTTTCTCTCAGGTCAAAATCCCTTCAATATTTTGACGATTATAACACTTGATCCTCTGCTTAGCCTCCGCCGCTCTCACGTACGCTTTTCATACACATTGTATGCACCTTGTCTGACAAAGTCAACCTTCAGATGGAAACACGCTAGCTGGACTGCGTTCCGCTACAATAGGGGATCATTTGTATGCTGTAAACCGCCTTTTGGCCGATATCTCAGCGCTTAGACATTTGTTCAGATCACAGTTACATGTAGCCTTAGCCTCGCAACGGCTGTGGACTTCACGATCGCAGTCATTCTCATATACTACCTTCAGAACAGTCGGTCAGGCTTTCGAGGGTAATCAATTATTCAACGCTTTTCACTGTCTTCGCTCAACAATAATCGCAATTATAGGACTCATCCGACCATCCGATCATTGCAGGCTTACATCATTAACTCCGGGGCTATAACGATGCGCGTCCCCATCTCGTCCCCTTCGTCAAATTGCTAACTCTCGTATGCTTGATCAGGGTGATCTCTCTCACCATCGTGCTCACGGTAAAATCGGACTCATTCAATGTACATTCATGTCATTCGCTGAATAATGGCTTTCACTAGTACGTGTTCTTGAAGAACAACCTCTTATACGCGGGATTGCTTGAGATGCAGGGCAAACGTAAGTGCATCTTCCTCTCTTGAGTCTGCAGTAGCCTGAAAAAATTTTCAGTATACGCAAACACCTTACTCGCAATGTGTGTCTGATTAACCTCTCACCAATTCTATGTGCTATTTACACCTGTCCATAGGCTCAACACGCGAGAAACGGGGAACCGTTCGACCAAAGCTTCCTCCGCGGACGATGGTCCTAACGCGCTGGAACTCGCGTCACGGCGTCCTCATGCACAAATTGGTTCAGTATGTCGCCTTCACCGTATACAATTTTAGCGAGATCGCTGATCTCTGGCCATGGATATCAGCGCCATATTGAGATCTTCCAGCACGTCACCCGCGACGTCGATGCCGTTCCACCATCGGAAGAGGCCATCAAGACTATTGGCGACATGGATAGTGCAACGGACGAGTATTCTGCGACCAACAAGTCGCAGACACTTATTTGACGTCCAGTATAGTGGTACACGTGTACAACATGTAGGCGTAAATTCCCTCGGCGCAGTCCTCCATGTATCTTCCTGCACACTCTTTCTGAGTACTGGATTTCATTCGTTTACTATGATATTGATTAATATTATGACTGTCGCTGCTGCGCTGTCCGGACTGAAAGTACTGAAAGTTGTTCAACCCGTAGTAGACTCAAGAAGTAAACGATACGTGTTCGTCCGCTGTTGCTACACCTGTCCCGATCGCGACATGGTTGTCTTGCAAACACAGATAGGAACTGTTTCGCTCAATGTTGGCGCCACTATAAGACGATACATATAAATCGCCGTCATACAGTCAGATTCTATAGCTACATTGTAGGGCGCAGCAAAGACCTAGCGTCTTCGCGCTGCAAAGTAATACATGCGCAATATACCTAGCCCCAGAGGTGTGTCATGCTCAACTCCTCTCGACCACCTCAATGATCACTCTCCCCACGCACTTCTCGCCGACCTTCTCATAGATACCCACATTCAGCTCACCCACGTCCCGTGCCTGCGGAACGCCCCAGAACTCGACGACACGTTTCTCGAGACGCGCACCAGCGCCGCTAGCGACCGCATCCAAGTCGATCTTAATAAATTTCGGAAGCGCCTTCCCAGAGATGAGTCGCGCGACAAGAGCCTTCGGTTTTTTAGTCGTTGGACTCCCTGCGTTGTATGATACCGGCACGCGGAACTTGAACTGTTCGCCCGTCCTTGCAAGCATCCTCGGGACGATGGGTATCTTCACGCTGGTACCAGTGCTGGTGGGGCGCTCATGTCCGTGGTACGACGATTCCAGAGAAAACGATCCAGACGGGGAATGCGCTTTCGGCAGATATTCAGATGGCCAAGATAGACGTGAAGAGAAAGATCACGTACGAAGCGAACCTGCGCTCTGCGCATCATCGCCCAGCGCACGCACATAGGTGATTCCCACTGCCAATTCGTCGGTGCCCTTCTCCGCAGCTCGCAGCTCCCCTTGTGCATCGCGGAAGACCTTGGCCACTTGGCTCACCACACGCTTGCTTCGCCTCTTGTTCCCGGCACTATTAGCACTTGCAGGGACGGACTTATCGGGTTCTCCGTTGAGAAGCGCAGAGGGCAACTTGGGAACTGGGACGCGGCTAGCACTCGTGAACGGTACGAGGCGCGGTCGACCGGATTCCGGCACGTTCCTGGTGTCAGCCGAAAGGAATGAGAGGACGCTTGTGCTGTGCACGCTGTTGGCGCGCGTCGCAGTCTGCACCACTGCATCTACCTCATGTGTACGAGCGGAAGAGTTGGATGCCAGCGACGAAGTGTCCGATCCGACCGAGTCGACAGAGGGCTTGTGAGCATGCGCATCGTCCAGGTGTGCTTGAGGAAGTGTCGGCACTTTCGGTGGCACGAAGTCCGCACGACGCCGGGGAATGGAACGCTCGCCTGTGGAAGACGAGGGGGAGTTGGCCATGCTGGTGATACCACTGGGTGCGTATTGACTGAGATCCATGTCCTCAAAAGGAATTGCCTGGGGATGCCGCCTGGACACTGCATCCAGCGCGCTTGGCCCGCTGTTGATGGGCAATCCGTCGATAGCTGGACCTCCGGGAGTGCTCACACGGTTATCACTGGCCATGATGAGTATGGGCTTAGATATGACCGGCCTTTTCGAGCGGCCGACGGCGCGCTTATACGTGTCGCTGATGCTGCGATACTTGTCGCTGACGATCCGCGCTGTCGCCTTCAGCCTGCCAACGAACTCGCCCTTGCGCATGACGCCAGGGCTCAGTGGGCTGGCGTGCGATTGTGGATTAGACGCCGTGCGTGTGAGGACGCGGTGCAGACCCAGACCAATATTCCCGTACTTCTCCGAGCCTTCTTGGACACCCTTCTCCGAGACGATTGTTCCGTTAGAACCGTTCAGCTCGCTGGCAGGGCCTTCGTGGACTGCGCCGTCCACCCTGATGCCAATACCGTACCATTTCATTTCGTCTTCCGTCCACGCGTTCCTGCCCTCTTCGCCCAGAACAGCGTTGTCGGGAACCCGTGCACACCGACGGAACACTGCCAATGCCATGCCTAGGATGACGAGTCCACTGATGATACCGAAGGCGATCTTGAGACCCAGTAGCATCTTCTCCCGCGCAGATGGAGAGAGGCCATGCGAAGGCTGCTTAGAGTAGTCGGCGTTTGACAGAGAGATCGGAAGGCTTGTATGAGACGTCGAGTGTGTTACATGTGAATAAGCGGTAAAGGTCACAGAGATGTGGCTGTAACTGGCCCCAGAAGACAAGAGGTTGGCAGGGACGGTACCCGTGAGTTGAGCGGAAGTAGCATCAAAATTCAGATAGTTGCCAGCAGAGGGCGGGTCAAAAGCCGCGGTGAGATTGACGTCGTTACGTTGAATACCCAAGCCGGAGCTGTTTGAGAAGTATTGAACGAGATCGTAGCTCAAAGCATGACCCGGAAGCACCAGGACAGGTTGTAGAACCGCAGTAGAGAAATACGACGGGACGATGGCCAGAGACACGTTCGTCTGGATGGTCTGGTTAATTGAGGTTACCGTCGCCGGTAGAACGGGGTCCTGCGAACTGCTGGTAATGGAAGTCGGTGGATTTCCAGTCAGTGTTCTGCTGCCAGAGTCGTAGTGGAGCCAGTTCGAATAGTGGGATGTATCGATTGTCAAGTTCAGGATCTCAGAGGCTTGCACTGGCTGGCCATCTATCAGCACGCCATAGAAGTCGTCTGGCGAGTTGAGACTGAAGTTGAACGGCGTTGCGGCAGTGACGTTGATTGTCGGTAGAGAAGCCGTAGACAGAGACAACTCGTGCGCCGCAACGACAAGATCGAACGGTGAAGATGCGGCAGAATAACCTTCCTGATCTGAGACATGCAAGGCAAGAGAGACTGTCATCGGGGAAGTAGAATTCTGCAGAGATGGCGAGACGCCGTCAAACGTGATTTCGTCAGGATTGAAAGTAATCCATGACGGCAACGGTGTACCATCAGCCTGCAGACCAGCATAGTACAGATCGTTGTCTGTAATGTAGGTGTCATAGAGAAATCCAACACTAAACGACCAACTAGGCGGGATGCGTAGGGAGGGATTAGAGGTGTCCAGTGCAGAATCAGGGGACAGGAGGAACACAGAGGACAAAGAAGGATTGCTGGCGTTGAATTGTTGTGCAACCGGGACGTGGAGATTAGGCGGAGCGTATGGCGTCACGCACAGAGTCATGTAGGAAGACGCAGAACTAGATGACACAGGGTCGTGGGCAACTATGCTGAAGCCCGGGGTCCCCTCGTCAGAGGGAGACGGGGTGCCATGAAGAGTCAGCGTCGAAGGGTCGAAGAAGAGCCATGCAGGCAGGGTTGAAGTTGTATAGTTAAGACGAGCATTGTCCGAAGAAACGAAGGTGTCGCTGGCAAATGTCCAAGAATACGAAGCGTTTACACGGGCAATGAGAGGCAATTGATCCTGCAGTGGGTATTGAACGTAGATGGAAGACGCGCCTGTCGAAACTGCGGCTCCGAGAAGAAACAAAAGAATGACGAGCATAGTAATGGGATTGGACGACGACGTGAGCACTAGCCAGTCGACCGGCGACCTCACTGGTAAAACAAATGAAGGTTGATGGGATGACGAGAATCGAGAATTGAGAGCCTACTAATCAAACGGTAAATCAGCGGCGAGTCGATGGTTTTAGTTATCAGGGTTGACGCCTGTGCTACGACGCATTGTTCGAAAATAAGACATTAGAACACTCACCCTCGATTGAGAACAAAAAGAGTGGAAAGCCGGACGATAACTTCTCCTCGCGGCGGGAGGTATACTATAGTTCACGTCCAAGTTCGAGTTGAACTGTCGCCGACGCGTTGTACCACGTGCTCATCACGTGAATTGGTGTCTCCTCTCAATATGGCAACTGTCAGTTTTTCTCCTCTAAGTCCTCCAGCCTGAGTGATTCTCAGACATCCCGCACTGCCACCCCACTGTCTGGCTCGATTATTCTCACTGTATTTCATTTGTGCTTGGTTTCAATTTTTCTGGACTCTCTGGGTAGCTCAGTGCGGTTTCATCTCCATGCCTGATGCACGTCTTGTCGACTCGAAATCAACTTTCGCCTCGTTCGCGCATATCCTCGATGCGCGTTTACTCCGCGCTCTTGCGGACATGGGCTTTGCAAGGCCGACACTGGTTCAAACGAAGGCTATACCTTTGGCACTCGAAAATCGTGACATACTTGCCAGAGCACGCACGGGAAGCGGAAAGACAGCCGCGTATTGTATACCAATCGTGCAGAAGATATTGAATGCCAAAGCTGTGGGTACTCATTTGTGCATGTTCCTTGCTGGCTTGTTGACTTGCACTACCTATGTGCAAGGGGGAGTAGAAGGATGGTGTGCCAATTTGTGATTTGTACGATGAGATGCTCATTCTGTCTGGTCTTCGGCATGAACCATGTCTTGCTAGTGGATCTATTGCAATGCAATTCACTCTGTCACCATATCGATGCCATCTTTGCTATATCCATGCTCGCTGTATCAAAGTTATGGGATTTGACGCTTTTCTCACGACTTTGTTCTTTCTTCAGAACATCGCTACGGAGGATTCTGCGAGACAAGCCACACGTGCTTTGATTCTTGTTCCTACCAGAGAATTGTCGGAGCAAGTCTCCACGCATCTCAATGGCATCTTAGCATATTGTGATAAGGATGTCACCACAGCCAACGTCTCCACGGGAACGTCTGCTCACCTGCAGAGGTTTGTATGTTCCTCTCAGACATTCGGCTTTGGCTCATACACAACTCTAGAACGTGGCTATCAGACAATCCAGATATTGTTATTGCCACTCCCTCTCGCGCGTTAGGGTTGCTACAGGCGAAGGTAAGCACTCCGGTCGCAGCCTTATAAACGAATGAGCTGAAAATTCGACCGTTCGTAGACGCTATCTCTTACTTCCCTCGATTCACTTATCATTGATGAGGCCGACTTAATCCTGTCTTACGGTCATGACGAAGATGTGCGCCAGATTCTGAGCGGCGGGTTCCTGCCGAAGGTGTTCCAGTCATTCCTTATGAGTGCGACCATGACCGAGGATGTTGAAACACTAAGGGGTCTTACCCTCCGAAGTCCAGTGAGTATGTCAGTGATTATGAGCATTTATCGTTGGTTTCTCATCTCCATTTAGGCGATCCTGAAGCTGGAGGAAGATGAAGACGAGGCAGCAAACTTGACCCAGTACTCCGTCCTGTACGTCGTTGAGCTGTTCTCCTTTTCGCCTCAATCAAACCTGGAGCCCTCAATAGTTGCTCGGAAGTGGACAAGTTCCTTCTCACCTACGTTATTCTCAAGCTCAATCTCATCAAGGGCAAGTGTATTCTGTTCGTCAACGATGTTGACCGGTGTTACCGCCTCAAGCTGTTCTTGGAGCAATTCTCAATCAAGAGCTGTGTACTTAATTCTGAATTACCTCTCAACTCCCGGTAGGTGCTGAATTTCCCCGCGACATAACATATTCTGATCACATTCTCAGATATCACACAGTCCAGGAATTTAACAAGGGCGTCTACGACTACATCATTGCGTCTGATGAGAGCACGGGCCGCCATGAGCAGGATGACGACGATGAGGTGCAGAACGAAGAAGATGACGTAGACTGTGACTGTGAGTTCAATATGCGAATTCTGAAGTACCCCAGGCACTGAGCCTTTTTTGCTCTGTCAGACACTACCACGCAACGTGAGCTATCAGGCGAGGCCAACGAAGGGGATAATGAGGCCGATGAACCTTCAACCTCACGGAAGATCCTCAAACGTAAAAGACGCGGAGGCTCACCACTCGGGGACGACGCATCCTCCAAGTCGAAGTCAAGTAAACGCAAGCAACGCAAGCGCAACGCAGACGCCGAGTACGGTGTCTCGCGCGGTGTGGACTTCGTCGACGTCTCATGCGTGATCAATTTCGACCTCCCATCTTCCGCGCGTTCCTATACGCACCGCGTCGGGCGGACAGCGCGCGCGGGGCGCTCGGGCATGGCGCTGTCGTTTGTTGTCCCGCGCGAGCAATGGGGCAAGAACAAGGTAGTGGGATGTGTTGAGAGCGCGAAGGCAGACGATGCGGTCTTTGCGCGGATCGGGCGCGAGCAGGCCGCACGCGGTAGCCAAATCAAAGAGTACAACTTTGACATGAAGCAGGTGGAGGCGTTCCGGTACCGAATGGAGGACGCGCTGCGAGCCGTAACGAGAAGTGCTATCAAGGAGGCGAGGATCAAGGAGCTCAAGGCAGAGATCCTGAATTCTGACAAGCTGAAGGTGTGTACAGAGCTTTTTTTTCCGTCATCCGATTAACGGTAAATTGGTACGCAGGCGCACTTTGAGGACAATCCGCTGGATCTGGAATACCTACGGCACGACAAGCCTCTACACCCAACGCGGGTGCAACCGCACATGAAGCATGTCCCCAAGTACCTCTTGCCCCGCATTGCGTCTGTGCCTGGCACCTCAGACGGAGCTGTTGGGGTTGGGAGTGGTGGCGGGGAAGCAGGCTTTGTGCCCTTCAGCAAGAACGGCGCGCGTGGTCGTGGTCGCGGTCGCGGTCGCGGTTGTGGTGGACGGGGTGGCGGGGGCAGTAGTAGAGGCAGGAAGAAATCCGATCCGTTGAAGAAATTTGGACGATAGAACAACTTAGTCGATCTAAACCCTTGGCAATTGCTTTCCACCGCGGGTTGTCGTTCTGGACAGAATAGTCGTTCGGCGGAACATATCCTCAATTATATACGAGGGACGTAAGTATCGGGTGTGCGTGAGCGATACGGCTACTGCTACTATGACAATACTGCTTCAAAAAGGTAGATGGCTAACGGTACATGCGAAAATGTTCTCTGAATCTGTCGATACATGTGATGATAAGTTAGCAGCTGTGTTGTCGCACAACCATCGATAACCGACTCAGGCGACTTTCGATACCTGCAAGGTCTTCCAAAAGTACCGTATATCTCTTGTCGTATTCGTCCAACACGTCATACGAGAGGCTGTCCGCCACTGATGAAGAGACAAGCAGCTTCTCTTCTTCTCCGACCCGCATGCTGTCCTGACCAAATCGTAACAAGTTGAAGCTCGACGTGGTCGGGGTTTGACTCCTCCTTGACATCATCGACAGCGCAGAGCCCGGACGGGGGCTGGGGCTTGGACTTGCCGGGAGGTCCGAGTCGATGTCAGAGTAGCTGGGAAGGTCCACCAGCGCCTCCTGCGATCCGCTTCCAGACAGAGACAAGACAGACGGCAGCGTAACGGTGGATTGCGTGGGAGGGTCAACCTTGTATGAAACACCACTGTCTCCGACCACGGCCACGGACGAGTCGAATCGGAGCTCCTTCACTGCAGACGAACGGCCAGAGGACCCGATGATGCGAGGTTTCCGCCCACTCTCCAGTACCTTCTTGCGAGCGCTCATCCCCACACAATCGACGAGCTGCTTCATTGCCTCACGATCAGATACCGCTCGGCGCGGGGCCGTCCGGCGGACAGTGCTCGCCCGTGGCAGCGTTCGGAACGGGGTCAAAACGTTTGGACGGACAGGAGTAGCAAACGGATATCGCTGCATAACGGGTGTCGCATGCATCGTCTGTGGTACTGACGCAAAATGTGTTGGCGGAACGGAGAGAAAATTAAGGGGTTGTATGGTGCTGAGTCCTTCCTGGTTGTTCGAGTTCGGCTGGTCGGCTGCGCCTGTAAATGCATCGAGTGAAGGGCCCCAAGAAAAGCCTATGAAAGACGCCACTGGCTGTTCCTTCAGTATTGAACGACTGGAGGTGTGCGAAGGAGTTACAGGAAGCACAGAGACACCGTGTGTTGAAGCTGGGGAAGACTGGAACAATGCTGAGAAGGCGAATGGACGAGAGGATGAGGAGCCTTCAGAAGACGAGTGCGAGTTCGCCACTGGTGCAGAAGGCACAATTGGCGTTGTGTAGGTGAATTGAGGGAGATGCAGATCAACTGGTCGTGGGCCTGAGGAAGAGATTCAGCCGTTTACCAGGAAAGATCACGCATTGTGCTTGCACTTACTTCGATGCAAATTTGACCAGTCGGTGCTCCTGAAGAATGGATGTTCCTTGATCTCTTCGACACTTCTACGGCCCAAACGCAGTTCTGCAGTTGTAAGCAATCTGTGCCTCGATGAGAATCAGAAGTAGAAATCCATTTGACAACAGGACAGACCCGCGTAATAGGTCTTCTAAGTTGGCGGAAATGGCCATAGATCTGTCGAAGCGTAGGCTTTTCTGTCATATCATCGCAGATTAGTATGACCTATCTAACAGCAAAGATCGAGAATCTACTGACGTAATGCTCAGTGATTTTCAGATATGTTCGTCGTATATCATTCGCAAAGAAAGGTGCGATGCCATGTGTCATCTCGTACAACATAGCGCCTGTGCTCCACCAGTCCGTTTCACGGCCATATCCTTGCGTGTTATCTTGAGGGACTGCGCTTGAATCGTCGGCCATCTCAAGAGCCACCAAAGCCTCTTCATGGGCTTGGAGGATCTCCGGAGAGATATAATCGCATGTCCCGCATGGAACAAGACAATGCCGTTTTGGTACTCTTTGACTGCCATCACTTTCAGGAGGCAACAGTGGCGCTGCCGAGCCGAAGTCGATCAAAAGTAATTGGGAATCGGTACTCAAAACAAAATTATGCGGTTTGATATCTCTGCTCAGCGGTCAGCTGCGCAGAGCACTATTGTATCACTACGTACCTATGGGCAAAATGTTGTGAGTGGCACCAATGGATAGCACTGATGATTTGTGGCGCCCACCACTTCAAGTCTGTTTCTAGAACCTTGCCGTCATGAGGACTGGACTGCAGAACATCCCATAACGTCCCGCCCGAGGCATAGTCCATTACGATGCTCAGATGTGTGGGCGTCTGAAACGCGCATAGCAGATGCGGGGCCCACTCGGAGTCAGTTTTCCGTGCTCGTAACAATATATCTCGCTCAAGCTGTGGGGAGCATTGCTGTATCACATCGGCGTCAGTACGTGGGCCAAGTCAGCTTAAAAATGACACACATCAGTGGTCTTCAATGCAAAGCGTTTCTCGATGGATTTGCGAACGTACACATCACCATTTAGTTTACAGGTTACCACGTCGATCTGTAGGGTGTAAGTTAGAAGAAGTTTATAAGGCGCCTCGCGATCCTTACAATACCAAATTGACCATACTCTAGTGTCCCAACAACGTCCAAGTCTTCGTCAGAGAAACGCAGGGTATCGATCTCTGTCGTCTTCGCTTCGATATTAAGGACGGTAAGTGCGACGCCTGATTAGAACTTTTAAGCAATTGAATCACTTACAGGTTTTCCCAATTACACTCTGACCGTGGAGTATCCTATCCAAAGCAAGAGACTCTGCGTCCTCATCTCCATCAGCATCCAGCAGAATACCTAAGCGGGTCTTCCGCCTGTGCCATGTCGTAGACATTCAACACTCTGGCCACCCCCGGAATGTTGAACTAGAGTGGCGCTCTCAATAAGCGCCGAAACGGGAGAATGTGACTTGACCAAGTTTGGCAACTCTAGTGATGGCTTGTAGCGCGCTCGAGTCAGCACTGCAGTGGCTCCGCCAACTTCTACATCACTAGCCCAGAATCGCCAGTCTCGTTGTGGCGCAGTTTATTTGTTGGGGTTATTGGATGGATAGAAATAGTGGGTGCATTTATTATGAGAATACTGTACATTTTCGACCAACCCGGCGGGTCACGGGTCACAAGGCCAATGGCCTGCCGGATTTCGGACATGTGTCACAGGTCACAAAGAGTCTCGCCGCCGACCTCAGACGAATGGAAAAGAGGCATTTTTTCCCGGCCTGCGGTGCCAAAATCGCACGGTCCTTGTTCTCCGCTTTCCAGTCACAAGCAGCAGCCACTGGCTATAGAACAGCTCCATCCGGCAGCTATACTCGCTGTATGCCGGCGCCTCCGACACCACTGCCCCATCGCCTTGCCGCTATATTACATCCTGTCCCCGGTCACACCTGGTCCCGCCGGTTGGCCGGTTCGGGTCCTTGAGGTCACAGGTCACACCCTCCGCCGGGTTGGTCGAAAATGTACAGTAGTCGAGTTCGAGACTTTCTCTAATTTGGTTAGGGAAATTGGAATAGTCATCGAGAAATTAAGTCAGGTGGTATAGATACAGAGCCAGAATGTGCAGAGTGGCATTGGCTAGACCTCTCAACAAACTTGAATCCTTCTGCGGGTCCTACGTTCGAAAAGAAAGGAAAGGTGAGTAACTCAGGCGTCATTGAGAGGGAATTGTTTAAAAGCCCACTTACTTTATAGCCCCTGGTTGTTTTTTATTTGTTCAGTGCTGAGTGTTGGGCGCGCATCACAGATGGGGATGAAAGTACTCAGTGGATCAATAGCTGATGTTTTATATACATGGAGTGTGACATCTGTGTACAGTCACATAGTCACACATATTGTTGTGCATTGATGACAAGCTCCTGTTGACCTTTCAGCAGTCACTTTCAGGGAAAGGCTATAGATTTCACCATCATAACAGATGATATTTGTCCTGAAGTGATAGCGGTATGCTAGAATGTTAGAAATTGCGCCTTAGTACCCAATTAGGAAGGTAGTGATGGCGGGTTAAGATGCGTCAGGGCACGTGATTATGCATCCTAAAATAGATTTCTGTTTTTATACAGTTCTATATGCTCCAATTTATATAAGCAAATTTCCTTCTTCATCTTTCTTTGTAATTATGCCCTCAGCTTGTCTGCCCTTGGGCGCTCCCAAAATTCTGGAGCCTCCAGAATTTATGGGCGCTACTTTCCAACATAGAGAATGGTGAATAGAGAGAAAAGTTGAAGATGACAAACCAGAGGTATTCCCTGTTTCTGGGAAGTTGCTGATCCAGTTTCAGTGAGTCAGAAAAGCTGTGCTGCTGATGAGTGCATGTTACAAAGCTTCTCTCTGAGGAACGTGCGGACGACTTCCGCCTCTACCTTTACCAATCACGTGACAATGACATCACAGAGCCTAGACTGACCATGTGACAATGACATTACTGACCACATGACCATGATGTCATCATGGTCATCGCCCTTATCTATCCGGCACGGATCTACCTGATCATTTGACGATGTGCGCCTTGTGCGCAAGGCTTGGATCCTCTTCCTATCACACATGCGACAAAGGCATGTTTGCCTCGCCTTTGCCTTACCCTTACGATACAGATACCGAACCTCATAGGCATGGCCCTAGACCCTGATACATGCGCTAGACGCACGATGACCTTGCTGCTGCCTTGTCTTTGCAGCACGACCTTATCTCCATATAGACAGATTGTCTCTCATGCAGAGTCATGACTGACTCAGCATTCTCACGACCGTGGGACAGGTATACGAACCCTGTGCCCTTGTATTGATACTGATGGACCAATCGTAGTTCTAGTATTACAGGTAGACAGATGCCTGTACTTTTATATAAGACCGACAGGATAAGCTGGAGTCCCCATCTTGTCCTGGTTACACATCAACCAGTTTTACCATCTACATCTGTGCGACAGATCGACCTTGGTCCGCAGACAGTGGCCAAGCGTTCATAAGACAGCTCCACTGGGCTGACCTCTGGTCATCGCTATGACTGGAGGTCGGACCCCTCACGATTGACTTGAGCCCTGGCGAAGGCCTAGTCACTAGATGACGAACCGGATGTACGGTGGCACGACTGGCCCCCGTGACAGTGCACACCTAACACAAACACCTAAACTCAACTAAAACAAGAAGAGATCTGTGTGTGAGAGAGAAGGGCAATGCAACACTGTAAATGATGCAAGTGGGTCTCAGAACCTCAACCAAAGTCTAGGGGGATGCAACCTGTAAAAGAACGAGGGCTCACGATGAATATGCGAAGTTGAGTGACAATCTACAATGAAGTCGCAAAAGTCAGAGATGAGAAGCTAAAGTCACGATGGGATCACCAAACTCGTAGGCGAAGATGAACTAAATCGCAATGGAAAGGAGAAATATCTGTGATGGAAATGCTATGAGAAAACGTAGTATTCACCATCATCAGAAAAACCCAACTTTTACTTAAAGGTGTCCTTATGTGACTTAAATGCACTTATGGGCCTTAAATAAGGTAAAAAAAGGACAAAAAGTCCATAAGTTATATTTTCTTAGAGACTTAAAAGTTGACTTTTGAGAACTTATGGGCCTTAAATAAGGCAAAAAAGGACAAAAAGTCAGAATAAGTCCCATAAGTAAAAGTTGGGTTTTTCTGATGATCTCGACGAAGTCGCAGTCAGTCTAATGCAAAGTCGAAGTAAGACTAATGCAGATGGTATATTGCAGCTCAAAGTATTGCTATATTGCTATTTCGCTATCACAGTGTCACAGTCTCTACATGTAGTACAGTCTCGAAGTATCGCAGTCTTGCTATGTCGCAGTGTCACAGTGGGGTATATCGCAGTTTGAAGTCGCTATCACAGTAAACAGAGTTTCTCGGTGATCTGAAGTGAAAGGGGAACTCCTCTCTACTGGTCTTTAATGATAATCAATGTAGATACAGCAGATATTTATAAAGAGGGGGAAAAGGGAGAGAAAATGCAGAAGTCGCAAAATGTTGGACGATGGATCCTGACATCGAAAAGAGTCGCAATGGTCTAGGACCAATGGAAAAATAGGAAAAGGGAGTGGAGAGGTGAACATCATATGTTAGTGATGGAGATGAATGGTAAAGTAGAGGGAAAGAGAAAGAAAACATATGCTACTTGTCCTGAACCACATAGAACACTCAAACAGCATTTCTGGTCCAGCACAAAGGTAGGGCTCTTAAGGGGGAAGGTTGGATGAAAAAGGGCATAGAATCTGCAAAACAAGAGGGTGCAACCACTGAGTGACACCGATAAGTCAGCACAACAAACCAGCGAGTCGGCGCGACATCCAGAGAGGCAGTGCAATGTCAGAGAAGTACGGACTTAGAAGAAAATCGGCCAGGATGCATCAGACTAGACCAAAGGACAATGGGTAAGTAGTATCCAACAGTGGGGAGATGCAAGAGTGGTGTATGAGTGACAAAGGAATGTCAAATGTCAGAGAGAAGTCATGAAAAGTCAAGCGAAGTCAGAAACATTCGCAGATTGTCATGAAAGGGTTGGGCACATCTTGGAGGCTAAGGCATAGAGTGGTGAGGTCTGAGAAATTGATGAAAAATGCGTTTTCAGAGGTCAGGAGGTCTGGGGGCACATCACTGCATGAGTGAGGAGTAGTTGCAGTCAGCTTTTATGATTGCAGCAGATCCTCTGTGACATGAGACTCCGAGGAGCATATACAGCATTGGCAATGATCATCAGTGCAAGTTTGAGTATGTGAAAGGAGGGAGGAGATTTTTCATGTATGACATAGGAAATCTGCTTCTAATGTTAATTGGTCAGAGATTTTTATGGTTATCTCGGTGTCCATGACCACATCCACCCTGGAGCTGGCATGTCAAAAATTGACCAATGCTCTGAAATCCTCACTGAAAATTGCAGAGTACTGTCTCTACTGCTCTCCCTATGATCGCCAATGATCTACATGGTGGCCAATTTACATGGGTTGGGTCAGCATATGCTTTATCCTCAACCACATTTCTGCCTATGAGGAGGGGTTTCGCACAAGTACACGAATATGTTCCATCGAAGCACAATTGTTCACCAATTTGCTTACACTACAGGCTTTTGGCCGATATCTCGCCATGCTTTTTTCTCTCTTTTTCTTCTCATTGAGGAGCATGCTCACCGGTGCTTTCACGTCTATGAACTTCCTAATTGCTGCTCGGAGTAAGCATTCTTTGCACACTATCATTCTTACTCTGATTATCTCGTCCAGCTATACAAGGACTTGGTTCCGGTGGTGTAATGGCACTCTCGCAGATTTTATTGTCTGATCTGGTTTCGCTTGGAGAATGTGATATTACTCTGGATGTTACAATGCTCCTCAGTTATGGCACATCTTTTCTTTTTCTTTTCTTTGTTCCCTTTACTTTACCAGATTGCGTGATCTACCACATGACTCATCGGAACGCAATCTCTGATTCTCTATCCAGATGTCCAGAACCCCTAGTTTAGGGTTACCCCAGATCCAACTCCGGACCTTCTTCCTATCGCAGATGCGAGACATGCATGTTCGCCTCACTGCTACCTCATTCTGATACACGACGACTCATTATCCCCATTAGTACTGATTATCTCTCACAATCTTACTCAGCTTTCCCATATCTATTACTTGTATTACTGCGTAGTACTGCAGATACCTTTTGTATAAGTAGTCGACCTCATCGAGCTGGATCCCCATCTCGACCTGGTTACCATTAAACCAGCTTTTCACTTGCCTTTGACTGAGATCGACTGTTAGTAGCAGACAGCTACTGTGAGTCATAAGAACGAACTCTGATCGACCTTCAGTGCGAGAACATTGCCCGAAGTGTCTCTTGAACG